AGCTCTGAAAAATAGGTCTGCTTTACTAACATGCATGGAGATATAGTTGGATTGTCTAAACAAGCGTTGTACATTTGGTTAAGTTACATTTTTCATCTTGTGTGACTATAGTTACATTGAAAGCATGGTGTTTTTAAAGAAATACGTAAAAAAAAATAAAATAAAAAAATTCAGGAATGTTGAACCCGATCATTTGTATCAGTGGCCATGCTCTTGAGTTTAATAAATTAGGAAAAAAACAACAACATTTATTTGCTAACCTGCGCCAACTCCATTAACTACAATAGGCCCTAAGAATGTTGTGATGTCATCTAAAACTCAGCAATAGGGCCGGCTCTTAATGACTGTGTAAGGGTCAAAAGTCCAGATAAACTCAGTGGTTTGCTTTGTCAAATCAATAAACATTTTTGACTGTAAAGCTGTACCAAGTAAATCTGTACAAAGAATATTAAGGATCCAATATTATGCAAAATTGGCTCTTGTGAGCTTTAAGTCATGTTAGAACATTGGTACCTCATTAAAAACAGACCAGGAATTCTGTTTTGTTTCATTCACACGTGTTTCAGTAATCCGGCACTATTAGTCTGTCTACATACACAAAGGTAAAAGTTATCTGTTATTGGCAATTCTCAGTCTGAAATCATCCAAATGATTTCAGTGAAGGCGTATGGAGTTTAAAAGCACGGTGAAACGTTTTCTGTATTACCGCATGACATCACAAGGTGGTTTTCAGTTTGAGAACTCAGCCTAAATATGCAGGCTTTGTGTATTAAACCTGTGTGAATGAAACTAAACACAACTCCAGGTATGTTTGTGATTAGGAAACAACATTATAACATAGATCGGAAAACTGTGTAATATGGGCCCATTTTTACCATATATTATGCCGTTCCATCAGCACAGAGGCACTATATATCTGTCTGTGGCCTAGTTTTTGCCCACATACAAAAGTCTATAAGCTGCACTACATACCACAAGAAAGGACCTGCCTGTGTGCAAGTTTACACAGCAGCCAGCCCTTCTGTCATAGTCATATGGAGAGATTTACACTAGAAACCCAACACTCGGAAACAACAAAAGAGGGCACCAGGGAGCCGACGGCGCAACAAAACAGACCTGTAATTTCAAAAATGTCATAGTGAACTTCGGCAGGCTGCATCGCTCCCTCACACGGAGTTGTACATCTAAAGGGCCCATATTACGCTATTTTCCAGTCTGTGTTATGATGTTGTTTCCGCATCACAAACATACCTGGAGTTGTGTTTAGTTTCATTCCATTCACACATGTTTAACGCACAAATCTTGCATATTTAGGCTTTGCTCTTCTCTAAAACAGAAAACACTTGGGTCCACCTTATGATGTCTTATGTAGTAATACAGGAAGTCCTCCACTGTATTTTTAAACTCCATACACCTTCACTAGAATCATTTGGATCATTTCAGCACAGGGATTGCCAGTCTCTGCTGAACTAAAGGTAAAAAGCTTTGGAGATGTAGACAAACTAATAATGCAGGATTACTCAAGCATGTGTGAATGAAACAAAACAACTCCAGCTATGTTCTTGAGAAGATAACAACATTATAAACATGTCTTAAAGATCACAAGAATCATTATTGTAATATAGGACCTTTAATCCCTGTACAGCACTAGAGACCAACTTTCCTTTTAATACATAAAAAAATTGCTAAAAAAAACTTTAGATTTGCAGTTCTAGCTCCCAACATCTGTCCTCTCACTCACTTCAGTGTCTCTCGGAAACTCGTGAAATACTTGGTAAAAGTGGGCTGTACACACCAAAAACACACAGAGGGAGTTGTGTGAGAGGAGCGGGGGAGCTGGAGATGTTGACATATTATTAAATTCAAAAGGCTCCACTTGAATCCTATAATGCAGCTACTGGAAGCAACTTTGAAATTTTACAAGAACAAAGACTCGTTTCTCATTTTAGGAGCTGACAATCCTGCGCAAATGTCTGTCAATACAATGTGTTTCGATATTGCTGGCTGCATTGTACTGACTGATTTTGCCTGACCAACAAATCCCTTCTATATTATGTTTGAATCCAAAAAAGACTGAAATCAGATGGTATAGCGTGAAAAAACCTCTGTACAAACTTGAGAAGGTCCAATCACAGATGCTAATTTGTAGTTTGTGTCTCTCAAAGGCAGAAGACATCACTCCAAAATTCTTGTATAATTCAGAACAAAATATATAACTTCTTTTACCTGAGATACGTAATAGGTTGGTGCTTCAATTCTTGACTCTGAGAAAACCCATGCAGTTTCTCAGTCCTTTATGTTGATTAACTGTAAGTGCTTAATGTAAATAGTCATGTTTGCTTTTGACGCGAACAGAGCTTTCTGATTGGTTAATCCACCTGTCAATCACTCCCTCTGAAATCAGGGAGACAAGAAACGGCTCCAGATCCGCGTCTTTGTAAAGTTCTGTCAAAGAGTCTGGTTCTGGCTAACCATATAATTGACAGGTAGTGGTTCAGAAAATGTAATGATTTAACTCATTTATTTAATGGCAAAGTTACACACACTGAGATGTCCTGCAAATGGGTCTAATTGTGTGATTTTTTTTTTGTTTGTTTGTTTGTTTCAGTGACTCAGCCCTCGCCTGTGTGTCATGAGTGTCAAACTAACTACAACAAATTAACATGATAAAGCTGTTTTGCACAAATTAAAAACTGATTAGTTGCAAAAAAAAAAATAAATAAATAAATAAAAATGTCACTTACAGCAACAGGTTTGTTTTGGGTTTTTTTAGGTCAAATGAACACAGCGTGTCTCACTGAATTATGATGTATGTACAGTATAAACTGCAAACAGAGACTCATAAAACATTTGACTTTTACAATGCTTATCTTAAAGGTCCTATATTATGTTGGTGTAGGTGTTTCCTCATCACAAACATACCTGGAGTTGTGTTTTGTTTCAGTCACATGTTTAACACACAAACTATGCACATTTAGGCAGAGTTCTCATCTCAAATTGTCTGGATAACTTTAGTCCTAGAATTTCCTAAAGGTGAAAAGGTACCTGTTAACTTGAAAACTATTGCTTTATGGAACACTATTCTGAGCTTTGGAGATGCAGACAGACTAATAATGATGGGTTACTCAAGCAGGAACGAAACACAACACAACTCCAGGTATGTTTTTGATGAGTTAACATCATTCGAACATGGCTGAAAAACTCACACAGAGTCAATTTTGTATAATATGGGCCTTTTAAAAATCTGCAAACTCCAGTATTGACCCATTTTCTAGGTGTTCGATGACTTGCTCCTTATCAGCCTCTTTATATAACAGAGCAATAGAGCATGTGTGTGTGCCCAGTACCTTGAACTATTGCTATCTGGTGCTTGTTCAGGTTGCGTCATGGTGTCTGGTGGTGGCTCTTGTGGCTGTTTGGTAGCGGGAGGATGAACAGGTGATCTTTGCTTGGTCACCAATTCTGCGCTGACAGCTGTGTTTACTCAGCAGCTCATTGACACCATATGATACTTTTATATAATACATTTCTCTGATTGTACTGGACCAGATTTGCAAAGTGTGTATGGTTTTAAGCTGTTCACAAGTGGTTGCAGTAATATTTTAAAAAGCCAAAGCCTAACAATTAAAGGGTCTCTATTGCACAAAATCGTCTCTTAAGAGCTTTAAACCATGTTATAATGTTGTTACCTCATCAAAAATATACCTAAAAATAATTGTGTTTTATTTCATTCACCAGTCAGAGTCTACATCCCCAAAACTCAAAATGCTCTGTTCCACCTTGTAATGTCATGTAGTGGTAGTTTTTAAATAAACAGCTACCTTTTAACCTTTTGTTCTGTAGAAATAGGCAATCCCAGGACTGATATTATCAAAATGGTTTTAGCGTCTATGTCTATGGAGTTTAAAAACACAGCAGAGCAGTAGGAGAGAAGAGATCAGCCTAAATATGCAAGATTTGTGTGTTAAACATGTGTGAATGAAAAAAAAACTACAACTCCAGGTATATTTTTTGATGAGGAAACAACATTATAACATAGATTGGAAAATAGTGTAACATGGACCCTTTAATATTCCAGAGTGGCATTAAAAATTTCTGTTGTTTCATTCATTCAACCAAGTCTTTTTTCGTAGCAATTATAGCAATGATATTGACAAGTTTGACTGATTTCGTTACCAACTTGTATGTGGAAAGTGTTACCAAACAAAAGAAGCAATGTTGCAGAGTTGAGTAACACTGGGATCGATCCTGCGTGCAATATTGCAGTGTCAGCAAGAACAAAAGAAGAAGTGGGGTGTGTTGGAGTTTAACAAGTTGGCTGCAAAAAAAACCCAAAAAACTTTGCTGGTAGAAACCCATGCACTGCGAACAGCTCAAGTTGTTTGTTAGGAGATAGGCTGCAAATATGAGGACTGACACTTGTGTGATAAGAGCAAGCAACACTTAAAGAGGTTCACAAGAAAGGGTCAGAGTACAGCTGGTGTAGTAAAAACAAGTAGCATAATAAAGGAATAAAGTTGCACTGTGTAACTTTTCTGTTGGGGGTCTGTCACCTGCTTGTTTCTAAGGATATGCCACTGCTCTGCTTCAAATGTTCCACAATGTGACATTAAACAAATCGACCTTATATTTATTGAATAGCAGGTGGTTTATAGCTTAAAAATACTAGAAAAACAAGCATTCTGACTATGAGTGAGGCTGCCTCTCCACAGATCTGAGCTGTTAATTAGCATGGTTCGGTCTCAATGAAGACAGAAAGGTTTAATGCCATTCTGACAAGGCAATAACATCTCCATGGAGAAAAGCATTTGACAGACCTTCAACTAGAAAAGGCTTTAATATCTAAACTATCTATTCCTGAATGGGTTTGCAAGGCGCATCCATCTGCACTGCGCCTTCCCTGCAAAAGCTGCTGATTTGCCACGTTTTCCCTTTACGCACACAGACCCTCGCGGAGTTCACGGCGTAACTGGGACTTTTAAACTACACTTTCTACTCACATTTGCACTGCAGCTCCACCATGGCCTGGTACCACTCGTCCTGGTCCGTCTCGTTCTCAGCGGCCACGGCAAAACTCTCGGCGCGCGTGTACAGGACGATCATGTGCTTGTTTTGGAATCGGCCCGCTTGTTGATGTTAAAGCATGTCTCCAGTGCCACGGCTTTCTTCGGGACGGGGGCCTTTCCACGGAATTTCTTCTCGCTTTCATAGTACTCGAGCCGGGCCGGGCCACGCTCCGAAGCGGTCCGAAGCACGAAGTAGCGACGGTGCATGGACTTCTGCTTACGGAGATAGCCGCTTTTTCGCACGTCCTCGCAGCCATGAGGTTCGCCCGCTTGGTTGTTCTCCATGACAGCTTTCCAAACACAACTTCTTTAAATACCACGCATTCAGTTTGTAGTATTTCTGTAAGTTTCAGCTGGTGGTGCCGCTCCCCTCCCGCTGCCCCACATCAATGCAGGCATGGAGTGAGAGAGAGGGGAGGCAGAGGTCGGCGTTGGGGTCGCTCTGGTGGTCCTTGCCTTGCAGCTTCAGATACCAGCCCGTGTGCAGACGGAGATTAGCTCCTCTCACGTCGGTCCCACAGGCGGAGCAGCAGCAGCACAAGTTTTCAATGCGCTCTCGAGTGAGCACATGCGGCTCGGGTCGACGCTCCGTTCTCCACCAACAACAGTCCACTCCCGGTGCTATAGTTCATTAAGTGCACGGAGCTCGGAGTCACTGGGTTCCGCTGCACGCTCTCCGCCCGTCCCTCGGTCCTCCCCCGGCGCCTTGTTTGGCTCCGCTCGTGCTGCCGTAGTGTGTGGAGCAGGACTGTCACTCACTCAGCTCTAGTACTCAGGAACATGGGGCGTTCACGGGACACCACAAAGCTCCGAACAAACAAATACGAATTTTCGCGCGCTTATGTTTAGCTTAATTCCTGCATGTGATTAAAGCCCCAAAATACTACAGTTCAACGCCATGTCTAAAAATACGACATGAGGCTGGACAATAACATATTCCATATTGATAATCATTCTATTTTATATTTACACAGCTTTGTAAATATAGCAGCCACTGAGTGTTTGAAATAGAGTGTAGAGGCGTCCTACCCTTTCTCAGCTCGTGAACGCAGCATCACTATGTGTGTAATATTTCAGTGTTGTCGCTTCACTAGATCCATCCTGTTCTATTTATTGCCAAAATCCCCTTCTGTCCACTCTCTGTGTATGTGTGCATGTCTGAGAGGAAATTTTGCAAACGCACGGTTTCTGCACCAAACACGCCACACGTGCTTATTTTAAACGTCTGTAAAATACTACACTGTGCAAATATGCAGGCCATGGCAGTCTATTTAATGATAACGAAACATGTCACATTTTATTACTACTCGTGCGTCAACAGCGCGTGAGTCCGCTGTAACTGATAATAAAACATGTCCTGACCTGTTCTAACTGGACACTGTCTGGGCACTGACCGCGTCCCTACAACAAGATATGGAAATATCAATAAATCAAACTGGTAAAAATAAAGAAAATGGATTTGGGCCAAAACTCTGATAAATCATTCAAACAAATCTATAAATAGCCGTATGGATAGCAACAGAGGGTCTCCATCTTGGTACACTTGCAGAATGAATGTTATGCAATATGCATCCAAAAGTAACCTTCCTTCTCCACGAGGTCAGGGAAAACTGAATGCCCAGCGCCACCTGCTGTCCACAAATATATTACCACACTACTACCCCAATCAAAATGTATAAACAAAGTGTAATAATGAGGGAAACCGTTTTAAGAAGCAACTGATTTTATGAACAGTGGATACAAAGACGTTGTTACATGAGTCATTTTGGCAAATTAAGGAAAACAATCTCAAAGTTAAACCAAAACAGACATTGGTCCGGTAGATAACTGGAGATGAAACACACATCTAGGTTAATTTAGTATTTGCTTTTACATTCAGTAGCATCTCCTTTTAGCCCTCTAAGCGCATGCAGCCTGAGAGTCAAAACACTGTCCTTCAACAGAACTAAAACCAAATTACCAATGCAGAACAAAATGTAGACATAAATGTACGCCTCCATCTTCTTCTAGTTCTTCATGCATGTTGAGGCCGTTAAAGCTACAAAACTCCTCTCATTACATCGTAAACATTTCAACTGGTGAGTTACCAACTGGCGTTCCTCCTGGAGACGTATTACTGGGCGGGCTGGAGGTTTTTGCACTTTTTTAAGCAGGAGATGAAAGCAAAGTAGCAGCAGCTGTGACACGTGTGGAACATTTTTCTTCAAAAGTTATAGGCGGCATTTTTGAGCCCTGAGGTGGCATCTACTGGCACACAACAGCTTTAAAGATGCACAATGTAACTTTCTGTGTAGGGGTCCATCACCTGCTTGTTTCTATGGATGTGCCATTGCTATGTTGGAATGTTCCACAGTATGACATTAAACAGCTCTACCTTACATTTATTCAATTACAGGTAGTTTTATAGCTTGAAAATACCTAGAAAAATAGGCATTCTGACATTCCAGACAAAGCAATAACATCTCCCCTGAGAAAAGCGTTTGACAGACCCTCCACCAGAAAAGTTACACAATGCACCTTTAACATGAAACACAACAGGTCGTCACTCTCCTGTACACACACACACACGCGCGCACACACACACACATTTTATAAGTATGTCTTTTGTTAGTTCCTCTACAAACAAACAGGTAAACATGGACAGGGCTTAAGGTCAAAAATACTCTGGAGCCTTTGAAATGGCAGCGGCTCCTCAGGTTCAGCTTTAGTTCCCAGGGACCAACGCTGGGTGAGAGGGTGAAAAAGGGGGGAGAGACAGAGAGAGAGGGGTGAGAGACAGAGAAAGGGGTGAGGGGATCAGATGAAAGGGTTTTTTGACGTTCCTCGACTTGGGTAAACATTCCCCTGAAACAAAATGTACATGATTAAGCAGAGGAATCTTCATTAAAGAGCCAAAATTGCGCTATTTTCTGATCTATGTTACAGAGTTTTCCTCATCACAGACAAACCCAGAGTTTCATTCACACATGTTTAACACACAAACCCTGCAGATTTAGTTTAGAGTTCTTCTTTCAAAAAGAAAACACCCTTTTCCAACTTGTGATGTCATGTAGAGGTAGTATTCAAGTTAAGAGCCACCTATTATCCTCAGTTCAGAAGAGATTTGCAATTTCCAGGGCTGAAATGATCCAAATGATTCTAGTGAAGGTGTGTGGAGTCTAAAACACAGTGAAGTGGTTCCTGTGTTACCACATGACCTCACAAGGTGGAATAGAGTGTTTTCAGTTTGAGAGAATAACTCAGCCTAAATATGCAAGAGTTGTGTGTGTGAATGAAACAAAACACAACTCCAGGTATGTCTGTGATGAGGAAACAACATTATAACATAGATCAGAAAATAATGTTATATAGCCTTAAAGCGCTATAAAACAAATAAAATACTAAACACAACAGACTTACTGTAAAAGGATTGACTGACATGGACCGTGGAACTTTGGGTTGAGAGTCAGTTACAGAGAAAGAGGCAAAACCTATAAAAAGACAAAAAAAGAAAAAAACTCAGGTTAATCAAGGACACAGGTTAAATTTCAAACTCAAAAAAAGCAGTGGCTCCTATAGAGGTACTGGTATGAGCTGACTGTTACTGTACACTGCAGCGATACAGAGGAACGTGAGGTGAGTTTGATCTGCAGCCAGAGCACACACAGCAGCAGTCACACGAGCTGAGGCTGAATCAAAACCACCAACACCATGAATTATACATGTCCTAACCCTATAGACCACTGTACACACACGGATACTGTCTGACCCATTTGAATTCAACACAAACAATGTAGGTCCTAGGGGAAAGAGTTATTGAAGAAGTTATCTTATCACCAGTCAAATGAAATAGTTTTAACCTGTTGATGTTAAAGGTCCCATATTATGCAAAATTTACTCTTGTGAGGTTTTAGTCATGCTAGAATGTTGTTTATGTCTCAAAAACATACCTGGAGTTGTGTTTTGTTTCATTCACACATGTTTGAGTAATCCTGCATTATTAGTCTGTATCTGCAAAGCTCAAAATGCTCTGTTCTACTTTGTGATGTCATGAAGTGCTACCTCTTACCTTTTGTTCAGTAGAGATTGGCAATTTCAGGGCTGAAATTATCCAAATGATTCTAGTGAAAGTGTATGGAGTTTAAAAACACAGTGGAGTACTTCCTTTATTAGACATGACATCACAAGGTGGAACAGAACGTTTTCAGTTTAAGAGACAAACTTATGATTAAATATGCAGGATTTGTGTGTTAAACATGTGTGAAAAAAAAAAAAACATAACTCAAGGTCTGTTTGTGATGAGGAAACAACATTATAGCACAGATCATAAAATAGTGTAATACAGGCTCTTTAACATTTAAATATTCTCAGAGTTATGCTTCATCTACTAAGAAACTGAATCAGAGTCTATGAGGCAGGAAGGGACACAGACAAATATTCTGTCACTATGTCACTACAGTTACTACTTCCACAAAGGGAGGTAAAGCAAGAAGTAGAAGTGTAAATTCTATAAAAGGAATCCATTCTATATAATTACTCTATATAATATGTGTATACACTACGAGTCAAAAGTTTGGATGCATTTTTTCATGTATTTTTCATCTTTATTTCCATGATTATTTGTATTATAGATTCTTACTGAAGGCATCAAAACTGAATGAATACATACGGAAAGTAGCAAACAAAATATAAACTCAAAATAGCCTTTGCTCTTTTCTTCACCCTGAGACATAGCTGTGAAGAGAAAACCATTTCAGGAGACTTCACCAAGAAGCTCCTGAGAAAAGGCCAAGGGTTTACAAAGGATGGCTATTTTGAGTTATTTATTTATGTTTTTTCTATGCTACATAATTCCATGAATTTTGCTTCATATATTTGATGTGTTCTGTATATATGATCTATTTAAAATATAGTACACATAAAAAAGATGATAATAATAATAAAAAATAAATAAATAAAATGAGGAGGAGTGTCTAAACTTTTGACTGGTATTGTATATATTGATATTGTAACTTCTTACTGTATGACTAAAGATGTTTATATTACTGACAACATTACATTTGAATTCAGTTGAGGTTCAGTTGACATAACATAAAATTATTAGGTGATTACCGTTGGTTTCCTGGTTGCAGTCTGTGTCGTGAAATGCATTGTGAGAGGAGGATGGAGGGAAGGACACGGGAGGAGGGAACACTGAAGTGGGTGAAGTGACAAAAGCTCCGGAGTCACCTGCAACAAGAAACATCAATCAACATCACCATCATAATCACCTATAGTTACAAGTTAGATATGTGGGAAGGGAAACCCAGTGACAGTTATATGTCTAAGAATATATTTGAAGAAATGGAAAAGTTACGAGTTTAATGAATTTTCCAGGCAAAGCAAAACCACCCCATGGAGACAAAAGCAGTTGGCAGAACCTTCACAGAGCCTGTTTTATTTTTATTTTAAGGATAAGCAGCTGAATATGTGGGTTAACCCCGTGGAAAAACAATAGCAGTCTATATCAAACATAAAACGTTATTATTCTTGAAGCAAACTTCAACATTTACCTTCTCAAAGTTGTATTTGCAGTGATTCGTGCACGTTTAAGCAATCTTTAATCACTTCTATTCAAGATACCATATTGCCGATCAACCCATTTCCATCCGCATATGCACACTGCTTATTTTGTACTCCAATTTTATATAGCAGACACAAGCACAATAGGTCTACTTTAACATATATTAGAGTGGATTGCTTATAAAGACCAAATTAAGAGGTAAATTCTGTAGTCTATATACACAAAAGTGGAAATCAATAGTTTTTCCTGCAGAATTAATAACAACACATTATTTAGTAGTTTTGAGAACAGGTGAACACACCATTCCCTTTCTTTTTTTAATTTCAACTTATCTTCTTTGTTTTAACTATAACTAAACACAGTGTGATAAAAATACATTGTGTCGTAACCAAAGCTGCCTTTCCCATGTAAAGTAGTGGCAGAAGAAAGCAGAGAAGTTCCCCATGCTCTGGGGTCTCACCTCCGGGGGCGCTGTTGAAGGGGTTACTGGGGGAGAGGGCGACAGGCGGCTGGGAAGAAGAGCTGGAGCTGAATGGATTGGGGAAATCTGAGACACACAGAGAGAGAGAGAGGAGGGACGAGAGGGCAAATTATTCACATTCCACTCTATTGAAAACGCGCAGCTCTTAGCCACAGAGATGTTAATTAAAGGTGCTTAAAGGGCCCATGATACACTATTTTCTAATCTATGTTTTAATGTTGTTTCCTCAAATGTACCTGGAGTTGTGTTTTTGTTTCACTCACTCATTTAACACACCAACTCTGCATATTTAGGCTCCATACACCTTCACTAGAATCATTTGGATTGCAATTGCTAATCTCTACTCTAAAAAAATGGAAACGTAGCTGTTAACTTGGAAACTATCAGTACATGACATCATAAGGCGAAGCAGAGCATTTTGAGCTTTGGAGAAGTACACAGACCAATAATGCAAGATTATTCAAACGTGTAAATGAAACAAAACACAACTCCAGGTATGTTTTTGATGAATTAACAGCATTCTAACATGACTTAAAGCTAGCAAGAGTCAATTTTGTGTAATATAGGACCTTCAAAATAGCTCACTGAATCTAAACTTTAGCTATAAAATCAATAAATGCGTGCTAGGAACTCACTTGTGAAGGTTTGCGAGCCGGAGACTGTATCGACCCCAGGAGAGCTAAAAAAAACAACAACAACAATGTGACCTTTACTTCAGAAACCAATCACATTCAACAAAAGGCAATCTGACAGGGCTGAATTGTGTACCTGGCTGGAGTCGAGCTGGACGAGAGCCTATTGCCAAAGAGGCTGCTGTATTGCGGAGGTCCACCAGCAGGGGGAGCTGTCAACAAGCATTTCACACACAAACGTTAATAAATATTAGGGAGATCAAGTGCTACTATAACACTGAAGTGTGAAGTGAAAGAGACAGGGACACTCGATCGAACTTGAGTCTTGAGGCATTAAAGGGATACAAATAGTCTGAATAAAATACAAGCTCTCTGTTGCTTCTAATATGAATCAAAGTAAAGCCAGGGCAGAAAATCAATACACTCTTTAATCTGCCAAACAGGGTGAAGGTGGAAAACAAGCACAAGGGCTACTCACATGAATGGTCTGTATTAATGGGCCTATATTATTACGCCATTTTCTGTATCTATGTTATAATGCTGTTTTCTCTTTTGTTTCATTCACACATGTTTAACACATAAACCCTGCATATTTAAGGTGAGAAAATGCTTGTAATGTCATGTCGTAATACAGGAAGTGCTTGACTGTGTTTTGAAACTCCTTTCATTAGAGTCATTTGGACAATTTCAGCCCTGGAAGTGCCAATCTCTTCTAATCAAAAACTACCACATCACACTATCACAAAGTGGAACAGAGCAATTTGAGCTTTGGGATGTAGACAGTCTAATGGTAAAGGATTACTCAAACATGTGTGAATGAACCAAAACCCTTCACTAGAAATATTATGCAGAGCACCAATAAACTTCATAAGAATAAACTTAGTGTAATACAGGACCTTTAAAACTACCGGTAATAAGGCAAGTTACTATCAGTTGGGAATAAACAAATCTATGTACTTTGAGTTGGACCAAGTGTGTGTCCAGGGGAAACACAAAGAGCAGAATTCAGCTGTGGAAAGCCTTGGCATTTGCAGTAAGGATCTTATGTAACTGAGTTTAGCTGGCTGTGACATCAGTATCACACGTACTGCTCCTTTGTCTTCTGTACTAACTTGCGTGTTCTGGACATGGGCAGTTGTACATGTTAAAGAGCCCATATTACAGTATTTACTGATCTATGTTATAATATTGTTTGCTCAATATAACATACCTGGAAATATGTTTGGTTTCATTCACACATCTTTAAACACACAAACCCTGCATATTTAGGCTGTGTTCTTCTCTCAAAGTGAAAAAACTGCTGACCTTGTGATGTCATGTGGTAATACATGTGTGACCTACTGAACAAAAGGTAAAACGTAGCTGTTAATTTGTAAACTACCAGTTTAGGTGGAACAGATCATTTTGAGGGCAGATAAATCATGGGTTACTTAAACATGTGTGAATGAAACAAAACACAACTCCAGGTATGGTTTTGATGAGATAACAACATTCTAACAAAGCTTACAAGCTCACAAGAGTTAATTTTATGTTATATAGGAAATTTAAAGCCTATTTGAAAACTTAAAAAAAAAAATTTAAAGAAATGTATTGACTGAAAACAGAATTTGCCAAGTCATGTGCTTATTTATAATATAGATTTGCATTAATTTGAAGAGAAATGTAATAAAGCATAGTGACTAGGGTTGTTTAAAAAAAAGTATAAAAAATCTGATACTAACTAATACTTAAACTAGTATTGAAACTAGATGCTAATTTGAGCAGGTACTAATACTAAAAAAAAAATCACATTCACAAGATAGAAATTAACCTTTCCTGAATAGCATGATCTTGAGCTGTATCAGAACAAGTATAAGAGCACATAGACTAGTTCACGCCCATGGACCACTGTAAAACCTACCTGGACCACTGAGGAATTACACAGATATAAAACCATATGGTAATATAAAAGAAAGTACTATGATTAAATGTTGAAAATCACATTCTATTGCCTAAGTAAAGTGTTTTATTATCATCATGGTATCAGAATTGGTATTGAGTATCTATTTCTTAATATCGAAATCAAGTCTGAAATTAATACACTATCATAAATCACATGAAATATTCTCTGCAGTGAGCCAGAGAAGCCTCCCTGTTCTTCTGAGATAAGCTTTTCCCAACTATGCAAATTCATCAAATCATCCAGTATGCAGAAATGTGCATATAGATCTGACGTTGGTTTCATCCTGCATATTTTTCGTGAAACAACCAATTTTATTTTGACATGGTCCTCCTTGTGGTGGGATTATTTTCTACAAAACCAAAATGATCTGTTAATCAAGCTCATAGAGTATAGTAATATTAGTTAAAGGGCCCATACTACACTATTTTCTGATCTATGTTATAATGTTGTTTCCTCATCATAAACATACCCGGAGTTGTGTTTTGCTTCATTCACACAGGTTTAACACACAAACCCTGCATATTTAGGCTTCTCTAGTCTTCCTTTCAAAGAGAAAACACTCCGTTCCACCTTGTGATGTCATGTTGGCAATACAGGAAGTGCTCCACTGTGTTTTGAATCTCGATACACCTTCACTAGAACCATTTGGATAATATCAGCCCAAAATTAACCCAAATTTAGTTGTTAACTTGAAAACTACCACTTGACATCTCTTACTCAAACATGTGTGAATGAAACAATACACAACTCTGGATCTGTTTTTGATGAAGTAACAACAGTATAACCTGACATAAATCACACAAGAGTTCAGTTTGTGTAACATGGCACCTTTAACCAACTCCATAGGAAAAACTCATTAGCCAATTAGCCCAAGAGCAAAACTAAATACTCCGTCTCTCTGGTTGCTACCTGGTTGTGTGGGTGTTGGTGAGTCAGAGAAGACACTGTCCAGTTGCGAGACAGCAGCGTACTTGTCCTGGTTCTTGGCGGTGCTGAGAGGGGGTGTGATCTGCCCCCCGCTGGCCGACTGCTGCTGCTGCGGTTGGGACAGGGACTGAGGCAGGGGCTGTGTCTGTGCATGGCTCAGACCCCCGAAGTCCACGCTCAGAGACTTGGGGAAGGCTCTGAAGGGCCCAGTGATGCCGGACACTGATACTGTACGACCTGAGAGGAAGAGGAAGGCATGGGGGAGAGTGAAAGTGATGCAACATAGAGTAATTTAATAAATATGCTAATATATTTTTCAGTTTTCAAGGTAAACCTGGTCTTGGGGGGTGAAATATAAAGTTGAAAGTTGGCCTGGATATTTATTTAACTTCTTACATGTGATACCAAAATACTGTTATTTAATCAAACATAGTGAGAAATGTCTTAAAGATGCACTATATAACTTTTTGGTTGGGGGTCTGTCACTTGCTTGTTTCTATGGTTATGTCATTGCTCCGCCTGAAATGTTTGACATTAAACAGCTCTACTTTACATTTATTCTATTACAGGTGGTTTTATAGCTCAAAAATAGCAAGAAAAACAGGCATTCTCTGAGCGGGGTTGCCTCTCCACAGATCCAATTTATAACTTTGTCTGGTTTGGTCTCCATGAAGATAGAAATGTATAATACCAATACTGTGAAACATTCCAGCCAAAGCAATAAAGTCTCCATAGAGAAAAACATTTGACAGGCCCTCCACCAAAAAAGTTACACAAAGCAACTTTAACTTCAAGGCATGTAACTTTTCTGATGGGAAATCTGCCACCTTCTTGTCTCCATGAAGTAGTCATTAATTTGCCTGGAATATTCCACAGTATAGCATTAAATGTATCTTTCTTGCATTTTATTCAACATGGTATTCTTTTTGTGCAAGCAGGCTCACCTCTCTACAGACCTGAGCTATAACTCACTTACCTTCAAGGAAAGCAATAGCATCTCCATGGAAACAAGCAGCTGACACAAGCCCCACCAGAAAAGTTACATAATTCACCTTTAAACCAAACTCTTACTCAGTGTTAGGGGCACTTGGAACTCAACTAAGGAGCTGTGTATTGATTTTCAGTAAATAATACTTCCATCTTAAAAGGTGCATTGTGTAACTTTGCAGGTGGAGGGTCTGTGAAATGTTTTTCTCCATGTTATTGATGTTATTGCACTCTCTGGAATGTTCCACAGTACGGCATTAAACTTATCTGCCTCATTGAAGATAAGAAGAGGTAAAGCTCAGGTCTGTGGAGAGGTGAGCCTGCTTGCACAAACAGAATGCCATGTTGAATAAAGAGTTGCAAAAGAAAAAAGTTACTGAATAAATGCAAGAAAGAGATCACAGTATGGTATTAAACCTTTCTATCATCATGGAGACCAAACCAGACCAAGTTACAGGTCAGATCCGTGGAGAGACAACCCCGCTCACAGTCAGAATGCCTGTTTTTCGAGATATTTCTGAGCTATAAAACCAACTGTAATTTAATAAATGTAAGGTAGAATTGTTAAATGTCATACTATGGGAAATTCTAAGCAGACTAAAGACATATCCATAAAAACAAGCAGGTGATGGACTCCCAACCTAAAAGTTACATAATGCACTTTTAATAAACCCCAGCTTGAAGCACTGATCTGATGTCAACTAAACTAGAGCCAAAATCCAGATCAAATATACACACAGAAAACTCAACCAGTCACACTTTCTTAATCAGAGCTGTCTCGTGCTAATCCCAACCTAACCTCCTGACATTTCTACACATGGTTAGAGATAAAATAAAATACATGAAAGACTAACTGAGCAGCAAAGCAACTTATCATACAAACTTTGACCAACACAATTGCAGCGTAGCAGCTTTTCCAACAACAATCCATGCTAGCACCAGCTGTGAGCTCCAGCCAAAGTCAATAAGCAGAGAAAAAATGTTGCAAAAGTCATCTGACGATCCAAAGCTGATACAAATTACATGAAGAGACACAGCGTAAAGCATGAAGCAAAGGCCTGGGTGTGTGCAAATTGAAAGAATGCTGTTTTCTCTATCTCTACTTGAGATTTCTAACTCCCCTGTGTACTTAAAGGTGCATTGTGTAACTTTTCTGGTGGAGAACTTGTCATCAGATTTTTTTTTCCAAGGAGATGTTATTGCTTTGTCTGGAATGTTTCACAGTATGGTATTAAACATTTCTATCTTCATGGAGACCAAACCAGACCAAGTTATAGGTCAGATCTGTGGAGAGACAACCCCCTCACAGTCAGAATGTTTGTTTTTCTAGGCATTTTTGAACTATAAAATGACCTCTAATTTAATACATGTAAGGCAGAACTGTTTAAAGTCATATTGTGGAACATTCCAGGCAGAGCAATGACATATCCATAGAAACAAGCAGGTGTCAGGCCCCCAAAAAGTGACATAGTACACCTTTAAATGGGATATTAGCAGTGCTGGGAAGTAACTAAAATATTTATTCAGAAGAAATGTACTCCAGTTAAGAGATCGACTGATGTTTTTTTTTTTGTCATGGCTGAAACTGATAGCCGATGAGCTCTCCATATTCTGTATTTTAAATTGACTACAAACTTGCCCACAGCCCTTATATACCAAACTTTTAAGAGACCTGTATAGTCATGTTTTATCTCTTAAAATAAAGCTTTATGTGTACCTTTAAGGAGCAAGTCACATAAAACAAAACAGTCTGATTAAAGCTGATAGCTGATACGCTAAAAAGGACAAATATCTGCCTGATATATATCGGTCTGTCTCTAATTCCAGTACAGTACAGTTATACTGAAAATATTAAAGTAAATAAAAAAAAAATAAAAATTAAACGTGGTTATTCATTATACAAATTAGGCTTCAAACTGCACCATAGTAAGACCACTATATGTTGCGTTTTTACTTTTACACTTTTGATACTTTACAGCTGATGTAGTCAACATTCTCTAGGGGTGTGATGCTAACTATAGGCATTGCTTTGATTTATTTGTATTGTAATCTTTCGTATTGTGTAAAGCACTTTGAATGACTTTGTGTATGAAATGTGCTATACAAATAAACTTGCCTTGCCTTGCTCTATTTGAGGCTTTGTTAAACTTTAATCTGAGTTTTATTTTAACACAATCTGACCATAAAGGATGGATTTAGCTCCAACTACAAAAGGCAATTTTTATTATGATCACAGGCTCTTGAAAATGTGTTGTTTACATCCATTTTGTATTTTTTTCTTGAGTTTTCAGACAAATCTTTTTGGTAGTGTTTGCTAATGTGTGCACTTTGTCACCATGGAAACTTCTGAGCATTCCACCAGTAGAGATACACAGAGAACACCCCCAGCGTAATGTCATTGCAATGAAAGTATCAATGATGACTAGTACAATATATATGATTTTCAGATTGTATGATGCAGGAGACAGATCTCTGTATTGATGACATTGCACTTTGCCATGAAATATCTAAAAGGTAAATTCACAAACATGAAACCTGATAATTCCTATTAGTGACTACACCCAAGAACTCACTGTATTACAACAAAAATCTACATTATAACAATATTAATTTTAATTGCCCCGATGTGTATTAAAGGTGCACTATGTAACTTTTTGGTTGGGGGTCTGTCACCTGCTTGTTTTTATGGTTATGTCATTGCTCTACCTGGAATGTTCCACAATAAGACATTAAACAGCTCTACATTACATTTATTTAATCACATGTGAGTTTATAGCTCAAAAACACCTAAAAAAAAAAAAAAAAAAAAAAACAGGCATTCTGACTGTGAGCAGGATCGCCTCTCCACAGATCTGACTTGTGACTTGGTCTGGTTTGGTCTCCATACTGTGAAACATTCCAAACTAAGCAATACCATCTCCACTGAGAAAAGCATTTGATGGACCCTCCACCAGAAAAGTTACACAATGCACCTTTACTTGATATAGAATGCTGTGATATCATCTAAAACCCAACAGTAAACACAAAACAGATCTGTGTTTATTATATTTTATATGTATATATGCAATAAATTTAATGAAACAAGACAAAAAAAGACAGTACTGTGATCAGAATATGTTCCAAAATACATATCTGTATCTAAATATTTTTCAAAGTATTCCCTCCAACACTGTATATTTGCATGTGTGTTGAGAATATAGGCAGCCCATGTTGAAGTAGTTTGACGACAGCAAGGTGCAAAATCTCAGTAGAGCTTGGGGGGAGCAGCTAGAGCCTATAAATAGAGGTTCACTTGGTCTCTCTATGGGAACATGACGTCTTAACTCTCCTTGACCCTCCCCTGTGTTGGTATGTAGGTATAATGTAATTTCTAGTGTACTTAAAGGGCCCATATTATGCTATTTTCTGATCTATGTTATGATGTTGTTTCCTCATCACAAAAATACCTGGAGATGTGTTTTGTTTCATTCACACATGTTTAGTTTAACAGACAGACCCTGCATATTTAGGCTAAGTTCTTCTCTCAGACAGAAAACACTATGTTCCACCTTGTGATGTCATGTGGTAATACAGGAAGTGCTCCACTGTGTTCATAAACTACATACATCTTCACTAGAATCAATGGATAATATCAGCCCTGGTATTACCCTTCTTTACTAAACTAAAGCTAAAAGAGAGCCGTTAACTTGAAAACTACCACTACATGACATCACAAGGTGGAACAGAGCATTTTGAGCTTTGCAAATATAGACAGACACAAAAGGGTTACTCAAACATGTGTGAATGAAGCACAACTCTGGGTGTGTTCTTAATGAAGTAACAACATTATAACATGGCTTGAAGCTCACAAGCGTCAACTCTGCCTAAGATAGAACCTTTTAAGTCTATGTGCACTTGGATCTACGCAAGCAAGTTATGAACAAAGCAGCTCATAGACTGGCCATATATTATGAATGACAAGAGCACAGAGAGAGCGTATTGATTCTAGCAGCACACAGTCAAATGCATTGGTCAAACCATGTCTTACCTAACGTGAAGTGGTTTTTGAAGGAGCTACTGGCTTTAGTGTTAAGGAAAGAAACAAAAGATGGATAGATTGGGAAGAAAAAAGAGGAGAGAGTGTCACTGCAGTGTTAAACAACAGTTGTCCTTGATATCATTTGAGGGTGTGCCTCGGAAATGTTGTAAATATTTGTTTTGAAAGGGCCCATATTACGCAATTTTCTGTTGTTTCCTCATCACAAACATACCTGCAGTTGTGTTTGTTTTGTTCCATTCACACAGATTTATCACAGAAATCCTGCATGTTTAGGCTGAGCTTTTCTCTCAAACAACACTCTGTTCCACTGTGTGATGTCATGTGGTAATACAGGAAGTGCCCCACTGTGTTAAACTCCATGCAACTTCACTAGAATCATTTGAATCATTTCAGCTCTGGAATTGCCTATTTTGACTGAACTAAAGGTAGCTGTTAAATTGAAAACTACCGCTTCATGACATCACAAGGTGGAACAGAGCATTTTGAGCTTTGGAGATGCAGACAGACTCATAATGCAGGATTACTCAAACGTGTGAATATAACAAAACACAACTCCAGGTATGTTTTGGTGAGGCATTATAAAACTGGTTAAAGCTCAATTTATGTAATATTAGACCTTTAAGGTTGAAATGAAAATTATACATGTATGTGTGTGAAATACTAGTATTTATCTTGGCGAAAAGACAGTTATTAATACAATTAACAACTCCATTATAAATAGGAAGAGACACAAAGCTAATGCTAATACTACAATTCTCACATTCTCTAATGTTTATAGTCAGTGTTGTTTCTTACACTGTAAACTGAATAATTCTGCAAAATAATGCTGATTAATACAATTAAAAAATTAAAAACTAAATTAAATGACTTGACAGAAATGTCACAAACTTGCGAAATGTAGAGACAGACCTGAAGGTCGAGGGAGGGCAGGAAAAGAGGGGGCGTGACTTTGACCTCCCAGCGCTGACGATAAAGAGCCCGGGCGCTGTCTCTCAATCCCACACAGAGAGGCGTCTAAAGGGAGTACATAAACAAGAGATGAGTTATGCAAAGCAGTGGAAGAGTTTGATAAAAATCAATATTTCAATGTTTTGAAGTATTTTCATAACAACATAGAGACGTGTTTAAATTTCCACATCTACATACACCTTCACTATAGTCGGTAATTTCTACCCTAGACTTGCCAATCTCTGCTGAACTAAAGGTAAAAGGAGCTGGTAAAAATACCACTACATGACATCACAAGGTGGAACAGAGCATTTTGAACTTTGGAGATGTAGACAAACTAATAATGCAGGATTACTCAAACAAATGTGAATGGAACAAAACACAACTCCAGGTATGTTACTGAGCAGGTAACAATATTCTAACATGACTTAAAGCTCACAAGAGACAATTTTGTGTAATAGGACCCTTAGGTATCAGAAAAATGTGAAAGGAAATAAAAATAAAGTAAACCACAAAAGCACAGAAATATAATTTTGTACCCTTGTTTGGGTCTGTATAATAAATTTATTGTTAAATATCCCTGTCAAATAAATATTATTATATATGTAATTTTACAAGATGCGTTTCTACTATTTCTATAACATTGTCTAGTTTTGAATAATCAGCCTAGGTCTCCGTTTACAAAAAAAAAAAACAAAAAAACACGCCCCACCTTTGAGAGGAGGGTCCCTGAAGCTCTGGGATCTCAGTGGGCGGGCAGTGAACACGTCTGTGCGCATATCGGCGGGTGAGATGGCAGGTGCCCGGTCCCAAGAGGGCATCTGGGCCTGGGACTGTGGACAGATGAGAAGACAGGGGTAGAGACAGGAGACAGCAGGGGTATGAGGCAGAAACCAGACGGACGGCAGGGGCAGATGGGGCAGTTGGGTGTGTCTCTTTCAAGCTCCTTTAATAATAGATAGCTCTTTGAAGTCACCTGGCTCTCACCGACCCGCTCACTCAGTTCCCCCCGCCGTGAAGATGGAAGCACAGGTTTTCAAATTATATTACTCTCACTTCTCTTTTCGTTTGAACATCTCTTCAACTTAAGTTTTCAAATTTAAACCCATTTCCACTTTTCACTTCACTATTCACTTGACTGCTCTACATGTATGTCTTTGAAGGAATGTTCAGCAGTTACAATGGTGACACAATGCACATATTAGTAAAAAGACACTGAGAAAAAATACAATGATTCAAATAACACATTTTCAGGAGCCAAGGGTTAAAGAGTTTTTGATTCTCAGCAAAAAAAAAGTGAGAGTGGCGAACTGAAAAACTGTGGCTAATGCTGCCTAGTGTGTGACTGTAATGTTTGAATGAAAAACAAAGCTTAGATTAAAATCTGACTTGAGAAAAAGAGCATCAGACAGAGTAGTGCATACAGTTAGCATCACGTCCCAGAGGAATGTTAATGACAGCTGTAAAATTTCACTTGAGATTAATCGGTCTAATTTACCAGTGGTCTTGGAGCTCTGGCGTTGTGGGTGGGACCTTGCCCTGCCAAAGGACCATGGGAGGGGGGCATGGATGGGACCCCTGGACTCCAAGGACCCTCCACATCCCGGCGGTTTTTACATTTAGAAAAGTGCCTGAAAGAGAGTAAAAAATTCTGTAAAACTATAAAAATAGAACTAACCAACAATGACATTCAGGAAATGTTATTTTTTTTTAATAATTTACAGTGTTAGTCCAATAAAGAGTCTGCAAAACCATTTACACTTAACTTTTATTTTAAGATCACCAGTCTGATCAAACTCTTTTCACATACAGCCCAAATAAAACCAAAGCTATTCTGTCCACAAAGCATCTTTTATTCTGGTATTTTATCATTCACAATTGAAAGAGTGTGACTGCTTACAAAATTCCGGGGATGGGACAAGATCTTGTGCCACAAGACCTCGAGAGACAAAATTGTGGGAAAATGTGGAAAATGATCTTGTGAGATATTTTTCCTTTCACATCTGTGGTTAACTTTGCTGAATAACTCCTCTTGAGAAGCTGTAGTTCCAAAAAGCAGTGCTACAATGACAGCAAGACTATAAAATTAAATAAAACCAAATGCCAAAATTGTAAACCAAATGGTACAATTTGTCAAATCATATTAAAACCTTGTTTTGTCTCATTCTCATGGGCTGAGTCTCGTGACATGTCAATTCCTATAAAATTCATTACAGTTGCATAAGCTCACCATTTTTTCTTCTCATATTTGTCTTGGAGAAATTCCTTAAACTTTTGCGAGTCCTTCATGTCTGAGCAGGCGTCTGTCTTTGGGTCAAATATACACAGCCACGTCCTCCTCCCAACCTGGACAACAAATAATTATAGTTTTTAAAGGCCCTATTTTACACTATTTTCTGATCTTTGTTATAATGTTGTTTCCTCATCACAAACATACCTGGAGTTGAGTTTTGTTTCATTCACACATATTTAACACACAAACCCTGCACACTCTCTACTGAACAAAAGTTAAAAGGGAACTGTTGACGTGAAAACTACAGCTACATGACATCACAAGCTGGAACAGAGCATTCTGAGCTTTGGATTTTAGACTAATAATAAATAGATACTCAGACATGTGTGAATGAAACAAAACATAACTCCAACTCCAGTAATATTTTTGAGGAGGTAACAACATAATAACACAAATAAAAAGTCACAAGAATCAATTTTGCCTTTCTGACTACTACTTTTTGGCTACCAACCAAAAAAAAACTTCACAAGGTTTTACCATGGTAACTACTTCTAACAGACCAAAAATGAATGCTCAAATTTCAGAACAGACTTTTTCCATGTTTGTGTGAGAAGTCAAGATGTCTTTAACTATTAGGTCAAACTCCCATTCTCCAACACTATCTCACCTGCAATTACAGTAATTACAGTGCCTTTGCTAACACGTTCTCATATGTGATTCATCTCCGGTTAAAGAAGGGCACACGTTACTGACAATAAGTGAGTCATGACTGGCCATAGCACGCCAGAGATGATGAGGATGTCCATAGTGATGAAGAGGAGATGAAGGAAGCCTGTTCTCTCATTTTACGTGACATGCCAAATGCGCTGGAGAGAAAAGCTCAGGAAGGATTACAGCCTACACACTTGAGCACAAAGAAAACAGATCTTGTTTGAAGGGTCTTGTTTTTTCGTGAGCGGGGACAGATGCAATAGGTTGGGATGCTGTAAAAAATTGCTGGGGATGCTTTACAAGTATCTCTAAGGCGATATGTTCAGCGGTTAAAATGGAGACGCAATGCACACATTAGCAAACCCAAACAACATTTTTCTAGGATGGTCTGAAAATTAAAGAAAAAAATACAAAATGGATTTAGACAACATATTTTTTTGGTCCTGTTTAGGTGTTTGATTTTCAACAGAAATGTGAGAGTGACTAACTGAAAAACTGTTGGTTAATGTGAGCTTGGTTGTGACTGTAATTTTATGTGTGAGAGACTTGTTTAACAACACAAATCAGTTCAACTGTTGTAGTTCCAAGTCAGAGCTTTCTGATCAGATAGTGTCAAAACAAAGCACAGACTAAAGTCTAACTTGAGTAACAGACTTCATACAGAGCAGTGCCTACGGTTAGCATCACAGCCTGAGACATGCTTGAGAGCTTGTTTGAGAATAGGCAACATGTAGAGGTGCACCAGGAACCAAGAAGATGAAGTGCATATAAAAAATTACAATTGCGTTTGTTACAACACTTTTATACAGGCCTAGAAATAGCATATTTTTACATGTTCTTGTCTATTTTTTGTCTTTTATTTTGTACAAAGAGTGTGTCTCACCTCATTGCCATGGTTTTGGAGGAATTCCACTTCCTGTTGCGAAAAGGTTGTCATGGAGATAGACTTGACTCTGTGGGGAGGGTTGAGGCCTCTCCTGGGACACAGAAACAAGATGAGCAATGAAATTTAGACACAAGAAACACAAAAGGGCACTGGAAGAAGAGGGAGCAGCTGTCATGTGGTACGATATTAAGGTCAGACTTGTTGTGTAAGGTGCCACAACACATAATCCACCCCAGTGTGAAAGACTAGTTTGGACAACCTGTATTCTGCATGCAAAAGACAGTGGTTTGTGCTTTAGGATTTGCGCAATAAGACGCAGTTGGTATCCTCCTGGAGCTTGGACATGCAGAACATAATGTGAGAGATAGACACATACACGCCCACACCGGAGAGTAGAGCCTAAAGAGAGAGAGATGGGGAGAAAGGTAGTGTCAAACCTGCACCATGGCGATATGTAACAGAGCTGGAAACTGACCAACGAGCGGTCTGACGATTATGAAGCTACAGAGGGAGGAAGACAGAGAAAATGGAAGAGATGCGTAAATTAATACGTTTTTTCACATGAGCCTTCTGTACAAAATGTGAGGCACTCAAGCTGTCAAAGGGTGGTGCATGGTGCAATCTTAGGCCTGATACTTTTCACTGTTTTGCACATACGTTTGTCTCCACTGATGCGGGAACATAAAATATGCTAAATGTCAAATGAAAGGGAGGCAGGGGCTCGTTCACTTACAGCATTCCAGAGCACGACGTGCAGATGAAGCTGCCCACCGTGACGTCCGTGTATGTGACCCCGGGCTGGCTGCACTCGAAGCAGTGTTTGTTTACTCCAGACTGGGCCAGCTCGCGGACCTTACGTGAGCAAATCTCCTGGTTGTCCCGGTGCTTGCGGTTCGACATTTTTGACAGCTTCCCTCCGCGAGTCCGTGCGTGCGTGCGTACGTGAACCCCTCGCGGCTGTCCTGTCCGCCCCGGTTTCCCCTCCTCTCCCCGATTACTACAGGCTGCACTTCTTCACGCCCGCATTGTGGAGACACGCTTCTGCAGCTTCTTACCCGACTAGAGACTACTACACACTGAGGAGCAGCGGTGCGTCAATACGCACGAGGTGACGACCGGAAACACAACGACCGTTGTTCAAAATAAAAACACAAAACAGTTGACAAACACAATGTTATCCATATATATCCGTTACTTTCGGTGGTTCAACATTTCAAATGCATGTGTCAATAGTCAGGTGCGTTTCTAATAATTTCAAATGAATGTAAACAAAGTGGAGATTACACAGATAATAAAATTCTAAATGGATAAGGAAGTGATGTGCTTAATCATATCCGGCTTGACATCTGGACAGATGCGTAGGGGATCTCCTGTCAAACACAAATAAGAACCTGTCATGCGTCCAAGTTGAACACATTGTTTTGATTTTTCAGAGGATGTTTTACAAAATGCATATTTATGAAGTTCAGTGGCGTGCGCTGTTACGCAAGAGCAGTTCTGGCACAGTTTATCGTGACGCGCAAAGGCTCACCACTGAGAAAGGGGCCAATCCCCAAGAGGACATCTTTTTTCAAGATGTCTTAAACATGTGTTCAGTTTGATTTGATTAAACAATTTGGCCAAAGACAGCAATAACGCCCTTTCGGTGATGTTAAAGAAAATGTTATTTTCCGCAGATTAATGAACGGGCCTCGGAAAGCACCAAGGTTAGATTTAGGTTGGTATTGTGTTGATTTAAGTGTACTACAATGTGTCAACAAAACAAGGAGATTACTGATGGATTTAAAGATAAAGTATATGCCATGTCAGTGTGTGACCACCAGGAGGCGACAAATTGGCTCCACAATATTGATTTGCTTCACAAGGTGTATGTTATTTCTGTAGTGTGGAGTGGGCTATTTCTATTTTAATTTACTCATTTTAATTTTATCGCGTTTAACATTAAGAGGCTGCTACTGGTTAATCTGTTTTAATCAAAGACAATACTGACACAATTTTGCTGATATATCTGTATTTTCTAACTATTAAGAGATTAGAAGGTTTTTTGGTTAGAGATTTTTGTTTTGTTTTGTTGTTTTTTAAATTCTGAATTCTAACTGCAGCCTTGTCTCTTGTACACACAGTAGCCTCCCTCCATTTAGGCCATTTGAGCCACTGTAATTACACATGTCGGCTGAGCCCTGAACCACAAGCCTCTGAGTGTGTCTGTGTGATGATGACAAAGTGCAGATCTCTCATTTAAAGTTGCCCAATGCGCTGAAAGAGCTTTGTTTTGCCTTTTGAGGCCTGAGAATGGGTATGAGGGTTTGTTTTACACACACAGGCTCTAGTGTTTTTTTACACCTCAGCAACATCAGACCGGGGCAAGGTTGCTAGACAAGAATACACACCCAGATTTAGCACTCACTGAAACTCAAGTTGAATCAATTATCATGGTGAGGGAGCCACTTCAGAGTGATATGTAAGAGGTTAACAGAAAAAAAAAAAGTACGGACACGATTACATTACTTATAATCAACAAGGTGTAGTATGGTGACAGTTTTGATTCTCAGAAAATGTCCTACTTCAAAAAGTGCTTTCCAACCACAATGTACCACGAGTGAGCAACCCGGAAATAGAGATGCAACTTTGGGGGTTGGTCCTTCACTTTTTTGCATGTGAGACGGAGGACAGATACGCTTCAGTCGGCACCCTGCGAGCGAACATCCCGGGATCGAGACGAAGCGCGCTCTCAATTTTGGGTAAACTCCTCTTTCCGTAAAGACGTTATAACCTTTAAATACATATACGGTCAAAGCTACGCGGAAGATCGTTTTATATTTTTGCGAAGGTTAATGGAATAAATAATGCTGATAACGCGACAGGTGAAGATTGATACGAACTGAACGTATTTGATTTGGATGACCGTGGATGAAGGCGCACGCAATCTCCCAAGTGACAAAGTGAACCAAGTTTGGACCGTAGGAATTTTAAGTATGGGCTCCGTGCGTAAAATGACTTAAATGCCGTTGTGGGGTGTTAAAACAGCTTAAAACAACTGAAAGATAGTTCAAGAAGAATACAGTTTGATACCAGAAGTGGCAAAGGATGACCGTGAAGCTGGACTTCGAGGAGTGCTTGAAAGACTCGCCTCGCTTCAGGTAAGTGTTCACCTGCTCTGATCATATGATAAGGCAAAACATACATTATTTTCCTTCCACCACTTTGACAAGAGACAACGCTGAATACTGTTTATGGTTAGTCCACACTGCTATCCAAAATCATTATCACTTGTATTATTATGTAATCAAAAATGTGCTATGGTTAGATGTCTCATATTACACAAAATTGACTCTTGTCAGCTTTAAGCCATGTTATAATGCTCTTACCTCATCAAAAACGTACCTAGACTTGTGTTTTGTTTCATTTACACATGTTTGACTAACCCTTTTATTAGATTGTAGATTAGATTGTCTACATCTCCAAAGCTCAAAATGCTCCTTTCCACCTTGTGATGTCACGAAGCGGCAGTTTTCAAGTTAACAGCTACTTTTTAACTTTTGTTCTGTAAAGATTTGCATTGCTGAAATTATCCAAATGATTCTAGTGAAGGTGTATGGAGTTTAAAAACACAGTGGAGCACTTCCTGTATTACCACATGACATCACAAGGTGGAACAGGGTGTTTGAGAGAAGAAGTCACCCTAAATATGTTAGAGTTGTGTGTTAATTAAACATGCATGGATAAAACAAAACATAACTCCAGTATGGTTGTGATGAGAAAACAACATTATAGCATAGATCAGAAACTACTGCAACATTCTTCTGATCTATCTTTACAACTTGTATTATTGTGTAATGCAAAAGTTGTTTCATTACACAATAATAATCTTTAATCCGGTTTGTTGAGCGTCATACCAAAAAATGCTGACCTTGATAACACTCAACTCAACATTCAAACCAGCAGGATAATTATACAGTAAGCAATGACCTACTATGTTACTGTTAACTACATTTGAATAAAAAATAATATGACCTTTCCACATATAAAAATATAATAATGTGTGTATCTTCCTATATTCAGCCATAGTCACAACCAAGTGTAGTCTTTGTGGCTGTCCAAAGCCTGGATAAATGCTGATAGAGAAGCTAAAGTTTCCTACAAACATCACTGCATACTAGGAGGCTGGCAGGTGATATTTTGAACTATAGGCTAGTAACTAATAAACTACATTATTATTGATTAATTTCACATTTATATCTGGAAGCTATGTGTTATTACTCTTAAAATCCATTAAATATTATGCAAAATTGACTCTTGTGAGCTTTAAGCCATGTTATAATGCTGTTACCTTCTCAAAAACATGCCTGGAATTGTGTTTTGTTTCATTCACACATGTTTGAGTAATCCTTTAGTCTGTCTACATCTCCAAAACTCAAAATGCTGTGTTCCACTTTGTGATGTCATGAAGGGTGACTTTCCAAGGTAGCAGCTCCTTGGCAGTTGGCAGTTCCAGAGCTGAAGTTATCCGAGTGATTCTTGTGAAGTTGTTTGGAGTTAAAAACACAGCTCAGCACTTCCTGTATAACCACATGACATCACAAGGTGGAACAGAGTGTTTTCAGTCTGAGAGAAGAGCTTAGCCTAAATATGCAAAAGCTGTGTGTTATTTAAACATGCGTGAATAAAACAAAACACAACTCCAGCTATGTTTGTGATGAGGAAACAACATTGTAACATAGCTTAGAAAATAGCGTGATATGAGCCCTTGAAATCTTGTTTGTATCCGCACATCAGCATCTGTTGTAATCAAAAAGGAAGTGTCCTTAAAATGGTTTTGCAAGAGAGCTTCAACTTAAGAGAGAGTTTTAGGTTTGTCAGGGTGTGCCCACTGTCCGCTGTGACTTCTGCCTGCTCAGCCTGAATGGGCATATTTTCACCCAGAGGAGCAAATACTTTTTAGATCTGCGAAGTACATGGAAAAAGTGAGTAGGTGCAGCTGTAGTGATGAGGTCTCCTGTCAGCGGTGGTGGAAGAAGTACTTTGTTTTAATATTTAAGTAAAAGTAGAGATACCAGAGCAAAAAAATAAAAAATAGTCAAGTAAAATTATAAGTGCCAGAAAAAATCTACTTAAAGGTGCATTGTGTAACTTTTTGGTTTGGGGTCCATCACCTTCTTGTTTCAATATGTCATTGCTCTGCCTGGAATGTTCCACAGTATGACATTAAACAGCTCTACCTTATATTTATTCAATTGCAGGTGGTTTTATAGTTTAAAAATACCTAGAAAAACAGGCAATCTGACTCTGAGCGGGGTTGCCTCTCCACAGATCTGACCTGTAACTTGGTTTGGTGTGGAGTTTAATGCCATACTGTGAAACATTCTAGACAAAGCAATAACATCTCCATTGAGAAAAACAACTGACGGACCCTTCACCAGAGAAGTTACACAATGCACCTTTAAAGAGTAAAAAGTACAAGTATTTCTCACTGATTTTGAGATCTAATACATTTCAAATGTAGTGATTTTGAGGAAGATTTGTGCTGAATTTTGTTCAACAGAAACAACTGTATCACTTCACCTGTTAAAAATAAATTCTCAGACTTTCAGCAGGTCTCACAAAATAATAATAACAAAATAAAAAAAAAAAAACACTTTTACTTTTCAGTCCAGTTAAAGGGCAGTTCAGTTAGGGGAGTAGAAAGTACAAATACCTGCTCTCAAATGTAGTGAAGTAAAAGTAAAGAGTATCCACTTTAAAAACTTCTTAAGTAAAATACAGATACCTCAAAATTTTACTTAACCACAGAACTTTACTTTACTTTGTTACATTCCACCACTGTCAGCGAGCACTGAACAAGAGCAGAGGAAAGCAGCTCGGAAGGATCTGAGTCTATCAAAAAGCCCACACATGAAGAGATAACGCTCCTCTGACAGTTTGGGCCAAGATTGCTGCCTCCTGTTGCTAGGATACGGGGAACAGGAAGTGAGGCGAGATATACTGAGGTGATCAGCATAGGAGACAGGAAGTCAGTGTTTCTGTGGGGAAACCGCGACCCAGCTCAAGTGCCTGCTACATTTGCAGTCTGCAGTGAAGTGACATTCAGTTGTGCTACTTCTATTATCAGACTGTATTCAAATTATTAAAGCTTACTGGTAAATGCAAATTTTTTGAAGACTTTTCCCATTCAAATGATGTATAAATTTTTTGGCATTGTTAATTACTATGGCAACGGCACACATTTTTTTTTCAATTAAACTTTATTCAAATTATTCAGCTTTTTGATATATGTATATTTGTCATTCAGGAACACTTTTTTCAAACTCAACTTTTTTCAATCACACTTTATTCAAATGATTTCTGAGTTTCATCATTTTGGTATATCCAACATTTCCAGGGCTTTCCCCATTTAAAACATATTATATTTTTGTTTTGCATTGCTATGGCGATGGTACAGCAAACTAAATTTACCCAAGAGTACAAATAAAGACAATTTAAATGTGCACTGTGTAACGTTGATGGTGGAGAGTCCACCATCAGCTTGTCTCAATGAAGATGTTATTGCTTCGCCTGGTATGTTACACAATATGGCATTAAGCATATCTATTTCCATGGCAACAGGAAAGTAATGGAACTAAGCCACGTTACAGGTCAGATCTGTGGAGATGTTACCCTGTTTGCAGTATGAATTCATGTTTTTCATCGAAGTTATGAGCAATTAAAACAAATGTGAGATTTAAGCTTAATGTCATACTGTGGAACATTCAAGGTAAAGCAATATGATCTCCATGGAGACAAGCAAGTGGCAAACCCCCCAACACAAAAATTACATAGCGCTTTTAACCTTAACCGTAATTGTTTATCATTCGTAAACTATTTTTGCAACAGTTATCAAGAAGATGTGAAGGCCATTGTTGGAGTAGCAGTGTGAATTTGTGGTTTGTTTGTTTGCTATTCTAGTTTCATTACATAAGGACATGACCCCTGGACATCTCATGCAGTCTCTGTCTGAGTGGGCCCCTTGTTCTGGCCTCTGTCCCCTGCCCTGTGTCTCTGTACTGTTGGTGGAAGGCAACAGAAAACCGCACACTCTGACTGCTGCTGCTGCTGCTACAAGACGAGAGAGAGAGGGAGCGAGAGAGGGAGGGAGAGAAAGAGAGGGAGGGGGAGAGAAAACTGAAATGGACATCAACTTGTGATAAATGTCTAGAGCTTGCATCAGATCAAAAGCCTGTTTTAGCCCATTCTGTTGAGAACTTTTGCATTTAAACATATTATTCTATTTTCTCATCTATGTTATATAATGTTGTTTCCTCAGAACAAACAGACCTGGAGTTGTGTTTTGTTTCATTCACACATGTTTAACACACAAACCCTGCATATTTAGAAATATTTAGAGTTCTTCTCTCAAACCAAAAATTCTCTGTTCCACGTTGTGATGTCATGTAGTAATACAGGAAGCGCTCCACTATGTTTTAAACTGCATACATTTTCACTAGAATTAGGACTTACTAATCTCTACTGAACTAAAGGTAAAAGGTAGCTGTTGAAAACTACTACTACATGACATCACAAGGTGGAGCAGAGCATTTTGAGCTTTGGAGATGCAGACAGACTAATAATAAAGAGTTGCTCAAACATGTGTGAATGAAACAAAACACAACTCCAGGTATGTTTTTCATGAGGCAACAACATTCTTACATGGCTTAAAGGGACAGTTCAGAATTTCAGACATAGGACCTCATTTCCTAGTGAGCCAGAGTGTTGGAGACGTGTGGAGACACTTTTTTAAATATTCCCCCCGTCCTTTTATTTGTAGAGGTCACTGGTGCTAGGCTAGTGCATGTCAATGGTCATAGTTATCCTGCCATTAAAAACAGTCTTACCCACTCCACAAAACACCCGAAACAAAACAGTTATAATGCAAGACTGTCGATGTAAATGTCTGTGTTGACAGAATCATTTTAGAAGTAAAACCAACCTTGCATTTGAAGGATTTATGTCTGAGCAGCAGCTGCGAGTACTTCCTGATAGAAAGCTTGGCAGGAGGGGACTGATATATAAGAAAATAGTCCCTCAACATGCAACAATTCATGTGATGCAAGATTAGTTTTATTTCAAACATTATTCTATCAACACAGACATTTATGTCGACAGTCTGGTGTAATAATGACTTTGCTTCAGGTGCTTTGTGGAGCGGGTAAGACTGTTTTTAGTGGCAGGCATGTCAATGGCCATAGTTGGCCATTGACATGCTCTGGCCTATCACCAGCAACCTCTGCAAATACAAGAACTGGATGGAATATTTAAAAAAGTTTCTCCACATGTCTCTAACACTCTGGCTAACTCGGAAATAAGGTCCTGTGTCCAAAATTCTGAACTGTCCCTTTAAAGTTTACAAGAGTCAATTTAGTGTAATATAGGACCTTTAATAACAGAACTTGCAGAGGAAATGGTTATTGTGGCTAGAGTGGTACCCAGTGTTAAGTATTGAATAAAGAGTTTGTAAAGTTATAAATATCTGTCAATTAACCAGCTGTATTTTGACTTTGCATGAATATTTTTTTAGACAAGCCGACCATCATGTTTACATTTCCCAGTGCATAAAAAAACATGGCTCAGGGATGTCAAACCTGCACGGTAGCACAGTGGTTGGTTACTTTATTCTCACGTTAGAGCAAGAAGGAACTACTGTATATATGTTTGATTCTCCGGGCAGACGAAGCTTTGCATTGTGGAGTTTGCATGTTCTTTTCATGTTAGGGCCCATCAGTGTAAAACATACATTGTAGGCTAGGGTGAAATTGCAATTTGAATGGATCCAATAAGGAAATCGCAAAGGCTGCAGTTTATGAAGTACCATCATTTCCTCTGCTAACAAAATACTGTATTTTGTCTTAAACTTAAACTACTAACCTTGTAGTTTAGATCTGTACAGTCATGTTTTTAAATGTGATTCTGCATTTGTCTGTTCATATTTCAGTCTTTTTGTCAGTTCTTCTCTACATGTTTATAATTTGAACTTTGAATAAAATCTATACTTTTAAAACATGAATTGTAATCCAAAAACAACGTATTAACTTTATGGAGAACTGTCGTGTGGGAGCATTGCACAGAATCTTACAGCTAACTGTAAGGAAGGTTTGAATAGGGCCCAGGAGAGATCACTAAATTACTCAAACATGGTAGAAAGCTCATAATACCCCCTCTTTAAATATGGCCCTCAGTTTAAATCTTATGTTGTCTTGTTTGCCCTAGTGGCACTGAAGTGGTCAAATACAGCAACTTCAGATACAGGAAAAATAATAGAAAAAATAACTATGGTAACCCAAAACTACACAAAATTGCACTATGTAACTTTTTTATTGGGGGTCTTTCACCTGCTTGTTTCTAATGACATGTTATTGCTTTGCCTGAAATGTTCCACAATATTATATTAAATGGCTCTACCTTCCATTTATTCAATTACAGGTGGTTTTATAGCTCAAAAATAACATGAAACATTCCAGACAAAGCAAAAACATCTCCCATCTTCACAGAGAAAAAAATATTTGACAGACCCTCCACTAGAAGAGTTACTCAATGCGCCTTTAAAGTGTTTTATTCTGTGAACAGTAGCAGCTGTAGTAGTACTTACAAGAAAACATCTGATCTGAAATTTGAATAAACCTTTATAATGACTCATGTGCTTATGTGTGTGCGTGTATTCTTTCAGAGCTGAGATTGAGGTGGTCCAGAATGACGTGAGTGAACTGGAAACTCGGTTAGACAAGGTGAGACCCCCACCTACACACACGTATGCACACTCATGCACACAGACACGTGCACACACACACATCAGTGGCATAAAGTAGTTATTGTTTATCGCAAAATATCTCTGTAGCAATGTATTTATAAATCAAATTTTTTTTTTTTTAACAGGCCTAGTGTGTGTGCGTTTGTGTGTGTCTGTGTCTGTGTGTGTGTGTGTGTGTGAGGTGTGTGTGAGGTGTGTGTGACCGTAAACAATTTTTCACCTGACTCTGAGCAGGAAGTTGCTGTGGGTGCTGCTTCCCCATCACAAACATAATATTGTATTGTCACTGTTTTTGTATATTTCACAATATTCAAATCTCGTTTCTCTTCCTTAAATTCAGTGACGTCTCACCTTTTTATTATATGCAACATTTTGAAGACTTTGGGTTTTGAGTTGCTAACTGTTCTGGAAACAATACAAAATAAAATAAATAAATAAATACCCAGTGGTACAAATAAAGACAACTTAAAGGTGCATTTTGTAACTTTTCTGGTGAATGGTCCGTCAAATACTTTACTCCATGCAGATGTTTTTATTTTGTCTGGAATGCTTCACAGTATGGCATTAAACTTTTCTATCTTCATGGAGACCAAACCAGACCAAGTTACAGGTTAGATCTGTGGAGAGGCAACCCTGCTCACAGTCAGAATGCCTGTTTTTCTAGGTATTTTTGAACTATAAACCCACCTGTAATTTAATACATGTAAAGTAGAACTGTTTAATGTCATACTGTGGAACATTCCAAGAAGAGCAATGACATACCCAAAGAAACAAGTACCCCCAACCAAAAAGTTACACAGTGCACCTTTAACCTTAATTTTACATCATTCGGAAACACTTTTCAATAGTTTTAAGACCAGAAGCAAATTTTCACTGTTTAACTTTGATGACTAGATTGCCAGTAACAGTCAGAGTTTGAGGCTTTTTCAGAACTGGATGAACTGGGTTTTGAGCCTGGAGCCAAATTTCAGTTTCCAAATGCATCTGCCCATTGATTCCATCTGGCATGACTCGCTAAACAAGAGAAGGAAGGACTTTTATTCACACCAATATTATATAGACATTATAGTCAGTGATGGGAAGAATACTTTGAAAATATATTTAGTTACAGAAAACTGAACACCTGAATTAAAGGTGCTCTGCGTAACATTGCTTGTGGAGGGTCTGCCACCTGCTTGTCTCTTGTCTTGTCTCTCCATTGAAATGTTATTGCTTTGTCTAGAATGTTCCGCAGTAGTTTTTTGAGCAATAGAAATACTTGTAATGAATAAATGCTAGATGGATATGTTCAAAGTCATACCATGGAACATTTCAGATAAAGCAATAACATCTCCATGGGCATAAGCAGGTAACGGACCGTCTACCAAAAAAGTTCCACAGTACACCATTAAAATGTATTTTGTAACATATTCTGATACATGGTCCTATCACAGTACTGTATTTTGAATACTTACAATACTTATACATCAAGTTGCATTTGAAGTATAGTGTAAAAATTTAGCATCTTTATGTTTGTTTTGCTATTTGTTCTGCATTTATTTACCACTGTTCAGAGAAGGAAAAATCACACATGCGTCACTCTAAGACCTGTGTTTTATATTTTTCTCACTAATTCTGTGCAGTTTGAAGCCTAAAAATTGTGATGAAGTACTGCCATGTATTCCTTTGATTTTAGAAAAGTAACTACTCTGAAAACCACCAAATGAAAAAGTAACTAGGAAACAGTCTCTTAAAATTTGAGTTGTTGGACTTAGATTTAGACAAACTTTATTGATATTTATTTGGACACAGAAGGTCACACATCACAATAGTTTGTAATGACGAAGAGAAACAATATAAATGCTAATAATAAATTCTAAGTAAGTAGCAAAAATATCAAGAGACTGGTGTCAAATAAGGCATCGTTATATAACTGTATATGTAAAAGTAAAAATAAAATACAATAGAAACCAATAATACAAATATCTCAGTTGTGATCAAATGCGCCTTCACATTATGTAACAATATTTGCTTTTCTGTATACGTAAGTAAGTAAGTAAGTTATTATTTATATAGCACTTTTCACAGACATATGCCCCAAAGACGCTTCACAGATCATTATTTATTCACTTCATACCTGGTGGTGGTAAACTACTATTGTGGCAGACTGACGGAAGCACGACCATCACCATCACTCACGCATTCACCACTTTCATACTACGCAATGTGGGTGAAGTGCATTGCATAAGGACACAACGACGGTTTTATAAAACATTTGAGTAATAGTTTCGTGCTTCATAGACCTCATTAGTGTGTTTTGTTTGGTTTGTCCCTGTCCGGTGAGAAGCCACAGACTGAAACCCACATCTCATTTAAGTGAAGTCAAGTTCGAGCCCTCCACACCCTTTTCAGACTGGGGATTAAGAGATCAGAACACTTCCCTGAAAAGAATACTTGTTCACAATTCATATACAAGTTATGACTTATCCTTGGTGAGGATTTTGTTTAATAATTAAAAATTTGGGTTTAAAGGTGGATTGTGTAACTTTTCTGGTGGAGGCTCTGTCATATGCTTTTCTCCATGGATATGTTATTGCATTGTCTGGACTGATTCACAGTATGGCATTAAACCTTTCTATCTTTACTGTATGAAGATCAAACCAGACCAAGTTGCAGGGCAGGTCTGTGGAGAGGCGGCCCCGCTCACAGTCAGAATAGCTGTTTTTCCAGGTATTTTTGAGCTATAAAACCACCTGTAATTGAATAAATGTAAGGTGGTAGAGCTGTTTAATGCCGTACTGTGGAACGTAGCAGTGCAATGACATGTCCCTAGAAACAAGCAGGTGACGGAACCCCAACCATTCCTTAAAGAGCCCTTATTGCACTATTTTCTGGTCTATGTTATAATGTCGTTTCCTCATCAAAAAAACATATGGTTGTGTTTTGTTTCATTCACACATTTATAGGCTGAGTTCTTCTCTCAAGCAGAAAACACTCAGTTCCACCTTGTGATGTCATGCGGTAATACAGGATGTGCTCCACTGTGTTTTTAAATTCCATACACCTACACTAGAATCATTTGGATGATTTTAGTCCTGAATTTGCCAATTTCTACTGAACTGAAGGTAAAAAGTTAGCCAGGCTGGTGCCACCTAGTGCCTCTGCTCCAGCAACTAGGTCAGGAATCAGAATACACTAGATGGTTTGCAAGAACCCCGAAAGTGCGAGTTCGAGCACCAACCAATCAGCGAAGAGCCATACATTCTGTGTTGACAACGATTCCCGAGATCGAGGATTTAAAGCCGGAACAAAGAGAATGTTTGGTTAATTTTATCAAGGGGAAAGACGTTATTGCACTTCTTCCTACAGGATCTGGGAAAAGTTTAATATATCAGTTAGCGGCGCATTACATACGTCACGACCAAATAGCAGCAATTGGTTAAATGAAAAAAAAGTACCAGCCTACTGTCAAGCGAACAAATTTTAATGCTGCGAGGTCAGACGGTTTCCACAAAGTGAAACTGGCTGATGAATCAGGCTAGTAAAAAGTAGCTGTTAACTTGAAAACTACTGCTTCATGACATCACAAGGTGGAACAGAGCATTTTGAGCTTTGGAGATGTAGACAAACTAATAATAAAGGATTACTCAGTCATGTGTGAATGAAACAAAACAGTTATGGTATGCAGGTATGTTTTTGATGAGATAACAACATTCTAACATGGCTAAAAGCTCACAATAATCCATTTTGTGTATTATAGGACCTTTAAAAATAAATAACAGAATGAAGAAATAATTAGCCATAAAAGGTATATTTTCCTCTCTACAGCTCAAATCTTATTATATTACAACAAAATAGCCAAAATCTCCCTACTTTTACAAAGAACACACAATAAATATTGGGCTCCAAATTATATTTTTCCAGCTTTCAAGTTTTGATATAGTCGATATTGTAATTATGGTGACAGTCTTTCTTGTTTTCCACAGTTTAGAGCTGGAATACGAAGTTCTTTCCATAATGTAAAAATCAGATACACAGATCAGTGCTGTGGTCACATGTGTACTCAGATTAATATCAGATCATTTCAGTTATAAGATTCTTAAAATGTCACGTACACAGCAAAAATCATCTAATTTCCTTTCGATTATAGTCCTTCTGATTAGTCTCATCAGATTCTGTGGTTTACACGTCATTTAAATAATAATAAATGTCCAAAAATCTGATTATAATAAGATTTTGGCGTGCATGTAAAAATAGCCACTGTGTTTGTAGAATCCTTGGTCAGTAGAATCCATGGAAACTGTAATGTTTTCAAAAACAACCCATCACCAGCTCAAGTAAAAGGTTTGCGTACTGTGCAAAGTAGGGTTGTCAAAAGTATAGAAAATCAGACTTATCGATACTAAAACTAATATCAAAACTGCATACTCATTTTCAGCAAATATTGATACTAAAAGGACAAAATTTGACCTTTCTTGAACAGTTTTAGTATCGTTTGTTAGCTTTATCAGAACAAATATAAGACCTCATGCTAAGATAAAGAAATATCTTAGTATTATTATTTTGCAAATTACAACCTATTACTAAATCAGCATTTTTTATCTTCATTGTGGTGCATGGACTATATGTGTACATGGACATAGCTAACCCGCTAGCTGCCACGTTCCAAATAGAAAGTGAACATGGGTGCGCTTCTGGCTCCATCAACTCTAGCTCCAAATCACTTTCTATTGAAATACTGATGCCCCTCTCCCTGTAGTGAACCTCGTCATTTTTACAATTTTTGTTATTAACCCACTGTACTTGATCCGTACAGTGGGTACAATGACATTGTCCGTAAATTAAGATAGAAACATGACTAATAAACCAATCAGACACATTCTTTCCCTGAGGTCACTCCCATTGACATTAGCAACAGTTTGGAACGACAGCGTTGCCCAAGTGCCCACTCCCTGGTAAACCAGTGGTGCGGGCGGGAAAGGGTGTTACCTTCATCAGCCTTGCTCTGGATTGACTCTTTGGTTGCTATGATACTCATGGTCAGATTTCCAAATATGGAACTCGACTCCAAATTTGCCCCTATAACAGCAGCCTCGATGAGTTTCATTTGACTGGATCACTGTAGGTGACGTCACATTCTCTTAGTCCACTTCTGTATACAATCTGTGTTGTGGTATTAGAACTGGTATCAAGTATTGAGTGACTTCCTTATCATCAAAATCAAGTTTGAAATTTCAGTATTGTGACAACACTAGCACCATTGTGATTGTTAAAGGTGCATTGTGTAACTTTTCTGGTGGAGGGTCCATCACCTTCTTATGGATATGTCATTGCTCTGCCTGGAATTCTCCACAGTATGACATTAAACAGCTCTACCTTACATGTATTCAATTACATGTGGTTTATAGTTCAAAAATACCTAAATAAAAAACAAACTGTGAACGGGGTTGTCTTTCCACAGATCTGACCTGTAATTTGGTCTGGTTTTTAATTCCATACTGTGAAACATTCCAGACAAAGCAATAACATTTCCATGGAAAAAAGCATTTAACCCTCCACTAGAAAAGTTGCACAATGCACCTTTAACTATTTCTTTTTTTACCAAAATAATAAATGCTGCTTTTCTTTTCTTTTTCAAAACACTGAAACGTTGAACACTGGTCTATTGTTTACTTGTGTCTGAATCATATGTTTTTCATTATGCAGTTGGTAAAGCAGTGCCATGCCATGCTGGAGGCAGGAAAGGTCTACTGTCAGACCAGCAAAAGTTTCATCAACGGACTTCGTGAGCTTGGAAGCCACTGCTCCAGGGACAGTCAGATGGAGGTCAGAACACCACATATCTGCTACAGCTATTTATACCTTATCTATAACACAGCCTTCTGTCATCATTACCGGGCTATTCCCATAACAAGACAATGAGGGGGCTATTTCTGTTTGGACTCAGGGCAAGAATTATTACATAAGCTTGATGATAAGAAATTAAACGTGCAATTTTTGTTACGGGAAGGCAAAAATAACCATGTAGCCAATCTTGGATCCTCACCTCAAAATCAATAATTAATCAGTTAAAAGTTAATTGTGTTGCTTTGACCTTTAAGCCATGTTATAATGTTGTTACTTCCTCAACAACATATCTGGAGTTGTGTTTTGTTTTATTCACACATTTAAGTAATCCTTTATTATTAATCTATCTACATCTCCAAAGCTCAAAATACTCCGCTCCACCTTGTGATGCCATGTCACGTGGTAGTTTTCAGTTTAGCATCTACCTTTTATCTTTTGTTCAGTAAAGATTGTCAATTCTGGGGTTTTATGATCAACATGATTCTAGTGAAGGTGTATGGAGTTAAAAAAAAAAAAACACAGTGGAGCACTTCCTATATTACCACATGACATCACAAAGTGGGGTATTTTCTGTCTGAGTGAAGAACTCATCTTATATATACTATAGAACCTTTCATCTCACAATTTTTTGGTCAGTTTTCAATAAAATTTAGAATAAGTACACAATTTCAAAATTATGTCTCATGACCCCCAGATCAGTGCCTTGCTTCAGCATGTTTTTTGTGACTTAAACTCTAATATATTTTCTATGCAGTTCATAAAATAAATAAAAGACACCAATCTTTCGTGTCCAAATTATTAGTTATAGCCATTTGCCTTTGGTCTGATCATCATGTCTGTTTTGTAGGAATGTCTGGACACATTTTCCAGGAGGCTCTCTGACATTGTAGATGCCTATGGGGTGAGTTTTACCAGTTTTGTTTTGACCTGTTGAACCCTTTAATCTTCCCAATATGACTGTCAAAGTGCTTATTCCCAGCAGCGTGATAATCAGAGATAGACCAATAATGGATATTTTAGTGTCTTTGGGACACCAACTCGGGTGCTGCTGAGTTTATTGGCCATTGGTTTCTCTGTTTTCTTAACAACTGGTGTCAGCTTTGGCTATGAATGAACACACATGATCTCTAGTGATAACGTGGTCAAACAAAGGCTCTCTCATGACATTTAGCACTAGATGTTTTTAAACTCTTCTTCCTATATATAAGAGTTTATAATGTAAACTCTTCTTCCTCGTACTATATTTGTATTTCTTTGTCTGTTTTAGGAAGTGATCGATACCACACAGAAGTCAGTCAAATCTAAGCTCCACACGTTTGTAAAAGAGTCAGTGTGCCTTACTAAATCTTCTGTATTTTTCATAATTCATTTATTTATTTATTATAATTAAATATTTTCCCTATATTAGTTTTTGAATATTTTTTTCATCTTTTTTGTGTTATAGAGATGTCCGTCATTTCAAAGATGTGCGTAAAGAGTTTGAGCGCAGCAGTGAATGCCTGGAGGGGGCGCTAGCGAAGAACGCGCAGGCCCCCCGAGGAAAACCGCACGAGGTGGAAGAGGCGAGCAATGCTTTACTGAATGCTCGCCGGATGTTTCGCTCAGAGGCGCTAGACTATGTCCTGGAGGTGAGGGGAAAATACAAAACAATCAACCACTTTGTTTATTTTTAATTTGAGAAGCTCACAGTAAACAGCAGTGGTGGAAGAAGTACTTTGTTACTTGAGTAAAAGTACAGATACTGGAGCAAAAAAATACTCAAGCAAAAGTAATAGTATCACATGAAAATCTGCTTTCACCACTGGTAAAAAAGTAGTAGCCTCCAAATGCATGAGTCTATAGTAATCAATATAAGGTTGTATGATTCACAAATCAAAACGTAAATAATTGTCATAAATTTTACATTAAAGGAGACATTTAAGAGATTACAGTCGTCAGTCTGTCCCAGGGCAGCTGTGGCTACAATAGCCACAATACTTAAACACTTAATACCACTGAGTATGGAATGAATAAATAATGACTAACGCTTTGGGAAGATTCAACAAGCTTCAACAAGCACATGGTAGTTATTATTAATATTACTATATAATTACTGTTTCTCATAGATTCCGGGGAGACGATGGTATCATACATCATTTTAATTGAAATAATTGTATGTAATTGTGGATCATTTTCCTTCAGTGTAGTTACTTTTAAATTTAGACAATGGGGAACCACCAGTCTCCTGTATTAATGGGAAACACTGACTTCACAACAAATACTGCTATCATTATGACTAGTTACTAACAGTTTCTATTGCCAACAAATTCCACAAAACAAGACTGAAAATATAACCTGAAGATGTTCAAAGAGAGTTCAAAATTCTAGCTTTTCCATATCGCAGTAGTTATGAGAATATTGCTGGACTTATTTATAGATTGTGGTGTTTCTAATGATAACAGCTCTGCCTCAGGGCCTTGAGTTTTGTGGTTATGGTTCTTGAATGCCTCACGGTCCACTTTCTGTAACCACATTTTATTTCTATTTCAGATAAATGTCATTGAGGCCAAGAGGAAGACCGAAATCCTGATGGCAGTGAGTTCACATTGGCAAAGCACGAATCACTACATGTTCAGATTTATATGGCTCACGATACGATATTATCACAATATGGTGATGATGCATGTGATAATCTATATATTGTACAAAATTGTATGTTATTTTATATTATGCAAAATTGACTCTTGTGAGCTTTAAGCCATTTTAGAATGTTGTTACCTTATAAAAACAGACCTGGAGTTGTGTTTTGTTTCATTCACACATGTTTGAGTAACACTTCATTATTAGTCTGTCAAAATACTCTGTTCCACCATGTGATGTCATGAAATGGTTTCATCCAGGGATGAAATCATCCAAATGATTCTAGTGAAGGAAACAAAACACAACTCTAGGTGTTTTTAATGAGGAAACAATATTACAACATCGACCAGAAAATAGCTTAATATGAAATACAAAATAGTTTAATCATCAAAACAGTGAATGTGTATTACATAAACAAATTCCCTTCCAATAAATAAGCAACTGTAATTGTAATGGGATCTTGAAAAAAAAAGATACAAAAAGAGATACCAAAATATCGATGTATCACAATACATCGATATTTCTGTATTTTTGATTTTTGTACACCTTTATTCAATGTCATTATATTTTGTGTGTTTTTGTTAGATATTATCTTTAATAGATGCGCAGGCCCAGTTCTTCCAGTATGGACACCAGTCTCTGTCTGAGTTGGATGACTATCGGCAGAAACTCAGTGATGAGGTAACGCTCATTTTTCAAACGGTCGTGTCATAAATCTTTTAGCAGTAGGGGTGAAGATTTCGTGCTGCAATGTGATAAAAATGACTTTTTTTTAGCTCAGTAAATATACAAAAAAAGGGTAGGCAATATAACCTAGATCTATAGAGTGGGTTGCACTGGGGAGGGCATCTGGAGTAAAACAAACGCTACATTCAGTTATGGGAAGAATACTTTGAAAATGTATTTAGTTTTAGTAGCCCAGCTGATTGAGCGTTTGTCCACTAATTTGAAGGTTGACTGTTCGAATCCCGCTCTTGACATTACCATCATCAGTAAAGTGGTGGTAGAGTCCCCTGACCCGTAGGTTGGCAGTCTGATTTCAGCCCCCACAGATGAATGCTGCTGTTGTTGTGTTCTTGGGCAAGACGCTTAACCCCCCAGTGTCTGCGTGTGCGTGTGTATGTGTTTGTGAGTGGATGAATATTTGGAATACTTTCACACTGAAATGCTTTAAGTTTATATTATAGTGCCAAAACAAGTGACATAGGATTAAAAACTACTTTTTTGTTTTCACACTGATTCATCACTGATTAGAGAAGCATGCTCACACCACAAGAGCAGTGTTCTCAAATACCACCATGTATTCCTTAGATTTTATGAAAGCAACTGCATTCTGAACACCACAAAGTTAAAGGGTAACAATATATGGCACTGTCACAGTAACAGTAATACAAGATTATCCCAGTAAACGCATTTTTAAAGGTGCACTGTGTAACTTTTCTTGTGGGGGGCCCGTCAAATGCTTTTCTCCGGGGAGATGTTGACCAAACCAAACCAAGTTACAGGTCAATTCTGTGGAGAGGCAGCATCGCTCACAATCAGGGTACCTGTTTTTCTAGGTATTGAATAAATGTAAGGTAAAACTGTTTAATGTCACAATGTGGAACATTCCAGGCAGAGCAATGGCATATCCATAGAAACAACCAGGAGACAGTATCATTAAAAAGCCTGAGCTGCAAAAAATAAATACAATAATGAACCCATAATTAGCCACAGAAGTGACTTATTCAACTCTCTACAGCTTAAATTTGATCGTATTACAACAAAAAAACTAAAATATTCCCACTTTTGCAAAGAAAACGTACCCATGATGAATATTGAGCTCCAAAATATATGGTTCTAGTTTTCATACAGCTTTTATACTGAACAATAAGTCTACATAGTAATTATCATGACAGACATAGTGAAAACAAGATTATGTAAGTTACTACAATGGACAGATCAGGTATAGTAGGAGCTGTGTTGTAGACGGGTCTTGGTATTTCTTGCTGGCAGACGAGCAGATGACATCACGCTGTCATGGTAACAGGAAAACAACAGGAAATATTTCACATGGCTGACAGCATTAGTGTGTCAGTGGGTGTGTGCCTCCATTCTTCAGCAGCAAAAAAATAGTATCACAAAGTATCACATGAAAAAAAATCTTCTTAAGTAAAAGTATTAAAGTACCTGTTTAAAAAGAGTATAAAGTAAGATAAAAAATAACCTCCAGCCTTTTCAGCAGTTCTCAGACAATAATAAAAAAAATTTCTGCCTGGAATGTTCCACAGTATGACATTAAACAGCTCTATTTTAAATGTATTATTATTATTATATAGTGGGAATGCCTTTTCACAGACCTGCCCTGTAACTTGGTCTGGTTTGAACTCCATGAAGACAGACAGCGCAACATTTCAAACAAAGTAATAACTCCACGGAGAAAAACATATGACAGAGCCTCCACCAGAAAAGTTACACAATATACCTTTAAGTGAAGTACAGATAACTACATTTTTTACTGAAGTACAGCTCTTTTATTTAGTTACCTTCGACTACTGCTCTTCAGTAACTGTGTAAGATATGTGCTTAGTGGACATGCGATGGGTCAGTGGCTGTGTCCTTTATAGTAATAAGGGTTGGATCGTGATGAGCTGAGCACTGAGTCTAAATAAGGGCAGGAAGTCAATGTCGTTTTAAAACTTCCTAATCCTGTTTCCTGAGGAGTTCATCACGAGGATCATAAGAGACTCTAAAATTGCTGAGTAATGCGATTTAGCTGAGAAAAAGTTTTAAAAAATGAACAACTGATTTTTAAAACTGACATTAATTGTTTCTTGGCCTTGGACACTAAGCTGTGATATTATAGTGGTCACCCTGCTCTTGACAGTTCATGTTAAGGTTATGTTAAGGTACACTTTATTGTCCATGTAAGGAAATTCGTCCTCTGCATTTGACCTATTCTTCAACCTGCCGGGGCAAACTGCACCACAGCATCTCTATGATCTTGTTGCCAGGCTTGGTCAGGACTACTTTATCTGGAGAATTTGACCTTTGCATGTTTTGGGTTGATGGGGGAAACTGGAGTGCTGAGGAAACCCACTCAGACACAGAGAGAACATGCAAACTCGCCACAGAAATGCCTGGGAGACCGCTTAGTGCATGTGACACTGAGCAAGACATTACACCACCTTGAATGTGCAGATGCATAAGCAGGTTGTTTGTGGTGGTAGTGAAGGTCTTGATGGAAATTGGCAGCCATGTTTTTGCCCCAGTACAGTGTAAGGAGATTTGTGTATCTTAAAATGCCCTATACAAATCCTTGACATAGTTTTATATATTAGTAACAGATATAAATAATGCTTACCACCTGTTGCATTATAATGACGATTTGCAAAAAAGTCACTTATTATTTCAATTTCTATCTTACAGTACACACAATTTGTCCTCAATTCTGCCCGAGAAAAGAGGGACATGGAACAAAGGCATGCGGAAATCAAGAAAAAGGTGATTTCCCTAATACTTTATTTTATCCTTTTCTCTTTAAAGGACCCATGTTACACTATTTTTTGATCTATGTTATCATGATGTTTCCTCATCAAAAACAGACCTGGAGTTTTGTTTTGTTTCATTCGCACATGTTTAACACACAAATTCTGCATATTTAGGCTTCTCTCAAACTGAAAACACCACCTTGTGATGTCATGTGGTAATACAGGAAGTGCTCTATTGTGTTTTAAAAACTCCATACACCTTCACTATGATCATTTGGATCATTTCAGCCCTGGAATTGGCAATATCTACTAAAAGTAAAACTAAAGGTAAAGTAGGCGTTGACTTAAAAAGTACTGCTTTGTGACATCATAAAGTGGAACAGAGCATTTTGAGCTTTGGAGATGTAAACATAAAGGATTACTCAAACATGTGTGAATGAAGAAAAACATAACTCCAGGTATGTTTTTGATGAGGTAACAGTATTATAACAACTTAAAACTCACAAGAATCAATTTTGCTTGATATAGGCAAACAGTTAACCCTTTTATTTAATTATTTTCCAGGATGTGTCCTATGATGACTCAATAATGGACTTCAATGCAGATGCAGCCAATGGGATTGCAATGGAGGGCTACCTTTATAAGAGAGCCAGTAACGCCTTTAAGACCTGGAGCAGGTAGAGCTGGCCTATATACGCTCTGTGCAGCTGCCGTTTGCTAAATTTGTTCTTAAAACGGGAACACAGCGCTAAAGATTAACTGTTTTTGTGCTGAACTTTAGACGCTGGTTTTCTATTCAAAAGAATCAGCTGGTGTATCAGAAGAAATTCAAGGTATAACACAGCTTCTCTTATATAAACTAACTGTTTTACATTATTACTTTATATTATTACAATATTACTATTGCCTCTACACTCTATATATAAGATTATCTGAAAACTCAAGAAAAAATACAAAATGGATTTAAAAAGCACATTTTCAGTAGCATGTGATCAATACGAGGGATCATGGTCCTGTTTAGGTGTTTGATTTAAAACAAAAAGGTGATGGTGACTAACTGAAAAATTGTGGCTAATTAGCTTTTGACTGTATTTAGCTCAATCGTAGTTCGTGCAAAATCAAATCTTTCTGGTCAGATTGTGTTAAAACAAAGATCAGATTAAGTCTATGTTGAATAACAGAGCTTCAGACAGAGCAGTGCCTCCAGTTAGCATCACACCTCCAGGGAATGTTGATAAAATCAGCTGCAAAGTATCAATAATTGAAGTAATTGTTAAAGCGTTAAAGTACAGTAGGAGAGCTGTATAATATTTGAAAGTCTTAACATGTATATGATTTCTCAGGAGCAGCCTACAGTTGTGGTTGAAGACTTGAGACTTTGCACAGTCAAACACAGCGCTGAAAATGAGAGGCGATTCTGCTTTGAAGTGGTTTCTCCGTCAAAGTATGTTAAAGTTAAATACATTTGTGCAGAGCATTGTGCACTAGAATAGGGACTAGAATCAGACCTGACCGGCATTATGGTTTGTTTGCACTGTCTGTGTAGGAAAGCATTATTTTTATGCTTATGCTTATACTTTTTGTTGGTAATATGGCCTATTACTAAAACTAAATACATTAACATATGGTCAAAAATATATAACATCACATTATTTTGCATTGGTACCACTGTAATAACCATACCTAATTCTTAATTCATAATGAACAAATTGTTTATTAAGAATGATTCAGGCAAAAATGACTCTTGTAAACTTCAAGCCATGTTATAATGTGGTTACCACATCAAAAACATAACTGGAGTTGTGTTTTGTTTCATTTACACGTGTAAGTAATCCTTAGTCTATCAACATCTCCAAAGCTCAAAAGACTGTTCCAATGTGAAGGTGTATGGAGTTTACAACACAGTTGAGCATTTTCTGTATTACCACATGACACATATCACCGCTTAAGAGAAAGCCATATTTATTTGTCTGTTTTTGTCATGTACTGTATAAAAATGAGAAATATAATAATGACTTTTATTTTGTAGGAGTTGTTTGTTACAGGCAGACTCAGAGCGACAGCAGCAGGCCTGGATAAGCGCGGTCCAAAACAGCATCGCTTCAGCCTTCCAGGAGAGACGAGAGGACGCGCACAGTCCAGTGAGTTAAACCTGTATAACTAACTCCTCACAGTGTAAACAAATCAACCAGTGTGTTTTATTACTATCATTAACACACAATAAATACACACATGACTCACCCCCTGCAAATAAGCCAGTTCAGTTTGTAAATATTTAACCAGACTTAAAATTCATAGTGTGAGTTAAAGCAGACATATTCTGCAAAATAGACTTTTCAGAGCTTTAAACCATGTTATAGTATGTTGTATTTAGAGTGATTTGTGGATGTTTGAGTAATCTTTAATTGATTACTTTCAAGTCGCCATATTACTGCCCACTACTCTGTACTAACTTCTTTCTCCAATTTCATTTTCTTGATCAGCGATATGCGTAGGAGGCAACAGTATTGCGTAATTATTTTGGCACAAACAAAAAAAAAAATCCTCTGCTCACTAGCGTGATCTGCTGCTATCCATCGGAGTTGCTAACTCTTTGTTGTGATGACATTTTGGCAGCATCAGCTCCCATTGAGCACCACATTTTTGTAATGCAGAAGTCAGCAGATTTGTTTTAGATCAATATTGCAATTTAAAATGATCCACGGGTGTCACAGTGTTCCAGTGTCTTTCTGGAAGGGGTGGAACTCAGCCTCGTCAAAGAGTTTAAATTCCTGGGACTAATGTTGGATCTGACATTGACATTTAAGAAACACATTAAACGCTTCACAGAAACTGTTAATTCTAACCTGAATTTTAGACAGGTAAGGTCCTGTATGACTATATGTGGCACAAATGTTCTTACACTCCATGATTCTGTCTCATATTTCACATAGTCATCAATATAGATGTATACCAGCATTGTTAAGGATAATAGTCAAGTGGGCAGCTACAGACTGAGCAGAGATTTTATCCACAACACGAATATTAGTATTGTATTTGCCTCACCCTTTTTTAAAAAAGGCTGTAAAATACAGAGAAAAGTCGCGTAAGTCAATAGTAACTCATACTTCTTGGGGCGCAGTTTACTCAAGACAAAATACAGACTTGAGTCTCTTATATTTTTATAATATTTTTTGGTTCTGCAACACTTGAATTAGTATTTAATAATATATGGATGTTTTATAAATTTGGGTATGGAGGGAACTTGGCACACCTCACTTACGAGGGATTTATTATTAAAACTTTAAACCATAAGGGACTGTCAGTGGATGGCGAAACTAGAGCCACAGCCTGGGAATCTTGGCGGTTGTAGGGTTATGTCGCCACTAAGTGACTTTCCATAACATTTTTGCTTTTCTGAGATAATAGCTTGGTACTCTCTGTAACTTAGTATTGCAGAGTAGCTACCTACAGTTCTAGGGGAATAGTCTTAGTTTCTTTCGTATTACAATAAGAGGACAGAGACTCCTCTATAGCATGGGAGTGTGGACCACCTTTCCCAAATGGCAACTTACGAGCAAAATAACTGGGACTATAGGCGGAAAGATCACAGAATCTTGGCGGGGATTTACTTGTGTAATCTTTCTTAGTTGTGGGGTTTAATAACACCAGTTAGCTTGTACTTAATGTATTTAGTTAATTATTTTTTTCTGTTAAATTTGTGGTGACACCTGCTTTGCAAATACAACGTAGGGAGACTCTAATGAAGCGCCATTTTTGCACTCTATAATAAGTATTTGGTCAATTTTTTTCAACTTACCAAAGTTGTGTTTTTGGAGTGGTAGACGTACAATTAGAATTCAATTACCTAATTAGTAAATACATGCACCATTTATCTGATAGTTATGAAATAGCAAAAGTTTGCAATAGAAGGTTCGCACCCTATATCTCCATAACGATCTGACCTGTAGCTAAGATGCGAATCGTCCACAGATTTTCTGTTCTCTCATAGAATTAAGAGGTAATGAACCATTTACAAGGATGTTTGATTATATATTATGACCTTTTTGGATTTTAGTGGAAAAATCATACAGTTATGAAATCGTCTCATAATTCACCGGGGCGGTAAGAGTGATATTATCATGACTATGATGTACAATTATATGTGTGCTCGCGTCAATATTTTAAGTGTAGGGATTTTGTTCTCCTTTTTATATAATCTGGGTGGGAAGCTGGCAAATTCAAAACACGCAAATGGTAATCTGCATTTTTATGGGAAATTAATTATGTTGTTTGAATATTAAATTTGTCATTGAAGGTTTTTATTTTTTCATAACTTAATATTTGCATCATTAGAGTTTTCAGATTTTACATGTCTGTATTTTTGCAGTTACTCTCATTAAATCAGATGATTAGAGCAATGGTGCACATATTTTAAATTTAGGATGAGGAAAATAAATTAAACTCAAAAAAAATTAGGGTTCTAACACAGGAGGTGGTCTGGTGATTGTTGTGGATATGTTCACCAAGGTACAGGGGTTAGGGTGAAGGACTGACAGCGTATGCGTTTCGAAGTATTGAATATGGCGGCAAATCGAGAGGGAGAGTGTAGTGGCTTGTCTTTGTTTGTAGAAGATGGGTGGTCAGAGAGTGTATGAGAGATTGAAGGGCTGTTTTATGGTGGTTCTTAGTGGACCGAGTCCTATATCTAGCAAGCAATGGGGACAATGAGCCATTACCCTTGTTGCTGAGTGGAGAGTAGGGCTGGGATCACAAATGTGAGTGGTGGATCTTTTGTGATCCTCGTGTGATGATATATACAACTAGAGTATAAGTATTAGGTATGTTCTTAGAATTATATTATTATCCAAATATTGTGTAAGAGCTACTGGTGCACCGTTTTGGGTCCGATCTTGCGATTATACTATTAATATGTGTGCTAAACTTATGGGGTATTTTGATTTTTTAACAGTGGTTCTTTATAAAATCTTTGTCTTTAAAAAGTTGTATATTTAAAGTTTTTGGAAGTAGTCAACATGGTGGGATAAAGATATTTTAATATTATAAAAGGAATTAGATCTCCATGGAAGAAAAATAAACATTGACTAAATTTAAAGTAGTCATTACAATCTTCTTACATTCCGTTTTTATTGACAGAGAGTGTACGACAACACTACACCTTCGAGTCATTTTTTTCAAAGTCCTGTTTTTACCATCTCAGTCAGCCACTCAGATTATATGAGGACGACCTCATTTTAGTAAAAGACTACAATCAAGTTAATAGTTTGTTTTATATGTATATTCTGTTTATATGACTAAGTTGGTCCATTTTTATTTCATATTAGGTTTTAAAGGGATTTGTTGGGCACATGAAAACTATTCACGATAAACTTCGTTTAAATTTACATTTACATTTGGAGGTCATTTTTTTAAGTGTAAAATTTTAATTTCTGGTTGGATTATTACATTAGATGGATAAAATAAGCAGGGTTAGACTATGACAATACCACTTCTTTAGAAGTAAATTGGCTTCATTTTAACTTACACCCAGGCTAATAGCAGGCATCAAAGCAAGTCATTAACAAGTTTGTATATTATAATTCTCATACGAGAATAAATTGTAAAATTGCACCTGGCATTATATGAGAATTTCGAAAAATGATTGAATCCAAAAAACTTGAGTTGAAAATTGTTATATGTGAACTGAAAAGTCATGTGGAATTTTAGATAGTCTCTTGTTATCCCACTTACCAAATCCTCAATTTATTACTATGCGATTTTATTTAATTTCCATTAATTGATTTTTAATCTAGGTGTTTATTAATTTAATTAATTTTTATAGCATTTATTACTATATTTTAATATAGTATCTTCACCTCTAGAACAGCCATACTATTTACTGTGCTTTCTACTGCTTTAACATAAATCACTGAAAGCGTATTAATCTCAATTTGAGATTGATTTAAAACCATAGATTGGTGAGTAGGTAAAGTGTTAACATTCCTCCCATATTTTTATCCTCATTCCAATGTGCTGATCCAGTTTTATTCATTTACTGAACAGCGGTTGTACAGAGGTTGGCTTTCCAAGAATGGTGAACAAGTCTCACTCTTGTTTAATGTGATTTCTTATATTTAACATTTTATTTTTGTTAAAAGTGTAGATCGTTGGGATGTAGGAACAAAGTTTAGATATGTTTCGTCACACTGAGAAGGTTAAGAAATTGAACTAGTTAGGTAACCCTGATCAACTTCGTTTATTTGTTTATTATTGTTTTGAAAACCTTTCAAAATTTTTAAAAAAAATCTTATTTTTTATAAATAACAAAATCCTCTATTGGCAAAGGAAAGGTTACACAAATAAAGATGAGCCCCAAAGAATATTGTTCCAGCAGCTCCATAAAATACCAGTACAAATAAGGTACACATAGAACAATGATTATCGTAATTTGATATCAAAGTTTACACCAATGCTATATATAAATAAGAAAATCACTTTGCTTGATTTTGAGAATCATATAATTATAATCTTATATTATTTTTAAGCTTATTCTTTAGCATGGAAAATGCTTTTGATGTTCTTTCACTTGTAATATTTTGTGTGTGTATGCTAGAACTCTTTCAGGTTAATAGGAGCCACAGATTCATAATTGAACAAACGGATTTGATTTGGAAATTATAAATTCAATGCAAAGCACAGTCTCACGCCATACATCAAAATTATATAGAATGAATTATTACTCATTCCACTAAAGTCCTCTTTTTATAGAGAGCTTTATTTCATATGGTTTCCAACTTTCTATGACTTTTCTCCACACAAAATCTATAGCATTCTTAGACTATTATTTTTTGCTAGGATTCAAAAACTATAGTATTTCTAACATCATTTACTGAATTCAATAGATACTTAAAGTGACCTTTCAAAATGTGTCCAAAAAACACCAAAAAACTCAAAAGAGTAAATTATATAGTGAACGCAAGTCCACAAATTAGCATCATCTGACAGGATATCTATTAAATTCTTTTTAATTCTCTCTGCACGACATAACTAAAGAACTTCAACTAGAACAATTAGCATCACTCCCATGATCTAGTACAAGAATTATTCTTTTAAAATGTTAAGAAAAAAATAGGCTTCTTAAAAAAAAAAGGTTATGCATTTACAATGATCTAATGATGATCCGAAAAGGTATATATATCTACGGAAAAATACTGATAAAAATATAAGAGGAGAAATTTCATCACAATATCAGACATCTTCTCTTAGATCTTTTTTATTTTGAATCAGCAATTAGGGAATATTACAGATTTTTATTCTTTTTGACATCTTATATCTAGTCACTTGTGAGTTGTAGTTTGTGTGTCTATATTTCTTGAATATAATTAAAACTTTTGATTATGAATTATTGCAACTTTTTTAGTTTGCAGGATGGAAGATATTTTCTCACTTCAAAAAGCGAATCTCACATATATATCAATTTAAATTTTTACAATATATGGTAAAGGTGCACTACTTAGTAAATATAAACATCTTTTATCCTGCAAGGAGTATACTCTCTAAGCAAAATTCTCAGACAAACTTGATCAACATACTATCTTTCATAACTAGCAAGATGGCTAGTCAACACTACCGTGTATTAATAAAGGTGCTTTCTATTTACAAATCTCTTAGCTTGTAATTTACTCTTTTCTTTTTGGAGAAGACCACTACAAATTATAAAAGATCACGAACCTTTCTTAGCTCATCAGAGTATAGTTTTCTCCAAGCATTTATAATTTCAGTTCCAAATCTTAACACCAAGAACTCACCAAGAGGGTGATTATTAGAATTAGAACATCATATTATGAGAGAATAACATTCACTGGCAAAGACTTAAATAGTCGTGCTCGACCCAGTGAGTGATATCGTTAAGATCCTCTTTCCATGCCACAGGGTAAATCCAGAATCATCACCATCATTCGGTCAGACCACCACCAAAACCCCCACCGTCAAAACCCTTAAAACCCAGATCCCTAATCATGGTAAGAGACATTATAAGAACAAACATGCCTAATTTAAGCCCACGTCAAATAAGAGGGATTTATACCACAGATTTTTACGAGAAATTTATCACGTTACAAACTAGTGATTGGTTACATTGGAATGTTATCTAACATTATAGCAATTGTTCTCTTTTTTCTTCCTTCTTTCATACACCATATAACACATTAGATTTTAAAGTCAATTTAGCTTATTTTATTTTCTATTTTTGCATTGGAATGTTCAGATAATGGCTGTTTCTAAACTCAAACCATTTTAGTATACATTAGAAAACAGTAGGTTTAGTTATAAGTGATCTACCTATTGTTTAAACACTTGCTGGTTATTAACAAACCAAGTCCAAAACTGGAAAATCCAATACTGTACTTAACATTTCATGCAATGTGATCAAGATACATATAGGTTCTTAGAGATACACTCAATCACTCTAGAGAACTATTTTGCCGTGAGTACCTAAACGATACATGCATCAATACACAGGCCACGATAAGATTACCATGTCCTTGCACCGACTAAAAGCATTATACTTTTTCTCATTATTGATGAAGATAAACTCACTGAAATATATGTACCCAGCTTCTTCAAGGTGCTCATTATTATATTGGCAATGGTTAAATCGGAAATATCCACAATTTAAACAAGTATAATTGGCTAATATCTGTGAATGTGAAGAAAACACACCAAATATATATAAACTTTTGATTGGATCAGAATTTACATTTTAATTATGACACTAAAATTCCTTTCTTTCTATCTCACCACTTTTTTGGTCGCTTCTGCCAAAACAGGGTTATTATAATATTACAAAAAAAAAACTTGACCCACCACACCAATATGGTATAGATTTAATCATCAATTTCCAACAAAACTTAAGATGCCGAAAAAACAAACTATGTTACTAAATTATTAAAATGTAAGATTTTCCATCTTCTCACCAAATTGATATACTGCAAGCCAACAACCTAACTGTAGCGCTGGTAGACAAAATAATTTTCGGTAAAAATATACCAAAAAAATCTCCTTAGCGATATATGATCCTTCAGTTTGCAGAGACTGAGCCCATGATAATCGATACTTAAAAGAAAAGATCGTTTTGAGTCTCATCATTACATTAAACAATCCCACCCTGATATATCGTACCTGTTTGAATTAATTAGCTTTCGAAGTCCATTATTAACCATATGTATCCCCTACATTCAGACTGTCAGGCGCAGCTTATGATCCCGATGACCTTGATTTCAAACTGGATTCAACACGAGCAGAGAGCATACACTCCCCTCTCTACAACTGTTCAAATATCCCTTTCTAATTTTATTCCATAACTCTAAATTAACAGCCCATGGTTTGTAAGATATTGTGATTTCTTTCTTCTACCTTGTATGTAATGTATGTCGAGAAGACAGATTATAACGTCGCTTATAGACAATGTTATCTTATTATAGTAGTTATCAAGATGTATTAGGCAAGACAATCAACGCTACTCTTCATGCAGGTTTGTAAGTTTATCAAGAATTTGCGTTTGATCCATGGCAACACTCATATGTTAGGCTACACTAGGTCCAATTAGGACTAGCTATCACTGAAGCATAATCACAAGCGAGTAGGCTACAATCGATAGCATCAGTTCATCGATCGTATATTTTTAAAAAAATAGCTTATCATTGTTCCATTTTTGTTACAGGAACTAATTTTAATTTTCTATTTAGCCTGGAAGTGGTATATGCTACATAGTAACCCTTTTATACTTTTAAATTTAGCTTTTCTTTTTCTGTCTATCATCATCGGACAGGACACATGCGCGTAGCATGCTTGTCTGAGTTTCTCCACTTATGCAAAATATGGGTGATTGGCTCACTAGAAGTGAGGTACGCTCTCTCTCGAAGGACTTAACAGCTGGATAAACATCTTCTCCATTATCTAGCCTTTGATAATTAATACATTATAGAGACATCCGATTGTAACTAACCGGTAAAAATTGCAGGTAGCCATCGATATTAATATTCACTCTATTCTCTCAAATTTATACATTCTAATTGTCGATTTTCTCATCAACACATCCAAGTTATTTTTTTTTCATTTTTACCACATGTTACACAACAAACCTTTGCAATAATTCTAGTTTTCTCTTAAACAAAACTCTTTTCATCAACTGGTGCAATGTTTACAATGGTGTTTACCATGTTAACATAGACTGTATAAAGAAGTGGACTAAGCGAGTGTGATGTCACCAGTACTCCACAGTACGCCACTCAAATGAAGCTTGTGACCTAACAGTTATAGGAGCAAATCTAGAGCCAGGGTCCATATTATGATTAGGATTTTTTTGACGGACAAAACGGCAGAAAGAAAAACACCAGGCTCATGTAGAGCGGGTTAATACAAACATTTTAAGACCAAAATGACCAGGCTCACAACACCAGCCACTTGTACAGAGAGAGGAGCCACAAGCCAGGGTCAGTAGGATCTGGAAGAGCCCACCTGCAAACTTCCTATTTGGAACACCGCGGCTAGCTCCTTAGCTATATCCATTTATATATACAGTCTATGGGTAATACAGGAAGTGCTCCTCTGTGTTTAAAATATCTCTTAACTTGTAAACTACTGCTTCATGATATCACAAGGTGAAAGAGAGCATTCTAAGCTTTGGAGATGTAGACAGAATAATAATATTAATGGATTACTCAAATATGGGTGAATGAAAGAAAACAACTCTGGGTATGTATTTGATGAGGTAACAACATTATAACATGGCTTAAAGCTCACCAATCAGTTTTGTGTAATGTAGGACCTTTAATAATATTCTGCCCAGTCTTGCACATGGTTAGGCCTAGAGAAACTTTATTGAGATCAAAATAATTCTTATTAACAAAGAGCTTGGAGAATTGTAAGCAAAACGTAAATAAGAAAAGAAAATGAGCAGGCTGTGGTATCAGCTATAATGCAAATTATTATACACTTATTATTATACAAAATGAAGAACTAAAGGGATTATTTAATTTTGCTGTGTTTTATTTCTATCTTAACACTTTTGTAGGTGTTTGTATTTATATTGGATGCTGTCAACTTTGGCTGTGTTTGAATCTCATTAATGTAAAAGTAATTTGAGTGTCTGTTTTATCCTCAGGCTGGTTTGTCTTTTCTTGAAACGTGGTGCAGATTACAATGCAAAAGACAAGAACGAGAAAGACCCCATAACCATTGCAGTGGACAATGCTAACGCTGACATTGTCACTTTGTAAGTACATTTCAACAATAAAATCCTGAGGTATACATATATATATTATATATCGACATAGTGAGCATGGGGGGAGCTTCGGGCTCCATCAATTCCATCGGCTCCAATTGACTTTACATTGAAAATCTGTCAGCGCTCCCTCTGTAACTGCTGCAGTGACCCTCGTCATTTTGGCCTTAAATGTCTTAAAACGATCAAATCTATATCCAAATCAGTACATCTGAAGCTTTATAAGATCTCAAAATCTGTGAAAAAAAAAAGTTTTCTTTTTACTTTTCAAGTATATTTTTAAACAAGTACTTTAATACTTTATTTTTTACTTGGGTGTTTATTTTCTCCAGTATCTCTACTTTTAATTAAAAAACTGAAAAACTGAATACTTCTTCCACCACTTATCCCTTAGTCCACTTCTTTATACATTCTATGAATCTTATCTACAAATATTAATAGCACATTTCTCACTGTTTACTTGTTTTCCAGGCTGCGGATCGCCAAAATGAACAAGGAGATGCGTGAAATGGATGAAGCATTCGGACACACAGGTCAATCCTCAGGGACAGGTTCAGGGGGGGTCCTGAGTGGGTCGGGAGGAGGAGGTGGACTTGGAAATACAAGGAAGAGCCTCCAAGCTTTTAAGAACCATATCAGTGGGTGGGCTCTTGGGGGACAAAGTGATTAAGATCATTACAGCACTACAACACAACACTTCTTGCACTTTGAATAAAAAGCTGCACTTTATAGCCACAAAACTAGCCTAATGGAGAGGGTTTTTTTTTTCTCTTCCATTTTGTGATTTGTTTTGGTCTAGTCGGTCCAGCAGTGTAAGCTAAATAAACAAATGGAGTTTGTTCTCAAGGACAGTGCACTGTGACAAAAGTTTTACACTGTTACCTGATGTTTTGTGTTTATCTGATCTGTGTGCTGTAGCCCTGAAGTTTAAGGCTACCTGGGTTTATGTTTTAATGTAAATTTTGGTGTTTTTTCATTCTGCAAAGCCAATTTTCCTGTGATTTCTCTGGCTTTTCATGTCTGTGAAATAATGGAAATGTTGCTTCTTGTGTGCTTAAACAAGTCTGCACTGCTGGGCAGTGTATGTTGTGCTGTTATCTTGTGTCTTGTCTGTGCCCTCTGCCTGAGATGTCCAAACGGCCTCAAATGCCTCTGTACTGCCACCTACTGCCATTACGAGGTAATGTCCATGAGCCTCTCAAATGCATGCTTTTTGCTTCAGGGCTGCAACTCAACCGTGCTTAGGAAACATCACGTCTTTAAAGTGATTTAAATTTACAGCAATAAAATTATAACCAATGATGTTTATTCTTTACAGGTGATGATACATACCAGGACATCTTCAGGGACTTCTCACACATGGCTTCAAATAACCCCGAGAAGCTGAAGAGACGCAGCGCAGACCCCAGATTCTAGCGCACATTCCGAGGCTGAGACACGGCGGCTCACTCACGGCTCACGGCGGCTCACTCACGGCTCAACTGGACCTGTGGGGCAGTGGACAGTGGATTCTTTGTGTGGACGGAACAGGGCAGAACTATTGTTTCCAAGTGGAAAGACTGCATCAACAGCACGTGTTTGTGTGTCAAGGGCAACGATGTGACATATCCGCTTTAAAAATGTACAATTATTTTTACACTCTGTAAAAGTTTTATACATATATTTGATGCATTTAAAAATTTCTGTTTTTTTTTTTTTTTTTTAATAAAAACTGCAAAGAGGACTGTGTTTTGCTTCATTAAATGTGCCCTGCAGAGGGCAGCCTAATATTGTTTTAAAACAAACCATAAGGTTTCCCACTGTAATTGAATGCAGAACTATCAAATTAAATATTTTTTTAAACATACAAATATACAAACGAAAAAAATATGTTCCAGGTTCCAAAGTGTATATGACCCATCGATCACATAAATCCTTTTATACAGTCTATGATATAAACTGATGAAACTGACAGATGATAGCGACAGGTCACTGTGACAAGTTAGTGACAGGTCACAGTGACCTTTCACTGTGACAGGTCAGTGACAGGTCACAGTGATCTTTCACTGATACAATATACAAACATGTGCGTAGAAAAACATGGTTCAACATGGTTTACAAAGTAAAAATATGTTTCACAATTCCCTAAGGACACAGAAATTAAACATATATTTGCATTATTACTACAGTAATCCCACTGTTCCGAGTCACTTTCGGAATACTCGTAACAGTAGTTCTTTTTCACATTTTCAGTTTCACTTTTTTTTTTCCATTGCGTCTTCAAACTCTGAAACGTTTTTCCATTATCTTAAAGGGCGTGGCTCAGGTGGTGGTGGATCTGTGCGTGAGAAGAAATGGGGCTGAGAGGCTAGTGCCAAGCTGGATAGAAGTAGAAAGGAGCCTGCCACCACAAAGGAGACTGTGTATGTCCCTGTGATGTCCTGGAGGTAACCTATGGACAGAAAATGCACATAAACATTGGTAAAACCGTACATTTATAAACCGTACATGTTTATAAACATTTATGACTTTGTTTTTAATTAGGGCAACACATATTTGTATTGCATTGAGTTTTTTGTCAGAAGTGAAGTGGATTAACTGATTTAAAGGTGCACTGTGTAAGTTTTTGGTTAGTGGTCTGTCACCTGTCACTGCTCTGCATGGAATGTATGACACTTAACAACTCTACCTTAGATTTATTCAATTATAAAAGCATTTAACTGACCCTCCTCCAGAAAAGTTACACAATGCACCTTTAAGTAAAAAAAAGAAAAAAAGAACTACGTTTTTACAATTGTGGCATAAAAAGGGCACCAACATAAGAAGGCAACAGAAATAAGTAAACTTCTTTGCTAATGTTTAACTGGAATGATATAATGGAACAGCACAAAAGATTCCAACTTGTTCTTCTCTGTAAATGTGTCCTCACCTGACAAGGGTGTCCCAAAGAGTCCCGCTCCGCTCTCGATCATCTGCAACAACCCCAGGGCCCCCAGCACACGCCCTAACCCCACAATCTGGGGCACGAAGGCAAAGGGCAGAGCCGTAAGAGCCCCACTGCAGAACCCATACAGCAGGCTGGACACCATCACCACATTGTAAGAGCCTGCCAGAGTGCTCAGGGGTATCAGCATAATAGATACCCCCAAAAGTATTGCCCAAGCAGTTAGCACGTGAATCATTCGGAAGTATCTCAGATCTGTGAACCAGCCAGAGAATATTCGGCCCACAATGTCTGTAATGCCAGCCCCTGAGACCAAAAAAGCTGCCTTGTATTCAGAAAAACCCACCTGGCGACCAAGTGCAACAAGATGAATATAAGGTACAAAAAATCCTGCATTCATAAGACTGACAGATATGACATGGGTGATGTATGGCCTCTCAAATAGTACAGGGAGCTCCAAGTATGAGGACAACTTTTGCAGTATGGATTGTGAAGCTTTGCTGTCAGGATTTGTCTGTAAAACAAAACTACAATGTAATATCATTTTATAAAGCTTGAAAAACCCATATTAGGAAAAACTGACTCTTATCAGATTTTCAGTTGTGTTATAATGTTGTTACCTCGTGAAAAATGTACCCGGAGTGGAGTGAAGTGTTTTGTTTCATTCACACATGTTTGAGAAATCCTTTATTATTAGTCTGTTTACATCTCCAAACCTCAAAATGGCTGTTACGCCTTGTGATGTTATGACGCTGTAGTTTTCAAGTTAACCGCTACCTTTTACCTTTTGTTAGAGATTGGCATCAGATTGAGTTATCAAATTATTCTCATGTGGAGGTATTATTTGTGATTGAATGTATAAAAAAGAACTAATAGGAAAAATGACAATCTGTAGATAAGTTCACTAAGGCTTGGATACAGTTGTATTATTGAGTGACATCAAAAAACTAATAAACTCCGTGGTATGTTATTTGTTATGAAAAACTTAACATTAAACCGTAGAGAAGTGATGGAAAATAGCAGATAATACATCACCTTTAAAAAACTAGAATACAATAATCATTCACATTCATAAAGCCTCGGTATATGCCATCAGCCAACTCGTGCTCTTACGTACTTATCACAAGTGAGACCGTATGCTATAGGTGTCTGATGCCACGACGGTATATCATGTTTTACAACGCGCATATGGGTGGACCTGCGAATATAGATGAATTGGCCATCGCTGTCCGGTCCCCAACTAACGATAAATCAAATCAACAAGATTTGACTGTAAGTCGACTGTAATTGTCGGCCCCACAATGGCTGATACGCACCGGTAGACTGGGACCAAAGCAGGTATACGCAAGTGAGCAGGCTGCGCCTGTGGCGAAGGTCCGAAAGTGAGGACCGCATCCCAATGTGGTCCTACCAAGAGTGCGATCGTACAGAGCCAATGATGAGGCCGATGCACGAAAAGTCACTGGCAGAGCCTAACACAGAGAAAGCTGCCTAATAATTGGCTGCTCTTCTTGTCCCAGCTTGGTCATACGAGCAGTAGATAGTATAGTAAATATGTACTGTGGTGAAAAGCGCGAATCGTCGAATAGTGAGCTGTATCTGCTCCTTGGGGATAGTGATTGCTTTGTCTGCATGTGGTTACTCGCGGTTAAGGATTAAAACTTTCTATCTCTATTATTGTGTAGTATGTATGAGAGAATAACAAACCCACCCACTCTCGCGTAAACCAGTAATACAATAGTTGCAGGTCAGGTTTCTGAGTGATAGGCCATCGCACCAAGCTCTCTAAGACATGTTTTCTCCACCTAATTAGACGGTGATGTTTCGTAAGCAACGGTTGATTTCAGGCCCTGAAGCAAAAAGAAATGCATTTGAGAGGCCTCACTGGACCATTACCGGTATTTTGAGCAACAATGCACCAGCCACATGAGACATGTAAGATGAGCAGATGAGTAAGGCAGATGGTAGTGCGAGGTTACATATCAGTTACTTGTGAGAAGCACTTCCATGGCCACAGAAGCGCAAATACATGTCGGCACAAGAAACAAAGCAGGATGACAGAGCATCACAAAACCAAAAAACAGAGCTAACAACGATGACCTTTAATACAAATAAATCACTGCCATAAAAAAGCAAAAGATCCGAACAGAACTATTATCAACTGGACAGGGAAGTAGGTTGAAAGCGCGCAACATACTGGTAGCACAGAGCCTATAGCTAAGCAACTAAATAAATCTGAAGATTATATTCAACAATACCTATATACGTCTGTCTTTAAACCCAGATTACGCTGAAGGTAGGAGATAATAACAAAAGTGTTACGCACGGTGAAGCGAGGTATTAGAGCACTCCAACCCAGAAGAGAGGAGTCCCCAACCCATCACCAACCTACTTGGCGTGGCACCATGATGAGCAGATCTCCTGACAAGAAACAAGAGACCACGCAGGGAGAAACACTTTCAAACACATCTCACACACAAACTAACAACAAAATCTAGATAGAAACCATTTATAACTTTACAGTTCGAGGTCTATCTCTAAGACAGCGACCACATATTCTATTTTGCTGAATTGTTAATACCAAACATCGAGGTAACAGTGTAAAAACTTATATGTGCTTCTAACCAGTGCGTGAACTTACCCTGGAGTTTGAATTAGAGAGATTTAATAACTTTCATTCATATTTGTTTTGTTCACTATTTTAGCTACACTGCGTGAATCCTGACTAGACCAAAATACTAAACTTCACTAGACAATGTGATAGAGAAAAGATTAGAGAAAATACCCTCTCCATCTTAGAGGTTCTGACGAATATCCAGGGTAAGTTGATGTGACTTTAAAACTCAAAAGTGCAGCGGTAATAATATTTTTTCCTTGCGAACATTGGATTTGACAAACTAACACGATATGAGACCTTATGGGTTATAGAAGTTAGCTGTTAATCTTGTGAAAAGTAGGTGTAGATCGTAACTTATCTTAATCACTTCATGACTCACTAACCCAGGCCAGAAACAAGAGTAGTTGAAACGACAACTATTGAGATGTAGACACGAGATGAATATAAATTGGTCTTAGAACTATTCTCAACATAAGCATTGTAGTGATGTGTTCGATGAGTCGTATATCAATCATTTATAACATCGCACATGTCAACATTAGCCTCACCTGGCAGTCAAACTGCGATAAACTACTACACAACTCTTTAACTATGCTAAACCTTACCCGCTCTATAAGTAGCGTTCAACTAGGAAGTCACTGAAACACACTTGCTGTGCGCAGATGCGCAATAAAATATGAGACATCGTAAGATTGGGGTTTGCAACTTTATCTCGAAGTATCTTCGACCTACAACCACTCATCAGAAATACTCGCTATCGCAATTAATCGCATTCTATGTGCGAAGCGAGAACTCATGACGCAGATCTAGAAGAAAAAAGAAAGACACAAGTAGAACAAGAGTCAGACAAGCAACACTCGAGCCTCCGATCTACATTAATATCCTTCATTAGCGTAGATCTATATGACACTCAATAGTATATTCTGTTATACATCCTAAAAAATGGTTAACAGATGGTAACAAAGAGGACGATAGAAGTGGTGGAAAGAATAGTAGGCGTTCAACCGCACACTTGAATTAATTTTAATTCACTCCAAGGATTATTAAATATTTGTGTGACTTTAGACATTTTAATAAAGGTTAGATTGATTGTGAACTAATGAAGAGTCACTAATCTACGGATAAGACGACAGCTCAAGCAAGGTTCACACAATGAAGAATTGAAGATGAAATTTAAGCTATTAAAGTACTTGTTTAAAAAGAGTGGACTAATCACCATTGTATAGACAACTAAACAAAAATTGTAATAAAGTGATCAAGAGTTATATGTATATTTTACTCCAGCATGCCCACTTCTTCTAGAATAGTTGAGATATCTACTCTGAATGAGCTGCTCAAGATGATTACTTCGTTTTGTATTTAGCTAAAGAATAACCTGTGGAGTGAGCCAGATGGAATGGGATACCTTTGCTCGCACAAGATTTTTGAACATGTAGACAATCTTGTTCTTGTATAGTGCATACCAAAAAATGCGCAAGCACAGGGTTTAAGTGGCACTCATACACTCGTGAGCAGCTATTCGACAGGCAAAGAATTAACAGCCTCCACGGCATTGAGCACAACCACTGCCAAACCATATAAAAGTTTACACATCATACACATCGTTAAATAAGTCTGAAGGGCTCTACTGGAACAGAGCCAGAGTACTTGGAACTGATTGGAGCCCTGAAGCCTCCCCCAGCTCAACTAATGTCGATATATAATATTATATATGTAAGTAACTATCTTACGAAAGTTTGACTTTAAATATGTAGACACACATACGTTTATCTTACTATATACCAACTAGATGCTAAGCTCACTATATTACGTGGGGAAATTGTAATTCTAATGTAACCGTTGAACAAACATTTGAGCTGTTTGTCCATGCTCTGAATGGTGTAGTTTGCATGCTGCTGCTGTATTTCATTTCCGAGAAATCTTACTCAGACATACTACCGTGTGAGAACAGCGGCCAAGACCATCGAGTGCAAGAGGCACACAGTAGAAAAACCAGAGTGATCCAGTCGATGAGTGCATGAGGCGAGGAGGCACCGTTCAGGGGACCAGTTCACGGGCCAGTTGGGGTGCGCTATCGAGTAGAGGATAGGAATTAGACCTGCCAACGCATGCTAGGCGAAGCACCTACTGCGCAACGCTCAAACACAAAAGTATCAAAGACACTGAGAGCCATAAAAAACATAATGTACGTCTATAAAAGAGATTGATATTCACAAATATACATGGAGCCAGGAACAAGAATCATCTATATACGCGCAATCTAAAATATATAACGATTGCTCTCTATCTCATGTTGTATAATAATCACGTGTATGTCGCACTAGAAGTGATATAGTTTATAGGACTCTCTGCGCAATCTATTAGGAGTAAAAGACACTAATTCTTTGATCAGCGCTTCAAATTTTATTTTTAACCCGTTTCTATATATCCTTTATTTTATCGGCAGATATACTAGCGTATAAACGTCCTAACCTCACACGCGCTGTTGATAGTCTCCTAAGAGATTAGCATTGTTATATTGTCTCCTGAGCTAGTTGTAATCCTTCTGTCTCACGCAACATGACTTTTGTGTCATTTTCTTCAACGATAACCTATGGGCTGGCAACCACATGGTTTTGAAACATAACTTCGAGCGCAGGTACAAATATGTAATTGATACTTGATAAAAGCTGTCATATCACAGTATAAAAGGTACTGCACACGAATCAATGAAAAAAACATAGACTTTTGAGGTTAGCTATGTACACTTAGACTTAGACAGACTTTATTGATCCGCAAGGGAAATACTTGGACATAGTAGCTCACTCATCAAAACAAAATAAAATAATGATAAAAAATAAATAAAAAAAATGTAAATATAAACATTACCAAGTTGTCATTAATACGTTATGCCAATTTATAAATAACAATACCGGTAATGTAATGCATAGAGTAATAATAGACAGACATATAAAAGAGACATTATTTAATATATAACATAAATTTTAATACCTTATAGTGTTTACATTAATCAACTAAAGATGACAAAAAAATTAAAGTAATATGATCCATCATCTTATCACTTTGTGAATATATGAAGCAGTAGTATTTAAAATGTATATGAGATATTAATATATTTATATATTATATTAAACACAGAGGTATGCACTTATATGTATATATTACCTATATAGATACTAGTATTAATATAAAGTGAAATAACTAATAGTAAGTATATCTAAGTACGGGTGTTCCTTAAATATAGTGAAGTATTATGACTAAGTAGTGGGCTATTTATATAAATTCCAGATCACTCATATACTAGATCATACGTTTTATGAGCTTAGAGGTGAACTATAATGATATCTACGATCTTGAGAGAAACCAGAGCTATAAATCTGCTAATGACATAGGCATGTGGTGATGTTGTTGACATCTGTTAAGGGAGTATTAATGAGAGTGGATGTCCTGTATCTTCTCAGTGTTGAGATCAGCTGTAGGTAGACAACTGATTTGGAGAATGTTGATCCTGTTATTTACCTCTGTCTCCTTAATAATAGTCTGGAATGGCAAGCTCGGGGTGAGCATGTGATGTTGTCCTATAATTTATACGACCAGTGTTCTCGTGTCCCTGCATGTCCGAGACAGAAAATGTATTCCAGCTCATAGAGATATCGATTAAAAATTATTGTGAACGGATCATTTTGGTTCTCAAGATTTCTTGCCAACATATTGACCTGCTTCAGTTACTGGTGCTGCTCCCCCAGCAGACACAGCATAACGTACAGACGTCTGGACACCATATGAGCTAGTGTAGAGAGATGACTCCAGTTTGACTTGTGTGACAAATTTGAAAATCGTAGACTCTGTGTGAGTGCATATTTCAAATGCACCCACGACGCATTAACTGGTGCCAACTTTTTATCAGTCTATGGCTTCCCTACCACCATTCAGCTGCTTTTAAACATGGTTGGCCAGTCTCCTTCCAAGTGCTATGGCCTCTAGGTAGTTGGGTGGTACAAGAGCTCCACTATCGGTCATCACCTGACCACATGAAAAGTCAACTGCGTGATCAACAGTCATAGTGTCCTTGGTTCTTGGTAATGTTCAGAGGCAAAAGAGATTGCTATGCCGTGACACTCCTAAAATATTTTGCAATGAGTGTCCTGTACATCCGAGGCTTTCTACATCGATGCTCGTGACTTTAAACAATCACCTGCAGATATAAAAATTGGAAACAAAAATAACTAAGAGACAAACAGTATATATATTGGAGCTATGGACCACCATATTAGAAAGTGATTGCTTGCACCAGTGCACAACATCCATTGAGCGCCTGCACATTGTACAGGTATAAATCAGATATAATTCCAGGAAGAGCAGATTCGGGAGGGATAATACTGCGACATCCCACACACTCCTGAACAAGCCAGTTACTACTCGCATTTAATTCAAAAAGTGCTTTGGATCTATGAGAGCATAATAAGAGGCACTGAAGAGATAGTTTCATGACATGAGATGTCAAAGCAGCTGGGTTCTGGAATCATTAGTAGAGGACTCCTACTGATTGGAACTCTGATATTTGCCTTTAGTCCTGCATGGTCACGTCCAGTAATGGCGAGGAGCCTTTCCCAGTAGCATCGGTTATGCTTAGTTCAAAGAAGCTTACAGCACCTCGGGTGAAAAGGCGATAATCCAGCAAGGAGCTTGTGCTGCGACTCTATCCTCAGCCACAAGCTGTCACATCATATAAAAACAGTGTGTTATAAGACAAACAAGTATGAACGGATACAAGTGATAACTATGAAGTTACATATCTCTATCTCGGAGGCATTTGTATATTAGAGATTGACTAAAGAAATTATTCAGTTTTGCTAATATATTAACTGTGGACTAGATAAAAAAGTAAACTGTATTATGATTATAAGTGATAATTAATAGAAATCCTTGTGTATTTAGAGTCACATACATTCATTGCCATCGATCAAACTAATTTACTAGGCTAATTGAGCACACATAGAGTATTTTTGGCTTAAGCTCTGAGGAGCTCAATCTACTATGAGCGATGGTAGATGATGTGCCTCTATTCAAATGTAGAGGGCTGTGTTTCCATTGTGGCTCACTTCTAGAAAAATGGAAAAACAATTACAAGCTTGAACTTGAGAGATCGGTCTCCACGAGATTGAGGAACAGGCATGAAGAGAGAGTAACTAATCCGGGTCCCTCACCGTCTCAAGTAGACAGCATTCGAGTGAGTTTTACGCGAGTGAGCACATTAACAATGTCTTACTGACGGTTTTAAAGCGTTTTAGAATATAAAGAATACAAATCTCATATCAATAACTGGTCTGTCTCACATCACTGGTCGCTACAACGATTCAAGAAGAAGAAATAACAACCTCCTGGAAATGGTGAGATCAAGGCAATTGTTAGAACGCGCATATATGTGAGGGTGATTCTACTACGGTGGCGTCATGTCTATGCTTTTCCGATAGAGTTTAGACAAGTTGACGTCTTAGCACCAGAGGGCGTACACTAACAGAGCGATATAATGTCCATATGCAAGATACAAGCCGAAGTTTTCTTCTCCGAACATACACTAGGACTGCTAGTTCTCAATCTCGTAATCATGCTCATCCAGCTCTTGTATGATATAGTAACAACACTCTCAGATTCCTCTTTTCGATTATGCCGGATCTCTCCAACAAGCATTCGCTATCGATCAGTCAGAGACGCACTCAGATACTTTGCTAGTATATAATTGCTATTTAGGTTGATGTATACTATCCTACCTTCAGTCCCATTCTATTTATTCACAGGCTTAATATGGTCTGTTTTGCAGACATTTGAGATTTGATATTGCACAAATTTGCTTTAAACTCTTCTATTATAAATGTGTCTGTGAATGTATGAGTATAGTCATTATCGTGTCTGTCTTCTATCTTGCCTTTCTTATTTCTTGTAGAGACACACACTAGCTATATTTCTATAAACCGTGCCGCATGGTGTTATGCGTACAGAATAGACATTTAAGTAGCAAATGAAAATTCTTATAAGTAGCTTCTACATTTTTCATGTAGTGACGGGCTATACATGAGTATTCTTAGTAGTTTTGAGTTGGTAGTAGCTCTTGATCAATTCATTAGAAAATTAACTTCTATTTGCTTTCACATTCTTACGAAATAAGAAATACCTGATTTGTTGATATCTCCGTTGGTTTCGTATCAGACTTGATGTCAGCACTCCACAGTGTGTCACAACTTTCTATCGACATAGACAAAATCTAATTGTCCACTTAATTTTTAAAGGGTGAGTGAACTCTCTTAAAAGTATGTTTAATCTCAGAAGTGAGAGTAAAGCGAGTCGACTTGACAAAACTCCTGTTTGTGTAATATAAGCTATACTCGCTATCTCCTACGACAGTCGCGTGTGAGCTGACGTGATCTGACCAATTAGAGGGGAGAAGCGCACGGGGCCTTTGAGGAGGGTCGAGATCTCGCAGTCGAAACACTTATACGACTTTCTCGACATATATGTTTGAGGCCCCTTTAGCGATTTAAGCCATTGGACGTATTCACGAACACGCCTAAGTCAAAGATACAGAAACGGAAGATAGACCAGCCGTGAAACTGATAAAACCTTCTTCATCGATTAGCAGATTTTTCAAGATGTGCATAGAGGATTATACTCGCGCCGAAAAAATACGGGTCATTGTTTCAGTCTCGCAGATATTGCATCGCTAAAAGTCTAGATACCTCACATACGCAGCAGTTTGTAGATTGAGTGAAAGAAAAAACATTTCGATCATAATGACACATGAGATTAAGAAACAAAGTCTCTATCAAAATACACACTCCTCACACTTATAGCTACTGTTATCCATAGAAAAATTCATACCTTGTGCCCTGGAGGCAGGGTTGCGCCCTCCTTGGATGTGGTATTCTAGGTTATTAGTGTTTGTTGTATCTGTGCGCGCGAGTATCTAGGTTGCTTGGTCCTGGATCATCGCGCCAGTAGCGGACCCTTGGCGTATACTTTGGAGTGTGCCTTCTGGACTTCGCTTTTGAAGAAGCCGCTGTTGCTGTTCAAGTGCGAATGACAGGAGTCGTTATCAAATTATACCCGTCTCCCTCAGCGACTTGCTATTGTAGAGTACATGTGCTGTTATTATTTCACTGCTCTAGCGAATTGACCAAGCTGGTACTTGATAGATGACAGGGAGCAACATGCATTGATATCAAGCTCTGCTTCATTTGAGAGCTCTCCCTGCGGATGGTAGATAGGAGCTATAGACATAAGTGGATTATTCCGAGTATAACATAGTTATAGATAGAAATGAAAGACTATAAATTCACAATTTACTTATGCAGTACTCAGTTTAAGTTGCTAAGATATAGTTTTGTTCTAAGCATTGCTGTTTATAAGGAGCATCCCAAGGAGTATCTAACTTTTGTGCTATGATAAGTTGGATTCTGATGGAAACCTTGATGAATAATATAAAAGTCGTTACACTAATGATAGAGAGGCAAGCGAAGTATATTTTACTGAATAAACTTTCGATAATTATGTTAAAGAAAGTACATATCTCTCTGGTCCTGCAATCAAGTAGAGATACGAGAAAGACCCATCCATAATCTCGGATTCAGTGAAGAATAAGAGACTTTGAGTAGAGAGCAAATGAATAATGGAATAAATCTTTCCAGCATTAATTCAACGAATATAAAGAAAAAACTAGCTGTATGGGTCTCGGTAACTGGAGGGGGTATCTGCGAAGCCACATATTTATCATTAGTGACTGACATCTTTCTCGCTTATTAATTTTCTAAATACTCTCAGGTATAATAATTATATAGTGAACAATTAAACTAATGAGACCTTTCTAAACCAATAGTTGCATGAAACAACATTCTTGGTACATTGCGATCTCTTCTTAAAACTACAATATTTAAACGGTAGCATTAGTGTCATTGCGGAATCCATTGGTTGTTTGATCTCTGAGTGTAAGGGTCCGAGAAGGTTAAACACAATTGTATCTACTACAATGGTGATAGATGTGTCTAGGATTTTCTTATGTCGCTGTAAATATGTTTGTTGCGATTACAATGTATTTATGTGCATCTTTTGTTAATCTTTTCTCAACTATTTCATAGGACGAGCCATAGAACAAGGTCATCAAAGTCAGCTATTACATGGAATAAAAATGACTGTGTATTAATATGTCCTTTAGAATAATAAGCAATACAAAGTCTGTATTTTAATGTCATGGTGTGTGATACATTTCGAGGGTAGGACCCATACTGATACTGATCCATCAACGATGACGTAAGCAGGTGGTAATGACGTCCGCAAAGAAATGATTACCATAAGTCGGCCATTCTCTCTCTGTTTGATACACTTTTAACTACTGTTCGATATACTCTTTCATCAATAATCGATACCTCTGCGACCTATCTTTATAAGATTCACCTCCGTACGGCTCTCAACTTTGCTTGCATCATTAACTTATTTTTTTTCATAAACATCCAGAACACTCGTCCTCTCTATATAAGATCTCGCTATATGACACTACTTTACAGTATTCTCGATTGCACTATAACCTAACCTGTCTCAACATCCCTAACAATTATCACAGAATACTTTAACAACTCGTTCAAACGCTTGGTCAAACAGGTTGACACTGGTCTGGCATCAATTTCTTACAGGATTTGCTAAGGAGCATGCCTTCTGAGAACGGCGAGTCGTAGTTATAGGATCTTGTCAAGTGATCTCTAGGTATTGGTTGAGTTAGGGGCTCGTCCACTATGGATTTTTTAAGGCGTAAGGTTTGTAATACAGAAGACAGCTTGGTTCTGTCTTCTGATGGCGGAATATGTAGGTCACACTATCTACGACTACAGAGGTAAACAACATTGGTGTTAGACTTTTTTACGTGGTACATAAGAAATTGGTGAAGGAGGGTATTTTATTAGGTTTATTTACGTCTTTTATTTCGTCTAATAATTATTTAATTAGTATTTATTCATATGTTATTTTTGATATTTGTTAAAATATAAATATATGACATTATATAATTTATTAAAAAAATATATTTATATTGAAAAGTTTTTCAAACAAAACAATAATAGCAAAAAACAGGAAATAAAATACACTACCAACTTTGTTACATTTTACATACACTATTATTCTATTCTACTATTATATCAACAAAGCACATTCCTAGTTTGTGACTTTTTTGGTTACTAACTTTTTTTTAACCTTTATTTAACCAGGAGGTCCCATAGAGATTCAGACTCTCTCTCTTATCGTTTATTATTATTATTTCTAGTCTTTTTGTATACTGAATATTTTAGCAGCTTGACCAGAAAATCTACCAACATTATGGCTAGTGTTAATATCAGGCTTGGTTTATGACATGATATTACAGCAATTACTAGGCGTAATTGCACATGAAACAAAAACTGGCTTAACTAGTTCAACATTTTCCCTGTCAGTGCAAATAATCCAAATTGAAATGATTTTTTTATTGTTGTCAGTTAAAAGAAAGATGTAAGATCAAAATGACAAGTTTGTGGAGCCAATCCCAGGCCTCATAATGACATAGTTCAACATCTGTGGATCTTAAGTTTGGATATTTCAATTAAAAACAGTAAAGTCCCCATCAGAGTCATACAAGCCCCAGCCTTCCATCAAAAATAACTTTGCAGCGACATCACGCTGGGGGTCTCTGCTTGTATGTCAGTGGTGGAATGTTCAACAGTTACCATGGTGACACAATCCACACATTAGTAAACATGGCAAGTTTTAAGATAGAGTGCAAACTCCAGACTATAGTGTGCAAACTCAAGTCTAAAGTGTGCAATCTCAAGACTATAGTGTGCAAACTCAAGACTATAGTGTGCAAACTCAAGACTATAGTGTGCAAACTCAAGACTACAGTGTGCAAACTCAAGACTATATATAAAATACAACATGAATTCAAACAGCATATTTTCACAAGCTTGTGATTAATTTGAGTGTTCATGCTTCTATTTGTGTGTTTGATTTTCAACAAAAGGTCAGAGTGACTAACTGGAAAACTGTTGGTGAATCCTAGCTAGCTTGTGATTGTAATTATATGTGTACGAGACTTATTTAACAGCACAAATCAGTTCACCTATTGTAGTTCCAACTAAGTCAGTGCTTTCAAATTGTGTTAAAGTAAAGCTCAGATCAAAGTCTAACAAAGCCTCAGACTGTGCAATGCTTACAGTTAGCGTCACACCCCCAGGAAATATTAAGTGATAAGCAGCAAAGTATGACTAGAAGAATACAGATGCTCACAGAGTATGGTTTCTCTCCGGTGTGGATCCTTAGGTGACTCTTAAGCGTCTGCAGGTGGCGAAAACGTGTGCCACAGGTATGACAGGGGTACGGCTTTTCCCCTGTGTGGATCAGCACGTGGGCTCTGAGGTGGGCAACCTGACCAGCACACAAAACAAAGGGTCAGCCTTAAAAAACATACAATTTAAAGGTCCTATATTACCATAATATTGTTGTCTCCTCATGAACATACCCAGGGATGTGTTTTGTTCTATTCACACATGTCTGAGTGCATTAATTGAAGCAAATAGAGATGGTAATACTGCATTTTTAATCTGTCCACTTCTCCTAAACTCCAAATGCTGGATTAGCACATGACATCACAAGGTGGAGTAGAGTGTTTTCAGTTTGAGAGAAGAGTTGCAGGTTTGTGTGCTAAACATGTGCGAATAAAACAAGACATAATTCCTGGTATGTATGTGATGAGGAAACAACAGTACAACACAGATTAGAAAACAATGTAAAATGGGCCCTTTAAATGTCTGTACCTGAACAAAGCGAGCTCCGCAGGTGTCACATCTGTAGGGCTTCTCTCCAGAGTGGATGCGAGCATGAGTCTTCAGATTCGCTGGGCGGTTAAACTGAGCTCCACACACATTACACCTATATGGCCTTTCAACTGCACACATATTTATAATGTAAGATAGTGTATTCATTTTACATAGGTAACCTGTGCATATGCCATTTTTATATTGTAGTCACCTGAGCATGTAGTCTTTGTTACTCCAGAGTTTCCAGAATAGCAATAAAAAGATCTTTCTGTCTTGATTGGGGGTTTGTTTGGGATGCCTTTAAATAAGCAATAAAAAATTTAGCACTTGCAGATTCTTATCTGGTTTGAATGGTGATTTGTAGCTACCTGCTGTTCCCTCCACGTGGGCTGGGACCAGTGCAGTTTTGTCCTCTGAGGTCGGTGATCCAAGGGGAGGGGCTCGGCCAGAACCCTCGTAGCAGGAGGCCCGCCCCTGTCTGAGAGATACATTAGTAGTAAGGACATAGACTACAACCCCATTTTGGTCATGACATTCTGTTTGTTTCTGTTTGAAGCATCACTAGTGCATGTTCAAAGTTACCTATTCATCTGACCAGGCACTTCTCCAGGCCACGCCTCCACAGGGGTCCTGGTTTTTGGGGCGGTTCTGTCTGCAGCGGGGAACTGTTCCTCTTCTTTAACAGTGTCAGTGAGAAGAGGATTGAGGATGATGTATTTATACTTTTTCCAATTGCAGGCTTTGGGGTCAGGGGTAGCTCTGGAATCACTCTGCAAAATGTGCAAACTGTTGTAGTCATTTTGATCACCATTTTAAATTCAAAGTAAAAGAGGAAACTGACATTTTAACCATACCATGAGATTCTTGTTGCAGGTGTTGGACTCAGCAGGAGAGCTGGGCTGACAGCTGGAGCGGGTAGGGCTGTCAGGTGAAAGAAGTATGTCCGTGTGCATGTTTGGCTCCTTTGACTCAGACTGACTCATTGGTTTCATGGAGTCCCCGACCTCCATTTGGATCCTGCTCAAAAGGAAGCAGAGTAATGATCTAATCCTGTCTGCAAACAATGGGACAAAACTGCACAGACTTGTGTCTGCCCCATGTACCTGATGGGTCCTGACACTGGGAGCTGGAGCTGCAGTCCTGGATGGGGCAAGGCCTTGTCTTGGACAGAGGTCACAAACACCCTGGAGACCGGCTCCAGGGGCACTCTGCTGCCCATGCTCTCCCTGCTAAAACAGAAACAGGTAAAATGTCAGCGTGTGCAAAACATAAAAAAAGGTGTAAAACATAAATAGTAGGTATCTCAGTAGGTGCTCGAGGTGGAGATCCTTCAGGACCCTCTGTGCTCACCAGTGCAGGATGAAGTCCCGGCAGGTTTCTGCCACATGGTCCATCTGCAGATAGGTTGCCACCGCCAGGACCCCAGGGGCGATGCTGGGGGTTAGAGGGAGCCGTGAAGTGTACATGAAGTCCAATAGCAGAGAGACACTGGAGGGGTCCAGAGTACTGGGCAGAGACACAGAGAGGAGCGGCTCTCTGCTGCCACTGTGAATGAACGCACGGGTGGAGTACAACGAGTAGAAGAAACCACTGAGGAGACAGGAAAAATAAGTCATCACATCTCTCAATGCAAAGGTTGTTGATGATTTGTGTATTTGGCTCTGACCTGCAGGCCACGAGCACAGCACAGTGCGCCTGCAGATGGTGGCTGCCCACCACCAGCGTGGCATCAGTCAGAATGTGGCGGTGCCTAAGTTCGTTCAGGTTCAGCAGCACATCTGTGGAGTGGCGGGTGAATTCTTTCACATATCCCTCAGCCCTGTATTCCTCCTGGAGATCCATGGTCACCTGTCTGTGAGAGAATGGGGCATTAGTGTGCTCCTGATATGCTTAGTAATAAAGTATATTTTTATGAGAGGAAAATTCTGGAAATCTACCTGTGTTCAGCCGTAAAATAAATAGGTGTAGTGTTCCAGACACTATTAGGTGAGACCAGCTCCCTACTCGTACCTGTGAAAACAATGCAAATTGTTAAATATATATGTTAAGAATGCCTCTTAAAATGCACTTGACACTTTTAAGAAAAGAAAGCATTTTATTCTTCAATAATATATCAAAACTTACCCCGACCAGCAGGGACGAGATAACGTTCACTACACGGACTTCAAACCCTTTGGTTTGGTCTTCCTCTGAAGCAGAGAGGCTTCAGTGTGCTCAGAGCGAGGTCTGAGGGACAGGAGGCTGTAGGAGCTCTTTATAATGTAGCACAGGAAGCCCCTGAACAAGCCTGGTTTCCTCTTTCCTCAATGGCCCACGCGCGCTCACTGAGGAAGAGCAGAGGAAAGGCCCTGCAGAGGGTCCGGGCTCCACATATTTTTAGGGGCCTATTAGTTTTTCTAAACCCCCATCGTTCCCAACAAACTAAGGGCAGGAAGGCAGAGTGTGTTTCAGCGTGTGTTTTTGAGACCTGTTCAACAAATACATATTAGGACCCCAAGGGAGTGCGGAGCATGCCTGGCCCTCAGGGTTTTCCCACTGCACCGCTACATGACTAAAGCCACAGTCTGAGAGGAAGCACAAGAAATGACCCACTGTGAATACACAATAGACAATGTTTATGGACATATTTCTTCTTTCATTTTCAGACATTTTGAACATCTTCACTTCTGTATTTGTCAATGGAGCACAACACATCTAACAAACATTCCCATCAGACCTCTATCTTTACAAAACCTCTTTAGATATTGCTTCAACTTATTCATTAAAAATGATACAGCTTGCAATATCTGTATCTGAAATATTGCATAATACTAGTACATAATACTCCCTTATGAGTCTTAGTTCTCATTTCTTATTTTATTTTGTAAAGGGACATTAATGAACATTTAAAATGTAAATATGTAAAGATTATGGCCAACGTGGCTAATTACCACTTCTACAGTTCAGGGACTAGGAAAATGAACAAACCAAGAGCAGAGGGGACGTGTAATAAGGACAAGGAGGAAGGAAGCACCAAATTGATGGTTGTATAAAGACACCTATTAGAGCACTGAAAAACAAGAGATATGCAGAGGACAGATGTGCAGGAACTTCACACACACATGAACACACACACACGTAAACACATGCACACACACGCACACACACACACGAATACATCCTGCAGTCCAGAGTCACGGATGAAAACGCCTGCACAGGACATCCGTCAATAATAAAGAGAGCAGGAGACAGCAGTAAAGACATGGAGAGGGGGATGCCACCAAGGTTGCTGGGGTCAGGATGGACTCAAAAACAGTTACCTCATCTTCACACAAGTTCACTGGGAACACAAACAGGTCACTGAGGCAAAAATGAAATATTGACTGGACTTCCTTTACATCAAAGTTTGGAAGGTGGAAGAATAATCTTCACAGATATGATGAAGGGAAAGTGAACATAATAATTGCTGTGGTTTTGTTGCCTGAGCAGGCAGTTCTTTCTACATTTAGTTTGAATCCAGAAGAGTCAGGAATTGGACCACAGAACGTGAAAAATCTCTGTCCAAACTTGAGACAGTCCAACCACAATTGTTAATCTGTAGCATGTAGCATGTGTCTCTCAAATTTTTTTATCATTTAGAAAAAAAAAACAAAAAAACATGTTCCTGAACAGAGAATGGGCATCTCTGATTAGTTAATCTGCCTGAATCCTCTGAATTCGGGGAGACAAGTTAGACATAGTTCCAGACCCACTCATCTTTGCTAATTTTTGTTTTTGTATGTGTTGTTTTTGCTGCAGGTAGATCATAGAAACAATTGTAATTGAATAAATAAATAGACATGTTTAATTCCTCACTGTGGAACAATCTAGCAAAAACAAGCAAGCAAACAGGTGGCAACCTTTACCAGAAAAGTTACATAATGCACCTTTAACATTGTTTTTGTATGTGTTGGTCTGTAATCACAGGCAGGCACTGATTATAATTAAGATTATTGTCTTAAATATTATTTGTTACAACATTCCACTTTATACCAAAAGTCAAGTGTATTCAATAACAATTAAATGCACAAAATATATCTATCTAATCATGGAAAACATTACCACTAGCAGATTGAAAAGTAAACTGTAACACCTGATAGTTACCGTTAGGATTGAATGACAATAAAATATAAGTATTTTCCTAAAATAACTGAAGGAAACAATATAGAGTTTACATTGTGTTTTGCATGTTCAGCTTTCTACCGTGGTTCATTCTCAAAGGTGTGTTACAACTTTGAAAACGTGATACTAGTGGAGTGTCTATCTGACTATGAGCATTTTTTTCATTATTTAGTTCCTGTAGCATATGTGAAAAATAAAAAGGAAAACAAGGAGCGAAAAACAGAGAGCCAATGGTAGGTCTGGTCTACTTCCAGGCATTGTGAGAGGAACGGATGAGGGGGGAGGCCGAGGAAAAGTGAGAACATTACTAAACAGGCCACCAATGGCCGGAAGCCAATGGGTCTGTCCCGCTGGCAAAGGGCGGGCATCTCATAGACACTTCCTGTCTCATCTGTCATTGGGCACAGACACCCGTCAGTCTTGCTAATTTGTTGAAGGTGCACTGTGTGACTTTTAGGTTTGGGGGTCGGTCACCTGCTTGTTTTTATGGATATGTCATAGCTCTGCCTGGAAAGTTCCACAGTATGACATTAAACAACTCTACCTTATATTAATTTAGTTGCAGGTAGTTTTATAGCTCAAAAATACCTAGAAAAAACAGGCTTCTTCACAGATCTAACAGGTAACTTGGTTTGGTTTAGTTTCCATGAAGATAGATAGGTTTAATAAACATCCTAGACAAAGCAATAACATCTCCATGGAGAAAAGCATTTGATGGACCCACAACCGGAAAAGTTACACAATGCACCTTTAAGAGTGTTTCATAGTGGACAAACAATCATACCTATTATGATGTTAAAAGTATTTGGTATCATTCCCCTGTTGTGTGGTTTCCTGGATCTCTGGACAGATCTACATACAGTTCCTCTATACAGCGTGGGCTGTGGCTTTGCTTTGACTTCAGGTCCCAGGGCTGGTGCCAAAGTGTTGATAGTTTGAGCAACAATAACAGATCGGCCTAAACTGTCCCTTCCTGTGATTGAGAGCAGAGTGACCATATAAGGCAAACGGAGTTGCGTCAGGAAGTGGGGATATCCCAGGGAGCAGAGTGGGTTGTTTATCTTTTTGGCAAAGAGACATGCGGAAATCCAAACAAATCAGGACCTTATAAAACTCTTCCTTTGAAGAAGTGCCTTTGGGAGTGCACTTCCAGAGTGGTGTTTTACTGAATAACATGAGGGCCAAAGGAGACAGTTGACCCACTTTAAGAACTGCATATTTCAGAGGGCCTCTAACCTGATGCAAACAGTCTGCCTGCTGTGCCAATAGCCAGTACTTCAGACTGGAGAGACATTAAGCTGAGCTTGAGTTAGACCTGGAATAGTCCAGTTATAGAGCTGGTTTGGATCTGATCGTAGGTCTACGTGATAAACAAGCACTTTGGTGTAGGCTCTTTGTATTTAAAGTTTGAGAGCCACTAGCCTTAGCCATCAACGCTGTGCATGCATCCACATGCTGTCAACAAGATAAACCAACAACAACCAGCTGATAACGTCTGACCTGCAGACACCAGAGACCCCCCATATACAGTATATATACACACTGTACTGTATATATACTGTATGTATACTGTATGTGTTCGGTCTATGGACCCCCCACCACTTCACACGCACGCGCACGTCACACGCGGTGCCGGGGCGCTGCTACGTCACGGGCGGTGCACGCGCAGAGGAGCCGCTGCTGAAGGCCTCTGTGCGGGACGAAGTGGGTTAACGAGGCTAAAGCTACACCGATCTCCTCTGGTCCACTTTCACTGACCTCTCTTTAACTGCACAGAGGAGTGCACCCAGAACTAGTGTCGTTTTAACATGGTAGGTGCCGTTTATTTCATGATTTCCTGCTCGGTTTGGTTATGTGGAAGTTAGCCCAGAGGCAAGGCACGGGGCTCTGCGCGAGTTCAAAATAGACCAACAATCACGTAAACAGACCTGTTATTACGCTGAATTAGCGCGCATTAGCCCCCGTTTAAGGCTATATTAACATGGACTCAGTGTCACATTTACACACAGAGCAGACCCACACAGAAAATACGATACAAAGTTATTCATTGAACGGAGCTGTTGGGTGCTGGTTATAGACTGTATGGAGCTGCTGTTGCCAAATAGCCTGAACTCATGTTGTATTGTGTCCTTTTCGTTTTGTATTGTTCTTGGTTTGTAGCAATCACTTTGTATTGTCCTTGGTCGGTAGTGATCACTTTGTATTGTTCTTGGTTTGCACTGATCACTTTGTATTGTTCTTGGTTTGTAGATGGGATCCAGGGGAAGAGGAGCGGCACCGTGAAGGTACAGTAGCAGGAGGTGGGACACACGCTAACACTCTTTCGCTGCAACTATCAGTCACTCTGAATCAATATTATTTTTTGTTCATTTCTAAATTTGCCCGGGGGAATGCCCAACTATAAAACAACATGGAGCCAAACGATGAACTACAGTGAGCAGTATTGTTGTAAACACCAGCTAACACAACCTTTTACACCTCTACATCATATGCTGTCTATGCCATGATGCATCCTGATGAAGCAAACATGAAAGTAATATCTTGAAATACAAATACACAACCATTTTGAATGAATGGGTCATTAATTTCATACATTTCATACATCATGCCTCATAAGTATGTAACATATTTTTTGGGGCATCATGGCCTGTTCAAAAGAAATAATAAGGATGCAATGTGTTCGTTTAACCGGATTCTGCGGTGAGTCGCTTAAACCAGCCTAAACATGTTCAGTATAAATGTACGTCTATGACAGTCAGTCTCATATTGTCTTCAAACAACCTCAAATGAAAATACAAATGTAATCATTTAGACAACAACAAAATCTATGTAGGTCTCTTCCTCCATTTTAATCCTCTTACAACAGGATTTATGGCAACAGCAGATAAAATCTGTCTGAGTGGTCTATTAATTTCAACCACTCTGTAATATTAATGTGCCTCTGTCAGACCTGTTCAAATAATTATTTTTTTAGAATTATACACTGCACTGAACTAAATTAGTTAAAATCTTTCATTAATGTCACGTTTCCTCAAAGAAAGCCAATGCTGAGGATTCAAATGTCTGCTCAGCTGCAGTGCTGTTTGTTTGTTTACTCTTTGGATAAAACATAATATATTGTTATGAGGCAGGTGTTGCTCAGCCCTTATTATCACATAATATTTCCGGCTCTGTTTTGTCGTCTTTTCATCGTTGGTAACGATGTGTAAACAGCCAAAGACAATGAGCATTGTGGTGGTAACATCAGTTGTGCAGCTGCATGTGTCTATGGAACAGTGTTTGCCGTGAACTCGCTCACATGGAGCATCTGGAAACCCCCTCGTCATGCCGGACACTCTCTTCCTGTTCTGCTGCTTATTGTTCCTCTGTATCCCGGTTGCCATGGGAAACCACAACTAGCATCCTCCGTTTCCAATGGTTACCTGTGGACACAAGCAGTAACCACAGTTACATGTTTCTATATTTTCTGAGTAATATTTCTCTTTTTTTTTTATTGTCAGGCATCTGAAATGTCCGGTCCCACTTGGCTTCCTCCGAGGACTGTGGACAGTCCAGACCGAGCCCCTCAAATGTCCCACTCCACAGCGTCTGCAATGTACCGCAGTGTGTCCGGTAAAAAGGGTGCCACAGACTATCGCCCAAAGTACAATCCTTATGATCAGAACGGAGGAGGAAGTGGGGTCCCCATGCGGTACATGGCTACTGGACCTGCAGGTGAGAACACAGAACAACTAAGCAGAAGTATTCATGGGCTGCAGCTTCCTGTTTTATGTGACATTTTCAAATTCATTCCATTTAGAAGATACGATATCCAGTTTATTGCTATGGTAACAGTCCTATATTTTTCATCATTCTGAAACTAATGGTTAAGAAAACATTTCCACTATTGAATTTTTGTAGTGACATGATTCAGCAGTGATGATTCATGGGGGTGCTCTATATGTATGTCTATCGTGGAATGTTCAGTAGTTAGCATGGTGACACAATGCACACATTAGCAAACACAGATTGTCTGAAAACTCAAGAAAAAATATAAAATTAATTTGAACAACATATTTTCAGGTGCCTGTGATCAATACGATTTTCAACAAAAGGTTGAGCGTGACTAACTGAAAACCTCTTGGCTAATGCCAGCTAGTTGTGACTGTGAATTTTATGTGAGAAACTTGTTTAACAGCACAAATCAGTTCACCTGTTGTTATTCCATGTACGTAAGCCCTTTCTAGTCAGATTGTGTTAAAATAAAGCTTAAAGATTAAAGTCTAATTGAGTGATGGAGCTTCAGACAGCAGAGCCTCCAGTTAGCATCACTCCCCCAGGGAATGTTGATGACATTAGCTGCAAAGTATCAGTTATTACAATTAAAAAGCAAGACAAAAACTGATCCTATATTGTTCACAAGGCGGGCCGATCCATCACCCATCCAGTGATCACTATCCCCCTTCACATGGTCCTAAAGATGATCGCAACTGGAGCCCTCACATGGACAGTTATGACATAATGGTAGGTTTTATTTTTAGAGCTACAAAACACATTTCATTTTACTTTTTTCATGCTCAAAGTTTCCAATGTTTGTTTTCTCTATTTTTTCAGCAGCGAAGTCCTGAGAAAAGTCATTATCACTCTAAAATCGATGCTGACATTGATTCTCTCACAAACATGCTGGCTGATTTGGACAGTCACCCTCACGATGCAAGCACACAAGTAAGAAGTCTTGCTCTTTCTCCGCTCCTCTCTGGTGTTGCCCCCATAGACTGTATAAAGAAGTGGACTAAGGGAGTGTGACATCACCCATTGAGTTCCGTCCCAATGAAATAAAGCTCACGATGCAAGCGGTTATAGGGACGAATTTGGAGATGGTTTCATACTAGGAATAGTAGTTTATTTACAGACAAAATGGCAAAAAAAAAACACCAGAATCACAGAGAGCGGGCTAATACCAAAACGACAGGTTTCACTACAGCAGTTACAGAGTTGATGGAGCCTGAAGCGCCTCTATGGTCATTTCTTGTTTAAGATAAGAGATAAAACCAGTCATCAAATGGAGAAATTTGTCTTGGACATCAGGGGCACAATACATAGGCAATACAAGGTACAGTGCTCAATACATTTCACTGACCAAGAGCTACACAGTTCACAGAAAAGAAAGAGCCATTATGCATATTCACATCCATATTGACTCTTTCCTATGTGACCATGTGCTTACTATGCCCCTGTATTTGACTTACAGCAGTTTCTTTTGATTCATCATTGAAACTGATCAAGGAATAAATTATACTTAAATCAGTTATGCTTAAATTGGGGCATCCTGTACCTTTCGCCAGAGGATGTTGGTTCATATTGGTTCTATTTGGAACACGGCATCTAGCGGGTTAGCTGTATCCTTTTATATATATTGTTGGGTTTCAGATGATATTCAGAACATTCTGTTGGCTAATAATATTTAATACAAATGAGGAGCAGCTAAAACGAATAGTGTTCAAATGCAGATTTTTATAATACAGTGAGTTCCTGGGTCTAGTCACTAATAGAAATGGTCAGGTTCAACATTTGTGAATATAGCTTTTGGATATTTCATAGCAAAGTGCAACGTTATCAATTGGAAAATCTGTCTCTTGCGCCCCCATCTGGGAGTATGACATTATCACCTTCTGGGATCTGAAAACCACCAGTATATACAGTCTATGGTTGCCCCAGGTTACAACAGCTTTACAGGAAGAGTTAATCAGCTCAACAACAGCTTTTGCCCCAAGTTACAACAGTCCCTAACCATTTTATTATCACTTCTGTTTGCAGCTCTATGACAATGTGCCTTACAACAAGTACCACTCAGGAGATCACTACAAACCCACACATCACTCCGGACCCCCTCCTCTGGGCCGCCCCTCCATGGCCTATGCCCCTCAACCCCAAACCCAGTACCACCCTCCTCCTCCTCACTACCCCAGCTCACATCAGCAGGACTACTATGCCCCCCAGTCCTCCTCCACCCCTAAACCCTACCCCCAGCCCGTCCCAGCCTCCTACACCACTGCCTCCACCCCTACAGGACCTCGATTCAGCGTCCAGGTGAAAACAGCACAGCCCGTGACGTACTCCCAAACGGGCAGGCAAGCGGAGCAAGCGTACACTCCTCCACCACCACGGCAACCAGTGACCCGCACCGCCGCAAGCTCAGACCGGCCCTGGTTGGTACCCGCCACATCCAAACTCGCAAGCTCCAGATCACCATGTGGAGGCTGGTTATGGGGCAGGAAGAGTTAATCAGGTGGCTATGTCCAAAAGAGGGATTGATAACAGTCAAACGGGACAGAGTGGCCCTTATCAAAACAACAAGGTACAAGAATACACAATATAAAACACAATAATCCAAAAATGTTTATTTTGTCTTTTTACATTAACTTCTTTGGTTCTTTTTAAAGGCAATACAGTAGTAGATGTTTTAACCACAATGGAATCCAGGCACTCCAAAGAAGTAAAAATCACCCAAGGAAAAATATATAGTTAAAAGGCCTTTATTTAGATGGCCAAAGCCAACATGTTTCGACCAAACTGCTCTTCATCAGGGCTTAGATTGACAGTAGTAGATATATTTACAAGTACATCTCCTGCTATATTGTCTTAAAAAAGAGATATATTTAGAGATATATTTAGACTTTGACTTAAACAAACTTTATTGATCCACAATGGAAATTACTTGGACACAGTAGCTCACACATCACTTTATATTACAGTAACAAAAAGTAAGAACTATAAAAATGGTAATAATTAATTTTAAATAAGTAGCAATAAAATAGTAAGGTACTGGTGTCAAATAAGGCATAATTATATAGATTTATAGGTACAAGTAGTCAAAAATAGTAATACAAGTAAAAAACAGACTCCTCTGTCCTGCTATCCAACCTGTCCAAGTACATTTCCTACTGTATTGTGTTTAAAAAGAACCCAAAAAGTTAAAATACAACATCATATTTTCATTCTAGCCCTGTAAATAATATTGTGTAAATAAAAATCTACATATTGTTTAGCAGGGGGCAGCTGTAACGAGGCCAGAAGATGAGTTGGACCGTTTGACGAAGAAGCTGGTATATGATATGAACCATCCGCCTGCTGAAGACTACTTCGGTTAGCTAGTGCAGTATTTAAGTTTGTCCCTCACCTTCTTGTCTCCATGGAGGTGTTATTTCTTTGCCTGGAATGTTCCACAGTATGGCATTAAACTATACATTCATGGAGACAAGCAGGCAATGCCACCAGATAAAGTTACAGATCTGTGATATGTTTATAGCTTTTTCTCTTCAAAGCAACATTCACATTGTCATGGAAGCTAAAAGACAACAGAGCCCCCCATCAAAAAAAAAAAAAAAAGTTACATGATGTAACTTTTAATGGCAGACTAACTAACTCTGATCATTAATAGATTTTTACAAATCTCAATTTAGCCATTAATCTGAGTTTTGGTTTAACACAATCTGACGCTTGAAAGTCAAACACCTAAACAGGACCGTGAATGCCCGTATGGATCACAGGTTCCTCCACAGACATACATGCAGAACACCCCAAGCGTAATGAACAGTGAGGTTGATCATGCTTCCAGTATAAACATTACTTGCATAGGCTCTAATGAATGTAACCAACAAAGGACTTTTATAATATTTCCTCAGACTTTAGTTTTACTGCTTTTTTGTAGTTTTTATACTACAATGGTCATTCTCACTGTTTGTTAGTTTTTGAGCCATTTCCTTGAAGAGCACCTTTTCAGGACTTTTAAGTAAGAAAGCTCTTACTCCTTCCATGTTTGTACCCGCAAAGTAATGTCACTGCAAACAGGGATGCAACTACATCAAAATCCCTTAATACTACATTTTCACCATATGCATGTCACAGTACGATATTTATTGCAATATTTTGTGGAGACTTACAAAATTGTGATTATACAGCTTTTTCCTTTTAGAAGTCTTGGTAGTGTTATAATATGGAGAATTAAGAATTAAAAGTGCTTAATAACAGCTATTTCTTTATGTAGTCTGCGCTACACAAACAACACCAAAGGATCATGGTCATGTAGTTTGCTCTGTTTTTAGCTATTGTTATATTATGGTAAGGCAAGGCAAGTTATAGCACAATTACACAAAGTAATTCAAAGTGCTTTACAGAAAAAGAAAGACATTAAACACACCTATAACTATAATAACTATTAATTTAAGCAAAGAGACTTGTAATTCAGTATATTGTGATAGCCTCCGATATTATGATCCTTCTGAGGATACTATATCAAGATATTTCAAGTTATTGTTACATCTCTACTGCAAAGTATCCATGAACTACTACAACTACTGTAACTGACAAATATCTACCTGTTGCTGTTCAGGCCGCTGTGCTCGCTGTGGTGATAATGTGGTTGGTGATGGCAGCGGGTGCATTGCCATGGAGCAGGTGTTTCACGTGGAGTGCTTCACCTGCATCACCTGTCACGCCCGCCTCCGAGGACAGCCCTTCTATGCCCTGGACAAGAAGAGCTACTGTGAGAGCTGTTACATTGTAAGTTTGTCATTTCATGTTTTATGTATTTGTAATGGGACAGCACATATTAATTTAATTAATTTAAATGTAAAAAATATGGCCAACGTGGCTAATTTCCATCATCAGTCCCTCGGCAGGTTGACGTCAAATAATCTACAGGACAGGGAAAAGTACAGCAACAATCACACAGAAATACATGTAACGCCAGCACACTCACTAATCACTAAACATACAGTTCATTTCACACAGTTCACTTGAAGTTGAAGAGGTCAAAAGTTAAACAAACAACCCCTCAAGATAAAAAATGTCATTTTGTTAAACATGGTGACATATTTGACCAAAGTGTCTAAACATAACTGCAGTGTTATAAAAAGGAAGTGAACATGGGGGCCACTTTCCGCTCCATTGAGTCTGGCTCTAATTCACTTTACACTGAAAAATTGTTGCCCTGCTCTCTGTAACTGCTGCAGTCAGTCGTTATTTTGGTCTTAAAATGTTCCTATTAACCCACTCTGTACAATCCTGACATTTTTATTTAGGTATTTTATTCAGAAATAAATTAACATTCCTGATATGGAACTCAGCTCCAAATTCGCTAGCCTTGGTGAGCTTCATTTAGCTGAATGCTGACTAATGTCACACTTCCATTTCTTTTCCATTTCTTTATACAATGGTTATAACTCAACGATGTGAATGCTACCTATGATTTTCTTTGTTAGTAAAACGATCATGAGGCTCATTATGACATTTGTTTTTTTTAGAGTACGCTAGAAAAATGTTCAAAGTGCTCCAAACCAATTCTGGATCGAATACTCCGCGCGATGGGGAAAGCCTACCATCCCCGGTGCTTCACTTGTGTAGTGTGTAACTGCTGTTTGGATGGAGTGCCCTTCACTGTGGACGCTACCTCTCAGATCCACTGCATAGAAGACTTCCACAGGTTAGACATGTGCAAAGGGCAATGTAACAGCACGATGTAAATAGGCCTGTCATGATAATTACTATGTTGACTTATCGTTCAATATGTATGTATGTATGTTTGTTGTTGAGGTAACAGCATTATAACATGACATAAAACTCACAAGAGTCAGTTTAATACAATATAGTACCTTTTAAGCTTACTATGAAAGTGATATAAATTAATTTCAATATTATCGCTTATCTTGATATTTTCAGGATCAATATATCACACATAAAAATTTGTTATTGTGACTCAATATAACTGTTCCACTCACACAAATGTGTGAATGCTTTGTTTTAATGAGCAGGAAGTATGCGCCCCGCTGTTCTGTGTGTAGTGGGCCCATCATGCCTGAGCCGGGTCAGGAGGAAACGGTCAGGATCGTTGCGCTGGACCGGAGCTTTCACGTCAGCTGTTATGTCTGTGAGGTCGGTCAATACATATTTTTACATTTTTAAGGAGAGACGCTACAGGTGAATAGGAATAAAATCTTAAACTGAGAGATATCAGTTTGAAACTTTTCCTGTAGTTCACTTGCATAAATGTAAGAAAAAAATGTATTACAAGTCCAAGTATTATAATATAATAATAATATATAAGGCATTTTATGTGTACACGGCTAGAGTTGATTATTTTGGGATGTTCAAAACAGAAACATGAAAGGAGCCAGGTTTAAACTTATTGCTTCTTTTTGTTGACATATTGTATACAAACAATATCAATCAGTCAAACTTTCTTTAAAAAGTGCTTTTTATACAAAAAATGTAACATAAAGTGCTTAATATACTGAGAGGATTTTGGACATATTTAGTATTTTAGTAACTAAATCTGACTGAAAATTTGCCTAAAATTTTTTTGTTTCACCTCATTTTTTGAGTGAAATCTTGTATAAATCAGACTTGGAATTAGACATTAAAAAATCCTTCTATACGTTTCATCAAAATCTTGTTAAGTACAAGATTTTAAATTTTCATGTATGTAAGTGCTATTTTAAGGGGTGAAGCTTATGTCCCAATGGGAGGAAAATGCATTTCCCATATAACTCTCTGGAGGCAAATTGATTGAATTAAATATTAAAACGCAGACATGATAATTTTGTTGTTTCTCCCCTAAACATGTATATCCAGAGACCAAACTGGCAAAACAAACAAACAAACAAACAAACAAAAAGTTTTGCCTGTAGTGTCTCCCCTTAAAGGTGCTCTGTATAACATTTTGGTTGGGGGTCAGTCACCTGCTTGTTTTTATGAATATGTCATTGCTGTGTCTGGAATGTTCCACAGTATGACAGCTCTACCTTACATTTATTCAATTACAGGTGGTTTTATAGCTCAAAAAAAACAAAAAAGAAAAACAGGCATTCTAAATGTGACGGAGGTCGCCTCTCCACAGATCTGACCTGTACTTTGTCTGGTTTGGTCTCCATGAAGATAGAAAGTTTTAATACCATACTGTGAAACAAAGCAATAACATCTCCATCTCCATCCATCTGACTGACCCTCCACTGGAAAAGTTACCCAATGCACCTTTAAACTGTATTTTTGTTTGTGACTTTATTTGACTTAACTCTTGTATTCCTTCAGGAGTGTGGACTCTTGCTATCGTCAGAAGGAGAGGGGCGTGGCTGCTACCCTCTGGATGGTCACATCTTGTGTAAGAACTGCAGTGCACGACGCATCCAGGACCTCTCAGCCAAAATCTCAACTGACTGCTAATTATAACAACATTTTTTCACTCAGTTCACCAGCACATTGTAGAGTGCCAGAAACACAAACCCCCTTTTTGCTTTGTCCCTTTCCCATGTTGTTTAATTACAGGGCCTATATTACATTCTATTTTCTGATATTATAACATTATAATGTTGTTTCCTTATCAAAAACATACCCGGAGTTGTGTGTGGTTTTATTCACTCATGTTTATCAGACTTGCCCTCACTAGAATTATTTGGATGATTTCAGCCCTGGAATAGCTGGTCTCTATTGAACTAATATTAAAATGAAGCTGTTAATTTGAAAACTACCACTACATGACATCACAAAGTAGAACAAAACATTTTGAGTTTTGGAGATGTAGACAGACTATTAAACCAGGCTTACCCAAACATATGTGATTGAAACAAAACACAACTCCAGTGTATGTTTTGATGAGGTAACTACAACAAAGCTTAAAGCTCACAAGAATCAATTTTGTGTAATATAGGACCGTTTAACATGTCACTTTAGCTCCCTCTGTTGGTTAGAACCTGCATTTTCACCCCTAGATATTTTCTTTGTTATTTAACTCGGATTCAGATCATGTTACTACAGTGGCCTGACCTGCCGGCAGTTTGGGGTCCACTAAATCACATTGGTACTGCTTAAGTAGCACAAGAATATTTTGATTGTTACTTTGAGAAACAGTTATATGAAATAGGAATGTATGACAAAATAATACAAATATGAAAGCTGACCTCAGTGACGAAGTGTACAAATCAAAACTGCCTCAACAATGTTTAATCATAGACTGTATAAAGAAGTGGACTAAGGGATATACCATTGTGTTCGGCTCCAGTCAAATGAAGCTCACTGAGGCTGCAGTTAAAGGAGCAAATTTGGAGCCAGGTCCATATTAAGAATAAGAATTTATTTACAGACAAAATGGCGAAATAAAAACACAAGAATCATGTGGAGCAGGTTAATACGAACATTTTAAGACCAAAATGATGAGGTTCACTGCAGCAGTTATTGAGAGGCAATTGGAGCCAGAGGTGATGGAGCCAGAAGCGCACTCATGCTAACTCCCTATTTGAAACTCAGTGACTAGCAGGTTAGCTATGTCCATTTATATATACAGTCTATGCGTTTAACTCAATCTGTGACTGTACTTGGCTGGATTAAACTCTATGGGAAGGATGTAGCCTGTTGCTGTGATGTTTTGCAGTGTGGGTAGATAAGACATGTAGACGCAATGAATGTGTAGTGAATTCATCCAAATCCTTGCTATTTTTGTTGTTTTTCCTTAAACATATTCAAACAAATATTCAAACCTGAATGTTAAACTGACTTGAAACTACTAGTCTATAAATAGGGATGTCAGGATTATTAGGTTAATTGATAATGTTGCTTATTCAGATGACAATATAATCATAAGAACTAAAAATTAATAATTGTGAGAATCATAAAAAGCAAAAAAAAAAGTTATTTCCATTGAATCTGTACTCAAGAAATAACACAATTAATTATGGATGCACTGATCCATTTTTTTCAGCTCTGATACAGATTTCGATATTATGGCTTTAAATTGCATTTAAGTAGAATTTATTTCCTTAAAATAAATAAATTAATTTCCAAAAAATAAAATAAGACCAAATGTGTTATGTAGCTGTTATTTATCTCTTAAGTTACTACAGAACACCTTTGTGAAAATATAAGTTCTAACATTAGACTTTCTGGGCCAACTACAACAAGTAAATAGTTTTATTACATCTGTTTATATGTCCCACTAGAATACTGGCTGAATCAATATTTGGAAACCGATATCTGATTCAGATATTGGTATCGTTGCATCCCTACTGTTACTGTAAAATTATTTTTTATCTCTCCTCAACTGTACAACTTGATCATTCACAAAGTCTGATTTCACAAACTGGTCACACAAAATGAAGGAGTTCACTGATGTTTGGTTGTGGCCTCAATAATCATGAATCATTAAAGTTTTGGAGTTGGAGTTTTGGAGTTTTTTGTAAAATACTAACACAACATTTTGATATTATGACATCCCTATCTAGAAGCTTTGTAGTTCTGTCAGAATTATTTTCAAACTGCAAATGTGTGATTTTTGGTTGATATTGGCTTGTGGCTGATACTTGACTGTTATGACATAAGGTGATGGTGCAATGAAGTTAATGCTTTTGTTTTTTTTGTTTTTTTATGTAAAGGAATACAGGGTGTTAAACAGAACATCCAGTGGAGTGAAGCTTGCATCTTTATGTGCCATTTAAAATGTGAAACAAAATAATTATTCACATACACTAATATTGCATTGGACTGTACTTAAAAGGGCCCATATTACGCCATTTTCTGATCTATAATATTGTTTCCTCATCATAAACATGGATTTGTGCGTTGTTTCATTCACACATTTTTAACACACAAACCCTGCTTATTTAGGCAGAACACTCTAAAAGCACACTAAAACAGAAAATCCCCTGTTTCACCTTGTGATGTCATGTGGTAATACAGAAAGCTCTTTTCTGTGTTTTTTAAACTCCATACACCTAACAAGAATCTTTTGGATAATTTCAGCCCTTGAAATTGCCAATCTCTGGTGAACTAAATGTAAAAGGAGCTGTTAACTTGACAACTACCGCTACATGACATCATAGGGTGGAAGAGAGCATTTTGAGCTTTGGAGATGTAGACCGACTAGTAATAAGGGGTTACTCAAAAGATGTGTGAATGAAACAAAACACAACTTCAGGTTTGTTTTTGAGGAGGTAACAACATTATAACATGACTCAAAGCTCACCGGAGTCAATTTTGCGCAATATAGGACCTTTAAAAATGTACAATTTTTGAAGATTATAATTTCTTGTACTGTTGACAGAGTACACCTTTATTTCCGTCCTATTTTATACTTAACTTTTTAAAGGGCTATACACCTCAAAATGTACCTCAAGGACACCTACTTTTATCTATATTTTTCCTCAAATCTTTCTCAATCTGTAAATAGTGGTACCCCTGCCAAACTGTAATCATGTTTTGATTTTTGTCTATAAAAGCTGTGAACTTGATATTTTTTTGCAGTGATTAAAGGTGCACTGCGTGACTTTTATGGTAAAGTCTGCCACCTTCTTGTTGCCATCAGGATATTATTGCTTTAAAAATGTTCCAGAATATGGCACTAAACATATCTATATCACTCTATCACTAAACACATCATTTATTGTTTTTATTGCTCAAAAATACCTTGAAAATATGCATTCTTACTGTGAGCGGGGTTGCCTCTCCACAGACCTGACCTGTGATTCTGGCCTGGTGAACTAATGTTAATGCCATACTGTGAAACTTTCTTGGTAAAAAAATGACGACATCTGGAAGAAAATCTGGTGGCGGACCCTCCAGCAGTTAAAGGTGCATTGTGTAACTTTTCTGGTGGAGGGTCCGTCAAATGCTTTGTTTTCTCCTTAGAGATGTTATTGCTTTGTCTGGAATGTTTCACAGTATGGCATTAAACCTTTCTATTTTCATGGAGACCAAACCAGATGAAGTTACAGGTCAAATCTGTGGAGAGGCGACCCTGCTTACAGTCAGAATTGTTGTTTTTCTAGGTATTTTTGAGCTATAAAACCACTTGTAACTGAATAACAGTAAGGTAGAGATGTTTAATGTCATATTGTTGAACATTCCAGGCAGAGCAATGACATCTCCATAGAAACAAACAGATGACGGACTCCCAACCGACAAGTTGCGGTACACAGTGCACCTTTAAGAGTGCAGTTTGTAGTGATAAAATAAAGACTGCAGTAACATGTTTTGCTTTCATTTATTTTTTAACACTAAAATTGTTCCCATGGTTACAAAACAACACTAACACGAGGTGAAAGTTTTCCAGAAAAAATTGCGACAGCCAGCTTTGCGCTCTCTCTGTGTCAAAGGGAGCTGTCTCCTCATCACAGTTTCTCGGATTCCCAACTGCTCCTCCAGCCTGGGCTCCACTTCCACATTATTCACCGCCATCAAATCTGACAGAAGCTGGACCAAAATCAGCTGCGCCAGATCCTACAAGTACACAAGAACATCAGGTCTACAAAATTATGAATTAAAACGGTTAAAAAAGGGCCCATATTTATTAAATTTTTAAAATCTGTTTTATAATGTTTCCTCACCTTAAAACATACCTGGAGTTGTTTTGTTTCATTCACATGTCAACACAACTCCAGGTATGTTTTTGAAGAAGTAACATTATAACATGACTTAAAGCTCACTAGAGTGACATTTGCGTAATATAAGACCTTTTAATTATAATTAGTTGAGTTTCTTACATGGTCTTGGATGAGCTCTCCTCTCAGTAGATCATTATGTGGTGCACTGCTGACTTTGCCCAGCACCAGAGATGACAGCAAAAACACCAAAAGTCCATGTGCATGCGCCTCAAACATCTTCGTATCAAACTGCCCTGAACGTCAGACTTCTCTCAGTGAAATTGAAGCCTGAAGAAATGCATAAACAGGCTTCTTCCTCTAAGAATATGCCTCTTCGTCAAGGCAAGTGAAGAATATGATTGGCCGAGGAGGGGAGGGGCTAGTGGTAGAAATTGTGAGTATATTTGATCAAGTAAAGCTGATAGCCATTCTGTTGTTTTACTTTACAGTACCCATTTCATAAAACTTGCCTAATCCTAGTTTGTAAGACATTATTAGATACAAAGTGAATGTTAAGAAAAATGTTAAATGTGTTTCATTTCATTCACACATGTTTAACCCTGCATATTTAGGCTGAGTTCTTCTCTCAAACCGAAAACTGTTCCACCTTGTGATGTCATGTGATGCTACAGTGAGCGCTTCACTGTGTTTTAAAATCCATACATCTTCACTAGAATCATTTGGAAAATTTCAGCCCGTGGAATTTCCAATCTCTACTGAACTAAATGCAAAAGGCAGCTGTTAACTTGTAAACAACCTTTTCATGACTTCACAAGGTGGAACAGAGCATTTCAAGCTTTGGAGGTGCACACAGACTCATAAACATGTGTGAAAGAAACAAAACACAACTACAGGTTTGTTTTCAATAAGGTAACATTATAACATAACTTAAAACTCAAGAGTCAATTTTGTGTAATATATAACCTTTAATAAAGCTACATAACACTGGTCATTGAGTCACTGCACAATTAACTTATTAACGTATTGTCCAAATCACAATAAGAAACAACTTATCAAACAATCTGGAAAGCAGATTAAAGGAATACGTATTGCTTTTAGTGTATCTAAAAATAGATTCAACTTTTTATGCGATTCAGTCACCACTAATTTCCCCTTGTTGAAATAATAGAAGTGACCTTTTCAGTGCGCCTTTCCACACCACAGGACTCTTGCTAATCACTGAGCCAAGAGTCTTAACTAATGAGATGATTTGACATGTAACATTTCGAGGTACACATTTATGTTGAGTCCACAGGCATCCAGCTGTGTGGCCCTTGGTCTTTAGAGTGTGTCAGAGTCATGGAAGTATAATAAGATTTAAAGGCGCATTCTGTAACTTTGCTGATTGAGGGTCCTTTAAACGCTTTTCTCCATAGAGATGTTATTGCTTTGTTTGAAATGTTTCGCAGTATATACAGCATTAAACATTTCTATCTTCATGGAGACCAAACCAGACCAAGTTACAGGTCAGATCTGTAAAGAGGCGATCCTGCTTACAGTTAGAATGCCTGTTTTTGTAGGTATTTTGGAGCAATAAAAGCACCTGTAATTGAATAAGTATAAGGTAGATCAGTTTAATGTCAAGTTCTTATTATAGATCCTTGGTCAGAGTCAATTAAAAGCATGGCTAATCTTTACCTTTAAAATTACCTAGACTATGGGATTTATAGATTCTTTTGACACCATTGTAAGTTATTAAATGAATACTTTGCAGCTGATGTCATCAATATTGATTAGGGTGTGATGCTAATTGTAAGCATTGCTCTGTCTAAGGCTTGTTAGGCTTTAATCTGCACTTCACAAGCAATGCATAAGCAATGCTTAGAAAGCGTAATAAGCATTATTATAGTGGTAAAAATATGCAGTAACATCCAAGATGCACTACAATCTCTTTCAGACAAAACATGTGATCCAGACATTATAGTATCATAAGCTTTGAATGTGACTTGCCCTACCTTTGATCAGATACCCAACAGGACTCATAAGCTGGTCAAAGGAGGAGACACAGTCCACAGATGTTAAGACACAAAAGCTCCTGACCATGCATGGAGGGTTCCATCCCAAATCCAGCACCCTGAGACTGTACGCAAGCCACGAGGAAGGAGGCCGAGGACTAGTGAGAGCCATTGTTCGGGTTGAAACATCCAAGATCCATAAGTACATCAGTGACAAGGCCCCAACAGATGACGTGCTCAGAGAATGTCTCAGACAGTGGGATTCAGAGGAAGACATGCTGGAGGGACCATCATGGCAGGACCATCCCCGAAACATGCGTACGACTGAAACATAACTGAAGTGGCTGATATCAAGAAATTCTACCAAAGTCTTGAGAGGGCTGGTCTGAAGGACAGCACAGAGGCACTCATGCTGGCTGCACAGGAACAGGCCCTGAGCACCTGGGCAGATCTACCACCTCAGACAAGACCCACGGTGTAGACTGTGCAAAGAGGCTCCTGAGACAGTCCAGCACAGAACTGCGGGGTGTAAGATGCTGGAAGGGAAAACATACATGGAGCGACATAACCAAGTGGCGGGCATAGTGTACAGAAACATCTGTGCAGAGTACGGGCTGGAGACCCCAGGGTCAAGGTGGGAAACACCTCCAAAGGTTGTGGAGAATGATCAAGCCAAGATCCTGTGAGGCGAACCAACCAGACATAGTTGTGGTGGATAAGCAACAGAACAAAGCTGTGGCGGAAGGTGGAAGGTCAAAGGTGAGCAGGGCTGTAACCCTGGAGGAGTGGCATATCTATCTATCTATCTATCTCTATCTATCTATCTATCTATCTATCTATATCTATATATATATATATATATATATATATATATATATATATATATATATATATATATATATATATATATATATATATATATATATATATATATATATATATATATATATATATATATATATATATATCCTAGAGTGAGGACAGAAATCAGTGTTGTAGTAATTGCCTGTGTCCAGAAGAGGGCGACAGACTTCTATCACATTATTGACTTTTTTTGGAATTTTTTTTTTTTTTTTTTTTTTTTTGCACACCACTTCCTCTTTCTTTTATATTTTATACAACATCAGTTATAGGACCTCCAAAGTGAATCTGAACAGCTGAAAGTGCATGTGAAATGCCCTTGTGCTGTGTCGCTATGTGGGAGTCCAATGGGGAATTTAAGACAACAATATTAAAACTATATTAATATCTTTGACAAATCTATTTAAAGATGTACTATTTCACTTTTCTAGTGTAGGGTCAGCTATGTCTCTATTAGCAGATGCTATTGCTTTGCCTATTATGTTCCAAAGTATGGCATTAAATGTATTCAATTACAAGTGTTTTACAGCAAAATCTCACCTTGAAAAACATGCATTGATGTGAGTGTGGTTGCCTCTTCACAGATCTTGCCTGTAACTTTGCCTGGTAGCTCGCTCAGTCACTTGTCTCCAAGGTGAAATACATGATTAATGCTATACTGTGCAGCATCCATGGTGACAAGCAAGTGGGAAAATGACATACTGCATGTTTTTTTTTTTTTTTTGTTTGTTTTTTTTAGCTTGTAATTAATAATTATTAATTATAATGGGCTAATATTAAAACCATGTATATATATATATATATATATATATATATATATGTTGAGCTACCAGAAAGCTATTAGGACACTGCAATTTTCTAAGTAGAGCCCGACCGATATATCGGCTGACCGATATTATCGGCCTATATGGGCACCTGTTTGCTGATATGGTCTGATATTTCACATGGGCATGTTATACGTCCTTATAAATCTTAGACTCTCTACATTATGTTAATTTAATCAACTTTACAGACAGATAAATGTCCTAATATGTGGCTCCACATCAGTATTTATCTGCGGAGTTATTTGTCTGTGTGTGTGTCCATACTGTCCCTGAACACACCCCCAGAGTCACGTCACTCATGTGCGCTTGTTTACACCCACAGATCCATGTGTGCAACACTGAGATTATATTGTTTTTACTGACAATTGTTTTGAGTCTAGATTAAAAGGACATTTATTAGTGCAGACTTGTGATGTGAGGAGGAGCCTGTGTGAGCGGTGAGTGTTGGAAATATGTCGACTTTGAAGCTAGTTTTGGTTCTTTCTCGGTTAGCGATTAGCTGCTGTAGCTCGCACACATAAATAGGTTGTTTTCTATTGGTCTATTGTAAAGTGACTGTATTGGCCATATATTTGTTACTGTACCTGCATTGATATGTAAATGAGCTGTGAATAGAGGTGTGAACTATGACTTTATGACATATAATTAATGACCGCGGCGCACAGCATTTATGACTAAAGGCTAATAGCGATAGTTTCTTTGCTAGTGGTGACGGGTCAGTCGCGAACGAAACGGCTCTTAGAGCCGGCTCTTTGAAGCGAACGACGGGAGCCTGCTCCTTATTGGGAGCCGTGTTTTCTCTTTCTCTCAATTTTTTTCTCTTCACACCACGTGCAGACTCGTGGTAGTTGGACAGTGGCTGAAAACGAAACTTTCGGAAAAATATAGTACTAATCTTTGGCTCGAGAGAGATAGAGACTGAGTCCCAACACTCAGTCCTGGTTCAGTTCTGGTTTAGTCCTGTTTTACACATGGTTTAGAACTGTTTTAGTCCTGGTTTATTCCTTTTTCAGTCCTGGTTCAGTCCTGCTTTAGACCTGGTTTAGTCCTGCTTGCAACAAAACAATCTGAAGAGTCGCTTGGGAGCCGAGAGAGCCGGCTGCTTTTAGTGAGCTGAGCCAAAAGAGCCTGTTCTCTAAAAAGAACTGAAATACCCATCACTAGTGTGCTATTAGTCCGACCTACTGTCTGTAAATATGACGCAAAGAGTCAGAATAACAATAAATGTTGCCTAAATAAACCCAATTTAAAATCCACTAGAGCCAAACCTAAGTTATTTAAACAATTCAAGATTTACAGTGAATTTTTACATCACTAAATATATCGGTGATTATATTGGCAGCTCCAACCCACATTTTATCGGTATCATATCGGCCGCAACAAAATACGTATCGGTTGGGCCCTATTTCTAAGTATCATAATTTCCACCACAAATAAAATATTATGTCTTAGTCTGTATAAAAAACTGCTAACCCTGTATTTTACATCTGTACAAACATGTTCTGAAATGTCAATGCTTTGTTTGTAGGCTACTTTCAGTCTTTTTATTAATTCTTCTGGATGTGTTTACAATGTGAAAGCTAAATAGAATCCTTGTCAAAAAAAAAATCACAATTATGTATTTTTTCCCATAATCCTTCAACTCTATTTCATACCAACAAAAAAATTAAAAGAAAATGTAAGAATATACACTTTGATCTGTACAGCTGAAAGTAGCACAAAACTGTAGATGCATCCAACTTCTTTACTTGAAAATTCTAGTGTCGTCGGTCATCTTGGGAAGGTTGAGGAGAAAGCCACACGTGACTTCTGTAGTTTTGTTTCAATATTTAAACATTTATTTACATTTTAATTGCAAAAATTAGATAACTGTAACTGTAAAAAGTCTGCAAGCCACAGACAACTATAGGCACAAAGTTCTTCAATCAAATCATTCAGTCCAACCAATTACCCAAAAGAAGAATATTCAGTGTACTTTTAAGATCTCCAAGCAACAGTGTAGTACAAGTACAATGGACAATTTTGCAGCTCATGTCATCAACATTCTCTGGAGGTGTGATGCTAACTGGAGGCCCAGCTCTGTCTAAAGCTCTTTTACTCAAATTTGACTTTAGACCTGAAGTGACCACTACAAAGGTGAGCTGATTTGTGCAGTTAAAACAGTCTCTCTCTGATAAAATTACAGCTAGAATTATTATTATTATTATTTTTTCCCAGTTAGGCACTCTCACCTTTTTGTTGACAAACTGAAAATCGCCTAAACAGGACCATGAACGCTCGTATTGATCACAGCCTCCTGAAAATGTGCTGTTTAAATGAGATTTTTATAGAATTTTCAGACTAATTAATTATTTTTTTGGCTGTGTTTGCATTGCGTCACCACAGTAACAGTTGAAAATTCCACCATAGGTATCAATACATACAATTACTTACTTCGTTGCTTATTGCATGGGATGTTCCATGGTAAGGCATTAAACTCGTCTTAATCGCATTTATTAAATTTCAAGTGTTTTTATTGCTCTAAAATACACTGGAAAACATGCATTCTTACTGTGAATGGACTCGCCTTTCCACAGATTTTACCTGATCTTACTGGCATCACCTGCTTGTCTCCATGAAGATATACTATGAGTTTAATGTCATTCTGTGGAACATTCTAGGCTCAGCAGTAACGACCCCATGGCGAATCATCCTTCAAAAAAGTGACTTCATGCACCTTTAATGGCCTGTCTCTATAGTGGACAATATAATTTCACCATAGTTTAGTTTACAGAGGAGACATTTTTGTGACAGGTTTTGTTTTGTGTGGCTAAACCCAGTAATTACAGAAATACTAACCATAAACCAGGTCAAAACAAGTGCAAACTGGTCACAGAATTCTCACCCGTTCCCATGTCACACTCTAATACTGTTCCTATGTGTCAGACTCCCTCCCATCCTTCCTATATCTCTGGAATTTAACTGAGATGAGAGCAGCTCAAATATCTCTGGTAAATCTGCAGATATTATGGTGTGGTTGGATAAATATAGTAAAATTATGAACCTTTACTTTTGGACATTTTTTGCCATTTCGTTTTTGTGTTTTTGTCTGTAACATATATACCGTATTTTCCACACTATAAGGCACTCTGGATTATAAGGTGCACTGTCATTGAATGGTCTATTTTCGAAGTTTTTTCACATATAAACCACACTGGACTATAAGGCACATTAAACGAAATACAACAGTTAGATGGGTCAGTCAGATTTTGTTTGGCTTGCACTCGCTTTTTCGGTTCGTTCCTCCATTCCGTTCCTCGTCAGTGTGGAGTGATGAGTGTGGCTGCGGGTGTTTTTCCCTGTGTGGTCTCTGTCTGCTCTGTCTGAGGGTGGTGCGGCTTTGTGGTTTGCTGAAGTCGTGCTGGAACACCCGAGTGGATTCGTGTATAGGGTGCTCTAGATTGTGGGGCACACAGTCGTATTTGATGAGGTTGGAGGCTTATGAGTGCGCCCTATAGTACGGAAAATACGGTAGTTATATCTATGACACCTGTGGATCATTATGTTGCAATTTGGGCATTTTTATTCGCGAGATTGGCCCACTTCTGGTTTGGAATATTGCGGAGCTGTCAGAACCTTCTATAGAAAATAAGAAAATAAAATTAGAGAACAAAATGAGTTCAGAACAGTGGGGGTTGATCCAAGCAATGATATCTTGAATACAGGAGAATAAAGATCACTCAAACATACACAAATCATTCTAAATACAACTTGAAGAGGGTAAATGAGAAAGAGAATCAACTATAGCATGGTTAAAAGCTCTGAAAAGTCAATTTTGCATAATATGTCTCTTTGAAGGCTTGTATGGTTGTAGTTGTAGTAGATAATAATAATAATAACGTTGAGTCTGGTCTCTTTAACTGGCCATCCATAGCGTGAAGGGGATCAGGAGAGCAGGCACCAGTGTGGAAAGAGAGGTCCCAAAGAAGACCAAAATCAGGATCCCGAGCAGGACTGAGGCCAGCAGAGTCCTGGGGTCCCAGACCATGGACTTCAACCATGAGCAGAACTGAAATATAAATAAATAAGTTAAGTTAGTATTAGGATTTAAAGGTCCTATATTACTCTTTTGTGTGCTTTATGTTATAATGTTTCCTCATCCCAAACATGGACTTGGAGTTGTGTTTTGTTTAATTTACACGTTTCACACACAAACACTACATATTCAGGTGGAGTTCTTCTCTCAAACAGAAAATACTCCACCTTGTGATGTCATATTGTAATACAGTGCATGCTCCACTGTGTTTTTAAATGCCATACACCTTCACTAGAATCATCTGGGTCATTACAGACTCGGAATTACCAGTCTCTTTTACTAAAGGTAAAGGTCACTGTTAATGTGAAAACTACCACTTCATGACATCACAAGGGGGAACAGAGCATTTTGAGCTTTGGGGATATAGATAAAGTAAAAATAAAGGATTATTCAAACCTGTGTGAATGAAACAAAACACAACTCCAGGAATGTTTCTGAGGAAGTAACAAAAAAAAAGTGTTAAATCTCACAAGAGTAAATTCTGATAATATAAGACCTTTAAAGTACATGACAGGTTAGACTATTCATTTCACTGCAACATAATTTAAGATCTTGCCTACTTTTTTCATTTTGGCATATATAGAGGTAATTCCACAGCTGTTTCCAAGCAACCATAACTGTAAATCAACTAATTCAGTTAAAGCAAATGACAACACCACTATTTGGTTAAGAACATTTTAATATAGAAAAAAACAAAAAAAACAAACAAAACCAAAACATTCCTTGCTATTGCTAATAATTCTGTTTAAGAACTCACCCCTACTTCCTGTATTTTTGTAGTTTTCTTCTCATCTTTTTTCTCCACAAATTTAACTGATGTAAAACTATGATAAATGTTTATTGCAGATACCATCCTACCAGACCAAGTTATAATTATTAAAATATGAAAACAATATCAGCACTTTAAAGGGCCCATGTTACACCATTTTCTGAACCATGTTAGAATGTTATTTGCTCATCCAAAAAATACCTGCACTTGTAATTTGTTTCATTCAAACAACACACACATAACACACAAACCCTACATATTTAGACAGAAACAGAAAACACTCTATTCCACCTTGTGATGTCATGTGGTCATGTCTCTACTGAACAAAAGGTAGCGGTTATTTTGAGTGGAACAGAGCATTTTGATCTTAAAAATTACTGAAAGGATTATTCAAACATGTTTGAATAAAATACAAGACAACTCCAGGTATGTTTTTGATGTGGTAATAACATTCAGCCAGTAACATGATTTAAAGCTCACAAAAGTCAGTTTTGGTAACAAAGGACTTTTAGGGAGGCCATATTATTTTGAGAATGCATCAAAACATTAAAGGAGCATGACATTAACCACATAATTGCAGAAATATCACTTTATACACTTGCTTGAGAGATGACACGTTTATGTCTTTTTGAGGTAAAATCCCATTTGTGATATTATGAATTCTATATCACTCTCTAACATCTCTATCTGTAACTAACTGATGCAGTGCTAGTTTAAATTTTGTGATTCAGGTAGACCAGCTAATATTTAAAGTTCTAGTCAGGAGAATTTCATTCAACTTTTGTCAATATAGTTAATTTTGTAAAATAAATAAATAAAATAATTTCTAGTTTTGAACTAAAATTGTAATCACTTTTCAGTTGGATGGACCTTGCCCTACGTGTGAGCACTGGACTTGTTTCTTTCTCTTAGAGAGTATTTTGTCTGCTTTATGGTTCTTTGACAGAAAAAGAATCGATTGCAAGGCAACTTGGAACTAAATATCCCTGTGTATGTATGGGGTCTTCTGTTTCTGTTTAAAACATGCCAACACTGTACTTTAGAAATGTAGTTTAACTTTAAATACAGATTATTTATGATTTAATCCTGGTTAGTCCAGGTTTAGTCCAGGTTTAGTCCTGATTTCAAACAGAGTCCTGTTGTCTGCTGGGCCCCTAATGATCCAGGTTTGCACTGATTACAGGAAGTAACTGAAACCTGAGAAATTCTCCATCCCCCAGTTAGTCCAGGTCCAGACCTGGTTTAGACCTGGTTTAAACCTTGTCATGGTCCTGATTCAGTCCCGGTATAGTTCAGTATTCTATATCTCACTTTAGATCTCTATATGTTTATAACTGCCCCAGACCTACTTCAGTGCTGCTTTAGTCCTCATTAGGGCTGTGTTTTGGTGAGTTCTTGACCTGGTTTCTGGCCCAGACTCTGAGGAGTCAAAGCGCCTCTTGTTAGAGTTTTTCCGAGTGACACTTTTTCCTTTTGGCTCAAACTGAGAGGGGACTGAACCAGAACTGAACCAGGGCTAGGGAAGGACTGAACCAGGACTAAGACAGGTCTGAAGCAGGATCATCACTCAAATAACGGGTTCTACACCTTAACAAAGACACTGCTCAGTGCCAGGGGCTGAACCAGCTCTGACGGACTCAAACAGTCACAACAATCCCAATCAAAGGCGCGTGTTCGTGCGCGCTCACCTGTTCGGTTTGGAGGCTGCGCGCGTGTCCGTAGCGACAGTGTGTGACAAAGTGCTCGCAGTTGTTCCACAGGAGGCTGTAGGACACGGGTCCGATAAGCCGCTCTCCGCGCAGCGCAGACTCTTCGCCGCACAGCGGAGCGCACTGCGCGTCTGCGCGATTCACGAGGATGCGCGCGCCGTACGCAAAGTCCTCCACCGAGTCCACACGCACACTCGCCTGTTTGGACAACACTCCTAGCAGCAAGCGCGTGTTCGTGACCATGCGCTGCACGCGCCACGGGTCTGTGGTCACGAGCGGCAGAGCATCAGGGATGAGGTGCGCGACGCGGCCGTCTCCCATGTAGATCCCGAAGTGCGTAAAGAGCGTGCGCGGCACCTCCAACAGGTCCCCGCGTGTGAACCGAGTCCACGAGACATCGTCCCGCCGCGTGCACGCCGCGGGCTCGCGCTCTACCTGCACGAGCCGCGGCAAAGATATTTTAATGTGCGCGAGCAGGAACAGGCGCTCGAGTAGAAAGAACAGCGTGTCCAGCATCACGCGCGTCAGACCCGGACTGAAACCTGACTGAGACCAGACCAAGACTCAAAAGTCCAGATCTGGTCCGGGATGATGGGGCGGGGTTTAAGTTCTCCTCAGAGGGAGAGAGAGTGAGGAAGAGAGAGAGACCCACTGAGCAAAACCACACCTCAGGACTCATACACTTCCACAGTCCTGAACCTGGACTAAACTAAAACTAAACCTGGTCTGACCCATCTCCTGGTGTGTGGATCCCTGTGGAGCCTGTGTCAGCTCCAGCCATGGGGGGCTAATATGGGCCTAATCCTGTTAATCTCATAATCCCACAGATCCAAAACTAAACCATAACTAAACTAGGAACAACTGCAGGACTAAATCCAGACTGCTCCAGGAGGCTGCAGGTTCCATCTTCGTTTGGTTTAGTCTGGTCTTGGTTTGGTCTTGGTTTGGTCCTGGCTCTGACACCATAACTCCTGGACACCTGAAAGAGCCGAGTATAGTTTAACAGTGTTTTCCTGACCAGCTGCAGGGTGACAGCCCCCCCACTGTGACCCATTCTTCTGCTGTTACTGTTTCAGCCTAAACCCATTAAAGCTGTCAATCAAACCCTGGGAGCCCCGAGGAGTAGACAGGAGCAGACAGGGGCAGAGTCAGAGGAGCAGACAGGAGCAGACAGGAGCAGACAGGAGCAGCAGTCAGGAGCAGAGTCAGAGGAGCAGACAGGAGCAGACAGGAGCAGACAGGAGCAGTCAGGAGCAGAGTCAGAGGAGCAGACAGGAGCAGTCAGGAGCAGAGTCAGAGGAGCAGACAGGAGCAGACAGGAGCAGACAGGAGCAGTCAGGAGCAGACAAAAGTAGACAGGAACAAGGAGGAGAAGTTAAATACCCTGGTAAAGACAGTTTTATTACACCAGTGTATTGGAAAAATATACTGATATACAAAATATACATGATTTTTGATTTCCAACTACAAACATTCTTAAAGATTCAATAAGACAACATCAAATTTGAAACAAAGTTAAAATTGCAGAAAACTGGAGAAAACTCAAGACACAAGAACTGGTTTTAGTCTAAATAAATCATTTAACAGAATTTACATTGACCCAAACTATGCACTTAATACATTTGATGAAGGATTTTGTTAAATAAAAAAGATATTTTAAAAAATCTGTTAAATGTTGTTTTAGAGAACCTGAAAATGACAAAAAGTTCTTTATAATCGAAGCTGACAATGCAGATACTACAAGAAAAATGGTGTTTTGATGTTCAATGTTAAAAAATGAGACGCAATTAATAATGTTTTCAGACAGTTGGACAAAGACATGACAAATGACGTGACAAAAAAAAAAAAAAAAAAATGTAGTCAACAGAATTTGCCATTTAAATTTAGGACATTTTAATGTGACCAAGATTTGTATTTTCACGTGAACGCAGAAATGTTGTTGTTTAGGAGTTAAAAATGTCACAAAAAATGCTGTAAACCGAAACAAAGCTACGTCGATTTGATAAATGGCTCCAGACGCCGAGGATTGTGGGAACAAAGTGACGAATGACCCAAAACATGAATGGAATATGCAAATGAAACATCACCATGGAAACCAGGATGAGGAATGGGTTAAAGTTAGACCTGGTTTAGTCTTGATTTGGATCCAGTTTAGTCCCATTTTTTCCTGGTTTAGTCTTGGTTCTGGCCAATAGTCCTAGTCCTGGTTTAGTCCTAGTTTAAACCCAACCTAAACTACTAGTACGATGATGATGACTACTACCACTACTGCTACTACTATTACTACTACTACTACTACTACTACTACTACTACTACAGTCATGGTATAGTCACAGTTCAGTTCAGTAGTCTAGTTTAGTCCAGGTTTAGTCTTACTTTCAGGTTTTTCTGGTTTAGGCTTGGTTCTGTCCATTAGTCCTAGTTCCTGGTTTAATCCTAGTTTAAACCCAACCTAAACTACTACTACTACTACTACTACTACTACTACCACTACTACAGTCATGGAATAGTCCCAATTCAGTTCAGTAGACTAGTTTAGTCCAGGTTTAGTCTTACTTTCAGGTTTTCCCTGTTTAGTCTTGGTTTAGTTCTAGTTTAAACCCAACCTAAACTACTACTACTACTACTAGTACTACTACTACTACTATTACTATTACTACTACTACTACTACAGTCATAGTATAGTCCCAGTTCAGTTCAGTGATCCAGTCCTGGGTCTTGGTATAGTTCTGATGTAGTCCTGAGTTACCTTACGTTGTCCATGTGGTACAGAAACAGATGAAGAAAGTGCTCCACTGTGTTTTAAAAGTCCGCACATCTTCACTACAGTCATTTGGAGAATTTTGGAGAATGCAGCCCTGGAACTTTCCAGTCTCTTGAAAACGATCATTTCATAGCGTCACAGTGGAACAGAGCAGCTTTTAGACTGAGTAATAATAAAGGGTTACTCAAATTTGTGTGAATAAAACAAAACACAACTCCTCCAGGTTTGTTTTTGAGGAGGTAATAACATTCTAACATGGCCAGAAGCTCACAAGAGTCAATTTTGCATAGGTAATAGGACCTTTAAGTAAAATACCGCATAATGCACACAGGGATACTGGCTCATGCTCCATCTTGCAGGATTGGGGTCAGATTGGGGCCTGTGACCTTTGACCTTCAGTAGAGGTGACTGTTTTGGCAGGTTGGCATTGACAGGAAGAGCAGGCGTCGTTAGCCTCGTTAGCGTCTGGGGCATTATAGTTCTGTGGTCTGGGGTCATGTTAGCGACAACGTGCTAACAGCTGTCGACGAGTGTTTTCATGCCAGACACATTCTCTCAGCCCTGGACAGACATACTACTACTACTACTACTACTACTACTACTACTATTACTACTATTACTACTACTACTACTACTACTACTACTACTACTGATATTATTATTATTACTACTACTACTACTATTACTACTACTGCTACTATTATTACGACTACTACTACAACAACTACTACTACTACTATTACTACTACTACCATTATTATCACTACTACTACAACATAAAATTTAGTTGTTTTTCTTATGGTAATAGTTTCTTATTTAACATAACAACAACTACTACTACTATTATTACTACTACTACTACAACTACTGTTACTACTATATATATATATACATACATACATATACATATATAATATTTTAGTTCAAGCAACATAAAATTTAGTTGTTTTTCTTATGGTAATAGTTTCTTATTTAGCATAACAAGATGTATTTATCCTTTTTAAGTACAATATGTCTTGTTACATTGGTAAATACTTATTGTGAAAGTGAAATGTATTCTGCTACTACTACTACTTATATTTAGGTAAGTTCAAATTACTTAAAGACATTTTAGCTGATTTGAGTAGATTCAACTTGAAATTATCTACCAGTGGCATAAAATTCAAGCAACACAAGATTTCATTTCTTATTTTAAGGGCAAAGGGTTGTTATTTTTCTAATCTAGTTGTAGTTTCTTATTTAGTTTAGCGTAACAAGATGATTTTACCCATCTTAATTTCAAAATTTTCATTGGTAGATACTTTTACTTGTCACGTGAAATTTATTCAACTCAAGACTCAACACTTTCTTATTTCAAGTAATGATTTGAGTAGGTTCAACTTGAAATGATCTACCAGTGGAATAAGTTCAAAATACATTAAGAACATTTTACATGATTTGATGATTTGAGCCGATGCAATTTGACAAGTAAAATTATATAGATTTAATTTCTCATATTAAGGGCAAAATGTTTTTCCGTTTTCATATCTATGTAGTTGTAGTTTCTTATCTTATTTCACGTAACACGATGTATTTTACTTTATTAAGTACAAAATGTCCAGTTCCATTGGTGGAAACTTTTACATGTCAGATTTATTCAACTCAAGATAAAATTACTTGAATTAGGAAAATGTTAACTTGGCTAGATTTTACTTTTTGCCATGTACTACTACTACAACCAGTACCAGTAGTTTTTAGGCCCAGTTTAGGAAGTTTTGGCTAGCATCTTTCATTTATACTTGATATTACATTTAAAATATCCTGATAAAATATTCAGTCAATTTAATTCAATTCAACTTTGCTTCACAACATTACACCCATGAAAATTACAAAGGGATATTTAAAAAACAAAACAAAAACAAAACTCAAAAAGCTCAAACCAATATTCTGGATTCAGCTAATTTACTTCAAGTACAGTTGATGTTTTTGTTTTATTTTTGCAGTGTACAAGTTTTGATAACGTCATAAAAAATGCACATAATTAGTGTTTAAAAAATCATATTTATTTAACATAGTTTCTTTACAGTTAGTTCAATCATAAACAATGAGAATGATTCAATTGTGTGAAATAAGGCATATATTGTGAAATGCATTGGATAGCACCAACAATATTTATTTGGGTTTTCATTTATTACAAAAAAGAACAGAGTTGAGTGGGTTTATATATACCTATAGCAATTCTGACACTTAACCAGCCAAATGATCTAATCTCTTTCTGATCATGGTCAGTTTGATTACAGATTTTGTAGTTTAAATGCCATTTAAATCATCTTAAACTTCCAGAAATCAGATTATAATGACTAAAACTAGGACTAAACCAGGACTAAGACAGGATGGACCAGAATTAAACCAGAACTTAAGACCTTTCTCTCAACACCTGAAACCCAAATACTTCCTGTTTCTCCTGACCTTTGCCCTCTCAGTCCTAATAAAAAACAGACCAACTTTCTCCCAAGGAACAAATGATCCAAGGTGTAGCAAAAAAGTGATTGAACAGTTTTGTCTCCATGGAGATGTCTTTCCCTAGAATGTTACACAATATGGCATTAAACATATCTGTCTATGGAAAGGTGACGTCACCAAGCCAAGTTACTGGTCAGGTCTGTGAAGAGGCATGAATGTTTTTTAATGTATTTCTGCTCAATAAAACTAAATTTACTGAACAAATGCAAGATGCACAAGTTTAATGCCATATTGTGGAATATTCCAGGGAGGCAAGCAAGAGGCAGACCTTCCACCAGAAACGTTACACAGTGCACTTGTAAAAATTACACTACAGGTATGTTTAATTGATACATGAAGTTAATCTCCTTTATTGCAGCCTTTTTCATAGACTTTATTATAGACGAAATACAATGGGCATCTGACATAGGAGGGTGGGAGGGCATCTGGCACATTTTCCGTGGCAAATATCTGGCTGAGGTGTCTAACCCAAAGACACAATAATAGCATAAATTGGCTACAGTTCTTGTTTAGTTAAGTATTTAACATTAGATTTAGATGACAGGTTAGCACAGAATTGTGGAATATTACGAATGAATATTATCAACATTTGAAATGAACACAAAAAGAAAAGTCATAATTATCAGTACAGTTACTATAACATTGAACATGATTATGAAACAGAAGATATGCAGTACTTTAAATGCATTATTATTAAACAAAAGAGCACTTAAAACCATTTTGTGAGTTCGATTACGCAAGTTGCATTGACAAAATGCTAGAATTTATAAGATAAAGCCATAGTATGTAACTTTTTAGTCAAAAATAGACAACACTGAAAGCCTGTTCCTATTGCACTGGAAAAAAAAATAAAAAATCTCTATAGAAATGTGTCCTTATTCTGAGTGGTCTTGCATCTCCACAAGCCTGACTTTGAGGGGGGCTTCTCCTGCTTGTTTCCATGGAAATGTTGTTCCTTTGGCTATAATCACCCACAGAATGGCATAAAACTTATGTGTCTCTATAGAGAATGTTCCAAAGTATGTTTTTTACCATACATTCTATTTCCATGGATGGTGATGTACCACCTTCAAAAAGTTACACTGCACCTATAAGCTGGAGTACAGACTTTATTTTTGTAAATTTCCCCCATAGAGTAAATTGTAAAAGCAGCGCTGGCTGCAACTCATAATTAACTATTTTGTCTTTTGTAAACCTGGAGATTAGAGCTGCAAACAGCAGCTCTCTGATTGGCTGAGCTTGGGTGGTCCACACCAGTTTCCCTTTGCACTCTAAAAAAGCTGTTCTAAAGCTAATGTCTGAAAATCAACACATGTGGATATTAGACATGTGTACATTGTTTTTGAGAGTAAAACTCTGCTCTGGTCTCTGAAAAATGTGGAAAGCACTTATAAACTCATTGTGGTGAATAATTAGGATGTTGGAAATGTATAAGGTAAGTGAGGAATAACTTTGGACCTCCGCAAAATATCTAAAATTAATTAGTTCTGTTTTTCACTTTTTTACGAATCAATTACAACATCTTTAATAACAGAAACAGGCCCAATGATTTCCAGTTCAAAATTGCAGAACCTCTTCATAGTGGCATTTCACTGTAGCAAGCAGCAGATTTTAATTTCCAATGTTTATATTTTGAAAAATGCCCGTGTGACATTTTTGGAGATAGTGGTTAGGTGAAAATAGAAATTTTCCAAGCATTTTTTCAAGTGTCAAATTCAGGACAATACAAGATTCAATTAACACCAAAATACAACTTTGAGTGTGCTAAAAATTAGGGAAACCATTATAACATGGTTAAAAGCTTACGAAAAGAAGATTTTGCATAATATGTCTTCTTTAAATGTTACCGGGGCGACGTGTACAATGGTGGTTGAGTTGAGTTTTAGTCTTGAGTTTTAGTCGTCATCGTCCACCAGAGATCTGAGATCAGGTAAACCACGAAGCTTCAGGTCCAGCAGCATCTGACCCAAAGCCTTCCCCTAAAAACAAGAGAAAACAGGTGTGAAAGACCAGGACAAGACAAGGGACAAAACTAAGACTGAACCAGGTTTTAAACAAGGACTAAACAAGAGAAAAAATAGGATTAAACCAGGACTAAACATGGACTGAACCGGGACTAAACTAGGAATGAACCAGGACTAAACCAGGACTAAACCAGATCTGAACCAGGGATAAACTAACACTAGACCAGGACAAAACAAGGGCCAAAACTAGGACTGAACCAGGACAAAACCAGGACTTGAACTCAAATATCCTTGTGCAAGTGTTAAGAAATTTGAGCTGAATAACCTTTACATGTTTTGTACACATTAAACAACATTATAAAGCTAAGAACCATTAAATGTACAAAATGGGTCTAACTGCGACATAATAAATAATATAAAGACATAAAGACGACATAAAGACGCTCTTTTGTGTCGTCACAAACATCATAAGACCACCTCATTTGGAAGAGTTTGAAAAGGCGTGGATAATCTAAATGTTCTGAGGTTGGGCCAAGTTCACCCGGACTCATTCACTCTATGGTTTAACTTATGTAACAGGGTTTCTAAAGCTGTTTGGACCCATTAAAGATACACTTTTTCACTTTTCTGGTTGGGGTGCTTTTCTAATGGAAATGTTAGTGATTTGCCTGTGCTCTACAATGTCCACACTGTAAACTTTCGCATATTTAATTTATTCCGGTGTTTTGCAAACTGTGGTACATTGGTGTATCACTGCATAGACTGTGTAAAGAAGTGGATTAAGCGAGTGTGACGTCCCCCATAGCGTTTGGCTCCAGTCAAATGAAGCTCATCGAGGCCTGCAGTTATTGGAGCGAATTTGGAGCAGAGTTCCATATTAGGAATAGACACTGATTTATGGACAAAATAGCTAAATAAAAAGGGATCTTGTAGAGTGGGTTAATTATAAACATTTTGAGACAACATTGACGAGAGTCCTTTATATATACAATCTAGGAGTTATTTGTTGGACAGAACTACTTGTATTTTATGTTTTAGTCCTATTTTAGTCCTTGTTTAGCCCTAGTTTTGCCCTAGTTTAATTCTGGAATATTCATTTTAAAACCTGGTTTAGATGGTGGTGGTACTCGAAAGGCCAAACATTTCGTTATAAGGTGAAAAAACAGTGATTTATTCAATTAAATACAAAAAAGACTTGGTTTGATGAAGTTTTAGCCATTTTAGTGCCACTTTAAACACATCTTGTACTGCACAGAGGCATATAATTCATCAGATTTGATTTACATTGAGTAAAATGTTTTGGTTTTTCCCCCAAAGAATCACATGTTTCTCATATGCTGTTTTTACATTTGCTCCATTGACACTTTTTATCTTGGGGGGAGAGGACGGTGTGTGTGTGTGTGTGTGTGTGACAGAGAGAGGGGGCGCTGCAGGCATTTGTCCGAGGTTTACACGGTTTTTTAATGAAGAGAAAAAGAAGAGGTCAGAGAGGACAAAGTAGTAACATAGTTTTACTGCAGTTACACCAGGACTGAACCAGGACTAAAGCAAGACGGAACCATGACTAAACTAGGACTGAAGCAGGACTGAACCAGTACTTTGCAAAATTAAGTTGATAAAAGCACTGTATAACTCAAATGCAGTATTTCGTATCAAACGATAACATTATTTTATTATTGATCTAAAATGGCTAAAAGGTCCTATATTACACTAAATTGACTCTTGTGAGCTTTAAGCCCTGTTGTTACCTCCTCTAAAAAGGTCGGCCCACCTCAGTTCAAATTTTGATTAAATTTGATATGTAGGTCAATCATAAACCAGAAAAGGCAAAATTTCAAATTTTAGTTTGATCGTACCAACAGTTTCCGTGATATCGCAATTAAATTTTTTCACTTTTTTGCGTAGTCACTGAATTTCAAACTGCGTTTACTCAGCAACTACTGGCCCGATATCAAAAACCAAGGTATCCCAGGAAAGGGGAAATCATAAGGAAGCTAAATCTCCAAAACATTTATTTTTGCATTTGAGTACTTTTGAGATGAATTACCTTTCGACCTATATTTTGACCTTGAAACTGACAATAAGGGACATGCCCAAAAAATATGTAGGCTTATACATCTACTACAATATATACAAAATCTGAAAGAGTTTTTTTTTTTTTTTTCCCCACACAAATTTACCTAGAAGCTGACTTACCCCCATCTTAAGATGTGCCAAATATCCATTCATTGTATAATGGCTATACATTTATACACACACAGTCCAAGTTGATATACTCTAAGAAAAATTGTCAATCACACAGTGTCAAAAGTCAGTGAAAATTTCACGACTGTCTTGGTTTCTTGAAATCAGGATATTTACTCCTTACCTGCAGGCCAGTTCAAACAGTGGTTAGAAATTCTGGACATGTCATTATGCAAAGTGCTGTCGAAGATGCGCATCCACAATAACAACCACCACCATAACAACCACAATGGATGGTGGATTCTATAGTGACTGTTATGGTGGTGGCTTTTTTAATTTTCAAACTAATTTACCTAGAAGCTGACTTACCCCTATCTTAAGATACCAAATATCCATTCAGTGTATACAGCTGAAAAAAGGAACATTACAGTACCATGTGGATTTGGATTCCTTATGATTTCCCCTTTCCAGAGATACCTTGGTTTTTGATAACGGACCAGTAGTTGCTGAGTAAATGCAATTTGAAATTCGGTGACCATGCAAATAAGTGAAAAAATTAAATTGCGATATCGCGGAAACTGTTGGTCCTATCATGTTAAAATTAGAGATTTTGGCTTTCTTGGCTATGATTTACTCATACACCAATTTTCTTTGTAACTGGACAATGTGAATGTCAAATTGCATTTTTTTGGGTGAATTGAGGTGGAACTAGAAAAGCACTCAGAGAGCGCAGACCTCCGCCAAGGACTACAGTCCCCCTCATATTAATTGTGTTTTCCATAAATATTTGTCCATCTTTCAATTTGGAATATGAAAGAGGATCCATTGTCCATCCCTGAGTCAAATTTCATGGGGTTTGGTCAATAATTAATCGAGATATTGAGAAACAAAATTTTTGGCCCCATTTACCACAATGTTAACTAAAATTTCAAAGTGATCCAGAATCCAGGATTTCTTCCGGATCACCCCCAAAATGAAATCAGTTCTTCCTTTTCACATTTCCAACAAATCCTGAAAATTTCATCAAAATCGGTCCATAACTTTTTGAGTTATATTGTTAAACAAACAAACAAACAAACAGACAAACGCCGGCAAAAACATAACCTCCTTGGTGGAGGTAATTACCCAAAACACACCTGGAGTTGTGTTTCATTGCATTCATACATGTTTGTCTGTCTACATCTCCAAAGCTGAAAATGCTCAGTTCCACCTTGTGATGTCATTTAGTTGTAGTTTTCAAGTCAAGCCTTACCTTTTACCTCCACCTTTCCAAAAAACACAATGGAACCCTGTCCTGTCTTGCCACATGACATCACAAGGTGGAACAGAATGTTTTCTGTTTGAGAGAAGACCTCAGCTTAAAAATGCAGGATTTATGTGTTAAACATGCACGAAAGAAACAAAACACAACATTATAACATAAATCAGAAAACAGCATAATATGGGCTCCTTAATAATGGGAAAAGGTCTATTTCTGTTCAAAACTGTTAAGCCTGCATGCAGCAGATTATAATTACCTGTGGGTCGCTGCGTAGAGAGGCCACGCCCCCTCCTCCCAAACACCTGTTCAGCACGAAATTCAGACCAAAGACACCAGGAAGAGTGTAGCTGTAAGATAAGATACAAAAATACAAGCATTTACACTTGGGCTAAAGAGGAACTGAGCCAGGACTGAACCAGGACTAAACCAGGGATATACCAGGAATGAAATAGAACTGAACTAGGACTAAACCAGGACAGGACCGTGGCTAAAGCAGGACTGAGCTAGGACTAAGCCAAGGCTAAATGAGAAAACAAGCCAATATCCATAACCAAATCAGTTAATTTATTTACAGTTTAAGAAATTCATTAAAAAAATCTGATGTACTGAAAAACTAAAATATGCAAATAAGCAAAAATTAGGGTTAGGGTAGCCCTGGCCTAGTCTTGATTAATACTTGATAGTACTGATTTGGTCCTGATTTGATCCTGGTTTAGTCCTAGTTCAATCCTAGTTCAGTCCTGGTGCAGTCTTGATCCAGCCTTCGTTCAGTCCCAGTCCAGTCCTGGTTCAGTCCTGGTGTAGTCTTGATCCAGCCCTGGTTCAGTCCCAGTCCAGACCTGGTCCAGACCTAATTCCTGTTTAAAAGTGGCACATTCCTGGAGACTTGCGTGTACACGTTATTGGTTCACCTACAAAACATGTGGCATCGTAAAGCTCGCCATTAAGACGTGTCTAAGCCCCGCCCCCTTGTTAAACCTGCCTCGTTAACTTCCTGCTCGTTAGCCCCCCCTCTAGGCCTCGTTAAAACCACGGGACGCCACACCAACGTAAACCACAAAAAATACAAAAAAATTAAACTAATACGCTTAAAGGCAAAAACCTTCCCACCTAAGTTGAGCAAAAAAAGTCATTGTTTTTGTGAAATAATGATTATAGATATTTGCAGAAATAGAAAAATAATAAAATAAATCTATTATATTAAAGCTCATTTGTTCATCTATATAAATACCTTTTTACTATACAAACATTTAACACAGTTCTGAAAGGAAACTAGTCTAAACCAGGACTAAATTAGGAACAAACCCACACTAACAAGGACTCACCTGGGACAGAACAAGGGAAAATTGAAAGCTATATTATATTACATTTTCCAGTTTAATTATTTAATGTTTATCCAAAGCAAATAACATAACTTTTAAAATTATCTATTTCAAATATATTTTATTTTAACATAAACATTGTAATTGAATAAGGATACATAAGATATATTTAAATAGTAGAGGAAAACAGGTCTAAAGTAGGACTAAATTGAGTCCAAACTGCTACAAATCCCAGATTAAAGCAAGATGGAACCAGGACTATACCAGGACTAAACTAGGACTAAAGCAAGACTGAACCAGGACTAAACTTGCAAATCCACATCTTGGTGAAGTAGTGGAGAAGTGTGTATTCTGGATTCCAGTACTAAATACGTAGACACAAGTCTGCATTACCGTGTGACAGGATTGTCTTGTCCTGGTTCAAAGATGTGCTTGAAGTACTCCTCTACAACAGCTGAGGTCAGGTGTTTCTTCAGATACGGGAAGAACAGAGGATGTCGAGAGATTACTCCTAAAAAAAATAAAAAATAAAACACCTTTGACAATCTGGACAATTTGGAAGACCCATTTTTACCACACAATGTTTCTCAATAGTAGTTACTGCACAATACAATAATCCATATTAAAGGTGCACTCTGTAACTTTTCTGTTTGGAAATTGACCAATCACAGGGCAATGTTGTGGTTTGTGCGGAAGTCAGTCCCAAACAAATAAATTGTGTAGAAGGTAAGAGCATTGTGTATTTGTGCACAGGGAAGATGTCTGTGCTTTTGTCTCAAGTGGATGTAACTGAAGTTTGATTTTTCAGCTTGTTCCGCTGTTGTGACTCTTGGACCGATCAACGTTGAGTCTTTGTTTGAACACTCCGAATGTTGGTCCAGAACGTTTTCAGCGAGAGTCATCCCAGATTGTGTAGAGCCAGGGAAAGGTGGGGTACTCTCCACCAGAAAAGTTACATAGTGTTTTAAATCTTTAAATCAATACTAAACAAAAAATTATTTTACAACTTGCAAAAAAATAGCTAAAAACCATAACATATGTACACATCTGAATTTAAAATTTGGTGAAAAATTAAACTTTGATTACATGCAGTAGCACAAATTTAACCAATTTTGTATTTTATATTATATCATTATATTCTATTTGTTTCTTACCGATATTTGCAGAATCTCCTTTGTCTCCACTGCGGGTGTAAGCCAACTCCTCCAGGCGGTAACTGTGAGGTCCACTTGGCAAATCTGAAAGGACCAAAAATTTAATTTTACACTTTTATTTGTTAATTTAGCTACATCTTAAAGTGTATGTTTTAAATATATGTATTCATCCACTGTAAGTGAGTAACTAGTTCTCGTTTCAGGAATAAATTTGCCATTAATTTTTCCATATCATTTTAGCCTCTGGTTTAGTCCTGGTTTAGTCCTGGTTTAGCTCCTAGTTTAGACACTGGTTTAGCTCCTGGTTTAGCTCCTGGTTTAGTCTGCATGTTTAATGTACTCCAACAATACTGTGGTACTTGTTTAATGCTGTTTTAGTTCTGGTTCAGTCCTGGTATAGTCCTTGTTTAGTTTAATCCCTAGTTTATCCTTGTTTGTCCCTAGTTTAATCCCTGTTTAGCCCTGATTTAGCCATTATTTAATACTCTTTTAGCCCTTTTAGTCCCAGTTTAGTTCTGATTTAGTCTTGTCTAATCCTTTATTTAGGTCCTGGTGTAGTCCTGATTTGGTCTTTGTTTTAATACTCTTTTAGCCCTGGTTTAATCCTGGTTTAGTCCCAGATTTAGTACCTGATTTAGTCCTTATTTAATACTATTTTAGTCAGGATTAAGTCCTGATTTATCTCTGATTTTGACCCTGGCATAGTCCTGATTTAGTCCTTTAAGACTCGTTTAGTACTAGTTTAGTCTTGGTTTAGTCTTGGTTTAGTCCCCGGTTTAGTCCCCGGTTTAGTCCCTGGTTTAGTCCCTGATTTAGTCAATGGCATAGTACTTCAGCATAGTAGTTCAAAACTGTTTAAATCCTGGTTTAAGTCACAAGCACCTACATGTGTGTGATATGACGCTGTTTTCCTTAGCACTCAGACTATAGTTACCCTGGACTTTCTCAGGACCCCGGTTTTGGACTTGGACGCTGGACCTTTGTCTCGGACCATTCTTAAATCCTGGTTCAGTCCGGACTTAAGCAGGTCTATATGGGTCTCTCACAAAGACCGCCTAATCCCATTCACTCATTCAGTGCCACTACACACTGTTACTTTTTAATGGGACAGGCCCCAAAACAAACAAACCCAAACAGACAAGGAAAACAGGTATTTCAGTTATTTCATGAACTAAAATGAGTCTGTATTTTGTCATAACTTTTTATCAATGTAATATTATTGTTGGCAAAACCCACAACTGAATAAATAATGATAATTGAAGAATAAAATGCGATTAAATGTCTGGGTATTTTAGTCCTGGTTCAATACCAATTTAGAACTGGTATAGTACTGGTTTAGTCCTAGTTCAGTTCCAGTTTAGGGCTGGTTTAGTAATGGTTTAGGCCTGGTTCACTTACAGTTTAGCACTGGTTTAGTCCTAGTACAGTCCCAGTTTAGTCCTGGTTCAGTACCAGGTTAGCACTGGTTTAGTACTGATTCAGTCCTGACTGAGTAGCTACTGGTCCCTCTGGTTCAACCCTGATTTATTTTGTCACAGTCTATTTCTGGTTAAGACATGGTTTAGTCCCACTTTAGTCCTGACCTATTGATCTGCTTAGTCCCTGGTTTAGTTCCCTTTTAGTCTTGATTCAGTTCTGGTTTAGTCCATAAATCGGTTGGTGCTTAATTAAGACCAAACCTGTGTCATGTTGTTCTTCTGAAGATGTTAATGGCACTTCCTGGTCATGTGACTCTGGCCCTGCCTCTGACAGAGACTCCACCAAATCAGAGTCCACGTGAATGTCCACCTGAACAGCAGCAAGGTCATTGTAGAAATAAAGGATTTAATAAAGGATTTTTACATTTCTTTTGTGAGTTACAAATTAAAATGAGCTCTATACCTTCAGTTCAGATTTGGGATGTAAAAAGAAAAATGGCTTTAACACTGGAGACCTGCAAATGTCAGAAAAAAATTAATTATTACAAAAAATATACACAAGTTTTGTTCAAAAATTAATAAATAAATAAAATCTCACACGCGAGGACGCCCACCAACAATTCCAGTCAGACCAGGAGCTGAAATGAACAAACTTAAGATAAGACTCTGTCCTGATTTAGACCTGGTTTAGTCCTGGTTTAGCACTGCTTGAAATCCTTGTTCAGTCTTGGTCCAGTCCTGGTTCAGGTCTATTCTTGCTTTTATTCCCATTTTTGTCCCAGCTCAGTCTAAACTAATTTCTGCTTTAGTCCTGGTTTAGTCCAGTCCTGATTCAGTTATAGTTAAGTCCTGGTTTAGCACCAGTCTAGTTCTGATCCAGTCCTAGTCTTATCCCAGTTCAGACTCTGTTCAGTCCTGGTTTAGTCCTGGTTCAGTCCCAGTCTTAGCTCTGGCTCAGTCCTGGTCAAATCCAAGAGTCTGGTTTAGTCTCAGTCTTAGCCCTGGTTTAGTCCTGGTGTAGTCCTGGTTTTGGGCTGATTTAACCTTGGTTTAGTCTTAGTCCTAGTTTTACCCATGCCGGTTCCTGCTGGAGCCACTTCTCTTGCAAACAGTTCAAGCGCTTTCTTCTGTTTGTGCTTAACGGCCATCCAGAGCACCACCTCCCTGGACCCCTGCAAGATCCACCACCAACAGCAAAAGATTATGTTCAAAACTTTGAATCTAACAATGTCAAAAACTCAGAGGGAACAGGGGCCTTAAATACTACTCTATGGCTCAGCCCGGGTATAGTTCTGGTTAAGCCCTGGCTCATTGCTTCCTTCTCAAAGAAACCCTTAAAAATATTCAACCCGAAAAGTCAAATGCTGAACATTATTTACTTATTTTGATGATTTAGGTCCACAAACTTGTTTATCTTGAGGCTTCAGTCTTTGACCGTGATGTACTATCAGGCCTGAGTAATTAAAATTCTCCTTTTAGAAGCTATAAAAGAAAGATATTGGTAGAAGAATTTAATTTTGTGCCAGTTTTTATTTCACATGGATAGGCCCAATGATTACAGAGATACAGTATTAATCATAAACCAAGTAAACAAATATGCAATCTGACAGTTAAATAGCAAATTCCACTAAACATTTTGATCTGTTCTCCAGCTACATTGTAATGGTACTCTGGTGTACATTCCACCTCTTGCTTATGTTGTTAATGTTCTTACCTTAAATTTGGCGTTGAGGCCGTAGGTGTCTTCTGCTCCGAGCACCTGGATGTTTACAGCGCTGTAGTCTTCCAAACCCAGCTGTTTAAAAATACGCTTTGTCCTGTCAAAAGCAGAAAAAGACTTCAATATTATGAAAGAAATAAGTAGACTTGGTGAGATAATAGCAGCTACTCTAAACCTGGTCTAAATTTTGACTACTAACTGTTTGTCTCCACAGAAATAGTAACTTTGTCTAGAAAGTTCCACAGTATAAATTAAACCTATCACGATCATTATAATTCAGCTCTGTGGAGAGTCACCCTATTCACAGAAGGAATTATTGTATTTTTGAGCAATAGAAACACCTGTAATGAATAAATGCTCGACATATATACATTCCAGGGAAAGCAGTAACACCTTCATGAAGACAACTAGCACCCTCCACCAGAAAAATCGCACAGTGCACCTTTAAAGCTACCCTCTGCAAGTTTGTTTGATTTTGATTTTTTTTTTATTTTCACCAGTAGATGGCAGATGTGAAACCTGTTCCCCCCTTCCCTCACCTGGCTCCTCCCCTCACTTGGCCCCTCCCCCTCCCCCCACCTGGCCTTTTCTCAGACTCACCTGTGGTCTCTGGTCTTCTTCTGTCAGCCCAAAGCTTACACTCTAGACAGCAGTAACGTAGATAACATCTAGTGGTGATATGTGAGACTACAACAGTGGTGGGTCGGCCAATCTCATTATGGATGGTAGCTTTAAAGATACACTACGTAACTTTTTTCTGGGTGAGGGTATGCCACTTGCTTGTCTCCATGTTGATGTTATTTGTTTCCTAGTCTACTTTAATTAATTTTCATTAAAACTGGTTTCAAATGAAATAGAAAACACTTAAACTTAAAATCGTGCCTTTTAATGATGCTCTCTGCAGTTCTTCGGGCCTTCTCCGGTGCTCTGGGGCCCCCTACTGGACAGACCGCAGTGGCTCTGAAACCATCCATATACGTCGCACACACCTGAGGAGAGGACAATAAAGAGGTAACAATAACTTAAAACTGACTCAGAGTACTATTATATATTCCACAATATGGCATTAAGCAAATCTCTTTCCATCGGGACAAGCAGGGGATGGCCAGGCCAAGTTACAGATCAGATCTGTGAAGAGGCGAGCCCACACACAGAACTAATACATGTTTTTCAAGGCATTCTTTGCTATAAAAACACATATAATTGAAGTAAATGCAGGATAGAGAGGCTTAATGCCATACTGAGGAACCCTTTAAGACACCTTTAAACAACTTAAAAAAAAATCTTCCTCAGTGAACAGATTTTTCTCATTAAAACATGAAAAACAGAACTAGCTCATTTTCAACAGTTTGCAGTGGTCCAAAGTTATTCCTCACTTATCTTATGAATTCCATTTCCTAGCATCCTAATTATTCACCCCAATGAATATATAAGCACTTTTCACTTCACTTTCTGAGATCAGAGTGAAGTTTTGCCATCACCGTAATGCCAACTAACATGCTAGCGGTGCACTTCCTGACAGTAAAACGCTTTAGAAGTAGATGTATACAGTTCACAGTGGATTTATGGAAGAAAATCAGGTACAGGCCCTTTAATTTAGTAGTAGTTTGTTCACATTTTCACTTTTTTGTTTCAAGCCAAATTGTTTGTTCATCGATTTATTTTATTTTTTAAACTTAAAGGTGCACTACGTAACTTTCATTGTTGAAAAGTTAATCAAAGCTAATCAAAACAAGATCGTGTACTGACCTTGTAATATGGAGAGGGGGCAAGTCCTTTGGCCCCAGTGACTCTGACAGCTCCACCTTCTGCACCTGCAAACGGAAAAAGCATACCGGTACATTATTTTTATACTTGGGTTTTAAGCAGGATGCCCTCCCAAAGACAATCCACTCCATTAAACCAGGCTTTGGTTTTAAGTTTTTAAATAATTCTCCATTGAATTCCAATCAAACTTCCAACCTAATGGAACTAATTCAGAACAAAACGAGAACTAACATAGAAATAAATCAGGATAAAATCAAGACCAAAACCAGAGCTAAAAATAAATATATCCTTTAGTCCTGATTTAAATAGTGCTGATTTAGTCCTGGTTTAGTCCTGGTTTAGTGCTGTTTTATTCCTGTTTTATTCCTGGTATAGTCCTGAATTGACCCCACCCAAAAACTAAAATTAGAATGAATACCACCAAAGAAGGATTAAATCTGTTATAAAACAATGGTAGGACTAGGTAGGATTAAACCAGGACTAATTCAGGACTAAACCAGGACTAAACCAGCACTAAACACGTATTTTTAGTTCAGGAATTCTGCCTTTTTAGATTTGGTCTCTAGTTCCTGGTTCAGTCCTGGTTTAGAATACTTACAATACACACTTTAATGATACTGTGTGGCCCAGTTTGGTTGGGTTAAAGGTGCACTATGTAACTTTTCTGGTTGAGAGTCTGCCGCCTGCTTATTTCAACAGAGATTTTTTGCTTTACCTGGAATGTTCCACAGTTTTTATTGGTCAGAAATACCTTGAAAAATATGCCTTCTGTGTATGGAGTCGCCTTCTTTGACCTGTAATTTAGTCACAATTTCACGGATCAGATTATCACAATACTGAAACCCTGGGACATTCAAGGCAAAGCAACATCTCCATGGAGACAGTTGGCAGATCCTAGACCAGAAATGTTACATAGTGCATCTTTAATTTAAGCCAGATGCACTTTTTGAGATAGTCTAAATGAGGAGCTTGGTATTTTCAGATTGTCCTTTTGTTGAACTCTAACGTGAACCTTGGCAGAACATCGGGGTGTGGATAAATATTTTTTTGTTGATAAACTGTCGATGGATTTCGTAAACTTTGGCCAAAAAATCAGGGTGAAATTTGGAGTAAAAGTTCAACCCACGAATTCGCAAGTGCAACGGCATAAACCAGGGTGAAAATCTCACGGGTGGAAGTACAGTTCACAATTATGCATTATGAAGATGAATTCTTTTAAAGGTGCATTGTGTAAATTTTCTTGTGGAGATGTTATTGCTTTGCCTGGAATTTTTCACAGTTTGGCATTAAACATTTCTGTCTTCATGAAGACGAAGTTACAGTTCAGATCTGTGGAGAGACAACCCCCTTCACAGTCAGAATGTCTGTTTTTCTAGATATTTTTGAGCTATAAATCCACTGGCAATTGAAAGTAGCTGTTTAAGTTAACAGCTGATCGAGAACTCCAGACAGAGCAATGACATATCCATAGAAACCAGCAGGGACGGACCTCCAACCAAAAAGTTACATATTGCACCTTTAAGAGGATACCACAGTTATTTGTATCATTGTGAAGTCTAACTCAACTCAGTCATACGCAATAATCCTCCTAACTACTCCCACTCCCGACCAGGATCCTGCTTTAATAAATAATATAAAGATATATAAAAACAAATGACAGTTGACAGTACAAGGTAAAAGCAGGGTAGGGGCAGACAGAATTCATAACCACAAAGTCAGGAGTAGAGTTGTAACGTTTCATCCTGGTATTTGGCCTTATAAAGTGTTATAGCGTGCTGACCTAAATATAAAATGATGAATTGCACATACCTACAAAAATGCTGACTTGAGTTCTTATGAAATGTGCTCACAGGTTTGTGTTGATCTGAACCACTCCTATAATTGACTTTTGAGTATTGTGAAGCTGGGGGCCTCTTTTACAAAAGTTGGCAAACTGGTCTAGTCCTGGTCCAGGTTTAGTTTTTAGTTTAGTCTAGGTTTTATTCTAAATTTAGTGTTGTAAACGTGAAACTGTGAACCGTAAATTAAGGAATTAGGAAATAACAGAGCACCTCATAATATATTAAGATGATAGGGTAAGGTAACATGTCTGAATAACCCTACATCTGTCTACATCCCCAAAACTCAAAATGCTCTGTCCCCCCCTTGTGAAGTCATGAAGTAATAGTTTTCAAGTGAACAGCTACCTTTTACCTTTAGTTCAGTACAAACTGGAAATTCCAGGTCTGAAATCATCCAAATTATTTTAGTGAAGGTGTGTGGAATTTAAAAACACAGTGAAGCACTTCCTCTGTTACCACATGACATCACAGAGAGTGTTTTCAGTTTGAGCAAAGAACTATGTAAATGTTCAGGGTTTGTGTGTTAAACATGTGCAAATGAAACAAAACAACTCCGAGCGTGTTTTTGACAAGGAAACAAAATTATAGCATAGATGAGAAAATAGTGTAATATAGGTTCTTATGATTTTAATACTAAATACCTGAAAAAGCACAATGTGGCTTCTTTAAACAGGACTAAACCAAGACTTGTCCATGGTTTGAACTTGTGTCCTTTCTCTCACCCACATTCAGATTATAAACAACATAAAACATGTCTCTGATTTGCCCCGGTCCTGAACTCCTCTTTAGTCTCATGTCCTCCTCGTACTGATAAACACTCATTTATCTCCAAACTGAAGAGTTCAAGAAGCTTCTGGAACATAAATTTATTTCAATCTTTTAAACAGTGGAGTCCAGCCCACTGACACAGTTTCTACAAGGACACCATGTAAGAACCGGGTCAAAATCAGGACAAGAGCAAGACTTCATACCGTCCCTGACAAAAGTCTTGTCGCTTATCCATTTTGTAGAAACAAAAGCTTATAACCTGACTTTAAATTAATCGATTGGTTTTAGAAATGTCTCATATGAAAGCTAAAACCCTCCCAAATTATGCTCAATATACTAAAATAAATTTGCTTCACTGAAGAAAGATTGATCATTTAATGAACACAGAAAGGTCAGATTTTGGCAAGACAAAAGTTTTGTCGCCTACAGAAAATTGAACAAATAATTTACTTCAAATACAAAAATATGTTGCATAACGTCAGTGAATGAAGTAGTGGTGCTGTGAGATCCATATTTAATATCTTGTATGACTTCCATGAGCTTGAAGGACGAATCCATGCAGGTTCAACAATGATTCATACAATTTGTTGATGAAGTCATCAGGAATAGCAAAGAAAGCGTCTTACATGCCTCCCAGAGTTCATCAAGATTCTTTGGTTTTGCCTTCCATGCTTCCTCTTTCATTCTACCCCAGACATGCTCAATGATGTTCATGTCTGGTGACTGGGCTGGCCAGTCCTGGAGCACCTTGATCTTCTTCGCCTTGAGAAACTTTGATGTAGAGATAGAAGTATGCGATGGAGCACCATCCTGCTGCAAAATTTGACCCCTTTTATGGTTGGGAATGTAAGAGGTAGCTTCTTCTACTTCTTGATATTTTAGGCTATTGATATTGCCTTCCACCCTGCAAATGTCTCGCACACCCCCATACTGGATGTAACCCCAGACCATGATTTTTCCACTACCAAACTTAAATGTTTTCTGGGTGAATCTTGGATCCATGCTGGCTCCAGTAGGTCTCCTGCAATATTTGCGGCGGCTGTGATATAATTAAACCGAGGATTCATCTGAGAAATCCACCTTCTGCCACTTTTCCAGTGTCCATCCTTTTAGCAGGCTGTGGGCCTTGGCAAATGCCACATGTTTTTTTAATTGCCTTTTGTTTAGTGCTGGTTTCTGTGCACTGATTCGACCATGGAGGCCATTTCAAGACAGACTTCTACAAACTGTTCTGGTTGACACAGGGACTTGAGGTGACCAGGCCTGGTGGAGCTCTGCTGCAGTGGAAAAGGGGCTGGCCTTAAGATTTTTGAATCAACAAACGGTCCTCCCGAGCAGTTGTCCTGCGGCGTCTGCCGGACCTGGGCTTGTCAAAAACATCTCCAGTCATTTCAGATCTTTTTTTTATTCTTTGTACTTGACGCTGAGACACATTGAAGGTGTCAGCCACCTCAGCAGTGGATCTGGTCTTCAGCCTCTTGATAATTAACGCTTTGGTCTCAGGGTGGATCTTAGGCATGTTGTCAGAGGTCAAGTTGCAGTTGATGTGAAGGTCTGGTGTGCTGGGGTTCTTTTTATACACACCCACTATTTGATTGATCAGTAACTGATCACAGGTGAGGCTGTAATCTAGGATTGGGTGCATCATATGACAAGGCGACAAGACTTTTGTCTTGCCAAAATCTGACCTTTCTGTGTTCATTAAATGATCAATCTTTCTTCAGTGAAGCAAATTTATTTTAGTATATTGAGCATAATTTGGGAGGGTTTTAGCTTTCATATGAGACATTTCTTAACCAATCGATTAATTTAAAGTCAGGTTATAAGCTTTTTTTTCTACAAAATGGATAAGCGACAAGACTTTTGTCAGGGACTGTATAAGCAAAGGATATACAGTGGTACTTAGGAGTCCTCATTTAGTCAGGTTTTAATCCTGGGTTAGTCCTGGTTTAATCCTGGTTTAGTTCTGGTTTGGTCTTGATTTGGTTTGTGTTTAACCTTGGCTCAGTCCTGGTCCTGCTTTAATCCTAGTTTTGTCCTGTTATAGTTCTAGTTTAGTCCTCTTTTGCTCTGCTTTAGTCCTGGTTAAATCCTGGCTTTATTCCTAGTTTTCAGTCCTACTTTAGGCCTGGTTTAGTCCTAGGTTATTCCTGCTTGAGCCCTTGTTCAGTCCTGTTTCAGTCCCAGTTTATTCCTAGTTTTTTCCTGTTTCAGTCCAGGTTTAGTCCTCACCTGGTACCTCCCGTATGCTGACCCCGCTGAAGTCACAAATGACGTCTGGGAGCAGGTATCTTCTTGGGTCTTGGATTTCGTAGACCAGTTGTTCGGCCACGGTCCCAAACGAGACCAGGCCCCCGGTCCCTTTAGGTTTGGACAGGACTGTAGACCCATCTGCACCACACTCCACAATCGGGAACCCCATATTATCCCTGAAAAACAATATGAAATGTATCAGATGCCCTCCCATACTCTCATATATCTGGAATGTTTAAAGTGATAGTGTGCAACTTTCTGGAGGTGGAAAGTCAACTGCACTATTCTATGAACATACAAAGCTAAAACCATACTTTGGGATATTCTCCATGGAGATAGATATGTTTTATAGCCAGTTCTGCTGCTTGTTGCCATGGAAATAAGCAGCAGGACAATCTCTTCCAGGCCAAATAAGAGTAAGGTTTGTGAAGATGCAAGCCATACATAATACATGCATACATAATAATAAAAAAAAAAGCTTTTATTTCAGTCTATTTTATGGCAAAAATGTTACACACTGGGGCTTTAAAGTGTAAATATAGAATAGTTTTATCAGTCAAGTGGCAGTTTATGAAGAAAAGTTGAAAACAAAAAGTTACAGTAAGTAGAGCTAAATTCTGAATGATTCCCTCTATGTTATTAATAGTCAAATTTCCATCCAAAATGCAGGGACAATTTACACACATGGAATCAAATTTTCTAACAGTAATAACTTTCAAATAGCATAATAAAGGTATCAAAATTTTTAATGTGTTTGTGAAATCATAACTTTTGTGTAAATTAGATTACCTGTAACTTTTGCCACATTATGGTTGCTAGGTTATGGAATTACATCTATGTATGTCACATCTGCTGCCCATGTACAACCAAGAAGTAAAAAGTTTATCAAAAAACACCAAACTAAGAAACATTTTAAGAGAAAATCTGTAATATAATAATGTTACCTATGTTTTATTGAATTTAGTAATCTAACCTGTCATATGCACTTAAGATAAGATGGGGGAAATAAATTATCCCTAGTCAATCTGCAGATGTTGTTGTTGGATTAATGGATCTTGTCATTAAGAGAAATTACTTGTGAATTTATCTTTTCAACAGGTCTAATACAGCTCACGCATGCTTTTGTGGCAGAGCCCCCTCTAGTGGTTCCGCTTTGCCACTACATCTTTTTAATGAAAGTAGTACATGCAATGATAAATTATAAGATTTCCTCATAGGTTAAACCAGGTTTAGTCCTGATTATATTTGGCATTTGGCATGTTGTAGTCCTAGTTTAGTCCTGGTTTAATCCTGGTTTAGTTCTGCTTTAGTCATAATTTAGTCCTGATTAGCTCTTGGTTTAGACTTTTTGCAGCCCTGTTTTGGTCATAGTATATATATATCCCAGATTTACTCCTGGTTCAGTACTGTTTTTAATGTCCTGCACTAGTCCTGGTTTAGTCCTGAGGTTTAGTCCTGGTTCAGTCCTGGTTCAGTCCTAGTTTAATCCTGATTTAGTTCTCACCAGTCCTTGACTTTGTGCCAATCGGTGAAGATCCCTCCGGTGCTCTGAGCTCCACACTCAATCAGGTGACCCGCCAAACTAACACAAACCAAAAACAGAAGAAATTACATTTACAGAAATTTAAAAATGGTCAAATAAAACATCTGCATTTCATTGTACCTTCCAGCAGCGAGGAGGTCATACTGATCTGCCTCCCATCCAAACTGTGAAAACAGTGTTAAAACATCTTAAAATCCAAGTGCAATGGTGTTCAAAATCACAACTTGTTTTTGGGTTCCAGTCTTATTTTTATATATATATAGAAACAATACTGACATTGAATAATAGTCTTTTAACACACAAAACAGTCAAATTTCTCCAAAGTCGGACATCTCCATTAAAAAGACCTGAGCTGATCATTCACAAATAGAAATACAATAAAATAATTCTATAAACCGCACAGGCCTATTAAAAACCATGAATAATGCCTAATATATGACCTTAAGTATAGTACAGTGCAGTTACATACAGAGTGCATTAAAGGTCCCAAAGCCACTGCACTGTCCACACAGCGACCGGTCACCACAATGTCCGCCCCCAAGTCCAGACAGCGCCGGATTGGACCCGCTCTGTAACAACAGCAAGTCAGCTTTAGCAAAGACCATTATTTTACATTTTATTCATTGAAAAAAACTACAAATTATGTTCATTAAGCATTTACAACAAACATAGAACTAATACTCCACTTTTATCTGATGGCTATTTGACCAATATTTCAATAGAAAATTTGAGGGGCTGTGCCAAGTAAAAAATTACTTAAAAGGACCGATACTTTGCAAAATGTGTTGAGCTGAGTAAGGACTAAAATGCCTTAAAATATTTAAATCTCAAAATGTTTTTTTCAAATCCACATTTAAAGCTGGCTATGAATATTGTCTATACACCAAAATTTAGATGACAGGAAATACAAAGACAGTGATGTCCAATGTAGTAAAAAAAAAAAAAAATTAGTGATTTTCAGATCGTCAAGGAACCACTCACCCAGTCTCACACACATAGACTCATACACCAGTGTACACAGAGACTGTCCTCATGTCTATATCAACAATGAGATTCGAACTGCCAAACGAAAACTCTACCATTTGAGCTACTGTAATGCTGTACAGCTCGGTCTCACCCGAGATAGGCATTCATGCTGTGGAGGGTCAAAGGGAGGGAGCGCGGACCGCTGCCGTCGGCCATTTTAACTTCAGTCAGACTGTTCTTCTGAAAAATAAAACATCAGTTCTGGTTCAGTCATGGTTTAGTCCAGGTCTAGTCCCAATTTGATCCTAATTGAGATAAGGCTTTCTCATGTTTTAGTACAAATGTAGTCCTGGTTCAGTTCTGGTTCAGACCTGGTTCGGTCCTGGTCCTACGTCAGTCTTGGTTCAGTCCTGTTTTAGGCCCGGTTCATTCTCGATCAAAATCAAGTTTAGTCCTGGTTTAGCCTGATTGTAGTCCTAATTTAGTCTTGATTTAGTTTTGGTTCAGTCCTAGTTTCGATCTGGTTTTTTCAATAATGAAAATTCTTTTTTACAAGTCTTGAAATGAAAATGGCAGAGAGGTCGTACGTGGGGCATGAGGTCATCTCCTGTCACCACAGCGATCTTCATTTCAAGCCCTGCCTTCTTCACCACTTCCTGAATGGCCTGGGCGCACGCGAGCGGGTTCACTCCTCCAGCATTACTCACAACACGGATCCCTTGAAAGACAGTTAGATTCATTATTCACAAGCAAATCCAAAATGATTATTTATTTATTTATTATAATACAACTTTCAAAACATTAGAAGGTAATATGGTGATCTAAATATGTTATGTATTAACAGTTAATACCCCGTGGAAGTAAAATACTCTCTTTAAGTTGTGACTAAGTCTGAATGATTCTTAATTAACAGTTTTTCCAATATGAATTAAGTCTTTGTTCTCACTTTGTTAAGGCTAATTATATGCAGTAACTATAAATCTGTACCCAAAATAAAATTTTGGAGGAGGCACTACAGCTCACCTTTTTTGTGAATATCATTGATGAATGGAGCGAGAGCGACTTGAACAAAGTCTGGAGTGTATCCCATGTTCTACAAACACACAAAACAACATCACATCTATATAAAGTATATGTGCGAGATGAACAACATTAAAAGGTCCTATATAATGCAAAATTTACTGTAAAAATCCTATATAATGCAAAAATGATTGCGTGGTTTAAGCCATGTTAGAATGTTGTTACCTCATCAAAATTGTGTTTTGTTTCATTCACACATTTGTGTAATCCTTTATTATTAGTCTGTTTACATTTCCAAAGCTCAAAATGCTCTGTTCCACCTTGTGATATCATGAAGCAGTAGTTTTCAACAGCTACCTTTTACCATGACATCACAAACATGTGTGAATGAAACAAAACACAATTCTAGGTATGATTTTGATGAGGAAACATTATAACATCGATCAGAATATAGAGTAATATAGGCAGTTTAAGATTAAAGCCATTTTAGTTTTTCTCTGACCGGAGCCTTGGTCTTGGCAGCAGTCAGCAGTGACATGGTGATCTCACTGAGGTAGTCAAACACCAAGAAGTCCAAGTTCCCTCCATAGACCAGCTGAGGTACTGCAAAAAAAAAAAAAAGTATCAAGTTAAAAAGTGAAGTTAAAAATTGGCAAGTAATGTACAAATATTCATTTAGTCCTGGTTCAGTGCGGTTCAAGATTAACACATTTTATATCAATATTTCAACAGATTTAAACTCTTACACATAACGTAAAAGGTGCACTGTATAAGGTCTCTGGCGAAGGGCCTCCCACATGCTTGTCTCCATGCAGATGTGAACGTGTGCTAGAATGTTCCACAGCACAAGTCTATTTCCATGGAGATGTTACCAGAGACAGGTTACCGGTCAGTTGTTTTTAGCAATAAATATGCCTTGCTGAATACATTTGGCAGACTAACCACCAGAAAACTTACATTACATTTTATTACAATCAATAGGATTATAAGAGCAACTACCCTTAAAGATGGTACTTAGTGTATGTTGCATAATAATTTCACGATCCTAGTTACTGTAGTATGACAATGAACCTGGATTCTTAAACACTGAAGACAAAAACACAAAGTGGAATCTTGCAAGTCAGGCAAGGGGCGCATTCAGATTGTCTTTTCTTATCATCTTGATCTTTTTTTTTTGTTTTTTTGACAACCATCATATCTGGGAATACAGGTATAGTTAGGTTGAGGTACCTTCATGTCTTCTTGTAGTAATTGTTTTACTAACTAATAGCTTATTATTTAGTATTCTTACTTGAATTGTAATTTAAATCTACTTGTACTTCATCATATTATTAGGAAGCAACTGTCTTCCCTACACTAAAGATTTTGGCTACTAGTAGTAATGAATAATAGTAAGTACCAGTAGTAATAATAAGTAGCAGTCCTTAGTAGTAACAGTAGTATTTGTAGTAGATGGTGTTAGTAGTAGTTAGTAGTACCAGTTGTAGTAGTAGCAGAGTAGTAGTAGTACCGGTAGTAGTAGTACTTGTATGATGATGGTATACAAAATGAATGGTGACCTGACTACTCGTCTGCAGTACCTGATGTGGCCGTGTCTCCCCAAAACCCCGAAGCGCATCCGATCCGCACCGTTTTCTTTTCGGAACTCTTCGAATAAAACCGTGTAGAAACTTTATTATTATTATTTGTGCATTGTTTCCTTTGCGTAATGTCAGCAGCAGAAGCGCCAAAGTGTGAAAAGGCCCGCATTTTAGCGCACATTTGTGAATTCTGGAGCCGTGACAGCCACCTACACGACTCGGTTCGGCCCAAACGAAGCGAGGACGGGAGAATCGGCATGTTTATGAGGTTAAATTAAAGTAAAATAAAAAATAAAAAAAAACAGTAGGACGGAGACATAAGTGTGAGAAAGTTCAAGGAGCGCTGGTGCATCCTCAAAAACAGTCCGAGTAGAAACAACAACTTTGTATTTTAAAGTGTTTTTGGTTTTCATTAATCTGTACAGTTTATTCCTTGATCACATATGCACAATAATAGTTTCCACCTGCAAATATTTATAAAATGCCCAGATATGGTGCTAAATAGTTATAAGTAATAAATAAGAATTCATTTAATTATAATGCGTTCGCCATCATTGCGCAAGAAGGGGGGGTAGGGTAATCGCTGTAAACTTTTCTCGTCTTTTACAGTGAATGGTTTTAGCAGAGTTATTTTGTTATTTTAAATGCAATTTTCTTTTGTGAAAGTGATTAGAAGTGCAAACAGAGCCGCGGAAACAAATAACGTGGACTTCTGAGTAACTTTTGGACGAAGTTTGGTTTGGGAATCGACGGAAATAAAACCAGGAAGTAAGTATGCAACTCACCTGTAATATCAAAATTTAACTTCTAGATTTAATTTAGCTTCACATTTAAACTACAACTGAACCAGGACTAAATCTGATCTATACCAGGTCCAAACCGAGACTACTAAAACAGTTCGGTAGGCCTAGCCTCCTTAACTATGACATACATTGGGACTAAACTAGGTCATAAATGGGACTAAGTGAGTTCTAAACAGGACGTAAATAGGACTAACTCAGTTCTAAACCAGGACTTAAACAGACTAAGTTAGTTCTAAAGTATGTCTTTTACGGGACTAAACCTCATATAAAAAGGGTAGACCCAGTTAACCTATTAACCAGGTAGACCCAAGTAACTAGGTCTGAACTCGAACTAAACTAGGTCTTAAATAGCCTAGAACCAAATCATTACTAAACCAGATCTTCAACCAGTCTGTATCAGGTATAAAATATATGTTAATATTCATTATTAACATCTGATCGGACAGGTATAAACTAGGTAAGACCCAGGTGGTCTATTAACCTGGTACAAACAAGGTCTACAGTAGAACCAAACCAGTCCCATTCAGTCGGACTGAATGGGACTAAACCGGTATTAAATAAGACCAGAACAAACCAGGCCAGTATAATCTGTGGCTGGTGTTTATTACTTTGTTATTATAATGTTTTGACTTTTCAGTTTTAATCAAAATCGTCTAAACATTTTCCTCCTTGTTGAATTGGTATAGCCTGGTAAGTGATTCTTTGAGTAAGAATTAAATGATGCCCCCAATCTTTTATTTTATTTTATTTTATTTTTGTACTAGTTGACAATTTTTTTTTTAATTTTATCTTTAGCTCCAGTAATTTACATCGAATATATTTCATATAGTTTTATCTTAATCATTGTCAACAAAAACATTGGAAAATTATTAACAAAATCAACATTGTGGCACTTATATATGTCAGTGAGGGTCTTGAAAACTAATTATTATTATTGTAAGCTTTATCAAAAGTTTTCATTTGGATAACTTTTCTGACATTTTTGTTTTTTTCCCCAAAGTTGAGGAGGGGGCAGTGCTGGTCAAGATGTCTGCAGGACAGGCCCTGAGAGCAGCCGTGGAGCAAAGGCTCATGGGAGTTCTGGAAGAGGTCCTAGGGATGATTCAGAGCACAGTCGATCAGTACGAGTCCCAGCTGAAACAGTGCAGAGACAGAGAGGAGGCGAGCGAGAGGCTGCAGGGGGAGAGGGCTCTGCTGCTGTGGCCAGAGACTACAGAACAGACCAGGGAAGCAGGTAAGAAGGTGGTCAGACTGCACAAACTAAACTAAAATTACATTAAGCTTTTTATATAATCGTGATAATAGCCAATAAAAATTATTATTAACTATTATAACTATTATATCACCAGAATGTGCAGAAAAAAGCCTAATCATAAAGTTCTCTGCTAGGTCATTGTTGTTTTCAGTTATAACAACACTGTTAACAGTTGTTTAAATAGGGAACTTATTTATTATAATATTATAATTATTCATATCCCTGAACATTTTGAATTGTCAGCAACTTTAATGATGATTGTGATATTTTTGTTGTTATATTGATTTTAGTAGATACATTTGCATACTAAATCAAGATTTTGATTTGATTTGCAAATTTTCTTTGTGGTTTGAAAATATTGCATATTTTTAAAGGTGCATTATGTAACCTTTCTGGAGGAGGCCATAGAGATGTTATTGTTTTGCTTGGGATGCTCCATTGTATAGTGAGTTACAGGGCAGATCTATGGAGAAGCAAACTTGCTTACAGTAACAATATATGTTTTTAAGATATATTTGAGCTATTAAAATACTTGTCATTGAGTAAATGCAACATGCTAGACAAAGAGATGGAAATGAGCAGGTGATGTACCTCCCGAGGGGAGCAGTGATGATGTTCTGAATGAAAGATGCAATGGAAAGCATCTTTGCATAGCCCCATTTTAATCTTGGTTTAGTAGCCCTAGTTTTCACATTTTGATCCCCACAAATTAGCTTTTCTTTCTTTATTCTTCAGAAAAGGAGCAAAATGAGATGTCCATTCAGACTATCATCAAAGAGGAAGAACCAGACCCTTGGAGCATCTCTGAGACTCAGGCTGACCTCATAAAGAAGGACCTACCACCACCTAGAACCAACCTACGACGCCCCCATGAGCAAGACCCAGGGAATCCAGCCCCCAACCACAAAACCAAGTCTGAGGACAGTGATGAGGAGTGCCCGATCTGCAGACAGCTGGACCTACACCAAAAAGAAGAGTTAACTGAACAAGGTAAAACATCCACTGCAAAAAAAGTCAACACATTTTGATCAAATTATTTAGAAGATTTTATTAAAAATGCACATGTCATATTTATTTTCTGTTATCAAAACATATTTGGAATAGTATTTTGTTTAAGTCATCAATATTTGAGTAATCCTGTTTACTTGAGTTGTCTCTTCTTGAGCAGCAGAAAACTTTGACAACTTTGATCATTATTTAATAGGGGTGTAACGATATCCAAGTCTCACAATATGATATCGTCACAGTATGAACCTCACGGTACGATATTTATTGTGATATCGTGGGAAAGCTCACGATATGGTGGGGAGGCTCAAGATTAGGGATGTAACAATATCCAAATATCTCGGTATGATATTTTCACGATGTACAAATCACGGTACAATATTTATTGCGATATTTTGTGGAAGCTAACAAAATTGAATATGCTACTTTTTCATCTTAAAATGCCTTGATAAGACTTAATTCAAAGAACTAAAAAGTGCTTAGAAATGTTATTTGTTCTTGTAGTCTACACTGAAATATATTGTGATGGTCCACAATATTATTGTGAGAACTTTGACGATACGATATCACAATATTCCTGTTATTGTTACATTCCTATTATTTAATTCATTTTACATTTTACTGTTATTCGCAAAAATTGCCCAAAATGACTGTGTTGCTTTTCTGGTAGCGGGTTGGGTCTGCCACCTACTTGTCTCCATAGAGTTATTACTGCTCTGTCTGAAATGTTACATAGTACTAGTTGTTGAAAATGTTTATCTAGCATTTACTTAATTATGTGTATTTTCATTGCTCAAAATATCTGGAAAACATGCATTATTATTGCGGATGAGGTCACCTCTTCACAGATCTGACCTGTAGCTTGGCCTTTTGGGGTCACCTGCTTGTAGATACGTTGTGTTGTGTGAAACATTTTTGGCAAAGCAATCGAATCTCCATGGAGACAAACAGGTGGCGTACAGCAGTGGTTCCCAGTCTTTTTTGTCTTGCGCACCCCGAAAATTTTTTCTCACACGCTTGAGTACCCCTTGTATTGTGTAAAAGTGTTTTTTATATTATATTCTATTATAGCCAATAATAACTATTTTTTTCTTTTTTCTTGTTTTTATGATATTTCTGTGAAAATATTCCTTCAGAAACATTATTAACCACCATTATTAACCATGTAAATTATATTGCTAAGATGATTGAAATACTATTCTATCTTACCTCCGGGGACAGATAGAACTATCAGTATTAGTATTTTTAATAATCTAGAATATTTTTAATTATATAATATTATATTTAATAATTTTTTTATTTTTTTTTTACTTTTTTCTGCAGCTTTAACCACAGAAACAATTATACCCAACACAAGATGCAACAATGAAAACCCTCAAACTTCAAATCAAGAAGAAAGAATCGAACCACAACATTTTGAAAACATGCAAGTGAAAAGCGAAGAGAATGACCAAGGATATTCTGATAGTGCAAAGAAATTGACTGAAAATGTTAGTGAACAGGAGAGACATGGGGAAGAACATGCACCACAATATTTTAAAATAACAGTGACAAATGAAGACCAGCAGATAGCGCCAAACTCCACCAACCTTTGTTGCTTAGTCCCTGAAGAGACTAAGGAACAAAATACGGAAACTGAAAAAGTGGTTAGCTCAAGTTTAGAAAATCATTTGGGAGATGGAATAGACAATTCAACTGTGGCTGAAATAGAGAAAGAAGGACCAAAAGAAAATAGTGGAAAATTAGACACACAAAATTCAAATTCTGCGGAGGGAGGGCTGCCTATAAATGAGGAAGATATAACAAATACAAATAGTGTAGACTCCACACAGAAATCTGTTGAACAAGAGAGAATGGAAGAGGGAGAGTGTTCACAAAAAGGTTTAAAAAGATCAGCGACAGATATAGACCAAGAGATTGCGCCAAAGTGCAAAAAAATATCATTAGAAATGCAGGAAGAAACTCGCGAGTCTGAAAAAGTGTTAGAAAAAAATTTGGGGGGTACAATGGACAATGCTATGCCTGACACAAAGGAGCCAGAAAACCTTAGCAAGAAGACAGACAATTTAGATGCACAATATACAAATTCTGCGGACAAAGGGCTGTCTATGAATGAGCAAAATCAGGAAATAAATGATCCAAAAACACAAGAAAATATCCTAAAGGATGTAAGCACCACAAACACAGAAGATCAAGTAGAGTGGCTAACACAAAATCTGGTCAAAAAGCTGCCTACTGTAAGACTTGTACCATTGAAATTTGTCAGTGAAACTGCACAAAATGAAGTGCAAATAACAAAATCTATCATCAGAAAACCAGCATCGACTCCACAAAGTATTTTAAAGGAGAATTTAGTGAAACAGGAATTATGTGAAATCCCAAGCAGTAATGGGAGCCAACAAAATGGCGTCCAAAATTCCGAAAATTCGCAGACATCTACACTACACAACACAAAAATCTTGAGGAAGTCTGTGAGCTTTGCGGAAAAAAAATCTGAATTTGTTAAGTCGCCAAGCACGCGTTCAATTTCTAAGCAGGTCTCGGAAAAAGACAAAGAAAAAAGTAGTGAAATTTCATTGAGAAGGCAGAAGAGTAGTAAGGGACAGAGTAGGGATAGGAAAGCAAAACAAAATGATGCTACAGTAGATTCGGAACGAGCTTCGGATACAAATAATTCCAATTCCAAAATTCGCAGCGATTCAGGAAAAAGTAAAGAAGATCGTATTTCGAAAGTCAAAAACCTTACAGCTGTGCAGTCAGGTCCAGTAGCTGACCAACAAGGAGCAAAAAGTTCGAAATTAAGCTCAAACATACACACTAATAATCTTAATAGTGTAAATACTAACAAAGCTGTAGAAAGTCCTCAGAAAGCAGGAAACAATTCACAAAATTTGAATGATGGAAAAGTTTCTGAAACAAGAGATTCGATAAGTTCTGAGTCCAAAAACAAAAAAAGACCAAAGAGTACAGATAAATATGAATGCCCCGAATGTGGCACTGCTTTTAGTCTGAAGGGAAATCTACTGAAACATTTGGTCGTCCATAGAGAAGAGCGGCCATTTTCTTGCTCTCAGTGCAACGCAACTTTTAAACGCAAACTTAACCTGAAAGCCCACATGTCCATACATCTGGAGGAGAAACAGTATGAGTGCTCCATCTGCCATAAGAAATACACTCGCAAGTCCAATCTGGATGATCACATGAAGGGCCACACTGGTCAAAAACCTTACATCTGCTCAGTTTGCTCCCGTCCGTTTACATGTGGTAGTAACCTTCGCCGACACATGGCTTCACATTTAGGTCTGCGTCCTTTTGAGTGTGAGATCTGCGGTAAAAAATATGGTCGGAAATCGATTTTACACGAGCACATGGCATCGCATACTCGAGATAGACCTTTCAGCTGTTCAGTTTGTAAGAGCAAATTCTCACGGCAAAATAATCTTCGTAAACACATGAGGATTCACGACCTTGGACGGAGGTACAAGTGTTCGGAGTGCCCGTCAGCTTTCAGTCAGAAAGTGCATTTAGATCAGCACATGTTTCAGCACACTGGAGATAAGCCATATAAGTGTCCAGTTTGTCAAAAAGGATTCACTCGGAAAGCTTACATTCAACAGCACAAAGAGATGTACTGCCTCGGCCCCGCCTCAAACCAACTCTCTGGCTTCAAACCGGTCAGAAGCCCCGTCCGTAGACACAAACAGACCCAAAGCCCTGCCCAAAAAGAGACCCAAAGCCCCGCAGATAAACCGACTCAAAGCTCCACCCAGAGCCACACCCTCAAACAGACGCAAAGCCCTGCACATAAACCGACGCAAAGCTCTGCCCAGAGCCAGGCCCACAAACAGACCCAAAGACCCGCACATAAACCGACTCAAAGCTCCACTCAGAGCCCCACCCACAAACAGACCCCAAACCCCGCCCACAAACAGACCCAAAGCCCCACCCGTAGTCACGCACATAAACAAACCCAAAGCTCCACCCATAGCCACACCCACAAACAGGACAGAAAGGCAGAAACACAAGAGGGAAAAATGGTTGAATGAGAGAGAGCTAGTAAATCTTCTCTTTGATCCATTTTCTGGTTAAGGGTACGTCACCCGCTTATCTCTTGGTGATGTTATTGCTTTCACTTAAATGTTCCAGAGTATGTCAATTAAAGTGGGACTTAATACTTAAACTCTGCCCTCAACCACTTTTCAAATAGAGCTGCTAAACTGGGCAGTAAAGGACTAAAGAAATACATGAAGGGGGAGGAAGGACTGGACGTATAAGGAGCACTGCAATTGATCAAACAGGTATCCAAACTCCAACCCTGCAGCCAGAAACACCTTGCTGGGTAGTCAGGGCAGTTATACGTGATGTCACCAACTACTGGAAATTTATTCCAGGACACACCCCAGTTCCTCAAAGCTGTATACAGTTTTTACCTAGTTTTGTGGCAAAAATGTAATGGTGTTTACTTCTACTTTAATATACCCATCTACAGTGCTGTTAAAAAGTATTTGCCCACTTCCTGATTTTTTTTCATTTTGCATGTGTGTCACACTTAACTAGCTAATAAATTTAAGTATTAAACACAAATAATCCAAGTAAACATAAAATGTGTTTTTTCTGTGATGGTGTTATTTGTTTATGTTTACTTGTGAGTTATCTTTGTTTAATATTTAAGTTTGTATGATCTGAAATGGCTAAAAGTGACAAAGATGCAAATAAAGTAAGAAATCTGTAAGGGGGAAAATACTTTTTCACAGCACTGTATTTATTCAATTGTAGGTGTTTTTATTGCTGAAAAATACCCAGGAAAAATAATGAACTTCTACTGTGACTCGCCTCTCCACAGATTTGACTTTTAACACTTTTGACACAGTGTTTTGTGTAAAAAAGGTTTTGCTTCAGTACTACCGTGTTGCATTGTATTGTATTGTATAACCAGTTGTAAATTTGCTGAGAGCTCTGTGTGCTGTTTACATCTAATTAGAAAACATTTTGTCCTCTGTGAACCAGGAAGTAAAATTGTTGTCATGCAAGTATTTGTTAGCAGTGGCGTGACAGTAAAACTTCGCCCTGGCCTCTGAAAAGTGTTTTTACTTTTTCATGTTTCTACTTTTTTATGCTTTATTCAAGACTGTATACCACTGTCAGGTAATTGAAATGTAGCAGGTTGTAAATAAAGTACAAAATAAACTCACATGATCAAAAAATATTACTAAAGGAGTTTTAGTTTCCAAGTGTGGGCAACAGTGGCTTTAGCTTATTCATGTTTGGCTTTAAGAAGCTCATCAGCTTAATAACAAATATTATTTTTGAGTTACTATTTTATTGAAGAAGTAGCAACACAATGCAAATAGTTGAAAATGTTTTGGTGATTTTTTGCACTCTCCACTTCCACCATCCCCAGAAGAGGGTTAGTGTTCTTTTCTCAGGCTTGAGTCCAGACCAGATTGACTGAAGGTGCATACAAGTTTCAAAGGAATGCAAATATATTATTCTTATATTAAGTCTCATTATTTTACCTACCTAAAATCAGGGTGCAAACACTTTTAAATGAGGTTGTAATGTATTCATTTGCACCCCTGTAGACTCAGACCTATTTTCCCATGAGTGGGCTTTATTATTACAATACAGAATTCCAAAACTTAGGTAACCATACATATCAAAGGTGCTCTATGTAAATTTTCTCATGGACTGTCAACTTCCCAGGAAAGAGACAGAAAATAGAAGAACAAATAGTGATGTCATCACACAGTCACACAATAAAACAGACCTAAAGGTAAAGATCAAACAAAACAAAATGAGTTTTTTTTTCCATTGTTCAAAAAAAAAATTATTTGTTCAACAGGGTAAAAGACCATGAATGCTTTTGCAAACAGGTTATAAAAATGTCAGATTAATTTATCTTTAGTTTTGAAAGGAGGAAATTATTTTTTCTTATAAGGTTATAACCTAATACTCATGTGTCAATAAACTGATCAATACAAACAACAGTACCTCAATACCCAAAATAAATATAAAAAATAATCACTCATTTAAGCAGATGTCAATACTGAAAACCAGTGGGACGATTCTCAAATAGTTATTACTCAAATGATGTCTAATGGGGGAACCAGAATTAATATAATATTTACAACATAAAATGTTTTACCAATCATGTTTTTCTGTTATTTCATAGAAATACATTAAAAGTGGTCTGGAATCAGAGTGTTTAGGACCATTTCACTTTGCTGTAACTCAACAAGGCAGCAGATAATGTCCCTTTTAGCCCCCCATTAAAAATACCTAGCAGATTATAATGAAATATAGATCCCAGGGGATTTGTTCAGTCAGTTAAAATAAGATTCATCCCAAACCATTAACACTAAAATATTTGCTGCGAAACTAATACAAGAATCCTATATTTGTAAACTACAGGGTTAGGGTAGCAGATTTTTACAGTAAATGACAAACTGGGTAATAATCTTCCCCTCCGCCAGGTTGGGTTCATGTTACATCTAAGCCAGTAGTTTAAACTGACCTGGAGGACAAGTGAGAATTTTTTTTTTCTGTATTTTGCATTCGGTTTAGACTGCTGCCTCCACAACCCTGCCCCTGGAAAAAGCAGAAGAAAATGGACAGATGGATGGGTTTCTAGGCTTATCCACATGACATGAAACCTGGCATTAACTTCAGTGTCTTCAGTCACCATGACATCATTGTTGCCAACCACGTCTCAGGATTGCAGAAGGCACACAATGGTGAAACACTGAGAGTCCTGATACCCACATAAAGACCACAGCATAACTTAAGGTTATTAAGTCTATCACAGCATTGACCTTGAGTCTATCACAAAATTAGATTCAAAATCTAAATTTAATTACTATTAAATCAGAATGGGCTGCACCTTGCAACCTGACAAATAAACTAATGTCTCACCTGGCTAAAAGATTTTGTGCAAGGAAGGGCATCTGGTGTTAATTGTAAATCAAAATCACAATACCTGTACACAGTAGCGATCCTGCACTCGGGAGGGGGGGTACTCCCCATGGAATGCCGCCCTGGGTGGCTGCCCTGTCTGCCCTAACCCTAGGAACGCTCCTGCCTGTACACATGCTCATTGACTGAAATTTGAGGACCCGGGGCAAGGAGACTCACATGGGCCCCCGTCTGTATGAATTAACAGGCAGAGGTTCCCATTCTGCAGGATGGGTTAAATGTAACCTGTTAAATGTTTTCTGATCTTCTATTGCACTTATGAATTGATTCTAAATAGCCTCTATTTTAATTAGGGCCGGGCACGTTAACGCGTTAACTTTGCCTTAACTAATTAAGTCATTAACGCCGACAATTATTTTAACGCCGTTAACGCAGTTTTTATTATTTATTTATTTATTTTATTGTAAACGTTTGTTTCTCACTGGCTTTTATTTTGAAAAAGTCCACCGCGAGCGTTTCTTTAAGTTTGACGTCTTTTCTTGACACTTTTTTCACTTTTTTCTGACCACGTGAGATGCAACGTGCTCGAGCCTCCGCGAGCCGCGGGCCCGGCCACGGGTTCCGACTCCCGTCGCGGCTCCGGCCACAGGCTCTGGTCGCGGGTTCCGGCTCCGGTCGCGGGTTCAGCCGCGGGCACCGGCTCTCAGCTGAGCTTATTTCTTTAGTTCAGTGCTGGAGTAACTTATTTACCAAGATACCATTGGAAGAACAAATGTGATTGGTCCATTTCCATTCCATTATATTAACCCTTTGTTTCCTAAGAAATATAATTTCAAGTTTATAACACTGATCTAGAAATTATTACTAGTGTAGTGTTCATTACTCACAACATAAAAAATATTCAATAAATATATTAGTAGTACAAACGTCCATTCAATATTTTTTCTTGAGCCTTCCCTGAATACTTTGAAGGCTCTGAGGATTCCCCTGTGAAAGAAATGTTGTTTGCACAACAAATGTATGGCTCTTTCATTTACATTTCCAATAAAAGAGCGCTATACTCTACTTTTTAATTCATTAATTGGTTTTGCGTATAACATGCGATTAATCACTCAAACTCATGCGATTAATTGTGATTAAAAAAAAAAATTTTTGCCCAGCCCTAATTTTTTCATTTAAATCTAAGAATAAATTACAGATTTTTTTTTTTCTTTTGCTATAACTCATCAATACCCAATAGAAGTACAAGGTATTCTTACATTGTAACTTCATTCACATTGCCTAGAATATATGTGGTGTCTGTGTGTGTGTGTCCAAAAAAGCAATAAAAAAACAAAAACTGTTGCCTTCTGGTAGGCGCTTCAGGTCAATTCAATCAACGTATTATCATTATTAATTAATTCACTTTAAATCATTTGAATTTAAAATAACTGGACTCGGAAAATCTGACATTGTCTTTTGGTTTGTGTTTTGACGAAATACGTTTGTGTCACTAAGTTTGTGTGCACTGGGAAAGCAGGCCTATACAGCAAGGTTTATGTAGAAACCGTCTGACCTTGCAGCATTAGGATTTGTTCGCTCAACCGTAGGCTGGTACTTTTTTTCATTTACCAATCATTGCTATTTGTGATGACATATGTAATGCGCCGCTAACGGGGCTAACTGGTATATTAAGCTTTTCTCAAAGGAAAAGGGCAATAACGTCTTTCACCTTGATAAAATTCACCAAACATTCTCTTTGTTCCGGGTTTAAATCCTCAATCTCGGGAATCATTGCCAACACTGAATATATGGCTCTTCACTGATTGACTGGTGTCCAAACTCGCACTGCCGGAGTTTTTGCGAACTGTCTACTGTACTCTGATTCCTGACCTAGTCACTGGAGAGAAATAAAATTGAGCGGAGGCACTAGGTGACGCCAGCCTTGCTAGTGGTCCACCATAATGTAATTGAAATATAGTAGGTTGTAAATAAACTAAAAAATAAACTCTTGTAATCTGATCCATGTTAGAAACTACATATAGGAATATAGTATTAAAAATAGAGTCAAATAAAGTCATAAATGAACAAAAATATAACTAAAGGAGATTTATTTTCCAAGTGTTTAATTTGTCCAGCGCAAATACATGACCATCTTTAACAAGCCAATAAAAAAGACAGGTAAAGTTCTAGTTTCCATCTGTATTGTTACAGTAAGCACATAACAAATAAGTACAAAACATTCAAAATTACAAATACTGGACATAATAAGGAACAAACAACTGAAAGTTCTCAGATTTGAAATGAAAAAAAAGCAGTTGGGCCTTTCCTTGATCAGTATCAGAATGTTTTGGCCCCATGATATTCAATACTATTTGGCTTTGAAAATTGTATGTTTTTACACTGCTTAATCAATTTGGAGTTTTGTTTTTGTTTTGAAATTAAAGTGTGGACCCCAGGAAGAAATGTTTATTTGTTATTGCTGAGAACTAATAGAATCAGTTCGACCCGGGCATGAAATACAATAAATGTGGTTTGAAATGTGATCTTTTCAGCTCTTTATAACAGACAATACACAGTGGATTTGTAAAGAAAAACTTTTACAGGTTGATCATTGGTTTTGAACAAAATTACAAATTTGTCAGGACCATTAACACTTGAAAAAAAAAAAAGAGAGAGACAGAAGAAACTACATGGCTTACATGGCTTAAAGGTCACAAGAAAATTTTATGTAATATAGGACTTTCAGGCCATGGCCGACACTTAAATGGCTGATTCCAGACAGTTTTGGTTTCAGGTTTGTGAAAAGTCTTCAGTTGTTTAAAAAGGAGAATGAAGAAAGGCACCAGAGACCACAGCAGCAATCAGCAGATAATACATCACTCCAAGGTTCTTGTTGTCTGATCCATGGTTCTTTAGCATCTCTGAAACACAGTTACAGTGCCACATTATAAGTGCACTATGTAGCTTTTCTGGAGGAAAAAGCTGCATATTCTCAATGCTTGCTTGTCTCAATGAAGATAATATTGAGTTGCTTGGAATGTTACACTGTCCTGTATTACACAAACTTGATTCTTGTGACCTATGTTATAATGCTGTTCTCATCAAAAACATACTTGGAGTTGTGTTTTATTCACACATGTTAAAGTAACCCTTTATTATTGGACTTTGTCTACATCTCCAAAGATCAAAATGCTCTGTTCCACCTGGTGATGTCATGTAGTGGTTGTTTTCAAGTTAACAGCTACATTTTGTTCAGTAGAGATTGGCAATTCCAGAGCTGAAATTATCGAAATGATATATAACCAGATGACATCAGAAGGTGGAGTGCTTTCTGTTTAAGAGAAGAACTCAGCCTAATTATGCAGTTCACATGTGTAAATGAAACAAAACACAACTCCAGGTGTAATTCTGATGTGGAGCAACATAACGTAGATCAGAGGATAGTGTCATATGGGTCCAAACAGGTGATGCAACAATTGTGCACCTTTAAACAATTTTTTTTAAAGTAATAATAGTAATAATAATAATAATAGTTTGTTCATCCAAATCAATATACAAGGAATATTAAGTGTGTACAAGGAAGGGCATCTGGTGTTAATTCTAAATTGGGGAGCCCCCCACTAATGTTAATTAGACAAAGGTTCTGATTCTGGGCCCTTAAAACCCTGGGCCTTTTGCTACCCCATATGGTAATTGACAATTTAGTGAAGACATTTTTATGTTTTATTCACCTGGCTCTATGACGATCAGCTGGATGCGTTGGATTGGCGCCACGTTGAACATTTCTGGGGCCTTGATCAATCTGCACTCGAACTCTCCGCTGTCGTTAACACTCACATTTTGGAGGATGAGAGAGAGGTTGTTGTTCTTGAAATCAGGATGAGCCAGTGCCACTCGGTCCTTGAAGCGTGGATCCTGGTGAGTGATGTCTGACTGGTCGTTTTTGTGAAACAGGACATATTTCTGTTGTTCCAGATCAGTCTTGTTCCAGCAGACTCCGATGCTGTCTGTCATTTTGGTGTTTCCAGACGAGCATTCTAACATAACATTCTGCCCAGTGAACGCTCTGACCACAACTTTGTCTGTAATACACAAATACATGACACAAAAACAGGATGTTAGGCCACGTTTCAGAGACATGTCCAGACACTTAATGAACTGCATGTAAGATCTTGATTTAAAACTCTATAAACAGTGATGGGAAGAATACTTTGAAAATGTTTTAATTACAGAATACTGAATATCTATATTAAAATGTATTTTGTAATTTGTAACATATTCTGATACATGGTCCAATCAGAGTACTGTATTCTTATTAATTAGAATTCTTTCACAGCAAATTGCAACATAGGATTAAAACAGCTTCATCACCACCATAGTCTTGTCTGCATAGAGATGTATTGCGTTAAACGTGGCTCTCCATGGAAAAACTGGTGACACTATTACCAAGGCAAGATCTGGGGAGAAGCGAGGGTCTTCAAAATAATAATACAATATTTGTTGCATATTTGTACATGATTAATGTGAGTAAAACTGTGATGATTTTGAATATGTTTTATTGTAAACCTCCCATACTGCATTAGGTCATCTAAATGGTGGCCTCAGTTACAGTCACCCCTTATGTAGGCACGCCCCTGAACTCAACGCATTTGACTTATTGAAATATCACATCATTATGCCTGTATATTAATTACGTTATCTATTACTTAAGATCTTAAATGATGCTCAAGCAAGAGGTTATTTTAAACCTTTTGCCTGAGAACTATTTGCTGTGTCATTATGTTTAGAGAGGCGTTTGCGAGGAATGTCGTTCGAGCTGTTTTTTTATAAAGTCATAAAATAGCCACATAAGAAAGGTCAACTCAATTTAAGTACCATAATAATATTATTATAGTGCTATATGTGTTTATTATGTTGTTTTTACTAAACTTTGCAGTGGATTAGGCAAGGTTCTTCTTGAACTGTACTGCGCAACATTCAGTCGCTGCGCCTCTCTTATGAGCGAGTAGTCCAAATATTCTGAGTACTGAAAGTATTTTAAGTATTTAAATTGTATAAAAATAGACATAGGTAACTCACCTGTCTGGTTGAGTTGCAGTCCAGACACCCAAAAAGATGCAAAAAGGAAAAGGAAAAATGACATTGCCATAACTGCTTTGGCCAACCAGCGTTTCTAAAATGGCAAATGAGTTTCTTTGCGGAAATTCGTTGCCATTCCGGAAGAGCCTCGGTGACGTGACAATAATTCTACCGATGACAATCAGAATTTTGATATGATTTATTTTTAATCTAGCAATGCAAGTTTAAAAATACATGTGATTAAAATGCCAATGATGCAATAAAAATACTATTATAAATAAATAAACGATGTACTAGTATTTCCAAAAGCATTTACATAAAGAATTCCTTTGTTCTCTTCTCCCAGACATGTCACTGGTTCGTCAGAAAAGTTATATATATAAGCAATATAATTTCTTGACTTTAGAAAATATCATACATTGATCAATATAGAGATTGTCCAGCATTTGTTGAACAGGTAAAATAATTTTAAAGAACAGCATAAAGAAGGAAGCTTCTCAAGCAAGGAAAACTTCCGCACTCTTTAGAAGTGTCATAATCTAGATCCAGTGCGATTTCCATGAAATGTCAGATAACTGAAATAAAACCACACTTATGGAGTGGCCCCATCTTTTGCATATCTTCTATCTGAAATACACATATTATTGTTACCTTTTTGATCCTCTGCATTGTTCCCTCCGCTATATTCGAGAAGTCTCACCAACTTCAGCAGACAATATAAGGACTACATGCATAAAGCCTTCTTGCAGTACAGACTTTACATGAACTGAATATTCAAAGTAACTCAAATTTACTTACCTTCCTACTTACTTACTTCCTACCTCTTACCTTACCAACAATGCAAATACAACTTGGGAAACCATGGTGATATAGCCCATGTAGGTGAGCTCTGGTCAAAATGGCATATCAACCCTGTGCATCATTTTGTCATAGCCACTGTGTTATGCTATCTGAGAAAGAATTGTGAATAGAACAATGTTTGTAATGTTTGTTATGGTTTTAATGAGCTCATCAGATTAAATCAAAGTGTTATTATGAGTGACTATTTGATTGAAGAAGCAGCAGCACAATGCAAACAGCTGAGTATTTTTTGGTGAATCTGTTGTGCTTTCCAATTCCATATAAAAGAATGAAAACTTCGCACATCAATTACTTGAGATTGGTGCATTGGAGCAGAGGGAGCAGCCCAAGAACATAGAGAAAAATCCCACACACCATCTTACATGCAAATTGTGAGATGTATTAGGACAAACCATACAATGTTTCGGCTCAAAACCAAAAGGTTGCACAGCTTATCCTAATAAATCTCACAATTTGCACGTAAGATGGTGTGCAGGATTTTTCTCTATGTTCTTGGGTGCTCTCCAATTCCTACATCACTAGTTATAACTTAGATGTCCAAAAGTCTGAAAGGTGCACTGTACATTTTCTGGTGGACGGTCCAACAGCGTCAGGAAAATGTTATAGCTTTGCCAATAATGTTATATAATGTTATATAATATATCTATCATCCGTTTATTTAATGATGGATGATTTAAGATAAAAATACATTGACAAACAAGCATTCTCAACTGTAACTTGGCCTAGTGGCGTTGCCTGCTAATCTCAGTGGAGAGGGATGAATTTAAAGTTATGCTGTTGAACATTCTAGGCACAGCAATATCAACTTCAGGGAGATAATCAGGTGAGGACCCACCCATCCATTTTCTTCCGCTTATCTAGGGATGGGTTGTGGGGGCAGCAGTCTAAGCAGGGACTCCCAGACTTCCTTCAGGTGAGGACCCCTTTCCCAGAAATGTTACACAGTGCATCTTTAAAAATGCTGGACTAACCCTTAAAAGGGAGAGTTAATGTTAATGTCCAATTCCGTCACTTCTTCTGTTGACAGCAATATTGTTACAGACTTGTAATTGTGTGTAATTTTTGAAGTGTAATTTTAAGTTCCAGTTTCCGTCTGTATTGTCACAGTAAGCACATAACAAATGAGTACAAAACACACAATATTACGAACACTAGACACAACAAGGAACAAACAGCTGACTGTTCTCACATTTTGAAATGAGGATTTGAAAATTACAAATATTATCTTATGCATCTATTAATTAGTTGGCAAAAAAAAAAAAAAAAGATTTTGTCAATACTAAAAAGTTATTTATACTTGTTTGCGTAAGTACTGATACTGCAAACCAACTGGACATCAGTATCAGTATCAGAACCTTTGGGCTCCATCATATTCAAAACTATTTGGCTTTGAAAATGATATGTTTTTACTCTGCTGAATCAATACTGTATACTGGCCAAACTGAACTCCTGAAACTGAAACACCGGACACTATGGCTGACGCACTTATGGATACATGGCACTTGTGCGTATTTACCATTCCATTCAAGTTCATGAGCTGTGTTGGGTGTAGAAAAAGGGTCACTTTATGTTTTCTGTGAGGTTAATTAGGTGAAAAAGAAACAGTTTAATTGGAAAATTAGACACAATGTAAACAAACAACTCACACTTTAACTGTGATTGCAAATACATTTTCTGTTCTGTCCATCGATAGCAGAGACCTCCAAAAAACAAACCTAAGAATTCTAAGCAATGTAATTCTAAGCAGCTCCAAACCTCAAAATGCTCTTTTATGTTATTATATAATGAAATGGTAGTTTTTCAAGTTAACAGCTACTTTTTTTTTAACGTTAATTCAGCAGGGATTGACAATTCCAGACCTGGCATCATCCAAACCATTCTAGTGAAGTGTATGGAGTTTAAAAAGTAGACACACACACAGTGGAGCCCTTCCTGTATTACCACATGACACCTATCAGCTGAACAAAATGATAACAGAAAACAACATAATATGGGCCCTTTAAGTCCTTTGTGAAAAATAAAAACTTCAGAAGCAGTATTCTGTGGTGACCACTGTGATATCATTCAGTCCCATCCCTGATTCTGTTGGTGACATCATCTTCCTGGGCTGCTCGTGGTTTCCTGTGATCAGAGCAAAAATTATGTATTATTTATTATGATTTTATGATATGTGCTGGAGCAGGGTTCCCCAAATCTCTCAAAAAGATATTTAAAATTACAAAATTAACTACAATATTTCACTTAAGGGATAGTTTAAACACTTCTACGATATTTTCACCATTCTATCTGGAAACCCCCTACACCTGTTACCGTCCCTCACCTGAGCGAGCGTGTCTGAAGATTGAGACCATGATAACAGTGGCCAGCACATAAGGACACAGCACCAGCAGGTGACAGAGCAGAGCCACAGCCAGGGGGCGCTCTGAGGGGGACGGGGTCTCTGCAGGAGACTTTGTGAATAGGGCCAGGGTGTATTCAAGTGGAGGCGGGGTCTCAGTGAAGGGGGGTGGAGTCTCTGATCGTGGCCCAAATTGATCTGTGAAAACCAAAACAAAGGCTCAATCAGTGGAGGGTTTTGCTCAGAACTAAACTAGGACTAAACCAGGACTACTGTGGGTGAAAATGTTTGACAATGCCTGATGTCATCTGCTAAGGAGATAAGATAAGGAGGGTAAGGCCTAGTTACTACTTCGATGGCATTCTGGATGGGAGATGTGAGAAAACTAGGTGCCATAGTAGAGCAGCAGTTGCCTGATCAGCCAGGACCACACACAAAACGTTTACAAAGATGAGTGTGTCTGAAACCATATTCTGTCTTTCTGATTTCAGATGATTTCAGGTGGATTAACCAATCAGAAAGACACAGGCTCAGTTTGTGTCAAAAACAAACATGGCTGATAACACGTAAATAAGGGATAAAAAAACAATATGAAGGACCAGGAAACAGTGCAGAGTTTTGAAGAATCAACCTCTTCAACCCCCTTTGAGTCCCTTCTAGAGTCAAACAGAAAGTAGAAGGGATTGGCTGGGCAGGCAGTGGCTCTAGTAGAAACTCTTGTTGTGCAACTCTTGTTGTGCCTTAGGCAAGACATTTCACCTACAATAAGGAGCGTCTCTGATTGGTTAATCTGCCTGTCAATCACCGGACCCGTCGTCTTTGTAAAGTCAGGTAATGACAAAACCAGAACTTAACCAGGAATAAACCAGGAGGACTAAACCAGAACTAAACCAGGTCTAAACCAGGACCAAACTAGGACTAAACCAGGACCAAACCAGGACTAAACCAGGAAAAAATAGATCTAAACCAGGACTAAACCAGGAAAAAACAGACCTAAACCAGAACTAAACCAGGAAAATAAACAGAACTAAACCAGAACTAAACCAGCACTAAACCAAGAAAAAAAACAGAACAAAACCAAAACTAAACCAGGACTAAACCAGGAAAAAAAAACAGATCTAAACCAGAACTAAACCAGGGTTAAGACAGGACCAAACCAGAACTAAACCAGAACTAAACCAGGACTAAACCAGGAAAAAAAAACAGATCTAAACCAGGGTTAAGCCAGGACCAAACCAGAACTAAACCAGAACTAAACCAGGACTAAACCAGGAAAAAAAAAACAGATCTAAACCAGAACTAAACCAGGGTTAAACCAGAACTAAACCAGGACTAAACCAGGAAAAAAACAGGACTAAACCAGAACTAAACCAGGGTTAGACCAGGGTTAGACCAGGGTTTAACCAGGGTTAAACCAGGACTAAACCAGGACTAAACCAGCACTAAACCAGGGCTAAACCAGAACTGACCTGTGACTGTGACGTTGCGCCCCCCGTGGTTCTGGCCCTCTCTGCTCTCACACCAGTACCAGCCACTGTCCATGGGGTCAATGTAGCGGAGAAAACACTGGAGCTCTCGTGGTTCACCCCAGCCCTCTCCACAGCGCGTCCCAGAATCCCAGCGTGTGGTCCGGAGCAGGATCCAGTCCGGGTTTTCACAGTCCAAGACCACCGAGTCCCAACGGAAGAACTGGAACTGGTCTGGACTTACCCTGAGGCCTAGACACAAGAATACTGGGTCAGAGACAGGTCTTGACCAACGAGAGTGAGCTTTTAGCCATGTTATATATCATTACCTCATCACAGACATACCTGGAGTTGTGTTTTGTTTCATTCACACATGTTTGAGTAATCCTGCATTATTAGTCTGTTTATATCCCCAAAGCTCAAAATGTTCTGCTCCACCATGTGATGTTATGATGCGATAATTTTCAACTGTATTACTGCATGACATCACAAGGTGGAACAAGGTGTTTTCTGTTTGAGAAAAGAACTTTGTGCGAATTAAACAAAACACAAATCCAGGTATGTTTGTAAGGAGAAAATATGGGCCTTTAAGCACAACAAATTTAAGTCAAAACTGTGTGTTATCCTCCTTGTATCATATTTGGTTCTACATAAAGTCACTAGTTGCTTTTATAATTGTTGAACAGGGGAAATATCAACATTTTTTCCCCCCTTTGCTCAGGTTTATGTGCAGAACTCTGTGTTGGTCATGTGTTTTTCATGCGCGTGTGTGTTCTTGGACTAGCCCCAGATTTGCTTGGATTGCTTTGTGTCTTTCTGAGATGGTGAAGAGTAGCTTTGGTGCATTCTGAGCCTAACCACACCAACATGGCTGAAAGAAAGACCACACTGTATCACCACAACAAAGCTGAAACCTTGTGCAGAAAACTCAATGACTATAACATTGGCCAGGATGTTTTTATTCCTTTTAAAACCTTAACTTACAATATCTACTACTACATAGATCAGTTTTATGTCGTACTATGGAAAATTCCAGGCAAAGCAGTTACATCTTCATGGAGACAAACTTAATGCATGCCCCCATCTAGTCAAGTTATAAATCAGGTCTGTAGAAAAGCAAACCCGCTCACAATTTAGTGCAATGTGTAGTGTAAAATAAAGTGTCATTGTCTCACCTTGGCTCCTGACCCATAGCACCATCAAAACTGAAGCGAACAAAAGCATCTTCAGTCAGCGTTTAAACCACTGGACCAGGGTTAAATCAGGACACAAACAGATCTAAACCAGGACTAAAACAGGTCTAACTCAGCTAACTGGACTTAACGTCACTAAACCAGGACCCAAGCAGGCCTGGGTCTGACTCTCCATCATGTAGAGTTGATTGAGTTTCCTGTTTGTGAGAACTTTGTGGTTTACTAACACCTGCCCTGAACATGAACGCACCACGCTTTTAACTGGGCCAAACCTCAGACCAAGACGGTGCTTTATGTATTTGCTCAGACACTAAAGCAAACCACAATGTCCTTTAACACAAAACTTGAAAGGTTTCACTTTTCAAGAAACAAAACCAGCATTGTTTGTGAAATCTAAACATATTTTTGTCTGTAATATCAATTGTTTTGTTGTAATCCATTAATTTACGCAGAAGAGAGTATTACATTTACTCAACTACATAATGTGATTAGCTTTTTAATAAAATTGTAATCACGGATATGTTATTGCTTTGTCTAGAATGTTTCACAGTATAGATTAAACCTATCTATCTCAATGGAGACTACTATAGGCTAAATTACAGGTCAGATCTGTTGAGCGGCAACCCATAAACACAGAGAATTCTTGTATTTTTGAGCAATAGAAACACCCTTAATGAATAGACGTTACAGTAGATAGATGTGTTTAATGTCATACCATGGAACATTTCAGGCAAAGCAATAACATCTCCATGGAGGCAAGCAGGTGACGGACACTCCAACAGAAAAGTTATACCTTTAATTCCTCAATATCACATCACTGCAAAAGGGAAAACCATCTCATGGATTGGGACAACACTAAGGTCAAAGGTACAAAGAGCTACAAGTATCAGCCTTGTATCAGTTAGGCCAGTGAGATCCGGAAACACGCTCACCAGACTAAATCGGAATGAAGAGGCATAAACAACTTTCTCACACCTGGGATACAGTTCTGAAGAAGTCGGGCTGCAGATGGCACTGTGGTCCTACTGCTCCAAGTAGGAAGACGGCTCCAAAATCTGTTTAAAATCAGCTGATCAGACACGTCACAGCAACATCATGTGACCACAATGAGGAAGGAGCAGAGTGCAGCTGAAACTGTCAAGGTGTAAAATTTACAGAGGTCTGTACACAAGCATCTACAGTACAATTTGTTTACTTCTAATATATTGTACTTTTGGTTAATCTTCCCACTGTGAGGTAGACTACAAATGATACAAGTTTTATGTTGACAATATTAAAAATCCAATATTACACAAAATGTGATCTTGTGATCTCCAGGCCATGTAATAATGTTGTTAGCTCCTCAAAAACATACCTGGAATTGTGGTTTTGGTTCATTCACGTGTTTAATTTACCCTTCATAAAGCTCACATGCTCTGTACAGCTACAACTGCCTTTTACTTTTACCCTTATTTCAGCAGACATTGGCCATTCCAGGTCTGAAATCATCCAAATGATTCTAGTGAAAGTGTATGGAGAATAAATACGTTTGAATAAATAAAATATAATAGAATGTAATAAATTGACTAAGACTGAAATAAAATGTAAAAAAACTTAAAAGTAAAATCTTGGGCTGTTTTCTTCTTTTTTTTTCCAAGTTGATGTTGTTGTTTTTTTTGCACAGAGCTGAAAGTGGATTAACACAATATATATTTTATAACAAGTGATGTAAAAGGGCAAATTGCAAAATAAATAAATAAATAAAAATAATGTCTATTAGTCCATAAGTTTCTTTTCTGCTGCAGTAGTAAAAGTGATAAAACAGTGCTACGTTTGTGATAAGGGCTTTGATTTGGGCCATAATGGAACTTAGCTTCGTGTTTGTCAACCATAATCTGTCCGAAGTCTTCACACGTTGTCAGTATCAAGAGTGTACTTTTTATTAATGTATTATGGAAAAAAGAATCAGATTCTTGTATGCACCAAAAATAAATGTTACGTGATACACTGCAAAAAAGTTAGTGGTTACATGCCTTGAATTTATTATTATAGCTTGATCTGAGTAGCTTTAAATAGTTTAGATTTAGATAACTGATCTATTTCTATATTCATTCAAGGTGTTTATGATTAATTAATTAATTAATTAATTTGTATTATATTGATCAAAATATGTTGAAATTTCCCATTAATCAGGCAGTTGAAAAAGTACAAAAATCTACTCTGCACAGGCAGGTAAGAAAAGAAAAGAAAAAAAACCCTTAAACTTAAAGATGCACTATGTCACTTTTCTGGTGAAGGGCTTGGTGGTGATAGTATTGCTTTACCTGTAATGTTCCATAATAAAGCATAATACTTGTTTCTCTCCATGGAGACAAGCAAGTGGTGTCACAGACCAATTTTAAAGATGTAAGAATGCATGTTTTTCAAGGTATTTTTGTTTAATGCTGTACCGTGGAACATTCCATTTCATCTAAATGGAAACAAGCAGGAGGCAGACTGACCACCACAAAAGTTTCATTCACACATGGTTAACACACAAATCCTGCATCTTTCTGCATAGTTCTTTTCTCAGACAAAATGTGGTGATACAGGAAATGCCTTCACTAGAATCATTTGGATGATTTCGGCTCCAGAATTGCCAATCTCTGTTGAAGGTAAAAGGTAACTGATGACTTGAAAACTACCACTACATGACATTAGGGTGTCATGTAAGGGTGTCATTAAGTTGGAACAGAGCATTTTGAGCTTTGGAAATGTGGCCAGACTAATAATAAAGGGTTATTCAAACATGTATGAAACAAAACACAATTGTAGTGTGTTTCTGATGAGGTAACAACATTATAACATGGCTAAAAGCTCACAAGAATCTTGTGTAATATAGAACTCTATTCTATTCTAGAAATCTATTACCATTTTTAGTGTATTTTCCTCTCTGTACAAGCCCCTCCTCTTTTTACCTGAAACCCTGCCCCCTTGTCTTTGCCTATAAATGATTTTGTCTCCCAGTGTTGTGTTGCTCCATTTCTTTATCATAAACCAAAAAACTTATATATACAAATAATATATTAGATTTTTTGTTTAGATTTTTCGAGAGCAGCAAGTCCACGAAGGGTCTATCCAGAGTTCTTTTAAGGTTGATAGAGTCCACATATAGTTTGTGTCCGAGTCCAGGATGGTCCGCTCTAGACCTTTCCGACTGCTGCTTCTCCCGGTTTTATGGAGCCACGCACTAGGAAGCCCCACTAAAGGTTGGTCATGTTCTTCTCTCAGTAATATCATATTTTTGTATTCAGATTTATCATGAGAGACTATGATCGCGTTCACACTTGCACTTATTTAGTCCTGGTGTGAGCCCAATTTAGTACTAATGTAGTGTGTGTACGGTCCTGGTTTAGTCCTGGGATAGTCCAGGTTTAGTTTCACCATTAGTGTCGGTTTAGTTCTACTTTTGGTATTGTATATGTGCAAGTGTGAACCAACCTTAAAGCATGACTAGACAAGAACTAGGACTGAACTATAACTAAACCAAGACTAAACCAGGACTAAACCATGACTACCTGTTAGGTCTGCCTAAACATTGTAAACAAGAAGAAAGACAAGAGATTAATTCAGTTTTACTCGCAAGGAGAACGGGCAGAGAGCGGGCATCAAAACCAACAGTCTCCACACGTTCTGATGCCTCAAGGCCGCTCTCCTCTTTTTATTTCATTAGGAGGCCCTAGTTACAGAATGATAATTCTCAAGGGGAAGGGGAAACAGTAAAGACATAATAAGAAACTGATGAAGCTATGCATAGTATAAACACATAAAACATGATTAACAATCAGGAGGTGCCTTAGGTCAGACACCATCATAACTCTGGCATGTGTGACAGTGGGAGTTGGCTTCATGTGAGGAATCATCTCGAGGTTCACAAGAGTGATAGGTCACTGCACACAGTTGTCAAACACAAAGAGGTTATTCATTTTCATACAAGTGATTGGTACATTATAAATCAAAAAATTGTAGTTACATAAATGGTTAACTCATAGGCATAGAATATCACACAAGCATTTAGCAAATATGGGATAGTAAAATTATTCTGACACTACCCATTCCTCTGTATTTACTTGCAAGTATTCACAAAATTTGGACTTTGAGCCATATGAATAAAAACACATAAATGAAAATCTGAAAAATGAATAAACACAGCCAAAACAAACAAATATTACTGTATTTTACTTAAGTTTATTTTTGGCTAGATAGGTACACACTGTTGCTTTAAGTAGAAGTAAAAAGTGACCAAAACAATTTCTCAGAGTACTCACAGGCATTATTGAAGAAACAAAACAAAAAACTCAGGTAGAATAAAGAAAGACTGTCCTATATGTATACAAATCACATCAAGTTTCAAAAAGTACTATAATTCAAACTGTTATTAAACTACAAACTAATATGCAAAAAGTTAATAATTAGCCTGAAGATATGGTAAGATCCTGGTTTACGGTCAGAGCAAAGTGTAAAATAGCAGAGCAATAAATTAATAAAACAATAAAACATGCACCAAGGTTGAGATTTATATTGATAAGATGATACTTTCTATTATCAGAGAGATCAAGAGTCTAACCCACAACCTCTTTACTGAGAGGAGGAGACAAGATAATCAAGACTGAACAGAACTAAACCAGGACTGAACCAGAACTAAACCATGACCAGATTAGAATAGATTTAGAGAAGGATTTAGACTAGACCATGACTAGACCAGGATTAAACTAGGGCTAAAACAGGATTGAACCACAACCAAACCGAATGTAGACCAAATTAGAACTAAAGAAGGACTAGGCATGTGTTCACACTTGCACATAGGCCACAGCAAAACTGAGACTAAACTAGGAAAAATCCTGGACTATCCCAGGACTAAACCCGAACTAGAACGTGACCAAAGCAAGTCTACCATCAGGACTAACCTGGGTTCAAACCAGGACCCAACAGGGACAAGATTAGTTCTAGAGTAGGACTGAACCAGGACTAAACCAGGTTCCCAAGACCAGACAAGGACTAAATCAGGACTGGGCCTGGAGTAAAACAAAACTGAGACAGGATTGAACCAATGTAAGATTAGAAGTAGACTAGAGATTAACTAAACCATTACTAAACCAGGACTATACCAGGACTGAACCAGGACTGAACCAAAGCCAGATTAGAAGTACACAAGAGAATAAGTAAACCATAACTAAATCAAGACTAAACCAGGACTAAACCAGGTCTAATCTAGGACCAGACCAGAATTAAACCAGGACTAGACCAGGATTGAGCTAGGACTAAAATAGAAATTGAATCAGAATTGAACCAAAACCAGATTAGAAGTGGAGAATAACTAAACCACGACTCAACCAAGACTCAACAAAGACTAAACCAGGCCTTTACCAAGACTAAACCCAATACTAAAACAAGACTAAACCAACCCTAAACCAAGACTAAACGAGGTCTATATAGGACCAGACCAGGACTAAACTAGGACTGAATGGGGCTTAGTTCAGGACTGATCCAAAACAAAACCAGGAACGGACCCAGACTAGATCAGGTCCGTTTTAGGTCTAAATCCAGGATTGACATGTTGTTGTTGTATTTCAGCGTCTCACAGGCAGGTGGCGACGATGGTGGGTGAGGATTGTGAACTGCCCTGTTCCGTGGACCCCAGCTCAAAAGTCCTGGTCCTGCAATGGAGTAGACCCGATTTAGACCATTCTGGGTACCTCCTGTTCTATAGACACCCACGGGTCCAGAGCCACTACCAGCACCCGAACTACAGGGCCAGAGTCCAGCCCAAAGACCCAGGACTGGACAGGGGAGACCTCAGTCTGATCCTGAAGAATGTCACGCACAATGATACAGCAACATATGAATGTCGCCTGCTCCTAGAGAAACACATGTGGAGGAAAACCACTGTGCAGCTGGTGGTCAGGGGTAAAACAGAACTAAAACCAGGATTAAACCAGAACTAAACCAGGACTAAACCAGGACTAAAACCAGGACTAAACCAGGACTAAAACCAAGATTAAACCGGGACTAAAACCAGGGCTAAACCAAGACTAAATCAGGACTAAAACCAGGATTAAACCAGGACTAAAACCAGGATTAAACCAGGACTAAAACCAGGACTAAACCAGAACTAAAACCAAGATTAAACCAGGACTAAAACCAGGACTAAAACCAGGACTAAACCAGGTACCTAGGATATAATCAGGACTAAACCTGGACTAGACCTGGATTAAAACATGACTGAACAGGGTCTAGACCAGAATGAAACTAGGACTGGATTAGGGCTTCACCAAAATTGAACCAGGATTAATATAAAGAAGTCATAATTTTGTTTTGTGTTGTGTGTAGATGTAAACAGCTGGAGTGAGGAGAAACTGAGTGGGGTCAGAGGACATCTTATGTTTCCTGGTGCTGTTCTTCTTCTACTGATGATGATGATGATGATGATTTTATGCATCATGGTTTTAAAACGGTGGGCAACGCAACCACAGCGAGACTTGAACTGAGAGATTTTGTACTTTTTTCCAGCATTTGTTGCTAAAACTTTTTTCTGGCAGTCATTTTTTTTGCCAAAACTAATATATAAATATAAATATAATATAAATATAAATAAATATAAATATAAATATAAATATAAATATAAATATAAATATAAATATAAATATATATAAAATACCCCCCTCCTAGAGTTGCCACCTTATCGCGGTGGAGGGGTTTGAGGGCTCAGAGTATAGACCTGATCCTGACCAAGGGCAATTCAACACAAACTAAACCAAGGGACATAAAAAGGACTGAACCAGGACTGAATTGGGGACTATTCAGAACCAAGAACCAAACCAAGGATGTAACCAGGACTGACCAAGAAAGAAAACTGGTGTTAAAGGTGTTAATTAAAACAAGACTAGATAAGGTCTAAAATTAAAAGAGGTCAAACAGAAAAGTTACAGAACGAACCTTTAAGAATTTATATGTCAGATGGTCTTACTTTAAATACCCTGTTACTTGCACAGTATGTTGTTATTTATTGAATTTTTTTACATTGTATTTTTTCATTTGGGCAATTGCCCATTTCTTATCATCTTATCATCTGTAATTAGAGATCAATTGATATGTTTTTTCATGGTTGATGCAGATATCGATCATTTAGAATATGGTGCAAGTGATAACAATAAGTTCTGCCAATATTTTTGGGACAATATTTAGGGACGATTTTGATAATTTTCCCCAAATTATGTCAAATTTACTTCAAAATCCCAGGCACTTTTTTTTTTTTTTTTTTTTTTAACCACAAACCTATAAGAGAGCTATGTATCTATCTCTTCGTATTAAAGTGTTAATACAAAGGTTTGTGTGCATTTTTAGGCAGCAGATCGCCCAAAACAAAATATCGGTCTGTGCTGGAGATTTACACTAAAAAGTCCAAATATCGGCATGGTATATCGGCCAAGCAATATATCGGGCTATCTCTATTTGAAATCATGCAGGTCAAATATTAAATAAAGAACACACTATGGTATTTCCAAAGAATTATTTATGTTATATATCACTTTTAAAGGTGCAATGTGTAACTTTTTGGTAGGAGGTCTGTCACCTGCTTCTATGGATACATCATTGCTCTGCCTGGAATATTCCACAGTATGACATTAAACAGCACTAATTTACATTTATTCAATTACAGGTGGTTTTATAGCTCAAAAATACCTAGAAACCAGGCATTCTGTCTGTGAGCGGGGTCACCTCTCCACAGATCTGACCTGTAACTTCGCCTGGTTTGACCTCCATGAGGTTTAATGCCATACTGTGAATCATTCCAGACAAAGCAATAATCAATAAGCAATCTGCATGGAGAATAGCATTTGACAAACCCTCCACCAGAAAAGTTACACAATGTTAACACGATTTCATGATTTCATATTGTCAACATGAAGCTTTTGTCTCTTGTAGACTTAGTCACAAAACCAAAATGTTTACTCAATAAGAGTGCTGTTACACTGTAAAATATATTACTTAAGTAGAAGTAAAAGTGTCTGAAAACTACTATATGTTCAAGTAGGGAACAGTCCAGTTACTGAACTGAACACAAGTTCAGTTTAGTAACTGGACTGAATTTGTGTTACAGTGAACTAACTTTGTATAAAATATTTCACAATGTGTTTTATTATTATTATTATTATTTATTTATTTAAACCACAAAGAAAATAAACTGTAGCATTTTGAAACATTGCAGGTGAAAATAAATACAATGATTTTTCTGAGTACATCACTGTATAAAATATGATCTTGGTGTTATCTAGATATGTAAAAATGACCAAAAGTGCACATTTTCAGTATTAGAATCTAAATAAAGGTTTAAAAATCTTGGACATATTAAAGATGTATTAAAGGTGCACTGTGTAACTTTTATGGAGGAGAGTCCACCATCTGCTGGTCTCCATAGATGTGTTATTCTTTTGTCCTGGATGTCCTGCTGTGGCATTAAACTTATCCATCGTGCATTTACTCAATAACATGAGCTGTTATTGACCTAAAAACTTGCATTCTTACTGTGAATGGGCTCGCCTCTCCACAGACCTGACATGTAACTTGGCCCTTATGATACCACCTGCTGTCTTCATATAGATAAACAAATGTAATGCCATACCGCGGAACATTCCAGGCGGCACCTCCATGGAGAGAAGCAGATACCTTCCACCAGAAAAGTTACACAGTGCAGCTTTAACATGAAGGTGTTGTACCTGATTTATACTGTTTTAAGCTGTTTTAAAAATGAGCATTTACTTGCATTCTGAGCATACTAATTACTCACCACAATGAATTTAAAAGCACTTTTCAAAACTTTCAGAAACCAGAGCAGAGTGCTGCTGTAAAGATGGCAAAACACCTAGTCTCCAAACGCGCACTTCCTGATTATCGGTCAATAAAATGCTTTGTAATTAGATGCAGACAGAACACAACAGACTTATTTTGACCTCATACTCTGCATATTTGTCCCAGTACATATATGTCTGTACTGGGGCAAGATATTTTTTGCTCAAGCACAGAGGAAGGAATCAGACACAGAGCAAATGTAAAAGCCCCGCCCCTCTTGGCTGTGATTGGTTGGAATTGTGGGGTATTGTCTGAGGATGTTCTTCCTGTAGCCGGCTTTAGTTTGAACACAGCTGTAGTTTGAACACGGCTGTAGTCTGAACATGGCTACAGCGTGCATGTTTTGTCTCGTGTTTTCGTATTGGACTTTACCAGCTCATGTCGACTCTCCTCCAGGTAAGACAGGAATTAAACCAGGACTAAACCAGGACTAAACCTCAAACCACAACTAAATCACTACTAACAGAACTAACCAGGACTAAACCTGGGGCTAAACCACAACTAAATCAGGACTAAACCAGGACTAAACCAAGAACAAACCAGTAATAAATCAGAACTAAACCAGGACTAAATCAGAACCTAGAGGTTCTGTCCAATCTTTGTTCTAGTAGTTAAATTCGCGTCCTCATACATTTGTTGTGATAATTCCTAGTGACAGTATCTGACAGCTGTGTGCTGGCTGCATCAAATTTAAAACTGTTTTTATTTCATTCACAAACAGGAAGTCAGATTGGAATGCTTACTCTCACTTGGTCCATGAAAGTTGTGAAATGTGCTTGTATACTAAGACCTGGTCTTAAGAATGAGGCATGAGTTTGGACTGAGGCCAACAGTGAAACTGGGGCAGGTTCAAATCTGCCAAAATGTCATTGCAGTGAAAAAGGCACACACATAGCTGGAATTATATGACCGTTATGACTTAAAGAAACCTCATGTAACTTTTGTGGTGTGTTGGCGCATCATCTGGTTGTCTCCAAGAAACTGTTTGACAATATGGTTTAAAATTATATCTTTTGTCACTGTGGCCATTTTGATTTCTCCACAGATCAAACCTGTACTGGGCCTTGTGCCATACTCTACTTGCTTACATGGTGATTATGCCACACTGTGGAACATTCCAGGCAAAGCAATAATATCTCCATAGAGACAAGCAGATGGCTGACACTCTCAGAAATGTTACATAGCGCATTTAGATTAGATTAGATTAGATCATCTGAATGCTGAATTTAAACGACAAATTAGGACTTCAAACATGCTCAGAAGGAGCAGGATAACCAGCATTGAAAAGACCAAAAATAAACCAGGACCAGGACCAGGACTGAGGAAAGGACCGCTGTGTCTGACAATATTCAAATGATTTTACAGTGACTCCTTGCAGAGCAAACAGAAGGAGCATCACCTCCAACTCACAAACCAAAACAAACCAGATCAGCAGGTCATTCTGATTTGTGCCCAACATAAAATAAACAAAGAATCAGAGGGGCACAGGAGGCTGCTGCATCAAAAGTCATGCTCAGTGGCAATTGCTGTGATGTCATAATCCCGCGTCACAGGGGGAGGGGCCTCCTCTGCAGAGACCAAAAAGAGTAATTTTACAATTATGAGAAATTATTATTTTCTGTTGTAAATTTGTACTTTTAACCTTTTCTGCTTAATATAGAATAGAATATTATTATAAATATTATAAAAGCAGCAGTTTGTGTCAAAAATCAGACCACTGCACACTGTGTTTGCAAATAACAAAAAAATCACTTTTTTGGTGACAAACCAAGAAGAAAGAGGCACATGTAGCAAATGTGGTTCAAAGAATAAAAATACCTGCATTAATTTGAATAAATACAAAATTATTTTAATGCCACAATGTTGAACATTTCCACACAAAACATCTCCATCCATGGAGACAAACAGGTAGCACCACCGAGAGTGGAGTGAATCAATAATGTGAAGGAATGTCTTTCAGTGTAAAATATAAAATCTATATAGATACATGTATGTACATTTTTATTACTAAACTGACTGCAGCAGTAGTGGAGTTTTTCACAGACAAGGCCCCTCACCTGCTTTGCATGTGTCTGCAGAGAGAGACCATGATAACAGTGGACAGCACATAGGGACACAGCACCAGCAGGTGGCAAATCAGAGCCACAGCCAGGGGGCGCTCTGAGGGGGGAGGAGTCTCTGCTGAGGGGGGTGAAGTCTCACTGAAGGGGCTTGGGGTTGGGTCAGTGGGTGGTCTTAACTCTGTGAAAGAAAACATATGAGTCAAACAGCAACAGTGAGGTGCAGTTTATGGCGCTTTATTTCATTAGTGTTAAATAGAGCTGGGCAATATCTCATGATCTGCTATGTTGGTAAAACTGCCATATTGTGATACACAAACCTTCTCGTTGATGCAGCTCTATGCTCAAACAACAACTCTCTGACTTTTCAGAAGAAGAAGATAACTCTAATAACCTTTTTAAATACACTATAAATATGCTAGCCATGAATGGTGATCTGGCTCCAACTGTATCACCCTCCCCTATTGTTAAAAGTGTTGAAACACTAAAACTAAACCATGACTAAAGTCAGCTGTAGTTGGTGGTACTGAGGACCTGTGCTGCTGAGCTGTTTTCAGTCTGGAGTTACCTTGTGCAGACACAGTAATGCTGAGAGCTTCAGACATGTGTGCTCCTCGCTCACACCAGTACAGACCACTGTCCTCTGGAACAAGTGCCCCAACTGTACACACAGAGTCCTTAAGTCTGCCCCAGTCATCCTCACAGCGCCCCCGGGTGTTTGTGCTGGTGTTTCTGACCACAACCCAGGGTCCAGAGGCCTCAGGAGGAGTGCAGCTCAGAGACACTGAGTCCCATCTGACGAACTGGAGCCTGTCTGGACTCACCCTCAGACGCACTGTGAGAGACACAATATTTTCACACGACAGTGACTGTCCTCTGTCCACAGTTTATGGCTGGAGCAGAGCTGAGTAATTATAGGGTAATGAGTGATCTGGAAATGTTAACTGGAGACATGCACACATTATAATGCAGCTTTCACTTGGTGTCCAGTAAAACATAAATACTATTTTCTGAGAGGAAGTTAGTGCCCACTGTCTGAGAAACGGCATTGTAGAGGCAGAGCTGATTAAGCTCATAAAGCAGATATTTCCTTCACCAGATTAGAGGTATACACCTTGTTTCCATCAAGTTTTTAAAAAAGAGTTCATAACAAATGAGAGATAATGTTGTTTAGGTTCAAAATATTGAGTCACAAACAGAAGCAGAAATGTGTATAGCCCGATGTGCACATGTTTTTTTTTCTACATATATGTGAATAAAAATATGCCTGGAATACAATATTAGATCAGGGCTAATAGGTGAAAATAGAGTTGAGAGACTGACCTTGGAGTGTGGGGTAGAACGGACAAGTAAAGGCCAATAAAGTCCAAACTACACAAAAGAGATAATTTTAAAGAAGTTGTTAACTTCTAAAGAAAAACCTGAGTAGTTATACTCACAGAGCAGAGTGGTGGCTTCCATCACACCTGTTCCTCTAGTGATGTTTGTGAAGCTCTTCCTGTGAGCTCTTCTCTTTTTTTCAGACCAAACCACAAATGACTAATGCAGCTCCTCATTTTGCTCAGACCAGTCTCTGCATTTGCACCACAAATGTAACAAGAAAGTGCTTTTGTGTTTTAGACTCTTCATATTTACATGTCCAGGAAAAACAGACAACCCAATAACTCAATATTCAGATAACCCACTAATCTGATTTTTTTTCATAATTTTCTGGACCTTAAAGTAGTCAGAGAGACCATGATTGGAAAGAAATCAGCAAGAAGGTCCCATGTTTTAGCCCTGAACCAGTGAGGCCTTTGTGAGTTTGCATGTAGCAGAGGTTTTTTCAGTTTTTCTGTTTTTCAGATAAAATGTGATGATGTCATACTCTCAGATGGAGGGAACAGTTTTCCCTATTGATAACATTGTACTTTCATAAATGTTGAACCTGACCATTTTTATTAGTGACTAGACCCAGGAAAGGATAGTTGCAGTTCTCAACTCTTTTAGTGCCCACCTCTGTATAAACAATCTTTTAAAGGACAGCTTTATTTACAATGGTTCAAGATTAACTGAAGCACTTTGAGTGACTAACACATCACACACACATGGCTCCTATGGCTCCTATGGCCAAGTGATCAGATAGAAATCAGATGATTTTGCTGTTTACATATGATTGTAATAATCCTATAACTCCAGATCTGATCATAATCAGTGCACATGTATTTTTCTTGTATGTAAACGTAGTGGAAGCCACTTTACATTGCGCAGAGACTGTCATTAACACTGTTAACTTTGTCTGTTTTAGTGCCAGAGAGAATCAATACCCAATTTAAACTGGAACTTCACTGTCGGGCTCATGAAGGTGAAGTTGTGATCCTTGAATGGAAACTAAAGAGTAAAGACAGATATGTCCTTTTGTACAGAGACGGCAAAGTGCGACATAATGACCAAAACCCATTTTTCTCAAACCGAGTGGAACTCAAAGATTCACATTTCAAGTCTGGAGATCTCAGTGTGATCCTGAAGAACATTACCTCAATGGACAGTGGGATGTACACGTGTGAGGCTAAAATTAAGACTTCACACAGAGAAAAGGATATCTACCATGAAATGAATGTGACAGTGATCGAAGCAGGTGAGCGTTTGCTGAATTATTTCATTATCTCATTTGATTTATTGAGTTATGGCTTTAAAAACAACAAAAGTCATCATAATGTGATAGTTTAATTTAAACGTCAGTTAATATTGTTAAAAAGTCCATATTTATGTTCATATTTCTAAATGAATGTGCACCCTTCTATTGAGATTCTGTGAGATTAACAATGTAAACTCTGTGACTCTGTTGAAGATGAGCTGTTTGTGAATCAGTCTGGAGTGGTTGAGCTGCCATGTTCGTCTCCAGGGGGCGCCACAGTTCATGATCTAAAGTGGACTCTGCAGGATCAGGAAGGGAAAGAGCATCACCTCCTTCACTTCAGGTGGGTTGGGTCAGAGAAAGACTCATATTAAGTTTAAGGTGCACTTTATTGTCCTCGTTTGTCCCCTGCATATGACCCATCCTTCAGTGCTGCAGGGGCAGGTCAGGAGCAGTGGCTGTAGTAGGAAACTAGACCCAAGGAGAACATGCAAACTCTGCACAGAAAGTGGACTCATGAGTTGACTGCACAGACTGAGGAATTGTTACCCATGGATCAGGACATGGACGTAGTGACACAGTGACCCCAAAATAACCCTAGGAAACAGAGATTCCAATTTTTTTTTTTTCTTGGTGGTGCCCACCTCTGTGTGAATAATCCTTTAAAGGGTCCATATTACATTATTTTCTGATCTATGTTATAATGTTCCTTCATGATGTGTGTTTTGTTTCATTCTCACATGTTTAACACATAAACACTGTGTATTTAGGCTGCATTCTTCTCACAAACAGAAAACACTTCTGTTCCACCTTGTGATGTCATGAATTACCACAGGAAGTGCTCCACTGTGTTTTTAAACCCCATACACTCTCACTAGAATCATTTGATTAATTTCAGCTCTGGAATTGCCAATAGGTACTGCAGAAATGGACTTTGAGCTTTGGAGAGTGACTAATAATAAAAGATTACTCAAATGTGTGAATAAAACAAAACACAACTCTGGATATGTTTTTGACAAGGTGAAATGTTCTAACAAGGCTGAAAGCTCACAAGAGTCAATTTTGTATAATATAGAACCTTTAAAGCAGGGGTGTCAAACTCATTTTGGTCCGGGGGCCATATCCAACCTACTTTGATCCCAAAGGGGCCGGATCAGAAAACTCATGGCATATACACCCCCAAAATAACAATAAGTTCAAATATTCATGCAGAGAAACGCAAATCTATTACAGAAATCTTTTTTTAATTGATGAACTCTTTCTTATTATAATATAATATTTGAAACTTGTATTCAAATAGGAATAAGTCAGTTTTTCTTGGAAAATCCTGCACTCGGTGTTCACTTTTCTCATTTTGGACATTTTGTTGATGAGGGTGTCACGGTCAACAGTCAAAACGATCGTCATTTAACAGCGTTTGGAAAGAGACAAGTCTTCATTTGTGCTGCTCTGGTGGGAGGGGCCACGTACAGAGACGCTGGAGACACTGCTGTGATAAACACCACAGAAAATTAACAAAATTTTAATATAAAATATAATTAAAATATTTTAGTAGAAAATCACCCAAGGGCCACATTAAAAGGTCTTGGAGGGCCGGATCTGGCCCCCGGGCCTTATGTTTGACACCTGTGCTTTAAAGGATAGTTTTAATTACAACAGTTCAAGATTAACTGAAGCACACATCACACATACGTGTCCTACAGATATGGCCAAGTGACCTATCAAGACCCATATTGGTCAAACCGAGTGAAGCTCCGAGATCCAGAGCTGAAGTCTGGAGACCTGACCATGAAGCTACTGAATGTGACCATGGAGAACAGTGGGACATACATCTGTGTGGCTCAAAGTCACTCTTCAGATAGAAAAAAGAAAGTCTTCTTACACCTTATTCCTCTGACAGTAAATCCAGGTGAGAGCTGAGCTTCTACAGGGTATGAGTATCAAAGGGGCAAAAGTGACATTTTGGGTCAAATTTTGTTATATACAGTTCTCCAGCAAGAACCAGGAGTACACAGCAGCACATTTTTAAACTGGCCAACAAGATAAACTCTCTTGATATTTGTGAGTTCACAAACTCCAGAGCAACAGGGCAGCATTTTGGTTTGGAGTAGTTGTACTTCAGCCTATTTCAGCAGAAATACAGACGATTGTGTTTTTGAAAATGTGCAGAAGGGAAGTGAGGGGAAAGATGCCTGTGCTTTTCTCTAAACTGGATTTAACAAAAATTTTAAGTCTCTACTCTGTTGAGACACTTTGACCAGTTGGGTTCAAATATGAGGTTTCACCTTGAGTGAGCCACATCCAGCCTCAAACATGTGTAGAACTCAGAGAGCAGAAACGACATGTTACAGGTGTAAGCTCTTCTGTCACATTATTGTTAAGAAATATAAGCCCCCATGGTGCTCAGGTGGTGTGAGACACTCACCACATATCTGTCTCTCCATTACAGCTGTTCTGTTCCTTAAAGCTTTCAGGGCAGAAAATCTTTAAAATAATCATGCCCTTTTGGTTCTCAGCCCTCCTCAGTCATTGTTCACCCATATGTTAATTTTCATGTACTATGTTTTTACAGAGATGAAGCCTTCACAGAAAGGAGCTCAGCACATTGAAATATATTCTGCTATTGCAGCTCTGGTTGTTATTATTATTATTGCCATTTTTGCTTTTGTTTATTCTAAAAAATGTAAAATGAAATGTGGCGCCTCCATTGAGAATGGTTCTGATCCTGAGGGTCCCTCTCAGAGCAGGAGGGAGTCCAAAGACATTCTTCTGGGATCACACGAAGCAGAAGGAAATGGAAAGTTTAAGGAAATATCCCAGAAAAAAAGAGGTGCACCAACTAACTTTTCAGCTGGATGGGCCGCCTATGAAGATGTTACTGCTTTCCCTAGAAAGTAATTAGCATTGGAACATTTCCATCCCTATTATTCTTTATTTAATGTTGCACCATAACGCCAAAGCTTGTTCCTAGTTTGTTTATTTTGTTCACTGATAAACACTCTACTAGAACAAAATACAACCAAAGAATGAACAATGACTGACTTTATACTTTTGGTATAGGGACAACAATAAACAAGAGTTAAGTGTCTGGAACATGGTGCAGATTTCAAACTGTTGCAATGAGATTAGTTTCTAGGAAAAATGTGATATGTACAATAATAATGACAATTGTAAATGTTTAAATTATTTTATACTTAAATAAAATGCACATAATAACTATACAGTAGTGTTTTGGAGTGATAAGACACAAGTATAGACGCTTTGTTGTTGGTACTTGAGCCCTCTGAGCAGCAGGTGGCGCCGTATGACAGTCTTAAGTTCTGTTCATAAACCTATTGTCATACAGTATAAGTAATGGGCTTCAACTTTACAGCCCAAGTACAGACTGTCAGAAATATTGGATAGCCAGGTTATGATAAGAATAGATTATGTCCATTTTAATTGTCTTTAAAGAAGAGCGAGAGGGATGGTGAAGGGGGCATAGGAAGAAGAGACAGGGTGGGTGGAGAGAGAGAGAGGAAGAGGAAGAGGGAGGGAGGGAGGAGAGAGCAAAAGGGAGGAGAAAGAAGAGGGAGGGAGAGACAAGCTGGCTGTGGGTGGGGTCAGATCAGGACTAAACCAGTTTAAACCAGGTCCTCTGAGGTCACGCGCTGTAGATATTTTCTCTTTTGGTTTAAGGTCACATTTCATGGACTTATAGCCAAGTCTTTGTTTAGACCTGGCTTAGACCTGGTTTACTCCAAATAATTTTATACAAATTCCTTTATGAATTCTGGATATGTTTCTTTATGATAGAGCTGTGCTTTTCATAGTACAGAAGGGACTTTAATATTTTTACTGCACTGAAAATAGATTTGGCTTTTGAAAACTGAATAGACAAAGTGTGTATGCAAGCTTACAACATGTTCTGAAGTGCACTTTTTGCCAATGAACTCTTCTGAAATGCATGTGGTTACTCAGGATTGTATCTGGTTTCAGTGGAAGGCGTGGCTCATGTTTGATTATTATTTGAAGGTGATTTGAATCTCAGTTCAGAGCAAGTACCTGAAACTACTAAAGATATAGTACGTATATTTAGGTATTTTAAGTTTATGTAGGTATTTTATTAAGCATTCAACATTTGTTAGTTATAGTTTGTTTATCAGGAGATTGAGATGGTGAAAAAGTCTAAACCTGAACCAGGATTAATACTATGACAAGTCAATCTAAAAAGACTCAAACAGGTCGAGACATATACAATAGAGTATTTAAGGTGTAATGAGTCTAAACCAGGAGTAAATCAGGTTACCGAGGTCTACTCAGGTCACGCACGTTAGACATTTTCTCTTTTGGTTTTGTTTTGTGTCACTTAGTGTTGGACTATTGCTATGGTGCTGAATAACAAAGGCTAAGGTCACATTCTTTGGAATTATAGTTAAATCTTTGTTTAGACCTGCCTTAGACCTGTTTTTGTTCTGTCGTAGAGCTGGTTTACTCCAAATAATTTAATATAATTTTCTAATAAAGTGTATGAATTCTGTAGATGTGCACATTTACACATCTATCATGCTTGTATGTTTTAATGTTTGTTTATGGTAGGTCTGAGCTTTCGTGTCTGTTTTAATGTGAACTAGTGTGAGTTATGAGGAGTTATTTTGAAAACGTGCTCCCTCAGCCTGTTTTATTGTTGTTGACTCTAGTTAATGTATAATGAGTCCCTGAGGGTTTTGGATCACAGCCCAGAGTCCAGAGGCCGCCATTTGAAGAATCAGCCAGAGACATATCAACTGTTGTGAGAAAGATACTCATTTGTTCAACTATATCAGATGGAAACATTCATGATTAGTTTTAGGTAATGTCCTCCTTAAGAGTTCATTTGCAAAAACAAATATACATATATGAAAATATAATGGAGTGGACTCACCCTGGCAGCACAGGATCAGGCCTTGAGCACCAGGGCAATAGAGGCCAAGATCTACAAAGACCAAGTGTAAAGAGGTCCCTGAGACAGTTCAGGTTAGAACATAACCAAGATAAGAGGTAACCAAAGAAACCAAGATAACCAAGGCAAGATGCTGGCAGGTAGAACAAACATGGAGCAGCACAACATAGTGTACAGAAACATCAGTGCAGAGTACAGACTGGGGACTCCACGGTCAAAGTGGGGAATCTGTGGTGCCTGTGGTCATTGGAACACTGGAGGACGCCACAGCAGATCTCAGAAAAACATCAGACATCTCAGTCCAGAAGAGTGCAATACCAGGAGTTCCCAGGCCCCTGGTAGGTCCTATTGCTTCAATGAATGAGGTGAGAAGGAACTTTAATATTTTTACTGCGCTTAAATAGATTTAGCTTTTGAAAACACTGATAGACAAAGAGTGTATGTGAACTTAAAACGACTTTTGAAGTGCACTTTTTGCAGTTGAACTCTCATGGGGTATAAAAGCAGCTAAGGTAATATTAGATCTCTACAAACAAGTTTTGAAATGCTTTTATTGTTTTTTGTTTACAGTTCATCTTTCAGACTTCTCTGAAAAGACTAAACCTGTCTGACAGGTGGTTTCTTTCAGTGGAAGGTGTGGCTCATATTTGTTTTTTATTTGAATGTAACTTGGCTATCAAAACCCATGACAGGCACACCCTGCATTCAGAGCAAATAATATCTGAAGTCTGAAAACTACTGAAGACATTGTACTTTTATTTAAGTCTACAGCATTTGTTGTTGCTATAATTTGTTTGTTTATCAGGAGATTGAGATGGTGAAAAAGTCTAACCCTAAAACAGGACTAATACTATGACAAGTCAATCTGGAAAGACTCAAACAGATAGAGACATATACAATAGAGTATTTAAGAGTAAACCAGGAATAAACCAGGTCTAAACCAAATCTAAACCAGATCTGAACCAGGATCGAACCAGACCCCAGTTTAGTTGGCATGTCCACAAGACCAAAGGCACAAAATTATGGAAACTCCAAAGTCAAAGTGAGAAATAAGAGGACTAACCCCCAGTGTGGAGGAGGGGCTATACAGACATCTCATTTCAGAAAAGTGCAGTACCCTCAAGTGTTCAGGCCCCTGGTAGGACCCGAGCTTCAACAGATGAGGTGAGGAGGACTTTACATACTGTATATACAGTATTTTTACTGCATCAAAATACATTTGGCTTTTGAAAACACTGCTAGACAAAGAGTATATGTGAACTACAACATTTTTAAGTGAACATTTTGCAAATTAACTGACATATTTTGTTTTGTTTACAGTATATCTTGGTCTAAATCCGTCTGACAGGACGGTGTGGCTCTTTATTTGGTTTAGTCTGACTGTGACTTGAATCGCAGTTCACATCAGGATGTTGTGAAAAAGTCAGTCTCTGCAGATGGGCAAGGACGGGCCCGGTTAGTACTTGGATGGGAGATCGCTGGGAATATCAGGTGCCACAGTGGGCAGCCAGTGGTAAAAACTGTTGCTTGGCAAAACACTTCATCCACATTGCCTAAAATGAAAGTGGTGTGTGTGTGTGTGTGTGTGTGCGCGTGTGTGTGTGTGCGCGTGTGTGTGCGTGTGTGTGGGGGGGATAATGATGATGATGATGATTATTATTTTTACCTCCGCCAAGGAGGTTATGTTTTTGCCGGCGTTTGTCTGTTTGTTTGTTTGTTTGTTTGTTTGTCTGTTAGCAACATAACTCAAAAAGTTATGGACCGATTTTGATGAAATTTTCAGGATTTGTTGGAAATGTGAAAAGTAAGAACTGATTTCATTTTGGGGGTGATCCGGAAGAAATCCTGGATTCTGGATCACTTTGAAATTTTAGTTAACATTGTGGTAAATGGGGCCAAAAATTTTGTTTCTCAATATCTCGATTAATTATTGACCAAACCCCATGAAATTTGACTCAGGGATGGACAATTGGATCCTCTTTCATATTCCAAATTGAAAGATACGAGACAAAATATTTATGGAAAACACAATTAATATGAGGGGGACTGTAGTCCTTGGCGGAGGTCTGCGCTCTCTGAGTGCTTTTCTAGTTGGTTTTGCGTATAACATGCGATTAATTGCGATTAATCACTCAAACTCATGTGATTAATCGCGATTAAAAAGTTTTATTTTTGCCCAGCCCTATTATTATTATAATGTTTCTAAACCAGGTCTAATCCAAGTGTGTGTTGAACTGAGGTGAACTCTAGTTTTATTTGTTTTGAGTCTGGTGTAATGTGGCTGTGACAGATGGTTTCCAAGAAGTAATGTCTCAAGTATTTATGTAAAGCAGAAGATATTACGTGCATATATAATCTTGGATTGTTTCTGGATTGGTTTTTTCCGTCCCGCCTAACAGCAAAGTTACTGGCAACAGTCACTTAAACAAATATGAGTGTTAAACCATTGATTTCAATTTAATTGTAGTTATACTTACAACTCCAGTCATTCACAAAACTGAGCTGTCATAATCACACATTTACATAGTTATTTAAAAACATGAATCTTAATTTATACTAATAAATAAAGTGTATTTCTCCTCTACAGGTACACTTTGACAGTAAATACCTGATATATAAGATACAGTAACTTAACTGATCAACAGTGAGGAGAAAATCACTTGTCATTGTGCTAATAATAAATGTAATATAAATCACAAAATAAGTAATTATATATATATATATATATATATATATATATATATATATATATATATATATAATATCCCAGAAAAAAAGAGGTGCACCAAATAACTTTTCAGCTGGATGGGCCGCCTATGAAGATGTTAGTGCTTTCCAAAGTAATTAGCACTGAACATTTCAATCCATATTATTCTTTATTTAATGTTGCACCATAATGCCAAAGCTTGTTCCTAGTTTGTTTATTTTGTTCACTGATAAACACTCCACTAGAACAAAATACAACCAAAGAATGAACAATGACTGACTTTATACTTTTGGTATAGGGACAACAATAAACAAGAGTTAAGTGTCTGGAACATGGTGCAGATTTCAAACTGTTGCAATCAGATTAGTTTCTAGGAAAAATGTGATAATGTACAATAATAATGACAATTGTAAATGTTTAAATTATTTTTATACTTAAATGAAATGCACATAATAACTATACAGTAGTGTTTTGGAGTGATAAGACACAAGTATAGACGCTTTTGTTGTTGGTACTTGAGCCCTCTGAGCAGCAGGTGGCGCCGTATGACAGTCTTAAGTTCTGTTCATAAACCTATGGACAGTATAAGTAATGGGCTTCAACTTTACAGCCCAAGTACAGACTGTCAGAAATATTGGATAGCCAGGTTATGATAAGAATAGATTATGCCATTTTAATTGTCTTTAAAGAAGAGCGAGAGGGATGGTGAAGGGGGCATAGGAAGAAGAGACAGGGTGGGTGGAGAGAGAGAGAGAGGAAGAGGAAGAGGGAGGAGGGAGGAGAGAGCAAAAGGGAGGAGAAAGAAGAGGGAGGGAGAGACAAGCTGGCTGTGGGTGGGGTCAGATCAGGACTAAACCAGTTTAAACCAGGTCCTCTGAGGTCACGCGCTGTAGATATTTTCTCTTTTGGTTTAAGGTCACATTTCATGGACTTATAGCCAAGTCTTTGTTTAGACCTGGCTTAGACCTGGTTTACTCCAAATAATTTTATACAAATTCCTTTATGAATTCTGGATATGTTTCTTTATGATAGAGCTGTGCTTTTCATAGTACAGAAGGGACTTTAATATTTTTACTGCACTGAAATAGATTTGGCTTTTGAAAACTGATAGACAAAGTGTGTATGCAAGCTTACAACATGTTCTGAAGTGCACTTTTTGCCAATGAACTCTTCTGAAATGCATGTGGTTACTCAGGATTGTATCTGGTTTCAGTGGAAGGCGTGGCTCATGTTTGATTATTATTTGAAGGTGATTTGAATCTCAGTTCAGAGCAAGTACCTGAAACTACTAAAGATATAGTACGTATATTTAGGTATTTTAAGTTTATGTAGGTATTTTATTAAGCATTCAACGTTTGTTAGTTATAGTTTGTTTATCAGGAGATTGAGATGGTGAAAAAGTCTAAACCTGAACCAGGATTAATACTATGACAAGTCAATCTAAAAAGACTCAAACAGGTCGAGACATATACAATAGAGTATTTAAGGTGTAATGAGTCTAAACCAGGAGTAAATCAGGTTACCGAGGTCTACTCAGGTCACGCACGTTAGACATTTTCTCTTTTGGTTTTGTTTTGTGTCACTTAGTGTTGGACTATTGCTATGGTGCTGAATAACAAAGGCTAAGGTTACATTCTTTGGAATTATAGTTAAATCTTTGTTTAGACCTGCCTTAGACCTGTTTTTGTTCTGTCGTAGAGCTGGTTTACTCCAAATAATTTAATATAATTTTCTAATAAAGTGTATGAATTCTGTAGATGTGCACATTTACACATCTATCATGCTTGTATGTTTTAATGTTTGTTTATGGTAGGTCTGAGCTTTCGTGTCTGTTTTAATATGAACTAGTGTGAGTTATGAGGAGTTATTTTAAAAACGTGCTCCCTCAGCCTGTTTTATTGTTGTTGACTCTAGTTAATGTATAATGAGTCCCTGACACTGTTGGGCAAGTTACTTTGAAACTGTAATGCGTTATTTATTACCTATTACTGTCATTTCAAAGTAATTCGTTACATTACAATATTACTGCATTTAAAATGTAAGGCATTACATTACTATTGCATTACTTTAAGTTACTCTCACCAAAATAACTTTTGCGCTGTATATGGACTGAACCAGGACTAAACCAGGTCTAAACCAGGACTAAACCAGAGCTGAACCAGGACTAAACCAGAACTGAACTAGGACTAAACTAGAACTGAACTAGGACTAAAACAGGACTCACTGTAGGGACGGGCTCGAAGGTGACCGCAGGAGAAAGGAGCGGCTCTGCTCCGCACCTCACGGAGGTAAGAGCGGCTGTCACCCTGATGCTCGGGCTCGCGGCCCTGATTTCAGCAACTATTTGCAGGTACCCGAGCCGGTGCAAGAGTCTGTTACAGCGCGTAACTTCTACCTTCCTTCAGCGTGTTCAGAAGCCCAACTTTTTGTGTGATGGTTTGCATCTTCCTCTGTCTTTTGGGTGCGAGTGCAGGAGCCTTTGTCGGTGCAGAACGTTTCGTCGACGTTGTGGGTTTCGTCGGGGAGAAAACTTGCAACCGTACAGCACTTCAGAATCACACTGCTACAGATTGAACATGTATTTAAATTTGGCAGCTGAACACATTCTGTACTGTACTGTACAGGAGACAGGAGTCCCTTGGCCAGTCAGGACGCAGCGGGAGGAACGCAATACGCATTCATACAATGTAAAAAAAAAAAAAAAAAAAACAGGGCATGCAAAATTGCACAAAAAAAAAAAAAAATAAAATAAAATAAAAAATATGCGAGACAGCGAAAAGTAAACTGCGATAGAGGGAGGGACGAGTGTAAACCAGGTCTAAACCAGAACTGACCCAGGTCTAAACCAGGTCTGAACAGCGTGGAGTTCTTTGTCAGTCCTTTCACCCGCGGGTCACCTGAAGGTCCACGAGGGCGCATCTCCGGCGTTTCCCCGCTGCTGATATCGAGGTGATTTTAGTGAATTTGTATGAAGAAAAACCACCACTTCAATCCAGGTTAAAAATGCACTGTAACGCGCGTTACTCACATTTGTACCGAGTAAAATATTACAATTTTTTTCCCCTGTAATGCCTTACATTACTGCGTTACAGCAAAAAGTAATGCATTACTGTAATTCGTTACTTTTATAACGCGTTACTCCCAACACTGGTCCCTGAGGGTTTTGGATCACAGCCCAGAGTCCAGAGGCCGCCATTAGAAGAATCAGCCAGAGACATATCAACTGTTGTGAGAAAGATACTCATTTGTTCAACTATATCAGATGGAAACATTCATGATTAGTTTTAGGTAATGTCCTCCTTAAGAGTTCATTTGCAAAATCAGATACCATCGTTTCAAATTTTTTATCTGAAATTTTGCCTTTTATATTCTAAAATGAATATTATACATAGACATTATTATTTTTACTTAATAATGAAAATATAGTGGAGTGGACTCACCCTGGCAGCACAGGATCAGGCCTTGAGCACCAGAGCAATAGAGGCCAAGATCTACAAAGACCAAGTGTAAAGAGGTCCCTGAGACAGTTCAGGTTAGAGCATAACCAAGATAAGATGCTGGGTGGGAGAGCAAACATGGAGCAGCACAATATAGTGTACAGAAACATCAGTGCAGAGTACAGACTGGAGACTCCAAATTCAAAGTGGGTGAATCAGTGGTGCCTGTGGTCATTGGAGCACTGGAGGAGGCCACAGCAGATCCCAGAAAAACATCAGACATCTCAATCCAGAAGAGTGCAGTTCCAGTGCCCAGGCCCCTGGTATTGCTTCAAGGAATGAGTTGAAAAGGAACTTTAATATTTTTACTGCACTAAAATAGATTTGGCTATTGAAAACACTGATAGACAAGGAGTGTATGTGAACTTACAAGAATTTTTTAGGTGCACTTTTTGAAGGATGAACTCTCATGGGATATAACAGCAGCTAAGGCAATATTAGACCTCTACAAAAAAAAAAATTCTGAAAAGTTCTGAAATGGTTTTATTGTTTAAGTTTTCAGTTCATGTTTCAGACTTCTCTGAAAAGACTAAACCTGTCTGACAGGTGGTTTCTTTCAGTGGAAGTTGTGGCTATTTGTTTTTTATTTGAATGTTACTTGACTATCAAAAAACATGACAGGTAAGGCAAGGCAAGGCAAGGCAAGTTTATTTGTATAGCACAATTCGTACACAAAGTAATTCAAAGTGCTTTACAGAATAAGAAATACATTAAAATCATAATAAAAACAAATCAAAACATAAATAATCATGAAGATTAAAATTAAAAAAGAGAGAAGAGTGCAGAATGAAAACCTTTCAGTTATATGCACAGTTAAACAGAAATGTACACCCTGCATTCAGAGCAAATAATATCTGAAGCCTGAAAACTATTGGAGACATTGTACTTTTATTTAAGTCTACAGCATCTGATAGTTATAATTTGTTTATCGGGAGATTGAGATGGTGAAAAAGTTTAAACCTGAACAAGGTGTAATACTATGACAAGTCAATCTAGAAAGACCCAAACAGATATATACAATACAGTATTTAAGAGTCTATCAGGACTAACCAGGACTAAACCAGACCCCAGACCCCTAGCTGGCATGTCCACAAGACCAAAGGCACATACCTGCAGAGCATGCAAACTCCAAAGTCCAAGTGGGAAATAAGAGGGCAAACCCCCAGTCTGTTTCTGTTTCATTCACAGTATATGTTTTTTGTGTGTCTGAACCTGTCTGACAGGACGGTGTGGCTCTATTTGGTTTTATTTGACTGTGATTTGACTCTCAACCAGGTCTAAAGCAAGTGTGAGCTGAACTAAGGTGAACTCTCTATAGGTTTTGTTTTGTGAGTTTATTTTGTTTGGTGTCATGAATTTGCACGCTCTCATGTGGTTAAGCTTCCTGGTTTATCCTGCACTTTATTGCTTCAGGGAGGAACTTGTTTTCACTGTGACAGATGGTTGCCTGTATGAAGTAATGGCTAAAGTAGATTTATGCAGTGCAGTAGATTTATGTGCACATATAATCTTCCTGGATTGTTGTTGAATTGTTTTTTTCCGTCACTCCTAACAGCAGTTAATTAAAAAATGTCAATTAAAAATGAGAAGAAATATGAGGGTTGAACCACTCATTACATCTTAGTTATAATTATGGCTTGAATAATTTATGAAACTGAGAATCATAATCTCAAATTTACATTTATTTAAAAACATGAATCTTAAATTATTATAAGTAACAAGTCTATTCCTCCGCTAAAAGGTCACTTTGACAGTAAAGGCATGATATATAAGTAGGGCTGGGCAAAAATTTTAAAAATTATCGCAATTAATCGCATGAGTTCGAGCAATTAATCGTGATTAATCGCATGTTATACGCAAAACCAATTAATTAATTAAAAAGTAGAGTATAGTGCACTTTTATTGGAAATGTAAATGAAAGAGCCAAACATTTGTTGTGCAAACAGCATTTCTTTCACAGGGGAACTCTCAGAGCCTTCAAGGTATTCAGTGATGGCTCAAGAAAAAATATTGAATGGACTTTTGTACTACTAATATATTTTTTAAATATTTTTAATCACCATAAGTAATTAACAGTACACTAGTAATAATTTCTAGATCATTGTTATAAACTTGGACTGATATTTCTTGGGAAACAAAGGGTTAATATAATGGCATGGAAATGGACCAATCACATTTTTTGTCTTCCAATGGTATAGTGACTACCACTGCAGCACTAAAGAAACTAGAAAAGCACTCAGAGAGCGCAGACCTCCGCCAAGGACTACAGTCCCCCTCATATTAATTGTGTTTTCCATAAATATTTGTCTCGTATCTTTCAATTTGGAATATGAAAGAGGATCCGATTGTCCATCCCTGAGTCAAATTTCATGGGGTTTGGTCAATAATTAACCGAGATATTGAGAAACAAAATTTTTGGCCCCATTTACCACAATGTTAACTAAAATTTCAAAGTGATCCAGAATCCAGGATTTTTTCCGGATCACCCCCAAAATGAAATCAGTTCTTCCTTTTCACATTTCCAACAAATCCTGAAAATTTCATCAAAATCGGTCCATAACTTTTTGAGTTATGTTGCTAACAGACAAACAAACAAACAAAACAAACAGACAAACAAACAAACAGACAAACAGACAAACGTTGCATCTCACATGGTCAGAAAAAAGTGAAAAAAAGTGTAAAGAAAAGACGTCAAACTTAAAAGTTTAACGTTTTAACTTAAAAAATAAAAGCCAGTGAGAAACAGACGTTTACAATAAAATAAATAAACAAATAATAAAAACTCCGTTAACGGCGTTAAAATAATTGTCGGCGTTAATGACATAATTACTTAACGCAAAATTAACGCGTTAACGTGCCCGGCCCTATATACAAGATACAGTAACGTAAGTGATCAACAGTGGATTTTTTACAATTTTTTTTACTGTAAATTAAAAGAGAATAGAAGAGCAAAGACTGAACACCAGTGTGACAAAAAGTCCTCTGTGTTTTGTGAGTGCTGCGTCTGTCACAGTGTCTGGTGAATCTGTGAAAAGAAACATCAGAGTGAAAATCTGTAGTCCAGTTTCAAGAGACCTGTTATTTCCATAGTGTAAAGATATCGATTTATATTATTTTAAAGTGCCTGTACTTGAGATTTTTCTTGTAGCTGGCCAAAATGATATATTTTAAAATCAGCTCTTACATTAAAATTGGGCTGCTGTGTGCTGTTTGCATCTAATTATAAATATATATAATTACTTTTATTGTCTGAGAATCAGGAAGTGCTCTGGCTTCTGAAAGTTCTGTTAAGGCCTTCTAAACTCATCGTGGTGAATAATTATTAGTTTTTCATGTTTTTAAGACGATAAACATCAGGTAGAGCACCTTTAGCATAAATGCAGATAATTTCATAAAATGACAATAAAGAAACATTGATCCACAGTGCAGCACATGATGGTCAGGCGGTTAGACTTCAACTGTGGTTTGTGCAGTCTGCAGCTTTAATTCTTCTCTGTTTGTGCATATGTGTGTTGTTACAGAGTTCACACCTGCCAACTGAAAATTTGCCTAAAATCAACCACCAACAGTTACATTATATCACACACTTTGCTTTCCTTAATTTTCTCAGTCTGGGAAAAAAACAAACATCAGAAAGTAAACTGTTAAAGAAATAATTAGTTAGTCATGTGTTGTACCTGCTGAATGGGGAGCTGTCTCACTCTTCAGGTCGACAGTCAGATGGATCATGTGTCTGTATATGAACGAGTCTTTACACCTCATACGACATTCATAAGTCCCACTGTCCTCAGCTCTCACATTTTTTAGAGTCACACTTGAATCATTCTTTGGAGGGATATATTTGAGTTGGACTCGTCCTTTGAACTTTGAGTGTTCAGAGCCATTCAGCACTTGTCCTCCTCTGTAGACCAGCAGGATTTTACTCTCATTAAAATGAATCCACTCCAGAGTCTTCACATCTTTGTCTGTAGAATGGATCCAAGGCAGCTCAACGTCTTCTCCCACAGTCGATCTTTTATGAAACTCTAAAGGAGACATTATCAGCAAGGAGATGAATAATTCTGTTAACACTATCAAAGCATAGATTCACTTTTAATAAATTGTGTATATTATTTTTATACTGTATTTCTTGCTTTTTTATATCTTAATAATAATCTGCATATTGTAGAAAATAGTATAGAACTCTAGTATTGTTATGAACAGTGTGTTGTGTCCACCTGCTTTAAAGCTCTTATATTTTATACGATTTATACAGTGCAATGTCTCTTCTCTTCAGTTTTACAACACCACCCATGTCTGGGGAAAATGCAGTTTCCAGTAAAACATGTGACTCTGTTTAGCCAATCACAGAGCAGCAGAAGTGTTTACCGAGAAAGGCAAGAGCCGTTCTGCTGATAAGAGGAAACTGGCACGCAATACATCTACTTACACATACTGTAGAGTCTATCTTGTGTTTTTCAGCTACATCGTCCTAATTTAGATCTCTGTCCAATCCTCATCATCTACAAATGAGTTTAGTGTTTACCCGAGAATCTAAACCTTAGAAGATAAATGGCACAACAGTAAAAACGATAAGCTTTATTTGTGGAAAAAGGTGTATAGAAACATGCAGCTAAAATTCATAAATATTCTCACCTGTAAAGCAAAATGCTGAGTTCAGTAAAGTCCATAAGAGCAGTAACAAGAGGTGATCCATATTACAAAAAATACAAAAACAAAAAAAACAGTGTAGAACAGTGTATTCTGTACAGCTAGCTACATGTAAAAGTGACTCTGCCTCTCAACAGGAAGCAGCGTATTGAAGTTGGCTCAACGTTTGACGTTCGCTTGATATTCGTTAGGGACCGTCAACAAATAGTCACCACAGTATTGGAGGGAGTCACTTTACATTATTGGAGCAAGGTTACACATTAAATACATGTAAAAATTCACCAAAAATGAACCAAAACACTTTTTCCAAATCTGTGGGGCGTAGTAGATGCCAAATAAATGTGTTTATTTACTACAGGTCACAATTGGCCCCTAGGTCACATTACTGTGAAGCGGGACACAATAATTACACACATTATTGTGTCTCGCTTCACAGTAATGTGACCTAGGGTCCAATTGTGACCTGTCGTAAGTAGATTCATTTATTTGGGATCTACTACGCCCCACAGATTTGGAAAAAGTGTTTTGGTTGATTTTTGGTGAATTTTTTGTTCAAGTAGTTATTGTGTACACCGGCTCCACTAATGTCAAAGTGACTCCCTCCAACAATGTGGTGACGATTTGTTGACGGTCCCTAACATAGACGGTAACCACAGAACGAAGGTTGGAGCAGCTTGAGTAGATTTTTTGCCTATAATCGATAGGTACTATTTATGCTGTTGTTTTGTTATGTAAGACATTATCAGGTTGCACTTTGTTTAACCTAGTTCAAGTTATTTAGGCAAAATGCATGTTTGGGTCTTACTGTGGGAAAGTTGAACCCCGAATATCAAGCGAACGTCAAACGTTGAGCCAACTTCATTACGCTACAGGAAGCCTGGGGAAAAAAAAAACTCAACTAAAAACACTCCCTCCCTTGGTCCCTCCCCAGTGTTGTGCATGAACGCGTTCATTGAACACGTTCATTTTTCAGTGAACTTTGAACTGAACACAGCACTTTTGTAAATCAAGAACTTGAACGTGAATTTGTTCAAATTATGTGTGATGAACGACGTACGTCACTGTTGGGGTTCAGTTAAACATCGGAATTTGTTTTCACCTGACGAGTGACGATCTGCTCGCACTTCACCTCGCGAAACCACAGCCGCGTGTCAACGTGAAGGCGACTCCACCGGCAGCTTTAGCGGAACGTACGGGCTCTTGTGTCTCTCAATGAGAAGTCAATCAAACTTGACTGGGCGCGTTTAGCTGCTTGTATTTACCTTCTGTACAGGCTGACCACGGCAAACGCAAGGATTTCAAAAGTAAATTTCAAAGCATTAATTAACAGTCTGTGTGGATCTGGGCTCTTTCACGTGATACACAACTGCCCAGGGAGCACAATGTGCTGATGGTAAATGCACAAATACAACAATAGATACATGCTCTCTGTGGATTTTGACGGAGATACGCGCCTACGCTCATGTAGAGCGTCAAAAAATAGGATGGATCCTATTTTCTGAAATCTACACGCACAGGACGTGCTGCTCCGCGGGCGTATTATTTTACTTGGTACATATGTAAGTAACGCGCGTCACAATGCTTTTTTAACCTGGATTGAAATGGTGGGTTTTTCGTTTTTCTTAATACAAATTTGCTAAAATCACCGCGATATCAGCAGCGGTGAAACGCCGGAGGTGCGCCCGCGTAGACCGTGATCCTGAGCGAAAGGACCGACGCAGAAGTCCGCGCTCCACCGAGATAAACGCAGCTGACGCCCGATCGCACTCGGGGTTCTCTCAGGGGCGGTCCTAGATTCCAAGTTCTAGTCCAGGATTAGTCCTGGTTTGGTCCTGGTTTAGTCTTGGTTTAGTCCTGGTTTAGTCCTGGTTCAGTTCTGGTTTAGTCCTGGTTTAGACCTGGTTAAATTCTGGTTCAGTCCTGTTTTAGTCTTGGTTTATTCCTGGTTTAGACCTGGTTCAGTCCTGGTTTCAGTCCTGGTTTAGACCTGGTTCAATTCTGGTTCAGTCCTGGTTTAGTCTTGGTTTATTCCTGGTTTAGTCCTGGTTCAGTTCTGGTTTAGACCTGGTTCAGTCCTGATTTAGACCTGGTTTAGTCCTGGTTTAGACCTGGTTTAGACCTGGTTCAGTTCTGGTTTAGTCCTGGTTCAGTTCTGGTTTAGTCCTGGTTCAGTTCTGGTATAGACCTGGTTTAGTCCTGGTTTAGACCTGGTTCAGTTCTGGTTTAGTCCTGGTTTAGTCCTGGTTTAGACCTGGTTTAGTCCTGGTTTAATCCTGGTTTAGTCCTGATTTAGTCCATATACGGCGCAAAAGTTCAGCATCTTAACAGTTCTTTTGTGGTGAGAGTAAATTAAAAGTGCTGTAATAGTCGTGTAATGTTTTACATTTTAAATACAGTAATATTGTAATGTAACAAATGACTTAGAAATGACAGTAACAAGTCATAAATAACACATTACAGTTTTAAAGTCACTTGTCCAACAGTGGATCTTGTAAAGTTGTTGTAAACTAGAAGTCAGTTTGAAAAAATAAAAGCAGCCTTTCATTTACAGATCTCATCTAAATATAAAATTAAATGAACTTTGAACTAGTTCAAAATTAAAATTGTGAACTATGAACGTGAACTATTCACTTTGAACAAGTGTGAACTGAACTTTGAACTAGTTCATGAAAAGTGTGAACTTGCACAACACTGTCCCTCCCTCTGACCTCCCCTCTGTGTCTGAGTTATGGTTAGGGATGCCATGTTTGTAGTGGTGGATTAGCGGTAATGAGTCTGCTTTTAGAGTTTTAAATGAAATCATAGACAATGATTTACCTTAAATCAATTAAATACGAGTGACTCTTACACATGGCATGGGTGAGCTTTGCGTAGAATAAAAATATAGAGTTTACCTGAAATCTGCAATAGCTGGACATCTGTTTGTTTTTTTTTTTTTACTTTTCACCTTCTTATATCCTAAAAAGGTCCTTGGAGATGTTTGTGAAAAATAAACTTTATTATAAAGCCCAGTAATCTTACTGATATTGATTGTTTAAATTATGTGTAATTGATGAAATATGGAAAATATGATGTGCTCTGGCTAATGTGTATAGGTAAATCACTCATGCCAAGGTAACAGACACACAAAATACTTTGATTTAACTTAATTTTTTATTTTCAATAATCCACATTTCTAAGCAGGTAATTAACGGTAAGCAAAAAGCATGTGGGATCGTTTCTCTTCAGTCTGCTCTTTCTGCCTCATTAAACGCTAATCAGCAATACAAAAACTTATGGTTGAATCATTCAAATAAAACCAAATCAAGAAAAAATATTCATGTAAAAAGACATTAATTTCTTAATTAATGTTTGGTTTGATTAACGTTAGCTGCTAGCCCATTTAGCTGCTAACCAGAATGACTGTAAAACAGACTGTAAAATTGGAAGAGAATTGGAATCCAAGAGTATGGCAAGCACCATGCAAAATATGCTATTCTGTTTGAATTTCCATATTGAAAGTGACAGAGTTTGGGCCACTGTCCTTTGTGTGAACAGACCTGTAGGATTGTGTGTTTGTGAATGTGCCTCTGCTCAAATTGCTACAGTACATGTTTGAATCAAATGATCAAGAAACAAGTTTCAAGTTTGACTACTCAAAGAATACAGTACTACAGTGGCTCAGTGGCTGCAGTGGAAGTACTCAATTTTGTTATTTAAGTAAAAGTACAGATACAGGGGCAAGAATTTACTCAAGTAAAAGTGAAAGTATCTATAAATCTATTTGAATTTAAAGTATAAAAATGTACTTCACAAGTACAAAGTATTTTGCAGAGATTTTTACAACAATTAAAGGATGAAATGGAGTGATCTGATAAAGAATTAAGATCATTTTAAGTGATTCAAAGTGTTTTTGTGTTTTTGGTTTGCTCAAAGTTGAGACAGAAACTCAAATGAGACAAAAAAAAAAAAAAAAATAAAAATCTCAGCCATTTCAGCATGTTTCAAACTGTAAAGAAAAGTACTGGAGTAGAAAATGCAGATACATGTTCTCAAATGTAGTGAAGTAAAAGTAAAAACTATCCTGTAAAATTTACTGAAGTAAATTACGGGTACCTAAAATTCATACTTAAGTATTGTGCTTTTACTTTTTACTGCTCAGTGGTAAAACTCTCTTGTCTAACTCAATGGACAGAGTATCGATTTCTACTCGGACCAAGTTCTGTTGTTGAGTCCAAGGAAACTCTCTTCACCTCTTTCATGTGTTGCCTGTGAAAGGATGTGATGGTGGTGAACATAGACTCACTTTTATGAGTCTGCCCTAGACAGCTACATTAGCATCTTACCTGACTATGGAGTAAATGAATAATGGATGCACTATAACACTTTGAGGGGCTTCGACAAATGAGGTATTATCATTAAAGCAACAGCAGATGGTGCTGTGCAGTGAGAGATAGCTTTGTGGTTTGCTTTGTTTCTCTGAGATCTTAAGTTTTAAGTAAGTATTATTAATGTTTTTCCATGTGTTTATATTTAGGCCCAGAAAAAAAGGGTTACATCTGTTTGAAAAGCCATAGTAATTATTCACATTATAAATATTTCAGAATTTCGAATGCGAATAGTCCTAACGTAAAAAAAAAAAAATAAAATAGAATAAATAAATACAAATGGGAAATTTATTTTATTTTACAGTAAGATTTATATATTAAAAAGCAAAAACACACATTTTTGAAAAGTCTTACCTGAACAGATCCTGCTTTCTGTCTGAGACATTATTATCAGTCATTTTTCACAATACAATGGAATGAATACAATGTAAATGCCAGAGGACACTTTACAAAGGTACATATGAAATTATCTACACTTACAAATAAAAGGGTTGTTTTTGTAATAATAATAATAATAATAATAATAATAATAATAAAATGCATTCTGTTGTTATATGTTAATAAAAGCTAGCAATGGCTGCACAAACCTTCCCTCAGAAAATGACATTAAATACATCCCTCCTCTGAGGTCTAAAGACAGTCTCTTACTCTGCGTGAAGGTTGTGATGCCTCAAAGACATAGACACATCACAGTCTGTGTCCTGTGTAGGATTCAGCTGTTCAACAAACTGTAGCATTAAACTCTTCATGGATTCTTTTGAATGTGTTTTTGAGTGTTTTTGTGGCCTTGTTTTTCAATGTGATCTTATGTTATGTTCAAGTTGATTGTCCCAAACTGAACAGCTGAAGTGTTAAAAGCCTTAGAGGGAGAGTCACTTCCTGTAGAGAAGAGTCTGAACTCTGACTGTAGGTCTCCTCACATGAACAGCACCGCTGCCATGGACTGTGAGTACCTCCTCTAACTCCTATTCATAAGATTAGAGCTCTGTCTTTTTGTTGTAATGTGCAAATGGAGCAAAAATTATTTTGTGTGAAATATTCACAAAGACAAAAATTTAAGGCACCCTGTTATTTAAGACAAATTTTAAATCTTTTCTTTTTTGACTATTGACATAAAACGCATTCACAAACATACACACTAATGTGTTTCGGCGCAGCATGGCCTTCCTCAGGGTGCAAACAGACTTAGGTGTAAGAAGCTCCTTTTATAGGGAGGGACCTGGAAATCTTTTTGAAAAAAGTAAAACCTCTATGGACTCATAGCTCTTCTTTTCCATTTTGTTCTCAATAAGATTAGTAAGTCAGTGATAGTGGAGAAACACTTACAGCTGCTGTTGGAGAGCAAAAAAGTGTACATTTGCGCATTAAAAAAAATTCTAATAATTACATGAACAAAGCAGAATATACATTTAGAACTATAACTATTTCATTATCTCAGTCAATCCCCATGTTTTACAGTATGTAGTTTGGATGAAATGGAGGCAAAGCTGCAGCACTTAAATGTGGATACAAAAGCTCTGTTTGTTAGATTCTCTAAATATTTAAGTCCAGACCCATCTATGTCTTTTGAGACTTTTTGAATTCTGAATAATATTATTTATTTCTCTTTTTATTCAGGTAATAGTGTACTTAATTTGAGAGAGAAATGAGTGACTGTATTCCTTAATATGATCCCACAACATTAAATGACAACTCAAATTATTCACAAACTTTACAACTTACTCCTACCTTTCGTGCAAACCATCTTTCCTTGGATTGACAAACTACCTTGGTGTAATGGATGTTCTTATCCACAGTCTCTCTGAGGGTGAGTCCAGACCAGTCCCAGTTCTTCAAATGGGACAAAATGTCTCTGAGCTGTGGAGATACTGGACCCTGGGCTCTGAAGAGGAACACCAGCACAGAACAGAACGAGCCCTGTTCGGAATGGGGGGCAGATATGAAAGGTTCTTCATGCTCAATGGACCTGTTTCCCGTGGACTCTGGTGTGTACTGGTGTGAGAGGAACGGCAGCTCTACAGAACCCGTAAACATCACTGTTCAAGGTAAGAGACATTGAGTTTTACCCCAATGATAATTGGCCATAATAAAATGATGTCCACAGCAGTGTACAATAGGACAAGCAGAATAAGAACTGATCTTTCTGGCATTAAAAGTCACTGATAAAGAACTAATAAGGGACCAGCAGTAAACTACTCTCTCAACATAAGTGAAAGCCACAGCAAAACTAAACACTAAAAACAATCCTAAAAATCTTTTTCATTCATTTTACTAACACACAGACAGAAACACAGAAACATCTTATCTAAAAAGAGAGAGATTGAAAAATTAAACACAGAGAATCACTGGTTTAGTGCAGTCTGAAAATAGGGTTCACACCCAAAGAGACCCAAAGAGAGGCTGGGCTCCCCAACTTGTATAAATACAGGCAAGTCTGGCAAAACAAAGGATGCAGGCAACATACAATCATGTTAAAAGACTTCTTTCATTTATGGTATTTAAATTGAAGGTTTCACTCATACTGCATTTTTCTATAGAAAATGTACATTTGCAAAACAGCTCAGACCTCAGACAGAATAAAAAAAAAAAAAAATGATAACTCACAACAAACTGAAACTAAAATATAGAATTTATAGCATTGCAACCAAACCAGAGTAAGTAATGCAGATCCAAATGTTAACTAAACCAAAACAACAACCTAAATCCTATTAGATTAAACCCAGTGATAATGACATGTCATTGCTTTGCCTGGAATGTTCCACAGTATGACATTAAACAGCTCTACCTTACATTTATTAAATTACAGGTGGTTTTATCGCTAATGTGAAATGTGAAAAATCTGATCTGAAACTTGGTCTGGTTTGGTCTCCATGATACTAGGTTTAATACCATACTGTGAAACATTCCAGACAAAGCAATAATGTCTCCATGGAGAAATGCATTTGCACCGGAAAAGTTACATAGTGCACCTTTAAGTGTAACTGGATTACATGTTGAGTAGTTTTAGATGTTTAAAGTGCACTCTGCTAGAAGTCTGCAAGGTTTAAAGTATCTTGTGCCAACCTTGAAACTGCATCCAGCATTGCACTAACCCTCTATTGCACAAATCATTCTGACGAAGGTATAAATAAGCACCAATAAAACTACAATCAAAAGCTTAACAAGGAGAAATGAGAGCAAAATCCAATTCAGCAGTGGCTTTCTGATTAGTTATTAAACCAGACATGACCAGGGGCTCTGGGTTCACACCGGCCGTCACCTTGTGCTGCACCACCATTAGTCAACACAACAGCCCCGTACTGAACTGGACATGACCCCCCGTGGTGTGTGTGTATTTACTGATGCATATGGTCGGATATGGCATTACTATGTTTACAGATTTGTTCCCTCAGTTACACAAAGATGAATAAGGGTCTGTAAGTGTTTTCTTTTAGTTTTCTTTAGCTTTTTTTTTTTTTTATCAAATACTGAAATGGATAATCTGTACAATTATGGCAAGCATAAGTTTTAAAATGTTTTTGATCAGGTGAACTCTAAACCCTGTAGTACGACACAAAAAAATCTAAATTTCATTGACTTCAAAATTACATTTATGTCAAAACTGGTGAAAAATGTAAAAAAAAATATTTTCAAATAAAGTGCTCCAGTATACAGAAATTTCTTAGATTTACTTTGTCAATAATGATATTTTTGAAAAGAAAAAAAAAAAATCTACAAATTGTAACATTTTAGTGAGGATGTGTTTTGTCTCGACTCTCAAGAATCACCAAAATATTAGGAAGAGTTGTTCCTTTGGGGGGCACTGTGGGAGTATGGGATCCTTTGCGTATAGTTCCTGCATGATCAGAGCAGACTTGTTCCCAGTGCATGCTGGACTCCCCCAGGGCTGTCCTTCTTCACCTTTTCTATTCATTGTTTTTATGGACAGAATCTCTAGGTACTGTCAGAGATCAAAGGAAGTCTGTTTGGGGACCACAGGACTTCATCACTGCTATTTGCAGATGATAGTCCTGGTTTAGAGCTACATTCCTACTCTCCCCCATGTTCATGAGCTTTGTGTAATGACCAAGAGGACTTGATCTCAGATACAAGAGTCTGATATGAGTTTCATGTTCTCTCTCAGACAGGGGCGTGATTCTGCAGGTGCCTGTGCTCCCTGTGTCTGTGGGACAAACTGTCAATCTGACCTGTCGACATCAGACTGACCCCGCCCTCCCAGCCCGTTTCTATAGAGACGAACACTTCCTGTCGGAGCAGCCTGCAGGTCACATGACCCTCCAGCAGGTGGCAATGTTTGATGAAGGCCTGTACCAGTGTGAGATGAGAGGAGAGAAGTCACTGCCCAGCCGACTTCGGGTCCATGAGAGCAGCCCCCCTCCATCAGTGCAGCCTTCGGGAATCTCGTCTCTGGTGCTGGGTTTGATCGCCGGCTCGGTTCTGATCCTCCTGGTTCTGCTGGTCCTGGTGGTGAGACGGTGCCAGAGATACACAGGTCAGTGTCACCAATAAATCTGCCAAAGACAACTGCATAAAAGCAACAACTCAAAACAAAGCTCTCTAAAAATATTCATTATTTAGGTCATAAGATATTTTTAATTTAATGCAAAGTTGGAATAACTTCTAAATGAGTTACAGCAGGAGTGTCGGGGGCTAAATTTGGTCAGACAGATTTTTGTAGAAATCTACAAATGATTACAGACAGTACTTTTTGCTGGACATTTAAATGTTTCTTTACTGTAACCAATAACATCACATTGTATTGTTATACAGGCCTAAAATTATTGTAAGGTACAGTGGCTGTGACTTTATCTAAAATGTTTTCATCTGAAAGACTAGTGGTTCATTATCTTCATTATGATTGTATTTTCTGTGCTCTTTAGGTCATGTGACAGAGCAGCTCATAAAATTTGCTGCTCTCAGTGACTTCAGAGTCCTCAGAAAATTGTGCTTTTTTGTTCTGAGAAAGAGCCTGAGAAGTGTGTGAACATATAAGGAATGTTCCAGATGATGTTACCACCAGTGCTCCTGTGCAGAAACATATTTGTATGAAATGATCAAACTTAACCAAGTTTCAAAAAATGTGCTAAAACCATTGAAAAAAACTGTAAATGTGAGGTTAAAGTGGGCATTTGATGCCAGTATGGGCCAATTCAGATGGGTCACCATGGAAACCACAGAAAACCTCGTCAGGACTCACATACTGTATGCAACCCACTGTAAACCTGTGTGGGGCCTACATTGCTTTGCTAGTTTGGGTCCATGTAATGTGTAATGGTCACATGATTAATTCAACATGGCTGTCCTCGGTTGATACTTTGTGTTTATATGTTTTCTCCCTGAAGTCGATGCCTGTCCAGAGGAGGGTGGGGCTGATGACGTCACATACAGCCACATATTACATCAGCAGCAGCGACGGCCAATCAGACGCACAGGTCAGACTAATGCTGTTTATTTTTAAATAGCTTATCTTTGTATATTTATCAAAACAAAAGGAGAAAGCATTTCTTTGTTCAGTCTCATGAGGGTAAAATGCTTAGGGACCACAGACATTTTTTTTTTTCATTGTGCACAGGGCTGGACAATATGACAAGAACAAATTTCCCAAATTGATTGACCTAGACTTGCACCTGATTTTACTGTCTTAAACACGTGAAAAAACAAACTAGTTTTATAAGGTTTGCAATGAATTTATTAACACTTTTCACAACTTTCAGAGCCCACATTGTAGTTTATCATCTAATTACCATGCTAACAGTGCACTTTCTGATTATCAGACATTAAAATGCTGTATAATTAGATGCAGACAGTACAGCAGACTTATTTTGAATATTTGTATTGGAGCAGAACAAAATTTGCTTAAACACATAGAGAAAAATAAGTACAGGCTCTTTAAATGTGCATTGTGTAACTTTTCTGATGGAGGGTTCCCCAACTCCTTGTCTCCATCATCTCCATCATGAATGTTATTGCATTGCCTGAATGTTTCACAGTCAACTTTTCTATCTCCGTGGAGACAAGCAGGTAATGCCACGAGGCCGAGCCCTGTAGCGACCAATAATGTAATAATGGCCAATATGTTAATGTAATAACTGCCTATAACGTAATTACTTGTCAGTAATGTAAGAAAATGTCTGAAACAATAATGTAATAACCTGTTACCAAAATTATTGATTAATTATTACATTATTGGCTGGTTTAATAATAATAAAAAAACAAACTTTAAAATAAAAATAAAAAAAACTTTAAAATGAAATAACTGCAACCACTAATGTAATAATTTCTTCTATATCACTTAATGAAAAATGTATTTATTAAATTAAAAGAATGTATTGTTTCTATTGTCTCTTTCAAATAGCTATTAAAGACCTGGGGCCTCATTTATAGAGCTTGCTTACGCAAAAATCCGTGCGTGCGCGCTTCCTACGCCAACCGCGGTATTTATAAAACTTGAATAAGGCGTGGCTCTTTGCTTTACTTTACTTTACTTTGCTCTTTACTTTACGCCAACTCGGGACCTCCTGTAAGTTCTACGCAAAGTCTGGAGACACGGGGAAAAAGCGACACTCGTGTAGAGGAGCAGAAGTGAACAGAGTTTGAGGAAGAGTTTGATCAGAAAATCCACGTATATAGAAGAATTACATTCAGATTTGCGTGTTTGGTTCGCCAAAACACGGAGAAGGGCTGTTTATTCCACTCATTATTCTCCACAATATTATACATTTGAAACTTGTGCACGAGCGCGGCCACGTTCCCAGACCCGGTGTAGCGCAGAGTCTCCCACAGTCCACACCGCGACCATAGGCTCCTATGAAACACAGTCTGTGACCAACACAGAGGACGAAATAATGACCCGACCTGAGAGAAAAACTCTTCCCTTGGACGCAGCAGGAGCCAGGCTTTGATTTAATGAACGCAACTTTAACACTTTTACTTCAGTCTTTACGCACCGAGCGCCAGAACCAAAATCTTTCCTACATTTTTGTGTAATGGGGAAGTCTTGCACATGAGAGCTGCTCTCTGACTGTATGAAGAACAGAATAATGCCCGTGCCCGTCCCTACCCAGACCCACACTCACAGGTTCAGCAGTTTGGATGTTTCGTGTGGACTTTAATTGGCAGAATAACATCTGTATCTGATGTGTTTCGTGCTAAATCTGTGTCCTCGTTTCCCTCCCTCGCTCCTTTCCCTCTCCAGGGGAGGGCATCTGAATCTCTAAGGCTTCCTTACATCTATGGCAAAAAGTGAAGAAGTAATTATTGATAGTGTTTACTTTAAAAACAAAAAATACTTTTCTTGTATGTGGGAAAGCTGGCCAAAGTAGGAGGCAGACACAACAAAAAAGTGTCCTTAACCAGACAATATTTATTTTAAAACAAACTTCTGGGGTTAACACCAACAAAAGTGCAAATAAACCAAAAATAAGTAAATCAAATCAAAAACCACCAAACAAAATGCACAGAAGTCTCTCCCTTAATTGATGACACCTGCTTGCCTTTATGCTCCACCCAGCAGGAAGTACCTCCCCCCAGGTGAGCACTGGTTCCAGGTAAAGCAAAGCGAGGATTTTTCCCAGGCCCAAGTCCCCTTTTAAAATCAAAATGTTTAACAAACTAAACTGTGCTGATAATTATAAAACCAAACACACAAAAAAATTATGAAACAGAACTTAAACCAGTTTTTATCTCCACATGGTCCAGCCCACGACCTCCTCCAAGGTTTTAAAATGGCTGACATGAGACACCCCCCCTCTTTTGTCTGAACCATACGGAGCTGCAGGTAAGTATGATGAATGGACACTGAAATGAGTTAACAAATAAAGTATATTTAAATGAACAATGTCTAATGTGATAATTAACAAAAAGAACCAGGAATTATTGTAACTATTGGATATTGAGAATCACAAAATGCAAAATTAAACAAATGTGAGTTTAAAATGAGACAAAGGTCCACTTTGTCACATTGTATCCTATATTTAATGGAAGATCATGTAAAATGTTGATGTGTTTTAGAGCACTGTCAAAGTTAACTATGTTAAATCTAGTAAATGGTCAGCAAACTATTAGCATTGCAACATTAGCATAAAAACTTTGTAGATTATGTGAAATAATTGACTATAGTTACTCTTTGTATATGTCTTAGTCAAAATTTGCGGGAGGCTGACTACAGAAAGATATTGAGACTGCAAGTTCATTGTGTCCAGGTATTTAAGCAGCTCTTTGAAAGAGACAAAAGTAACAATTTATCTCAAATTGTGACACTTTAAATTCAATTAATAAATCTTAAAGGATTAAAGAAACAGCATGTAAGTTTGTGGTCAAAACTGGTACTGCAATCACATATGAAATACTGCAGAACATAGTATCCCCTCCCCCAGACAAGAGGTCGCCAGATAGGAGGAGGTGGAGGGTGGTGCAACAGGCCCAAACACATAATACACATAATGACAACATCAGCGTAAGCTGAGGGCTGCAATTTCTATGGGAAAGGGAATATTTAGGCTGAATTACTGTGGTTGGTGATAAAAATATTTGAAATGATCAGGATTTCTTAATGTCTGGTGATATATTGGGGTGATTTTTATGATTAATTTACAGTTATTTCTTACATATTATTCCTTGAAATTATATTAAGAAATTATTACATTATTGGCAGGAGTTTTTAAACCAGCCAATAATGTAATAACTAACCAATAATGTAATAACTTACTACATTACTTGTAACAGGTTATTACATTATAGTTTCAGACATTTTCTTACATTATTGGCTTTATTACATAAAAATTATTACATTATTGGCCATTATTACATTATCAGCTGCTACAAGCCCTAAAGTAAGATTGCATGTTTTTCAGTGTGTTTTTTGAGCAATAAAAACATGTGTAATTGAATAAATATTTGATAGATAAGTTTAATAATGTAAAGTGTATAATGTGACACTTGAGTCTTGCGTGTTGGTGGGTGGAACAAAGCTCAAAGAGTGGAACAAATTGTGGTCACTGTGCTGCATCTGTGCAACTCTTTAAAATATGTATTTCTAACGTTGTGGTTTATTTTTTCTATTTGTGTCTCCTACCCTGACCACCACCACCATTTCCTGTGCATGTTTAGACCAAGAAAAAACAATGTGGTTTTTCATAACAGCTTTCTGTTTGGTTGCATCTAACAGTTAAGAGGATATTCATTTTATTCCAGAAGTTGCCATGGGCGGCATCATCATTATTCGGGGGGTATTATTTTGCATGAAGCAAATAAGTAAATAAGTTCAGTGAGGAGAGAAGAAGAGGAGAGCAAAAGAGGAGCAGAGGAGGAGAGAAGAGAGAGGAGGAGAGGAGCAGTAAAGAGAGAAGCAGAGCAACAAAAAATGAGAAAAGATGATGAGAGAGAAGCAGAGGGGAAGGGAACAGAGGAGAGTGGAGGAGACAGGGACATAGGATAAAAGCAGAAGAGTAGAAAAGAAAAGGGGAGAGAGTTGCAGGAGAGAAGGGCAGTGGAGAGATGAGCAGAGGAGCTGAGGAGAGAGGAGAGGAGCTGAGGAGAGGAGCAGAGGACAGGGGAGAGATGAGCTGAGAAGTGGAAAAGCAGAGGAGCTGAGGAGAGAGAGGCAGAGGTGCAGAGGAGAAAGGGGCAGAGGAGAAAGGAGCAGAGGAGAAGGAGCAGAGAGAAAGGGGCAGAGGAGCAGAGGAGAAAGGGGCAGAGGAGAAAGGGCAGAGGAGAAAGGGGCAGAGGAGAAAGGGGCAGAGGAGAAAGGGGCAGAGGAGAAAGGGGCAGAGGAGAAAGGAGCAGAGGAGAAAGGGGCAGAGGAGAAAGGGGCAGAGGAGAAAGGGGCAGAGGAGAGGGGGGCAGAGGAGAGAGGAGACACAAGCTGAGGGTGAATGGGACAGCATGGTTCTGAACAAAAAAATGACTCTGTAGTGACGACTAGACTAAGAATTATCATATGTTATTATTCCAGGACCAGTGTATTTGGGGGGAAAGTAGATTTAATGTTTAGTTCCACTTCAACAATTCAAAACATGACATTCCATTTTCTGAATGATAAAAGGGCCTTAAAATATAAGATAAAACTCATTAATTAAGTTGATATCGAATAACAACAAGTACTTTAGAAAATGTGAAAACATCTTAAATTCTACATTTACAGAGAAAGAGCAGAATCCGGTTTATTCATCTGTGAAAACTGCAGACGTCTGCTACTCTTCCATCACCATCAAAAAGACCAGAGGTAAGACCAGGACTAGACCTGGACTAAACCAGCACTAGACCAGGACTAAAAGAGGACTATTGTGGACTGACTCTAATCTAATCTAACCTAATCTACACAGAATTTATATTCATACATTCAAACTTTTCAATGAAAAATAAAATAAAACATAATTATCAATAGAATTATTAATACAATGAATTGTTACATAAAATGGCATCAAGATTTAACTGAACCAGGACTGAAGGACTAAGACAGGACTGAACCAGGATTGCTCTTGTGTTTCAGGTAAAGGCCGAGACAGACTCACAAACAGAGGTGAGTATGTTTGTAATTTTTGCTACATTAGAAAGATAATCAAGTCTATGAAGTATATTATTTAGGTGTCAGTACTATGGAATGAAGTGTTAGTGATACTGATTCTGATATAATATTGAAAACTGTTTGCTGGTTTAAGACTCTCCATACAGACATTTATTTCAAAAAATTTTTTTTATTTTTTTATTTTATTTTTTCTCTTTCAGAGACTGAGGAGAGTCCAGTTTACTCCTCTGTGAAAACTGAAGATGTCTGCTACTCTCCCATCACCATCAACCAGACCAGAGGTAAGACCTGGACTAGACCTGGACTGAATTAGAACTAAACACGAACTGCAGGACTAAACCAAGACTAAACCTGAATTTAACCAGGACTAAATCAGTACTATACCAGGACTGAACCAGGACTAAACCAACCCTAAACCAAGACTAAATTAGGACTAAACCAGTAATAAGCCGAGACTAAACACACAGTGGACCACTTCCTGTTTTACCACATGAGCATTTCTGTTTGAGAGAAGAACTCAGCCCAAATATGCAGAGTTTGTGTGTTAAACAAGTGTGAATGAAACAAAACACAACTGCAATATCGATAAAAAAAAAATAGCGTAACTGGGTCCTTTAAACTGCTTCACTTCTGTCCGTGCGCCCTCTGCTGGCAGTAAAGGTAACTTCTATACACATAATTGATAACTGAATTACTGACTTACGTGTTTTGCATGCTGCTGCTTAAGATGAAATGTTAATGCTGAAATGTACACAAGTGTATACATTTGTCTTGTACATGTTGTAGACAGTAGGCCTCTGCATGTTGAAAGGAGCACCAACTCTAAACCAATGAAATAAGTGAAGGACCCAAACTGTGCAATGAATGGGTGGATTTATCAAATGAGACCCTTTTCAGTTGATTATGTTGTATTTTGATTTGACAGTGATGTTTCTTTCCCTTTACTGAACACCAAATGACAGGGGATACATACTATTTTTTTTACAATATTTATAGTTACATTAAAGGTGCACTTTGCAATTAGCATCTTACCAGTATCAGTTGTTGTCAGTAGTTTTGTTATACTCTCATGGACCAAGTCAGACATCAATATGGACTAAGTAAGACCAGAAAACTGCTGACAGTAAATGACCTTCTTCATCCAAGAGCAGATGCTGTGTGTACTTTTACACCAGGGGGCAGTGGTCTGAGGAGCAGGGCTGTGATTAGCTGGAGCAGTCTGACAGAAGACTCTTCTGCACAGTGCAAGTCCATAATACAATGAGGACATGAGATACAATCCCTCAGTTGTCCAGGTAGAATCCATGGCAAAAGAAGAAATTCAATTTGTCAACTGGAAAAAACTGCTTCCTCAGGACTGAAGAAGCAGCTTGGATGAGCTGTGAAACATATTTGACCAAAATAAATAATTTTTGCCCAGTTGACAAATAGAATTTCTTCTTTTGCCATCAGAAACAAGTACAATGTGGCCACAAAATCAAACATGTCTTGGCCAATGTAAAAGCAGTACAATGCCATAAGGACATGGACAAAAATCACACTGAAAAACATCATATGACCTCAAGAAGAGAAGAAATAATATATATATATATATATATATATATATATATATATATATATATATATATATATATATATATATATATATATATCAAATTATCATACTGCTGCTTGTTTTTATTAGTTCCATCACCATAAGTTATACAAACAGATTTATATAAAAGGTTTTTCACATGTGCATTGTCCTGTGCATTAACAAAACTGAAAGTGAAGGTTTTGTTTCTTATTTTACGTTCCAGCTATGAGGACCAAAGGAAGAACGCGAGGACAAAAAGACCCAAGTCCGTATGCACAAATCAGAGTCCGTACTAACCTGGACTAAACCAAGTCTCAAACAAACCAGGACTAAACCAAGTCTCAAGTAAGCCAGGACTAATGCTACTATCCCATTGTCCTAGGATTTTCTGAGTTGTAAATTCAATCTGGAACACCCTTCCATCTTAGAATTCTGACTTGGAAACTCAGAGTTATATATGAATGAATTTTATTTAAGTGTCATGCACTCATGTTCCCAGCCCATATGGATTTATATGGCACTATTATCAATATACATAAAGGAAGACGTCCATTAAAATTCAGAACACAAAATCCAACAGTCATAAGTAAATCACCCCGTATCCGTGTACAGAGTTCTTTGTCTCAATGTTCAGGCCTTGTCCACAAAAACTGCTACACAAATTTCATTTCATTTTCAAATAACCAACGCATCATTTGGCCTTCAGACAGCCAGAATAAATCAGGTTTCTTCTGTTGAATCATTTCATACATATTATTTTTTAAATAATGATGAAGTGGATAATAAAACATTAAAAGAAAGTCATCCTCCACTACATTTAAATCACACAGAGAACAGAACCAGTTCTTCCTTGGGACAGCTACATAGGAACCTCTGTCTTCTTTTTAAATTATTTTTGACAAAGGGTTCAGTTAAGAAAGTATCCTTAAACTGTACACAGTTTCTTACAGATTATTCAAAAACAGGGGCCATTTGTTTGCTGCAGCAAAGATTTCCAGGACCTCTTTGGACCAGGGTAATCTGTGAACTCTGTTCCACTTAAACACTGAGTCTTTCACAGTCTGAGAACTTCTGCCATTTAATCTAAGCCCTGATGAAGACCTGTTTGGTCGAAACATGTTGGCTTTGGAAGCTGGAGGACGTGTCTGGGGTGAAGGAAGTCTGGGAGTCCCTGCTTAGACTGCTGCCCCCGTGACCCGGCCCTGGATAAGCGGAAGAAAATGGATGGATGGATGTTGGCTTTGGCCATCCTGATAAAGGCCTTTTAACTATATATTTTTTCTCATGCAATTTCTACTTTGGAGTGCCTGGATTCCACTGTGTTTAAACTTCTGCCCTATGTTTAACCACACAGGGCTCCCAGCCCATGTCCCCCTCTCTGGTTGCCCTAGTGGTAAACCTGTGTACTCCAAGGAAGTATCTCATAGCTCTGCTTTTGTCTGCATTATATTCTGGAGCATCTTCAAAGCCTTCAAAACTCCCACAGCATAAAACAGAACAGGTCCAACCATTGAGTCAAAACTTCAGGACAGACCTTCATCTTATTTACTACAATTCCTGGTGCCCCCCTCCCACCAGACTATGACAACACTTGTCTGCCTTCTAAAACATCACTCCAAGACCAACAGCAGGATGAACCAGGACTAAACCAGGACTTGTGCTATAAGAGTGTGTTTTTCAATCAGTTTAACCAGGGAACACTGTTGTACCTTGAGTATTGGAACTGACAAAGTTATTCTGATTCAAAAACAATCATCATTTCCAAATATAAAGAACTAGAAAAAATTGAGTCATTTGGTAATCTTTTAGTGGGTTATTGCTATAATACAGAAGTCAAATCAATTAAATCCATAGACATAATCAAAATTCATAGCACTGGTCCAAAACCATCTTAGTTAAAACAAAAACTACAGAGAGTTCAGCTCAGTTCAGCATCTGACCTGTAGAACTGGTTTAGACCTTGTTCCTTTGAAAAATAATTAAAATACTAATCAAATGAACTGGGACCTGTCCTGAGAGTCTCTCATAAGATGAGTCCTGCTTTAGTCCCTTTAGTCCCACCAGGTACAGTCCATGTTTGCTCCTTGATTAGTATTTCCATCCTATTTATAACACATTCTTATGGTCTTATTATTATCATATTTTTGTTCTGTGTGAACACATGTTCCTTTATTATTTTTAATCTTCTAAGCATTTTGCAAGTGTGTAGTTGCATTCCACCTACTGTAATCACATAAATAAAAGTCATTTTGAAATCATCTTTTGGCTTTGTCTAATTGAAATCAGCTGGAGTTTGTAGTTATTTTGAGCCCTCGTATAAAGTCACAGGATGAATTATTACTTTGTTTAGTGAGATAGTACCTGTGGCAAATATTTATCATAGTTTTACATCAGTTTGTGAAGTAAAGTTGAAGCTGTATTCAATTTTAAAACACTGTAATTCATCTAGAATGCTGGAACACATTTTTCTGACCCTTTAAAAAAAATCAAGATCAAGTCATTCAAATAATGATAATCATTTCCTATCAGAATTGTTTTAAATGGCCAAATCACTGACACAGATAAATAGGTTATCTTTACAACAAATAAAAATAATAAATAAAATAATTTTGTTGTTATGTTTGATTTAACATTTTAATAAAAGTTAGCTTTAACAGTGAGACCTTTTTAAAGCCCCACAGATGTTACATAACAGTGAAATACTGCACAGAGCCTCCCTCTGAGTGGGGCACGCCTGCTGCTGTTGTGCACAGAGCCCAGTACAAGTGAATCTCGCCCAGAAAATAACATTAAAAACATTTGTCCTCTGAAGTCTAAAGACAGTCTCTTACTCTGGGAGAAGGTTGTGATGTCTCAAACAAAGACACAGACACATCACAGTCTGTGTCCTGTGTAGGATTTAGCTGCTCAACAAACTGTAGCACTAAACTCCTCATGGATTGTTTTAAATGTTTCATCAATGTGTTTGTGGACTTGTTTTTCCTTATGATCTTGTGTTACATTCAAGGAAAAGGCTTTTGGGGAAATAAAGGTTTTATTTAATTGATTGTCCCAAACTGAACAGCTGAAGTGTTAAAAACTTTAGAGTGAGTGAGAGTCACTTCCTGTAGAGAGGAGTCTTAGCTCTGACTGTAGGTCTCCTCACATGAAGAGCACCTCTGCCATGGACTGTGAGTATCTCCTCTAACTCCTATTCATAAGATAAGAACTCTGTCTTTTTGGTGTATATGTGGAGGATATATATATATATATATATATATATATATATATAGTGTATATAATTTTTATCAAAGACAAAAAAAAATTATTAAAAAAAAATAAAAAATCCAAGGCACTCTGTTATTTAAGAAAAATTTTTAAATCTCTATTGACATAAAATACACTCTGTTCCAGTGCAGTGTGGCTTTCCTCAGGGTGTAAACCAGTCACAGTGGAGAAACAGTTATAGCTGCTGTTGGGGAGCTGGAAAGTGTACACTTGTGCATTAAAAACAAATTCTTGTGATTAAATGAACAAAGAAGAATGTGCATTTAGAACAAACTATAATTAATTAATTATCTCCATAATCCCCATGTTTTACAATATGTAATTTGGATGAAGCGGAGGCAAAACTGCAGCACTTAAATGTGGATACAAAAGCCGCGCTTCTTAAACAGAGCCTATAAATTATTTTTTTAAAAAGGAACCTTTTAAAATATATATGATAATTTTTGATGTTTGGAATTTTGGATGGTATTTTTATTTCTCAGTAACAGTGAATTTTAATTTAAGGGGGGAAATCGAGCCCCACTCATCATACTCCTACCTTTTGTGCATCACCCATTTCTTTTCCATCTACCTTTGACTGACAGTGTAATGGATGTTCATGTTCCTATCCACAGTCTCTCTGAGGGTGAGTCCAGACCAGTCCCAGTTCTTCAAATGGGACAAAGTGTCTCTGAGCTGTGGAGATACTGGACCCTGGGCTCTGAAGAGGAACACCAGCACAAAACAGAACGAGCCCTGTTCTGAATGGGGGGCAGATATAAAAGGTTCTTCGTGTTCAATGGACCTGTTTCCCATGGACTCTGGTGTGTACTGGTGTGTGAGAGGGACGGCAGCTCTACAGAACCCGTAAACATCACTGTTCGAGGTGAGAGACACTGAGTTTTACCCCATTGACCATTGGCCATAATAAAACGTTGTCCACAGTGTACAATAGGCCAAGTAAAATCCAGAACTGTTCCTTCTGACATAAATGGACCAATCCAAAAGGTATTAAGTAACTGATAAAGAACTTAAAAGGGGACCAGCACTAAATTACTCTCTCAATATAAGTGAAAGCCACAGCAAAACTAAACATTAAAATGTTAAAAATACATATTTTATCCAACAGAACAGACTCAGAAACATCTTATATGAGGAGAGAAAGATTCGGTTCAACTGAGTGTGATCCCATAGTCTGTATCAGTGATAAATGTGAGTGTATCTGTAGTGTCCTTGTTGTTTGTGTTTTTCATGTGTCAGCAGTCGGTGATTAAATCGGTGATTCTTGAGAGTCGGGACAAAACAGGTTTTGAAAATGACTTTTGTCAAAAGTTCATCAACATTTATGAGAGGTGTATATCTTTGTAGAGTGAAGTCTGAGCTGTGCAAAAATGCAAAGATTCTGAATTACATTTTAACTCTCTGCCAGACATTTTAATTTTAAATCTATGCTATAATAAGGGTAAAGGTCCATGTTAAGGTTTATCTGAAGACTTACATTGTAATTTTATATTTTACTTGTATACTTTTACATTTGAATTATATCTCAATTTCCAAAAACATGTCTCTATTTAAAAGTTATAAAATACAAAACACAAATCAGGACGTAGATTCTGATACCCTTTATGACTTAAACCACATAAAATAAATGGAAACAGTCAAATTTCTTTCAAAAATATCAAAAAACACACTCCAAATACATAGATCTGACAGAAGTTGACAAAAAAAAAAAAAAATCTGGTATATGACATTAGTGATTTGACATATTTTACTTTGCATTTGACCTCTCAAAGTGCTAGTGTCACAACATCATTGATCTATAGCAGGCTCATAATAAATAAATATTGTGAGTTGTCACTTAGAACTCACAATATTTAGTAGAGACAATTTCCCTTTGGAACTGGACTTGACTCTTGTTGAAAACATCTCTATTGTGAACCACTCCTCGTCTCAAGTGATAATATTATTTAAAGACATGAAAAATGTAACAATCTATTCAATGACAGAAATTTGTTAAGAAAAACATTCTTTACTAACTTTGTGGATTTGTCAACTCTGTCACACATTAAACTTGATTAGAAAATACTGTGTGTTATTTATGCTGTATTGAAGTATGTTATATGACACTTAAACCATGAAACATTAATCTAACTCATTTCTAAGTTCTCAAAAAAAGTATTTACATTTAGAGACTACTGGTTCATTTGTCAATGTCAAAATTCACATCTGAGCCAACAAAAAAGTTTCCCTTCTAAAAACATGGTACACTGCAGCTAATTAATTTTTTTATTTCACTCTCTTAATGTCCTCACTCACTCCAGTACTGTTTAAATAACTCTCTCAGAATGCTCTGAGGTGACATTTTCCAGCTGTGATGACAAAAATCCCTTGTCTTAAATATATATAGTGGAGTAATAGGTCACAAACAGCACTCTCATAGATTTAGACAATAATATTAGTGGCCTCAGGTTTTAAAAAAATATCTGATGAGGTTGACAAAAAGATGGGAGTTTGGAAGAAAAACATTTCCAAAAGTTTATCATAGGTATATTTTTAATATTTAACTCTAATGTCATTTTATTCACATAAACTGAGCAGGTGAACTCTAAACCCTGGAGGAGCACACAAAAAAATTACATTTACTTAAAAAAATTTAACTTACATTTATGTTAAAATTGGTCAAAAAATATTTTCAAATAAATAGCTCCAGTATACAGAGATCCCTCAGATTTAACTTGACTAATTATGATATTTTGAATGTATTTTTCTACAAATTACAGCATAGAGAGGGCCAAAACAGGTCCTCTCTAAAATGTCTCAAGAATCACCAAAATATTATTCAGTGTTGTTCCTTTGGGGGGCGCTGTTGGAGTATAGGGGTCCCTTTACTCAGGTCTGGTCCCTGTATGACCGGAGCAGGAGCTGTGTTCATTGACAGCAGTAAGTCAGACCTGTTCCCAGTGCATGTTGGACTCCCTCAGGGCTGCCCTTTGTCACCGGTTCTGGACAGAAATTTCTAGGCAGTGTCAGGGGTCAAAGGGCGTTTGTTTTGGGGACCACAGGATCTCATTTCTGCTGTTTGCAAATGTAAAGCTCTTAATTTACTGGTCGATCTATGTTCGCACTCTCACATATGGTCCCTTTGTCCTGGTCTAGTCTTGGTCTAGTCCTGGTTTAGTCCTGGTTTAGGTCTGCGTTCCTACTCTCCCCCATGTTCATGAGCTTGATGTAATGACAAAGAGGACTTGATCTCAGATACAAGAGTCTGAAATGAGTTTCATGTTCTCTCTCAGACAGGGGCGTGATTCTGCAGGTGCCTGTGCTCCCTGTGTCTGTGGGACAAACTGTCAATCTGACCTGTCGACATCACACTGACCACGCCCTCCCAGCCCGTTTCTATAGAGACGAACACTTCCTGTCGGAGCAGCCTGCAGGTCACATGACCCTCCAGCAGGTGGCAATGTTTGATGAAGGCCTGTACCAGTGTGAGATGAGAGGAGAGAAGTCACTGCCCAGTCGACTCCGGGTCAGAGGTTCCTGATTGTGAGCAGCCCTCCCTCCATCAGTGCAGCCTTCAGCCCAGTCTCCTGTCTCTCCTCTGGGCTCCTCGTCTCTGGTGCTGGGTTTGATCACCGGCTCAGTCCTGATCCTCCTGGTTCTGCTGGTCCTGGTGGTGAGACGGTGCCAGAGACACACAGGTCAGTGTCTCTAGTTTTTTTTCCCCTTGTCTTCAGTTATGATAGTTAACCTCTACTCAAGCTCAGACAATTTTATTAGTGAGATGTGTTTACCTTGTCAACATGATTGAGCTGCTGCGAACTGTCACCATAGTAACGTGTCATATATTAGCTGTTGTTACTTCCTGTAGGCGTGGTCAGCCTGACAGACCTGGCAGGTCGCTCAGACTGCCCACGCCTCCTTTTGCCCAGTGGTCCTTGGAGAAGGCTGCCCCATGTGTGTGAAAGGAGGAATGCTCTTTCATCTCAGTTCATGGTCTCTGTGATTCTCTCTTATCATGTGATGAAAATGGCTTCTCCAGACCACTTCTAAAACCTTCTGTACACTCAACCACTCCTGGACCAATGAAGGATTACTCATTTTCTCTCTCATTTTTTCTTTTATGTAGTTTCAAAGTCTGAATCATTCTTAATGTCTCATCATTCACAATAATTTCTTTGTTGGTGTTTGGAAACCTGTCCAGAGGAGAATGGATTAAACAGCCACATATTACCCCAGCAGCAGAGGAGGACGATCAGACACACAGGTATGAATTCTACTGATCATAAGATATAAACTTAACTCCTTTTGAAACACAAATATTACTTTAACTACTTCAAATGTAAATACCATGCTCAATTAGTCAGCTGTAAATTCAGGATAGTTTTAGTCAACATAAAATGTATTTTTGATTTCAGTTGTGCTAAAATATATACTAGTACTAGTGGCCATACCGGCTTGTCAAAGCCTGATCCTGTCAGTTCTCAGAAGCTGAGCAAGGTTGGGCCTGGTTAGTACTTGGATGGGAGACCACTTGGAAAATCAGGTGCCACAGTGGGGCGCCAGTCACAAAAACTGTCGTTGTGTCCTTAGGCAAGACACTTCACCCACATTGCCTAGTACGGAAGTGGTGTGTGCGTGAGTGATGGTGATGGTGGTGGTCGGAGGTGGTTGGAGGACTGATGGCGCCGATTGGCATGGCAGCCGCGCTTCAGTCTGCCCCAGGGCAGCTGTGGCTACAATAGTAGCTTACCATCACCGGGTGTAGAGTGAATGGATAATGCTGAATAATGCTCTGTAAAGCGTCTTTGTGACAAAATGTCTGTGAAAAGTACTATAGAAATCAAGACTTGCTTACTTACTTAGTACATCTCAAAAAATGTGAATATTATGAAAACATTCAATATTTTTTGCCACTCACTTCAGAAAGTCAAACCCAGATATTATATAGACTTGTGATGCATAGAGTGCAGCTTTCAAGCCTCTATATCTTGACATTTTGATGATTATGACTTACAGACAAAATTCAGGTGTCT